AACATCTACGGCAGGGATCGGCAACCTTTTGTCGCCCGCGGGCCAAAATTAAGGGTTGCGAGTCATTGGCGGGCCGCACATATTTTTAGAAAGTTGAAACTGAACGGATGATACTTTTTATATTAAAAATCAAGCAGTGATACATCTCTCGAATAGAATATAGATTTATTTCCTCATTGCATCTCAAAAAATTCCATTTGAATATTTTCAGCGCCATTGAACCCTTTGCACTTAGCATCAACTTTTCTGCGTTTTGTTGCCATTCGAGCTTGAAGTAAATTATCATTAAATTCAGAGGAGAACAGCGGAGCAATGCACCAACTCTCATTTATTTCTGGCTAAACGTGCAAAATCAGCGAATCCGCTTATCAGACAGCGGACATCAGAAATTCTAACTGTGTATATTTACAAGTTAATGCAAATTTAGCCTCAAAAAAATTTGAAATTAATTTAGAGGTGCAGTCAAAACTTTGGTCATGAATAGCAGTGTGATAGGTAAATGTTGGCTGCCAACGACAAAGAATCATCCGAATTTGTTATGGCAAAATTGGTCAGTCGAGTCGATGCCTCAATGTTTTGTGCTTCCTGCTTTGGATATGATCGTTGACATCTGAACGTCCGCCCTGACTAATAGAAAAACAGATCTGCAATGCGTACAGTGTACCTTTCCTCCTTCAGTTTGCTTCAAATAAGGAAAATCTTTCTTCAACTCATCAGAAAACTTGTACTTTCTTTTTGGCATTTCGACAACTTAACGACATTGCAGTTAACGCCAGAAAACACATTAAAACATATACCAATTGTGACATAACAATAGAGCGATTTCTCTCTCTCTGAACTAGCAAAGTGTGTCGCAAAACAGTGGTAAATGGGCTGTCACCGTTAAAAAAAAATTTGTAATAATATTGAATTTGAATTTTTTACCCATGAAAACCGTGCTGACAAACCGGGACATTTGAGTCAACCGGCCGGGACGCCGGGACAGCTTGTCAAATCCGGGACTGTCCCGGCTAAACCGGGGCTTATGGTAAGCCTAACTATGAAGAGAAAGGAAAGTTATGCAAAGATAGGGACATGCGTCGCTCACTCATAGATATATATGCTGCTAGACTTCTACTGCTTGAACATATATGTAACACGCCGCGGTTTCTTGGAAGCAAAATGCTCAATAACGCGCTGATTAAAGTCATGCATCCCAGAAATAACGTCTCTGTGAATGGATAAAACAGCCAAGGAATTTAATCTATCTTGCTTCATTGTGTTTCTGAGATACGTTTTAATACGCTTCAGCGTGCTGAATGTTCGCTCTGCGTCGGCGGAAGAAACAGGCGTCGTCAAAATGATGTCCAGAAATCAGACGCCGCAAAGGTAGTTAGTTACTAGAGTGTTATCTATGAGGAACCCATAGAGCGCGCAAGTTGATGTGATGTTCAAAAAAGTTTGATTGGTGTATATACATCGCAATTCATTTTCCAATTTACCCACGTTTATCATGGGGTAAAATTTGGAGACAGTAGCCAACAAATGGATGGGAAATTGACGTGCAAATTTTGAAAAATTTTTGGGGTTCATCAAAGAGAACGCGGCAAGGTGTTCAGTGCGCAGACGATCGCCTATTTGATTCACCAGAATGTCACAGCATTCCTTTGCAGACAAAATCAAACGCTGCGTTGTTTGCCCGCGGCGTAAAGAAGCACGCGCGGCGGTGGCGCGGCGGTGTGGCTCAACGGGCTAAGCGTTAGGAATACGCTCGCCACCGCACCTCTAATTACTCTGCGTGGGTTCGCAGGTTCGAATCCCATGCAGGGGTGGTTATGTGCGAGAGGATTGCTGGACTCCTCGCCGTCGTTGGGTGGTTCACGTAACCGCTGGTCAGTTACGGCTTCCTCCACCACCAAGTCCATGCTTCCGAAAACAAACAATACAGTAAAAAACTAATCCCATACCCGACTTGGAATGGTAACCGGACGAGAGGCCGTGGTTCGCCATATGGATAAGCCGTCTTATCGGCTTTCCTCTCCCCCGGGATAAATATGTAAATCCTATCCTATCCTATCCACTCCATGTGTCGTCGTATTTTATTGTTTCCCGGATACGAGATACAGCATCGCAGAAGTCTGAAATACACGACTGCACAGACGCTCCATCCATTAGCCTTGACTACAATGCGCCGTATAATACATCCACGTGATAGAATATTGTGGAGAAAAAAGCGAGAAAAAATGAAAACTCACCATCTTCTAGCAGACGCTTAGACCTGTCGCCTCCCTCACATAGCGTTCGTCCCAAACCGGAGAGCTCTGAATGCCATTGAAACACTCAATGAGCTCAGACCTAATTTCGGACACGCCCTGAACCACGCGTGATTGGAAGTTCCAACATGTTAGTGCACAAGCAGGGAGACGGCGGCTACATATCTGGCGAAGGAGGTCAGAGCGCTTCGGCGAAACGGAAAAAATGAAGAAAACCCCGAAACATTTGCAAAAAATATACGGACGAGAGGGGTATCAAGACACATATTCGTAATAACGAGGTTAAATTGATGTGCATAACAATGTAAAAAATGCGCATGAGGAAAATCTTCTTTTATATAAACTTGAACACCATGTTTCGACCTACTCATGACTGCCGCGCCGTCATAAGTTTTAGCTATCAATTTTGACTTCGCGTTGTAAGGCTGTAACACTTCTTTCAGTACAGCCGATATCCCGCAAGCCGTGCGATCAACGATTGGTACAAAGCTGTGAAATCTCTCGGTAGGTTTACCATCTTTCACAAACCGAAAAATCACAGCCAGTTGGGAAACGCACATGATGTCAGTTGTCTCGTCAGACTGAATCGAAAGGAACTGGCAATTCTCAATTTCCAGAGCCAAATGTTGTAAATAAATTTTATACATTGAGTCGAGCAAATCATTTTGGATATCCTTAGATGTCCCTTTCGAAACAGTTGCGGCATCAAGATGATCTCTCAATACTGTATCTAGGGATGCGGTTTATTCCACCATATCCAAAAATACCCCTCTATTAGAAGAGCCAGCCCGTTCATCGTGCCCACGGAGGGACAGCTCGTGACAACCAATGAACTTCAAAACATCGACCGAGAACATGGCGGTTTTTCTCGACGTTTTGGTTGTGCCGACGAATAGAAACCGCGCGTCCTTCATCCAACTGTGCTGCAATATTAACATTTCCGAATGTTCGGTATTTTACTGCATTGTTCAGATGCTCCATAGAAGATTGATGATCCCTGACACGCTCGGAAAGATGTTTAAGATCTCTAAAACCAAATTTACACCAACGTGAGTCACGGGCGGTAGCAAAAAGTAGGCAATAAAAACAAAAAAGTGCATTTTTGTCCTCGCTGTAACACAACCATTCGTGTTTTTTATACCAAGTTTCTGCGCAGAATGTACGCCGACGCTTTCCTCCGTCATGGGATTGTTCCAGTGAACAATTTTTTGGTTGATAAGGCCCAAGACGTTGTACCTCTAATTTTTGTTCCAGCGGCAGCTGCGAAAACGGAGTGCGAAGTAGTGCATCAACCTTATTCATTATGAGGTCTAAGGCTAAGAAATGCGAAGCCGGAAAAAAGTGAGGAGCTCAAAAGGAATGTGGAAAATCGAAAGCAAATGGACTAAAGGTCTCTAACTGATTCAAATAGCGAAACAAGCGACAAAAACGAAGGCGAGGAAACTATTAACTATCCAAGCAACCAACGAACCAGAAGGCGTCGCCCCGTCGACGTTCGGCGAAGGCTTTGCGAGCGAAAAATGAACCATGTCGGGAGAATATGGCTAGTGTAGACAGTCTGTGCAACCGATATTGAGGTATTTTTCGAATATTTTTTATTATACCGAACAAACAACCGAGGCATTGCCCCGGTTGCGAATATCGACGCGCCGCCACTGACTTAGGCAAAATGCTTGGCATTTATTCATATTTATTTTGCACCCAGATATTGCATAGTACCGTATTAATTTGGGCTCTGCGAAATGATCCGATACGAGAGAGATTGCTGTCGCTAGAGAGTTTGTTACGCACTCGCAGGGGCCGTGACGCCTCACAAGTGATCGTCAATATACTTTTGGCAAGCTCTATTTCGCGATTGTGACGTCGCAGTGACGTAATTTTTGAATGACGTGCTCAGGTAGGGGTCGGGAATGATATATGCAAAAATTGTTACGCCACGCCCACTAGTAGTTATTGCGGCACGAAACTACACGAGACCCGTTTCACCAGCCCCACCATTGGCTTTACCAAATCGCCTTCCAGCCTTGGGGTCTAGCGCATTTATTAAACTCAGAAATACTGAAATATGCTAATGAAGAACAGAATATTCAAGGTAGATATCGTACTATAACATCAATGTACTCAACCATCAGACCATACGGCCATAGTAATATCAGAATACGGTATAGTACGCATACAACAATTGTTTCGAACTTTTGCACTTCTATTTTGAAAGTTCAATGAATTTGTAATAACGTAGACTAATATCTGAATATAGTACAGCAGTAGTAAGATACCGGTAATATGGGAAAATAATATTTCAAGTCTCTGAGTTTCATGAGGTTGAGGTTTATCCAGGTATCTTTATACAGTTATAAGTAAGTACATATACTATTAATACATGTAAATATACATGAGCCAGTTTACCCACATTCAACACACAAACATTTATTCAAAATAAAAAAGACAGACACGAACCGATATCGTTCGGGCGTCAAACTTCAGAACTTGTGTAACATAAACACTATTCCTGTATTCTGTTATTAGGATAAGATTAACATATTTATCCCGTTGAACAGGGTAGCCGATAAGATGACTTAATCATAATATGGCGAACCACCAGTCCAGTCCGTTTTGGGTATATGGGTACGGTATGGGATTAAAGGATTAGTTAGACAGTTATTTCAAGTGTTTGTTTTCAGATGCGTGGACTTGATGGCGGAGGGAGTCGTAACGATCAATGGTCAAGTGAGCCACCCCACGACAGCGAGGGGTCAATCTTTTTGCACATAATTACCCCACACAGGATTCAAATCTGCGAACCCAAGCTGGGTAATCAGAGGAATTGAGCAAAACTTCAATTTCTTATCTTTTGATTTTTTCAATAATATAGTCCAATTCATTACGTTGTTGTACTAAGTACAATAACATTATGTCATAGTGCTGTAGTGTCTTACCAACACAATGAATACCTCTACATCAGCCAACAATGGTGGAAAACTTGATGATTGCCACTCGTCTATCTATTCTCTGGCAGATTTAACAGGGTTGAGATGGAGAACATTCTCTGGGCCGAAATCTCTCCCAGTTAGTCCATCTGATGACCCCGTCCTCGTGGCATTCAGCAACTGCTTGTCACAAGATATACTAGCTGTTTGGAGAAAAGCTCCCAGCTTGAAGAAAAGCACTCCAAGTTTGACTCAGACCCACCCACATCAGTTCAATGAAGATGAAATGAACTCAGGATCTAATTTTGAATTAAAGAAAGAGTTATGGATATTTTGGTGGGGAAATGAAAATGAGCCATCAGTTGAAGCAGTAGGTAGATCTGTTGGGCTCACTTTTGAATCAGAAGATTCATGGGAAGATGTTGGATTATCTTATGAATGTAGAACACTATTATTCAAAGCAATTCACAATCTAATTGAAAGGTGTCTCCTATCAGAAAGATTTGTAAGAATTGGAAAATGGTTTTTACGACCATTTAAAAGAGACACAGATGTGGATAAATCTGATAGACTTTCTATATCTTTCACTTTCTTTTTGAGAGGTGAAAACACCGTCTGTGCCACTGTTGATATAGGATCACATCAGCCAGTGGAACGATTGAACAATCAATATTTGATCCAAGTTTCCAATAATCTCGTTTCCAAAACGGTGATTTTAAGCCCATTTGGACTTCGTGCTTCAGTTACCGGATTGGTTTATAAATCACTTCATGACCAAGCAGTGAAAACTGTAATTGATGAATGGAAAGGCTTTTATCCTATTGACATATCAATGTATGAGAGACAAACGTATGATGATCATGACAATGTTGAGCAGCCTGTGCCCCCAGTTGTTGAAGTATTTTTGTCTGGTGTTCGAACAAATTATCCTTCTGCTTATATACTTGTACCTGTCGACACCCATTCTGCTTTGAAGGATGGCGAAAGTAGACCTTGGAATGCAGATAGAAGAGCAATGGATTGTGTAAGCCACCAAGGTGATATCACTTCAATCGGATCATTTCAAGACAGCATGGGGTTATCAGTTAATGAAGTTGCAACATCTCCGATCTCAGAATCTGCAAGAGATGGTATGACATCACTGAACCCAGAGGGTACAAGCTCATTGGTTAGGAGCTTAATTTCCAGAGTCGTCAATGCCAGCGTTTCATCTGAGATGCGACTTGAAAATGAAGTAAATGGAATTCATCCACATCACCCTGAACCTCTAACTGTTCATGACAACAGCCCATCACAATGGCTCCAACTTTGTAGCCAATTCAAAAAAGCGAGACAAAGACTGAATTATTTTCCTCCAAATGATGATGAATTGAGCCAGATGACTGGAAAACTAAAATATATGAATGACAGCAATCAACAATCAGATGGAAGACGTAAATCAGACAAACAGAAACAACCAGCAACAGTTCCATTTCATCACACAAGTGCTGAACCAACCCCGCCTGGCATTGTTAATCAACAACTTGTTGCACCATACTTTCAGAATCCTGAATCTAATTCTATGATAATGATGTATCCTCCTCAGCCAGTTGGTTTTGTAAATTATCCGCAATGGAATCAGGAAGAACAAAAATCATTGGATCAACAAGGTATGTGTGGGCCTATGTTTTTTCAAAATAATGACATTCCCAATGTTCGTGAAAATTTTCAAAGTGATCCCATAGAACCTGGATTTCAATATACTATCACTGATGAAGCAATCAAAAATGCACCAGTAGGGGAAATTAAAGAGAATGTTTCAGTTTGGAAAAAAATTAAGTTGCCCAAACAAGTGCAAAAACTACAAGGGATGGCAAATATAGTTGGAAAACCAAAAAAACCATCTCTGATACCAGAACATTTGGAATCTGAAACTAGTGCATCCAGCAACTCGTTTAGATCTTTGAAACGTATGAAATATAATATAAAACATATTCAAAAGGAACTGGCATGGAGTATTGATTCGAAAAAAAATGAAAGTGGATGAAGAAAGCACTGCCAATGATGACATTGAAAATTCATCAGCTCCTTCATACAATAATAACATGACCGCAGGCATGGATCATGTTAATCCACCTCACGTTAGACTAGGTTCAATCACAGGTGAGCTTGCTGGAATGACGGTATTATCAGATCCATATAAATTTGAAGATGAAGAAAAAGATACAGATAATGTTGCTCCATTTAATTCGCCATTCACTGCTGATATAAGTTTGAAGCAACCTACCGGGATGTGGTCTAACAATGAAAATACAGAAGGCAATAATATTGAAATGAATCCGAAGACGAGTCATCTTAGTAATCTGTTAAAGCAAGAACCAGGTAGTATGTTCACCAAAGGGTTACCGTCATTATTTAATGAAGGCCCCATTGTTGAAAAGCCACAAATAGGTACCTCATTGATGGATAAAAGTGACTTAAAAGTTTCAGCTTTTGATTTAGACAACATGTTCAATGATTCTGAAGATGATGACATGGGTACTGCAGCTGCAGATGATATTTCAGGAAGCAAAATGGTTTCAAATAAAGTCAATCCAAACAAATATGATCCCACTCGAATGCTTTCAAATACCTATGAGGCTGCACATAGTCAATCTTTCATTGCTACTATGAAAGGAGATGTTGCAAAGTATCAGACACCTTATATCAATAACGAATTAGATTTTGCCAATGCTGGATCGAGTGTCAACTATGGAGGTGATGCAGTTTCAGTAGAAACTCTTGGGTCTTTAGCTAATAAAATGGCGACGAACTTCATGCCTGTGCATGTTTCAGCTAAAACTAATGAAGTGTACAAGAAAAATCCTTTAAGCAGACAGCCAATGACAGATAAGTATGCCCCACTGGAGTTGAAACATAAATCACATTCAATCTTGGAAGGAAAGCTGCCACACACATTTACATATACACCTTCATGGCAAATGCCCATGGATCAGTTTGTTGCTCCTCAAAACGAAATGCCATCAATGAACGCTCAAGATGACATAAACCACCTGCCTTCCTATGATGCCCCTACTCCAGTATCTCACCATTATTCAGTAAGCACACCTGCCTCTGTTCCTCAGCCATCTCCACTTCCCCAGCAAACACCACGTACACCAAGGACACCTAGAACCCCACGTGGTAGTGTATCCCCTGCTACTTCAACACCTAATCCTGCAGCTCATGGTAGGTTTTCTGTTCATACACCACTGACAAGTGTATCCTCATCTGTTGCTCAATCAGATATAGGTAATTGCAGAGCATCATCTATATATGTTACCCTAATGCTGTCTGACTCTGTTTTAAATCTTTTTCGTGATATATCATTCGACCAATGCCCGATGTGTGTATGCAATGAAAATATACGTAGTAGGGATGTTGAACTTGGCTATTTACCATCAATGGCTGATAATTTATCAGATGGACAATTTCCTTGCTCATGCGGTTTTAGTGCCATACGAAATCGGTGTCTTTCAGTAGGGGCTGGGCTCTTTCTGGAAGACGAACTTGAAATTGTTGGAAAAGAATTAGAAAATGACATCATAAAAGGCAGAGATGCTTTGCGAAAGCAAACTGATGGTGCAGTGTCTGCTGTTGTCAATTTTGCTGTGAGACAAGCACCAAATCCATATCTGAAAGTGAAAACTATATCAGCGATGAATGTTATTAAATATCAAGTATATAACAGCGCGGAACAGCAAGATATAATGGAAGCATGTGTTGAGGCAATTAATGGTGGAATTACTGTAATGGAAACAGGTCATCAGCCAAAAATTCAGGTTCATCATTGCAAAAATGTTGTTCATCGTTGGGTAGATACTCGATTAATGAAATGTTCTAATTCTGTTGATTTATATCAATTAATGCAGTTTTTAAAACCTATTCTACAAAATGCAATACAGAGGAGAAGGTCTGAGAGGTCATTCAATTTCATTCAGCGTGTGAATGGACCTTTAACTTGGAGAGAATTTTGTAAAGATAATACAGGAGCGCTTGAACCTTTACCAGTGCCAATGCTTCTTGTTGGACAAAACCACGACTGGATGACAGTTTCACCATTTGCTTTGGATTACTGGGAAAAGCTATATCTCGAGCCATATGCTGGAATTACTAATATCCATTACATTGTGATGTGTCCCGAAGTGGAACATGTGTTTACTGCCACTAGATTCTTTTTCAATGAACTGAGCTCTATTTATGATCTTTGTAGGCTTGGGATGCATAAACCATTTATTCGCGGCATGCCTGATGATGGAATTGTTTGCGTTGGAAACAATGTTGTAAATAATGCCAATCTCAATAGCAACTCCAATCGTATCCCTGGTGATCCTAACAATATAGAACCAACGCATAATCACATTGGAGATAACAATGCCACAAAGTCTGTCGAATCATATGTTACTGCTTGCCGTGATATTTTATTTTCATTATTCAACATTGGTGTTCCAGATTCACAAAATGATTCAATGAAGCCACCTCAGTCCACAGGTCCTTTATCTAATTCCATTGGTACTCCTGGTTCTAACAGGCCTGCAACCCCTCTCCCATCAAAACTGAAAGCTGGAAAGGACTTCATACAGGCACAGTTGGCAAGTAAACATAATTCAAATGATAATGCGACCATTTTACTATATTTTGTTGATCCTTTCTTTGGAGAAAATTGTTCTGCCTTCTCTATCCAAATTTGGAAATGCTATTCCGAGGTTGTAAAATCATTACCAGAGTCAAAGCGAGATTCTGTTGTTATCCAGATTGTTCCACTTGAGGATATTTTACAATATGCAAATTCAAGCAAAAAATCTAGTGTTTCTGCAGCACGATCACTTGCTTTCAGTTCTTATTTTCAATGCAGGCATAGGATAACTAGCCCAGCTCTGGTTCGTAGCATGACTGAATTTGGACCAGCCACTTCTAAATATGAGGCTGCACAAGAAAATAGGCTCAAACTGGCAATGCCTGCTATCCATTCCCCCGCATACATCTTAGCCGGTTCCAGAAACAATCAGAAAGATTGTTTGGCTGTTGAGAAAAAACAAACTAAAGAATGTAATATTTTATATGTAACCTATTGTTTATCGCATGATCAGAAATGGGTTATCGGTTCAGCAACGGATCAAGATGGAGAAATGCTTGAAACTTTCTGTGTTAATATAGATGTTCCACCAAGGAGGGTGTCCTTACGCAGGAAACAACGAATTTGTGTAAAGACTGCTGCTATAGAAAAATTGTGGAAAATTTGTATAAGTTTAATCACTGGTACTGCATCAGTGCAATGGAGAATCGTCATTGGCAGACTTGGTCGGTTAGGTCATGGCGAAATTCAAGAGTGGAGCAAACATTTGAATCGAAGAAATTTTTCTTTGTTGTCAAGGCAAGTTGCAACAAAATGCAATCAATGTATGTTGAATGCAGCATTCAAGCATCCTAGTATCCTCAGTGCGTGTTTGACTTCGCTCGAACCAGAAGGGTCGTTCACAATATTACCCGATCTTGTGAAACTTGCACCTTTTGGACGCAGCACGAATAGCAACAATCAAGTTCAATTGAAAACCCCAGAAGATATCTCGTGCACTCATATCTATGTGTTCCCAACATCATCATATGTACAAACTGCAGCAGGTGGAACATTCCAAAATGAAAATATTGATTTCCTATCAAATGAACTAGGCTTATCTGTATTTGGTGAACAAGATGATATACCTATTGAAGTAGGTGATATTTTTAATCCAACCTCCCCTGGTGGTAATAATCAGCAATCTGATGAAATAGGACATATGAAACCTCAGCCAGATCGCCTAACATCTACGGATATACCAGAGGACATTGTTCTTCAACAGCAACCCCTTGCATTGGGATATTTGGTATCTACTGCTCCTACAGGCCCAATGCCTGATTCTTTTTGGTCGTCGTGCCCTCAGGCACAATTTCGCTGCCCAGTGTTCCTCCGATTTGCTCTACATATTCAAATTAGCAGTGATGAAGTTCAAAGTATGGGATCTGGTGGGGAAACAAATGATGAACACCATGAATTAGATTCTCATAAAACTGCTCAAGTTCTGCGATATGTGATGGAAAATTATAATGCACTGTCGTGGTTGACCTGCGACCCCGTATCCCGCGATCGCAGGTCTTGTCTTCCTATACATTATTTTGTACTAACAAGACTTTATCACACAATCAAGGAGTTAACGTAATATCATACTTTATTTATTGTTATTATTATTATTACTAAACAGGTGTACATTTAAAATTGTGTGTCAATTTTTTACTATGTGTTTTTTTCTTATCAATGGTTCCATATGCCTTGATATTGATATTTTTGCGAAATATCAATGTTTCCACCCAAGTTTGAAATGACACTCAAAAGAAGAAGAATTATATGTTCATAAGCATTGAAAAGTGGAGGAGTTTATATGCAGTTAGATTCTAAAAATTTGTTTATTTAAATTATTATAGAATAAGCTACGCGAATGTCTATCGACTTTCATTCTCTTTTTAAAATATGATTCATGTTTGAGCTAACTTCTGAATCACTTTTATTTTCATAATTGCTGCTTTGTGTCAAACTGCGTTGTGCATAACATGGATATGTCTTTGATTTGATAAAACTATGCTTGTTATTTTCAACATTCCTTACATGGGATAGTATTTGGATGTAATTTGTTACATGACATTAAAAGCAGAGAATTTGCCTGAAAGGGTGTATTTGAAAATTATTTTATCATAGAACTATAAAAACAACAGGTATGATTTATTATCCACCAACAATTTTGAGTTACAATGTTGAAATCTGAGACAAATTGTCTTTGTATAGTTCATACTATTTCTGATTTGTGACCAATTTGAATCTTCATATACATAATTGGTTTTGTGATTTTTATCCTCTGAAAAGTTGATTTCATTCGATAAGTGCCAGAATATGTAATATGTAAAATTTCCATGCAAGTGCATGCCATTTTGATTAAATTTTCTAAGATAAGGTTATGAATTCTTCCTCCCCTATTTGATGGGATAGCTATTCCAGTTAAATGTAATTGTGTAGTTTGATTTCCCTTTTTATGTCTATTGCAATATTGCTTGTTTATGACTTTTATTTATGGGTGACCCAAAAAAAAGAACAGAATGTCCTAAATTGCCAAAACTTTTGTGTACAATCAACACATGTAGAAGTTTTCTCCATTTTCGTACAAGTGATTAAGAAATTTATGAGCTCTGTCATTTTTGAGTCATCCTTACGGTTTTAATCTATGTCCAAATTTTTATGATGGTATTCAATATTAACTTCAAAGCAAGGCGGCAATGGAATCCAAATTTGAATCAGAATTCAACTTCTAACTCAATAGAATTGAGCGTGAAAAATGTTGATAATACCAGAAAATTTTATATTTTTATGTACATGACTGACTTGCGTTTCAATCAATTTTTCATGAAATTTATTTACTGTGTTACGATTATTTAATACCTTTATTTGTATTTGTTCATTTTTAAAATTTAGAAAACAGATAAAATTGTTTATATAAACATGAAAAGTAAGGCTGAAACAAAATCATTCGTCGGAATGCATTATCTGTTAACTGAATACAAGTGAATGGGAATTAATATGAAATTCGACTCATATCTGAGTGATTTATGACGTCCATTCTGGATGATATTACAGCTTCTGCTGTTATTTGCAGTATTTAAAGTGCCTCTGAACGACTTTTCTCCACCATCTCCTAGGTGAGTTTTCGTATTTTTCCCATCTTGAATTGTTTTTAAATGTCGTATTATGCATATTTTATATTAACAAAGATTAGAATTTTCCACGTAGAAATTGTATTTGTAAGTAGTGAGAGTAGCAAAAGTTTATCTAAAACCTGACTTATCAAAAGTTAAACAAGACTGTTTTTATTATGAACATATGAAAAAAAGTAGAATGAAAATGAAAAAAAAAAAAAGTTAAATCAAGAATTTACAGCATAATATAGTTATCGTATATCTTTTTTAAAATTCGAGTATAGGTTGCAGCGTAGGAATGTAAGAGCACTACATTGAACATAATAAAATACCTTTGAAGATAAGATATCTTTACAAATTAGGGTCATTCACATAATTTTTTGAAATTTGAAACTTAAAAATTGGAGAGTAGGCTTGCCTTCCTAGGTAATTCCGGGTTATGTAGTTGTTCCATTGTGATGTGTTAATTTCATCTTTGGGATTTAACTTGCTTTTACATATAATGTGAAATTTATTACGATTTTGTTAAGTAATCAATAAATATAATATTGATAAAATATTTGTTTTGATCATTTTGCTATTAAGTCAATTATCTCATATACCGGTATCTTGTGTTGATTGCTTAAAATAGCTGCTTCATCAAATTATACTGGCCTATTGCAAACTGACTTTTTGATTTTCATGGCTATTAATATCCGCATAATATGGATATTTACGCAGATATAACGTCTCTTGATCCTTCATATTATATTTAAGATTACATGATGATGTAAATTGTTATCCAAACAAACAACAGGATACTTGAGAAATGAGAAATGGTCTACTTTTATGAATATTCTTTTGTTGTGCGACACAATTCCTAGCGTTGTTTAGCGAAACAGGATTTAGACTTATTGTAGATTTTATGATAGATTTGTTTTGCCCGGCCTAACTTAGATTTTATTTTCAGTTTATTGTCAGAAATTGAAAATTTTTCAAATAAAGAACAAATTTCTGTGCATGCTAATGATGTCCAGACAACTTATCTGGAAAATGTATATTTTCAAAAAGAATATTTTCAATTTAAATACCAGAAATTTATATTCACTAACGTATGGCGTATGTAAAACTTCATACTTCATCAATGTTCTAATAGAATGAGTAGGCCATGCTGAAGTGAAAAAAGTATAGTCCTATAACTATTAAAAGTGACTAATTATCTATTGACTTGAAGTGAAAATGTGTAATGCCCTGTTTAAACTAATCCTTATTTGCTATGCAGTATATTTGTTATGTATATCCAAATGCAGATTTTACATGCTGCAAATTTGAAAATTTTTTAATCTAAATTAACTTGAAATATTTGGTTATATTATAGAGAAGATTGAATGCATTAGGTAAACTCTGTTCTTTTTATAGTCAATTTCAAAATAATATTCAGAAATTTTCCTTTACATGTTTAATTTTGGTTATTGATAGTTATGAAATCATAAATATATATTGTGTTGCCATTGTTTGCTTCTGTCTACTCCATGTGGTACCAGAACATATATAGTGAATTTTATGATCAACCAAGCATATATCATAAATGAATGCGCTATTAATAAAGTACAATCTATTTTGGGTTTTGGTTTGTGACAAATGTTGCTTGTTTTGTTTTCCTGTTATCACGCCTGTCCTGTAATATAGTTGTCAGTTTCGTTACGCTAAATTCCATGAGAAAATATGAAGTATGCTAAGCAAACAACCATGACCTTTATAAAGTGCTGTTAGTACATGGAGATACGTTATTGCCAAATTGTAACAAACTATTTTAGACATGGAGGAAAAGTCAGATGAAGAAGTTGCTAGAGTTTTAAAATCTGTTGAGGAACGTCGGCGCAGAAGAAAAGAACAAGAAAAAAATGTTGACTGGTTTGTATATTGTTATAATTATTATTGTTAATGGAAATTGTGAAAGCCTGATTAGGAATTGAATAATTTGTACTACTTTTGTAGGACTTCTTATTGCTATAATGAATACTATAAGCTTTGACATAATATATATGTTTATATGTCAACAATATTTAGTTTCTCTCAAAAAATAAAATAGTTTGCAACTTATAATTTTCTGCAATAATGGCAGAATTTCACTAAAAATTGTAATTTTAAATGAATACATTCTTAGGATATGATTTGATTTACTATGGAATCTCATGTAAATTTGTTGGTTGTATTTAGCTAACATTTGGCTTTAGAACCTTTGAGTAAACATTTTTCTTTTCTGTCAGGTATTCATGGCTTGTTGCTGATCATCCATATTTAGTTTTATTTCTATGCGCTTTCCTAATTTGTGGATGTGTCATTGTCTCTGTCTGTTACGTGAAACCCCCCGACTTCAGTGAGCCATCGAAGGTATGTAACTTGAATGTAGTTTGGATATAAATTTCTTTGGTTCAAATATTATTAAGATATTTTCAAATTTCTCCTTCCTAGGGATTTGAAGTTCGTGGTACGCCATTATCAGATAGAGTTGTAGCTTGGAAGAATTTATATGACAATACCGGTTTCAATCATACTTTATCAACTTATCCAACTTTGTATGCAAGAAGACTTTCTGAAGTCAGAAAATCGGATGTAAGTTATTTTCATATGTGATGGCTTGAATTTTACAGGCTGCCCCCCAAAAAAACAGAATTCGTAAATTTCCTAATGGCTTCTATGAAAACAAAGACCTATCAGTTGTAACCTAATGATTCTTTAATCTAGGACGCTTTGCACAAAAGTTTTGTTCTTTCTATTATATGTTCCAAAGGCAGGTAGGCTTGATTTTCCTGTTTTTTGGAGGAGAATGCTTATATTTGATTACTTCAAATGTATTTAATCTGTAGAGAGATATATAGGGCAATAGACTTGTGATAGATCATATAATTTTCCAGGTATTGTTTATTTGATGAGTGATGACACGCGCATTTGTCCGTAGTGTATGTACCAGGTTAGGTTTAGACCATGATTTCATTCTATTTCAGTTCTATTACGAGTTCGGATACTGTCTGTGTTAGCCAAGTGAATATACCCCTGCCCATCGGTTTCAGTCTCTTTAAGCAACTTGATGTAATATAGGAGTGGCCAGAGTGTCCTCTCCTTGTGTATTGTTTATGTGCAATATGGTAAAATATATACAATTTGGTTTATGGTGCCTGTGTGTATTGAAAATGAAATATTTTTTATTTGGTAAGTGCCTATGTTGTTTAGTAGGCTATATAGTAACCAATGTTCACGATGTGAATTAATCATTTAGAACAAAAGAAAAGTTAAAAGAAGGAATAAAAAAGCTGGAAAAAGAAATAGGAATAAAATAAAAGTTAGAAACAAGAGAGATGTTGTGTCATATACTTGGAATTTTACAGAAAAATATTTTTGTCACAATCCAAGTAAGTTGAAAACTATAATGCGGGCATTGGAATTCACATGTCACTGAAGGTTAATAAAGACCTCTGGTTCAAACCATATGCCGACAAACTCGAGTTGTCATAAATCGGGTTGGCAATGTCAAAACGGAATGATTCAAAAATATCAGCTCTTCACATATCTGTGGCTTCCTATACATGGCCTTGTCCGACGTGAATGCCATAGCATTGCATAAGAAGAACTATGATATAACTTTTCAGTTTAATTTCGAGAAATAGAAAAGCAGATTAGATGGTGAACCATAGTCCTGTTACCAAGCCATCTCGGGTATGAGAATAGCTATTTAATAATATCTTGTACAGATTTACGGATTTGAATTTTTTTCAAAATTTCTAGAACCTTCCTATGCGAGAATGATAATGGAAATCAAAGATGAATCCAAAACATTGTGGAGTGTTGCAGGATTGAGATCGATCTGCAAAGCTGAAAAATCTCTCTTAGCACACGTGTCATATTCTGATGTTTGCACCCACTTGGTGAGTTAATTAAATAATATACGCATTTGTATTGGAAATTCTCGCTTATATATCTTGATTGATGTGTATGGACCATAATCTTGTGTTTGGACTAAAGAAACTTAAAATCAAATGATCTATCAATCAGTCAATTATTTTTAAGATGTACATGTGGATCATTTTGCTGAGCTGTTGTAGTTGTTATTCTTGTAGTTGGTGGAAAAATCAATTTTCTCGCAACTTATAGCTACCAATTGATTACAAATTTTCAGTACCCTAAGATAGAAGAAGTCGCTTGGATTCTTATTATTTTTTTTTCAAATGTTTGATATTTGCTATTTCAATCTAATTAAAATAGAACAGTTTTCATTGTGTATTGGTCGATCGGCTGTATATTGCTTGGCCATTGGTCTTTTCATCAAACTCTCTTCATCTAGGCCTTACAGTATATCCCCTGCCCATAGGTTTCACTCCCTTTACACAACTTGATGAAAAGTGGGCGAACAAAATTAGTTACCATATTGGTACACACAATCCTGGAGCGCCGGGAATACATTTAGGAAGAAGTTCAGAATAGCGTGCTATTGATAAGATGTGAATATTTGTTTAATTCTGTCACTTTATTATTTTATTTAGGATGCTTCAACGTGTTGTCCAACCCTATCTCTTTCCAACTATGTAGCATTTTTATCTGGTCTTCCAAAATGTGAAGAAATAAAAGACACAAACCTACACAAAATATCAGGACTTCTAAGAGATTGTGCACCTTTTTATTCAAATAATTCATTAACTAGTTATTGCTGGGATATGAGAGCTGAAGCAGATTCTAGAAGTGCTAATTTATGCCCTGAGATTCCTCGGAAATGTGTTAAATATGATGCAGTATTTTCTATTTTTCACTACCTCACTGATACAAATTTTCTTCAAAATATTCTTCAAGAAGATAACCTAGATTTTCAATTGTCACGTACTGCAGTATTTTTACCTGCTCTCAAGGGGGGCAAACATTTAGCTCAGTTGTATTATCAAAGCTTTATGTCACCACGATTAGGTGATGGTTCTATGGTTAAAGTTACTGGTATTGATTTTGGTTTGAAAGATAGAGTGTTTGATGATGCTTTGAAAAATGATGGTATTTACCCCATTGTCGCCATGGTGTTAGTAATGCTTATCATTGTTATTTATACTGGTTCAGTTTTTATCACTCTAATGAGCATTATAGCGTCTGTTAGTTCTCTTTTCATGTCTTACTTTCTTTATTCCGTTATATTTGAATTTTCTCACTTTCCATTCATGAATTTGACTGCAATAATGGTGATGGTTGGTATTGGTGCTGACAATGTTTTAGTATACTGTAGTGCATGGAAGACTTATAAAGAAAGAGACAATCTAGAAGCAGGTTTTTTTCTCAAAAAGAAAGCAATTACCGGAAAACCAAGCAATAGAAGACTTGGTGTTATAACGAAAGTCACAATCAAACATGCAGCAAGATCTATGTTTGTAACCGGAATGACTACTGCTGCTGCATTTTTATCAAACTTTGCCAGCACTGTCACAGCGATCAAATGTTTTGGGATTTACACTGGACTCACTGTGCTTATGAATTTATTTTTATGTGTTACATGGCTTCCGGCTGCTGTTATTATACACGAAAGAAACTTTTCTGACCTATACACAAAATTATTTCAATGTTTCCAAACAAGAAGAAACACTTGTGGATATATCAAAAAGAAGTTTGACGAAGCAAGCAGGGTATTTTTCCATAAATTACAAGTTTTCCTCATAGTGAAATGGCGTTGGTTTTGGCTTGCTTTTGGCACTATTATTGCTTTTGGTGGTTGTTTTGTAATTTTTGTTAATCCGAAATTGCGGTTACCTACCACAAGTTCATATTTTCAATATTTCAAATCGTCACACCCATTTGAAATGTATACACAAAGCCACTCTGAGATGTTTGCTTTTGAAAAAAGGGGACTGGGATATATGCCCGTCACTATTATTTTCGGGATTACACCCACAGACAATGGAAATCCATTAGACCCTGACAACAGAGGTAATCTTGTCTTCAGTCAATACTTCAACATGTCAGATCCCCGAAGTCAATCCTGGCTTCTTCAGTTTTGTAAAAAGATACAAGAACAGGATTTTTACAAGTCGACTGGAGATGATTATCAAGATTTTAGGTAAGATGATTTTACTTGCCCATGTATGGTACTTGATTGTTCTAAAAATGTAGCCTTTTCTTTCAATTACTGTCTTGTTCGCCTTGTCCTAGCAAGACTAAATGAAGTCTGAGGGGTGGTTGTTTTTTTAGTTCGAAAGTCACCTCATGTGAAGGTCATTCTTGTTGAAAATGAAATTTTAGTGATATTTGCTAAAGATTTAAAGTTGTGAGCTCCAGTACCTATGCCAATGTGTATCAGCCACATACTTCGAATAATTCTTTTCTATTCAGTGGCATATTCATAAATCTTAGGACCAGATTGTTAAATTGTTTTTGTATATATCTTGTATGTTATCATTGCTGGCTTATTAAATCTATATTCTACTCTTGTATAATGAGTTACTGCCATTGAGATATTTGAATCAAGTACCTTATTTTGTTTAGAATGTGTTTCATTGAGGCTTTTAAAAAGTGGATGGATTCTGTGGCATGTCTTGTCGATGGAGTTGATTACACTCCTTGTTGCAAAGGAAGTACTTTCCCATATTCACCTTCGGTTTTCAACAAATGTTTGAAAAAAGCTGTTCTACGTGTTTCAAATACCCCAGGCATACGTTTGGATCGAATGACTCCAGGACCAAGGTTTGTTGACTTCATTTTAAATTGTAATTTATTTAATTGTATGTTTGTTTTATTTGGTAACAATTGGTAATTTTTGCTGGCAAGTATCTACGGTATGTTTAATGTTAAAATAAATTTTGTACTTCACTCTCATCATTCACTAAAGCCTAATTGAAAATGAGTTTATATCTGGTGGAGAAGTATGGTAAGCTATGTGTTAATATCTGTTAACATTCAAAATTTCAATTCCTTCAACACTTTTATTTTATATTCAACTTTATAATTTATACGAAATCTATGAAATTATTTTTAGTCACTTCAACTGTGGTCATAATTTTAGATGTTGATGTAAGCTTAAGCAGGGATTAGGTAGGGACTCCTTCATGTATTAACGGATTTGCTTGATTGACGTAGGTGTAAACAATTAGTAAGGGAATTTTTGGCACTGATCCATCCATGATGGCTTAGTGATGCTATGAAGTTCTAATCTTTTTATAAATAATTTGGAACTGGTAAAGTTTGTTTTGTTGTCTTGTCACGTTGTTCCTTTTTAAATAGTTGGCGTTCTTCACCTATTGGGTTCTTGCTTCAGTATCAAATGTACATAAAATAGTATTTTCGATTTTTTAATTATTCGAAATCCCAATATTGCTTTTTTTAGATAAATGTACTTATGCTATATTACTAGTATGTACAGTTGTTTAATAAACTTGAGGAAATTTGAAATATAGGGAAAAAAATTCCAATTTTATTCAATTTTTTATTGATTCGGAAGCATGAATCATAGTAATGGAGGAAACAATAGTACAGACATCCTTCCAAGTTAAGCAGATCAACTTTGAATGATGTATATTTCCTGTCTGACTCCTGAGTGACTGCATTTCTTGCCAAACCACATTTTAATCACTGTATTTCAGTGCACTGCATTCATCAATACTACAAGCAATAACATATTTGAGGCAAAGTAAAATGACCCAATTTGAACCAGTCATTGATTCTTATATAGGTAATAAAGTGGCCTATTTTAGTACAAAAGTATGGTCCTAAAATTACAGACCACATGTCTCATACTGGTGACATAACACAAGACTTATTGCAATGATGACTTCATATTTTGTTTGTTACAAATAGTTTAAGACATTGAGTTTGGCGTCAATGTTTGTGCTTTTTGTAAACTCATTAATTCCAATTTTATTAGAGCATTTTCATTTCATACCTTTTCCCTAAACAAGATTTCAGACAAGCAGTTCTGAGCAGTTAATTAAAAGAGATAAAGTTATCGGAACGACCGTAGTTTCATATCTCTGGGTTTGTAGCTTGGTCTTTATTTAAATGCTTCTGCCAAGAAATTTTGTTTTGTTTTTAACGCAGTTGGACCGACGTAATAACCATCTATTTTCAATAAAATAATTTTCATAATATGTTCATATATTCTTAAATAATTCCATTTGAATAAGTCACTCAGAGTACCTGATCTCTTTTTTTAACGGTATACTGAGTATCATTCATAGCATGGTTGTACAGAATGAATAAAACATCGAATACTTTCAAAATTCGATTGGGTATATTTTATGTATCAAATTCTTGATTTGATGATTCATTTAGTATTTCAATTGTGATAATTGTCATTTTGAGCTATAGACACCTGATATCAGACTAAGAATGGGCTTTGTTTGGCCTTAGATAACTGGAGAAAATAGGGTAACTAATACAAGTGTGTTAAGCCTCACTTCTCTACACTAATATCAATATGTTCATAAATATACAGTGATTTGTGCAAATTCTTTGAATATGGCACGTTACTGAATACAGTAGATTCAATATTCCAAAAAAATTTTCAGAATTACTGGGGAATAATATATATTTCAGTTTTTACAATCTCTGCTTTATACTTAAAATTATAGTCCAAAGTAGGTCAACGCTAACCTTGCCACTTAACAAAATATCTTTTCACAAACAGTCTTTATTTTTTCTTTCACGGCCTTTTGAATTTACAAGAGGCATTTGGAACTTTGACTTTGATCAACTAAACTAAAGAATTTTGTGTGAAGTATAACATAACAATGCGGTATTTGCAAGATTGATCAAAAAATGTTTGTTTTTTGTAATAAGATTTAAAGCTATAGGCTGTGATGTTCAAACTTGAATATTCCGTAGCCTGAAATGAATTTATACTGGAAAAATAATTTTTTCAAATTGTATTCCAATATTTGATATACATTTCGAATTTGGTCATGTTTAATTTATTTATAGAGATTATTCTCATAATTTCCAAAGTTGAAACTTTGTTCACTTCTATTACAGTTATCAGGAAATAAATCAAGCTGGGTATACCGCCATATAATTGTTCAAATGAACAATGACAGTTCCATAGTTTTCGTTAATAACTATTTGATTTTTTGTTTAGATATGACACCAATGACACACTACGTGCAGTTATCATTGAATTTCCAAGCTCACAACCTTACACTGGTTCATATGAAGAGGTCGCAGAATTTTACGACACTATTGAAACTTGGCTGAATAAGGAGTTAGAAGATGCACCACCTGGTCTTAGGGAAGATGCCTGGTTCATCAGTGATTTGGAGTTTCATTCCCTTCAACTTGGCCTTTATAAAGGCACCATTACAGCGATAGGACTTTCTATGGGTGTTGTGTGTGTCGCTTTAATTTTAACAACGTTTAACATAACCATCACAATCTTAGCGAATCTGACAATCGCATTTACAATATTCGTAACAGTAGGTGTGTTAGTTCTCATGGGCTGGGAACTAAACATCCTCGAGTCAGTTACTATCTCCATTGCCATTGGGCTCAGCGTCGATTTTACAGTTCATTATGCAGTGGCATACTTACTTGCACCCAAGCAAGACAGAACATCAAGGGTCGAACATGCGGCCAGCACCATGGGACCTGCGATAGCTCTTGCTGCTTTGACGACCTTTTTGGCAGGTTTGTGCATGCTGCCTGCTCAAGTGACTGCTTATTATAAATTTGGAATTTTTCTTATGCTGGTCATGGGTGTGAGTTGGTTTTATGGAACCTATTTTTTTCAAGCATTGTGCAGCACTATTGGTCCAGAAAATAACTGTGGCCATTTGTCTGCTTGCTGTTGCAGACAATGTAAAATCTGTTCCAAAAGAAAGAGATCCAATAGAACTGAATTAAAAAATGAATCTTCAACTTCTAAATGTAGCAAAACATGCTCTGACAAAAACAGAACTTCTTCTGATAGTCATTCCGTTACAGTAATTGAAATGTCATCTTGCACATCTACCTAACGAAATTGAAACATCTTATTACACAATTTTTTTCATAGTATTGCTTTGAATTTTTCATTGTGTACCTACCAGTTTGAAACCTGTTCCAGTGTTCTTCGTGAAATCACTGAAAACTTGGCTGTTTTGGGATTGAGTGAAATGTATGCATGCTAGAGATGGGAGTGCGATTGTTATCTAATTTGACAATATCTGTTCTGGCTGGCATGCCCTAAATGTTGTTAAAGATTTCGATATTGTTGATTACCGTTGGCACTTTTGTTTTGAATAACTGAGGTATAATAAAGTACAGTTGCAATTTTTATAGACACGTAATACTGACTGTAACTAATCATTATGAAATTAATAACTGATTGCAGTTTTTTTCTGTCTCCTGCACCAAGCTTAACCTTCTATATCCACTAGAACCTTGTTCTTTTTTCCTCTTGTGTGTTAGTGATTTTGACCATTTTGTGCTTTCGATTTGCTCTTCATATAAATATATATATTTTATACATTGTGGCAGAATATGGTTTGTCTTATTTGTTTTATAAATGGAGATTATTTCTTTTTGTCAATATTGAAAATAACATGTATGTGATGGATTATTTCAACTAGTATAATTAACTTTTATTTTGCATTGAATATAATCAATAATTACCCAATCATGGATTTTCAGTTTTTTATTGTCTTTTTTACTCAATAATATTATGTACACTCTAACGTTCAACGCCTTTTTTCTTGTGTATTTCGAACTTGAGAAGGGTTTTACCGGTAGTTGACATCCAATAAATTGTGTAGTTCCACTGTAATAAAATCTAGTCATGTGAGATAGGCGATCGTTTAGTTGGGAGTTATAACTTTAGGATCGTTTAGTTGGGAGTTATAACTTTAGGGAACCCTTGTATTAATGTTCTGTCTTTAACAACTATGGACGAAAAATTCAGAAACACAGGATTCAAAGACATGTATCAGAAATTTTAAACTTATTTTTTTGGCAAGCCCTATATAATGCATTTTGTAAAAGCCAACCAAATTAAGAAAAAATAATGTGCTATAGCATACGCCAAACACTTGAGCCTGAAACATCAGTATATCGATTGGGATATAGCAGCGGTTCTATGGGTACAAAATATGACATTTGTCGCGGGGAGCACTGGCATAGACGCATGCCTTGACCATTTAACAGTGCCACATTTGTTGAGATTGGGTTACAATAATAGTTCTAGTGTTGTGTTGTGCCACTGTCCTGGTTTTGGAAGGGTTATAGGATAGGATTTACATATAGTTATGGGATAGCCATTCACTTTATTGACATCAAAATAGACAACAAAAATTTTTGAAACACATGCCAATTTCATCAATGTGACACGTGGGCTTGTATTTGCACAACTGCACATCGTTGTATACTTGTTGGTATTTATCTTGGTGCAATCGGCAGCACAATATTACGGTACCTTAGCATTCGATATTAAAATAGCTTCAAAGCCGGTTGCGATGTGATTATTTGACACTTTTTACTTGGTGTTTTCTCAGAAGACTCATTTTTATTAATTTGTTATTTATTTCCCAGTTTAATATGAGCATGACTATATTTTATATAAAATTCTATCTTAAAATAATAGAATATGGCTGCATTGAAATTTGACAATTATTGATTGATAAGTGCACTTTAAAATGGCAATATTTAATAATCATTTGATAAAATATTCGGCACTGCAAATTGTTGGAACAAAAGAAAATAACAAGATTTATTTATTTTCTCAAACTAAATTTTAACTTGACAATTGGATATTTCTTTAGACTTGTACTTGTTGTTGCAAATCGTCATCTTTAGGGGGGTTATAATTCCCTTGTCTAAAAATAGAAAAATTGTAAATGAAATTGCTTACATACACAGAAAGAACATAATTAAATATAGCAAAATTATTACAAATATCGTACAGGAAATGCGCATTTTATCGCAGGACAAACAATACATCCATAGATTTGTAATCTTACCACAAATTCTTAGAAAAACTTAAGTCTCTAGTCACTGACTAATTTATAACTATTATTTGATTTATAATGAGCATGTGCTTACTTTGCAAATTTCAGGTATGCAGCATAAATGAGAGCAAATATCACGATTAACATTAGGCAAGCTAAGATGATCAAGATGTAGACGATCTGCAGTCCGGATTCTCTCACTGAAAGTAATAATAATATAGCGTTTATACTTTAATTCTAAGCATTTGTTGGTCCAGTTAAATACATTGTGTGTGACAACTTACATTTAAGGCCACAGCATCTTCCTGGTAATTCAACACTAGGAGATTGATCAATAATCCAGCTTTACATTCACAAGTATATGTTTGATTGCTGACATATCCAAACACAAAGCTCTTGCCCCACAATCATTTGTAAACGGACTGTCGCAAGGATTTGGACTGAAACATAAAGAGATGGTTAGTTATTGACATTGTTAGAAAAAAATGATTCCCTTCGTTGTGATGTCATTCCAAACGAAAACAACATTGAAACTGTATGCTCTAAACCAATGACACCAACCCTATCTAAATATCACATTTTGCAAGAATAAATAGTAGGCAGATGTCGGCAACATAATTCTATAAATATGGTATTTGGATGTTTACATTTTCTCCAGCATACGTTGATATCTATTCAACCTATATTTATTGTTATGGCTGATGATTTATTGGCAAAGAGGAAAGCTTATTTACATTTTAAATACAGTATTGGGAAACACTTTAGTCGTAACTTGCTGCATTCACAATCAACAACGAAATAATTAATACAAAATGCAATCAATGGAACGATCAAACATACTTCCTATGAAAGATCTTCTTTCTTGGTATAACTCCATGAGCAAAATTCGATCTTTTTGCCATGTCTTGCTTCGGATTTCTATTTTGTAACTCATTTGGTGTAACTGGTGGATGTACCACGTCGATGCACAAGAGAAAATCCAACCTGGAAACATTATATTGGTATAAATTGTGTGGCATAACATGATAACAATGACTACATATTTAAGTTTGCGGTTGCTTATTGTATTTTAAGAGATAGAAGTTAGAATACCGAGACAGGTCATTATCTAAGATAGCGTTTCTGAACTACTTGTTGTCATGAGGCCAATAATTATTGACTGGTTTACGGCGCCCTCCTTCAACCATTTCCATGCATTGTATAAACAAATAACTAGCCAACAAATTACATACCTGATTTAGACATCGACGAATGGTGGTTAGTTTGATGGTAAAACTACTGAGTCATAGCAAATGTGGGCAAAACAGCCGAAAATATAATTTAAAAATGAAAATTTCTCATTCATGTAAGAAACATCTCTAACCCGTGTTTTATTTTTCTTGAGATCATCGCAGCTATCATCTGCATCTTCTGGGAAGAGTTGTATAAATGTATCTGCTACCATGTATCTGTCTCCAAATGCATTGTTAACCTGTAAAACATTTTGCAAGTTGAAGGTTGCAAAGCAAAATACAATAATAGTTTGTCATATAAAACTGTGAGAAAAAGATATTACAATCAGCAACTTCAACATTCCTAAAATTTGACTGAATAGTAAAATTATAGCCTCACACATTCCATATTGCTACAAGCCAATGTATATAATAGGAATGAAAAAAATCTAGTAATTGATATTTAAAAAAAAATTTATTTCGAAGCTCCTCATGACATGTAAAGGATATTGTTTGCTACCAAAACTTCGTGCATCATTTAATTTTATGCGTTAGATACTTATTCAAAAATATGAAAATGAAAATTCTGAATTGTCGCTATAGATGAAATAAAAAAATAAAATAATACGAACCATTCCCATACAAAGTCTTCAATATCATCTGGTTATCGGAGAACTTTTCAACATCTTTCGCTCAAGGACAACATTACCAGGAATGAGCGGCAGCTGTTGAATAGATTAATTTACATTAAAATATATACTGGTAATACCTAACTGGTAAATTAAATCATTATTGAAAACAACAAATGTAATTTTTTTGACTTTAAAAAAATCAGAACAGTCGAGTGACTGTCAATTCGAGCCTTGAAATCCAGACTCATGCCTTTCTTCCATTTGTATAATAATTTGAGTGAGGCAGTATGTTTTTCAGTAATTAAAAACAAGAAATCAACAGAATACTTAATAATAATAAAAATAAAACAATTACTTACTCAATTTTTGTGGCTTTGGTGGTTTTACTAAAAAGAATAAGAATACCATATTGTTGATGATCCCATAGAGCAGCAGGATTATTCAAAAACATTAATTTATTTCGAATATATTCATGAAAGTTTATAAAAAAGCTGTCAAAATGGAAACAAACTGGCAAAAAAACATGATACATATTTAACCATAATCATAATCTTATCTATATTTCTATATAGCTTACCATATTGCCGTGCAGTTGTTTTGGGATCAAATACGTCCATGTTGTTATCTATTACAGCACTCGTTAAATCTTCCTGACTTTATCTGGCATGATAGGTTCGTTTTAGGACCCGATATTTTAAACTGATTATTGTTGACTTTCTTCTGGAATAGAGGTTACACCACTACCAGTATCAACACCACTTTCCAAAACCTGAATAGAGAAGAAAATCATTAAAAATGAATACTAAACAAAGTAAAGTTCTTCTTAGAAGAAATAGTATTTCCTGTATACGTTTGATTTGCCATCTACTCCAAACATGGTTATGTACAAGCAGTGACTGTTAGGTAAAGAGCTTCTATAAATTTGGAAAAACCGGAATCATTCTGGTCCACATTGTCTACCAAACATATTGATCTCTGGTGTGGTGGTGGGCATGGTATTTTAGCCCAAGATTCATAACCTTTGATGCTAACTTAGTCAAGTCCAATGTTGTAACCATAAGGTCATCATACCCATGATAAGGACAGTAGCCGTCAATAAAAAGATAAGTCATTTATTGCCTCGTAATACTTACCACTAGACATATCCGGATAATTTTCAACAATATCACTAATGTCTTTCTCCCAGTATAATAAATCTGGTTCATTGCCCTTTTCGAATGGTTCTACTATGGTATCATTTCCAAGTGCATCCCTGAGCTAAATTAATTAAAATATAAGCATTAATTGAGATTCATTTCAACATTCAATGTCTACTGATCATCACACTAACCCTTTGGATTGCTTTGTCTTCGGTAACATTCTGTGTAAGCACAACATGCCCTGCAAAGATACGACTATTGGCAAGTTGCAAGTCATTTAATGTGTAGTTTTTCGCTTTTGCAGTCCACATCAAATCCAAGTATACATTGACAACACTCGTGGGCTCAAAAACTGCCAAAATAATGAGATAATGAGTTTGTGAAGAGGATATAAAAAATATTAAAATTGTCATATCAAGCATACAAAGTAATTCAAAATTTAGTGTAATAGCTTTATCATCCTTTTTCTTCTTAGAAAACATTATTAATGTTTTTATTTACAAAATATATAAATCTTACATTTATTTAAGAAAAAGTGCAGTTTCACTGATTGACGATCCACAGGTTCTACATATTGGAAATTAACTGTAAACGGAAGATCATCAACCTAAAATGAAATGTTGAAATAAACAAAATTACAATTGAGCATAATTTGTTTTCACTCAAAAAACAACAAAGAAAATGAAACAATGCCAGCTAAGTTTTAAAAGGAATGAAAAATTAGTCAGAAATAAACCACGGGAGTCAAGAAAATTCACAATGTAGATGAACAACATCATTTCTTCAGGAATACAAGAAACCAACGTGGCCACAAAAATTAGGAAAAGCAGCTGAACTGAAAGTATGTCTAATGATTTACAATTGGATATTAAAAGCAAACTTTTTGCATCAAAGTCCTTGCATAGTTAACAGTTAACTTTTTGCCTATTTCCACACCTTACCTGGACTAGTAAATAAACAAAATTTGTGGTTGACATAAAATCAATTGGCCATTTTGGCTGGCTTTTTCCTGTCTGAGATAAATAGGAAATGCCTATTCTATTCTAATTCTAATACACAATCAATTAGAAACGCATCATAACAAAATATAAATGAGATTTGATTCTTACAGTATCAAACAATGGATATGCAAGCTCTTGAGAGACCGGTGAATCAACATCTTTCCATGTTTCTACAACTTGTCCTGTACTGAGGCCATCTACAACAAAGTATCCTGTATATTCAGGTGCTGTCAAGGTTTCTGGTGGCAGGAATGGTCCAGGAACTAGTGAAAAATTATTAATGGTAAAATGTTTGATGTGTCACTAGACTAAAACAATAGCAATCAACAAATGAACAACAATATTTCTACCTCTGATAATCATGTCATCTTTCAAGATTCCAAGTCCATCAAAATCTTCATATTCCCTAGCTTTCTCTTGTAGATCAGGTGCAATTGATGAATCATTAGGAGGAAGTTGTAAATCGAATTCAACTTGTACATTCTCATCATCGTCATTTGGTTTGAATGGATCGATATCTACAGTACTGTCATTAGCAACTGCATCTTTGATCTGTCAGATGATAAATTGGCATAAGAAAATTGGATAATATCAAATTGATATATTTCTATATATTTAATGCAATAATTGACTGAAAACTGGAATTGGGGTCTAATCTGCTCTATTGATTGGTATTTTGGCACCATATGCAGCAATCATAATAGACATAACGACTGTGAAACATGAGTACTAAATACCAGCAATTTTATTAAGTTTTTACACATTGTATAACTACTACAAATTAATTTTTAATAGAATACTGAACCACATGAAGTATAGAATGTTTATTGAATAAAAAATATGCTAACCATATCAGAAATGTCGTCAGAAGTCTTTTGATAGGTAGGATCAGTTTCATTTTCATAATCAACTTCTGGATCATAATCCATTGTAAAATTGCCAATGAAATCTCGTGGACCTGTGTTCGTTATATAAATAAAGTAAAAATTCATGACAAATAATTATTTTTAAATTTTGTGTCTGCCAGAATTACTGTTTTGTTATTCTTCATGAGGAGTTGCTCAACTCAACGTCAAACTATCTCACTCATAATGAGAGGAAATTCACCACAATGCCGGGAGAGACCACAGAGATGGGGAACCAGGTGGTGCATTGCCCACCAATAAATAACATTAGAGATTGTTGAATTCTTGACTGGCTTAGGTTAGAAACTACCGTATTTAGATTACTGCTAATTCAGGCTTTTGAGCAACCTAATTTGAAAATATTTAAGTTGCCTGTGAAAAAAGATTTCTTCAGTACTATATTGACTGACAAGACTAAGTCAAATTTTCAGTAAGAGAGCTGAAACCAACAACAAGTAGACACTAACTTCCTATGGTGAATTCATCTGGAACATCTGGTAAATCATTGAGTATATCTTCAATTTCATCATCAGTGAGATTAGCTTCGGGATCAATTTTTAATTCAAAATGAGCCTTTACTGGTCCTTCTGGTGTATGTTCAAAATATTGAACCTCAACATCTTCTAACCATGGATCTTCTAAATCATCTTGATTCTCTCTAATTGGATCTTCAATCTAAAAATAAAATGAACTGCTGTAGTCTATATAGACCTTATTGATAAACACTGAACATCGTTGAAGTATTCACCACTAGTTATACTGGTTTTAGTGTTAGGATAGAATTTTAACTGCAATGTAGATGGTGGATTGCTTTAATTTACATAATTAAACTTCTTTTGCGAATTATGGCTTATACCAGACTGGAGGCTTGGGAAATATTTCCAAGTTTTAAAAGTCAAACATACTACCAAATACCATATTTCGCGACAAATGATTTAAATTTAATGTTCTTGGAAATTATTCTAACTTTCAGAAATTCCAGTAATTTAACATACAAACCTGTTTTTTAAGTTTTTTTGCCAAATCCGAGTCAGAGTCATTGTATAATAACACAACTTCATAGATTTCCAAATCCGGAATGAGGAAATATCCGGTAACTATATCTCCTTCTACATCTGAAACAAATGAAAAAAATGGCTTATCATCTGTTTCCCTTTTTTAGATTATCACAAATATCACCAAAAATAAAATTTCTTCTCTTCTTACTTACATGGAGGTAATACATATGATGTAACATTGACAGTGTCAAATACAGCTTCGAGACCAGACAATGAAGAGTAAATTACATAATTGTCGTCTTCTATCATAAGACCTCTTAGATCAGCAGTCATTTTGAAGGGTTCAAGTTGAGTGTTGGAAGGCAGGGAAATATTGGCGACAATTTTGAGCCGGTCATGATCAATCTCAAATCTGTATATTGTTATAACATAAAATACATAATATTAGTGTTTGTTTGACTAACAGATTAGTAACCAGAATCTACTCCTCAAATATTCTATCTGGTTTTCATAGATTTGAATGACTAGAATGTTTCTAGTTTCTAGCTCACTTTATTTCATGAATGGCAAACTCAAGATATTTGACCTGTATGATTCCGTGTACTCACCTATCAATTTCAATAGTAAAGTTGGCATTGTTTGTAATAGTCTTCAAATTATATTCCACGTAATAGAACAATTCAGAAAATTTGTTCCAAGCAACCTCGTCCTTCTCTAATAGAGCATATTGCAACTCTATATCTCTCACATCCAAATATGCTTCAAAGTACAGCTGACGTGGTGTAAGAATGGAAACACTGTCATTGACAAATCTAATAAAAGTAAATACAATGGTTAATGGCAGTTCATTCATATGTCCTTCAGTGTAGAATTCAACCAAACCACAAAATTTACCTCACCCTTCGAAAATGAGTTATTGGCGTATAGTAGGAATCCCAACCTCTCATAGACTTGTTTTTTTGAGCATCAAAAGTCAGTCATATCAAACATAAATGCTAGTTGTGTGTATACAGCTATTAATGTATACTTACTCATTATCAGAATCCACAAAGAACTGTGACATGGATTTGATCTGCATTTCTAATTCTACAGGATTGTATACAGGTGACAACAAAAGAAAATATCCAGTTAATCCGACAGAACCATCATCAGCGAAATATGGTGAAAAATACTGCGGTTTGTATGTGATAGAATAATCAGAATATTCAGAGAATGTATGAAGGAGCTGAAAACAAAGTCAATGATTAGTCATATTTACTAACAATATTTCAATATAACTTAGCAACTGAAAGAGAAATGTATTATATTAGTTATAAAAAGTTATGTGGCAATTGGCAAAAGGAAACACTAGATCGACCTCAATAAATTTTTATGAGCATACATGACTAAATTAATGTTCAATAAACATACCACATCGTTCAAATGCTCCAACTGCATGTTGAAACTATTACTATTGTTGTCTTTACTTGCATCAACCCAGCTCAAACTTTCTCCTTCATGGTTGGGGAAAGATATCTTTCCATTGAATGTAACTGAACAACAACAAACAAATTCAATAAGCTTTATCTGAAGCAAAAGAGTAAGTTGTATTTTCTTGCAAAATATAGGTTGATGTGATAAAATGTTAACTTACTGAGTCCAAAGTCACTGACGTAAGTTGTAATGTTAACATTTTCTTTGAAAGACGCATCAAAATCTGTAAAAGTAATATTCATTATTATTGACTACAATCATTTGTAATATAAATTTTTGAAAAATAATTCAAGTGTTAGGTTCAACTTCACAGAGTAAGAGAGTTTGATCCCATGTCCATTGTCAACTGACCAATCAGTGTATTTTCTTAATTGTGTAAGTCACACAAAAACAGAAAGAGACTAGTCATTCCATACACAGTTTCCTCATAGGTATATGGTATATTATAGCTTGTTCATAAATAATAGTAAGATCTAACCTTTAACATCAAAATCATGCGTTGCCATTTGGTCCCGTAGTCGCCTTGTAAGCATAAATGGGCCATTCAAATAATTCATTGGCATGTATATCTTGTTGACAATCTTCAAAAGGTTTACACCAACTCGTGTGATGCTGAAAATGTCGTGAACAAACATAGTGTAATTAAGAAGAAAATATTAAATTATCGAGAAATTTAAGCTATGATTGTCTAAAGGTGGACTAAGTAAAAAGGCTATGAAGTTGCACAAGTAAAAAAAACAGAAAATTGCCTGAATACAGACCTGGGTGTATCAATTTGCAATTCTGATTCTATATCTGAAACTACATAGATATCATTTGAGAATGTTTCCAATATTGGAGTTGGCAGAGTAACATTTTTAGACTGTAGCTCATCAAAGAAAGTGTCATTATTCATTTCCAAAAGCGCTTCAAAAAAGAATTCTCTTGTCGTTGGAATTATAGCATATCTAAAAATAAATGAATATTGTTTCATGAGTATGAGGTTAAAAATTATATGGAAATGGAGTTTTCTGAAGACAAACCAGATAATGCAGTGATGGGTATGATACAAATGCAATTGATCTTAATATATAACCAACCCCAACCCTATTCAGTGAAGCTGCAAAAGGATATCCAGGTTAGTTTGTGTTTGTATGGTTAAGCAGCTAAGTGAAGATACTTTTAAAACTTTATGGAACTTTTGTCAAATAATCTATAAAGATCACAAAAAGCGAAATAAATTAATTCATTGAATATTTAGCAAGTTCACTAATGAATCATATTCCAGACATTATGTTCCTGTGCCAACATAGCAGACATAACAAAATTTTGAAATTTTTTCACTAACTCATGATATTACTTACTCGTAGGCAATGCCGGAATTGACGATTTGTTGTTCAAAGTAATCGCCATCCCTAGTAAATATTGGAGTCTTAATGACAAAATGAGCTGTCAAACCCATTGTATTATTGTCAAACTCATTAGGTGCAAAATATTGAACTTCAATTGTTTGAATATTTTCTATGCCGACAATAATCGGATTAAGCTGAAACAAAATATAAAAAATTTAACATAATAATATATCATATCAAAAATGCAGACATGAAATAGAAGTTTTCATGAAAAACAAAACAAATTACAGATTAACTAAAATTATATTTTGTAGCTTCAGCCATCTTACTTTTTATTTCGAATGTCACCAAACAACTAATTCATTCCCAAATGTTGCTATGTTTTTGAAAAACCCTTGTCTAATTTATTCAACTAGTGATTTCGGTCATAGAAAAGTATTTTCAATCACATAAGGCAGATTTTTTGAAATTAGTATAACATCTACAACAACTATGTCCCAAGTTATATTTCACAAAGTAAATAGTTTTTCAATGCTTAAATGCTTGATATTCATATCGTAGTCAAATGAAAACCACTAAAACTTACCATTTCTTCAACTGCCGCTTTTTGCAGCATAAAGCTCTCAGAATACTGATCGACACATGCCTCAACCCAACTAACATTAACCTCTATAGAGCTTAATCCAATCTCTCCACTGTAAGATTCTGAATGGGAAATTTAAATACATATTTATATATATATGATTGAGTAAACAGTATAATAAACATAAAAAATATCATACTTTTAACCAAACTATCTTTATCCAAAAGAACTGAAATGTTGAAAGTGTTCACTTCTATATTGACAATTTCATCATCTGATACTGTAAATATAAAAAATAAAAATTATAAACTAAGATAGAGTTAAGTTTAAAACATATTTCCCATCAACAAAATGCAGCTTCATTTGACTTGTTTTAAAATTATTACAAGAGACTTTGTTTCTCTCATATTTGTTCCTTTGTTTCATCTAAAAATTTTCAGATTGTTTCACTAGACTGCATACACTGCAACTTGTAAATAAAACTCTTATCCTAAAAGTGGTTTTGCAAGAACTTCTGCAATGTGGAATTTCCTTCCTTCCCAGCTGTCTTCTTGAAAGCTCGCTTGAAATGTTTCCAGCCCGCATCTATGGATTTCTCCTAGTGCATCAGTACTCAGACTTTGTTTTGAGCAAACTGTGTATTGCATTATGTTATATAGAAAATGGATATTCGCTTGTGCCTGTGTTCTGCATTTGGCAGATAAATTGAATAACTACTGAATCCTGTCTATACTGAATAAATATTATATTTGGTAAAGAATCTACGTGACTGCCAAGGTTTATTCATATTATACAAAACTTTCAAATGTTAAAAAGCAAAAAAAAATCGGAATAAAAAATGACAATAACTTACGCTGAATGTATTCTTCTCCAAACAGTATATTTCTGAATTTTCTTGTCATTTCAAATGGATTCGCTGGGTAGTTTTCTCCCATCGTTAAAGAGAAATGCACTTCTGTTTTATCTTCTTGATAGAAATAAACTCTGCAAAACAAAGAAATAAAATTATTCACTAGAAATTTCACAAATTTAGAAAATTACGCCAATAAAACATGAATTAAACATAATCAGATACCTGTCAATGTTTATTTCCTGAATTTGGCCTGATTCCACCACATCTTCATTATATATTGCTAATAACTCCTCTGCTAACAATGAGTACTTATTCAGATCATCTGTATCATTGAGCATCATTCCCAACTGCTGTGTTGCATTAAAAAGGTACAGTTCTCCCACAAAGCTACGATTCAAACCAATTTCAGCTGATCCGGAGTAATAACTGTAAAAATTTGAATCATTAAAAATTAAATTGTTTTTATACGAATAAGTTGAGGTAGAAGCAAGTTTATTTCAAAAGGCATTCTATACCTTTGCTATGAACACGGTTCAAGTCAATTCACCATCGATGAGTACATGCTAATAATCTTAGCAATTCTGCATAACCTATACAGTTTTAATATATCACACTTCAACATGATAGTCACAAGATTGAAATCTAAGATTGTCAATGAGTAATGATATAATATCTATCTATCTATAATATGGCACCTATGTACAAGACTACCACACCAGTGTTGTGCCCATAAAAAATTCACTCTTACAGCGATTCATACAGTCAAAAGCAGTAGTATTTCAAGATGTTTGCAAATTCAAATAACAAAGGAACCTCCAGCTGTATTTCTGATATAAATAAATTTCTATTTAAAATATGTAACACAAAAATATTATTCAACTTCCTAGTATTCTGATACCAGTCAATAATTTCTTTACATACCCAATGTCAGGTGATTCATCAGAATTGGATCCATACAGTTCAACCATCTCCTTTATAGTATTTGTAGAGTTTGTTCGTGACCACACGCCAAATTGCAGAGAAAACATATCTTCATCAACGATGGTAACAGAGTAGGGACCAAAATAATCAGGTTGTATAAGGAACACTCCATCTGCACCCAAGCGACTGACGAAATATGTGTCAATCTTAACAGTTAAATTGTATCATCATTATAAATCAAAAAAGAGAATTTGTGGGCATGTTTATAACAAGTTTGTATATGTGAGAGATACTCAAAATGTGATTCATATTTCATGTAACAAATACCGTAGATGACACAGTACCATAGGCACAGTGATGTGCATGTGTTTAAGTGTCTTGACTTATAAACTTGCAAAAATTAAAAATCGATGACCAGATCAAAAGTGGTGTTGACAATGAACATTTGTGATCAACATAAAATTCTTGGTTTAGTTATACCACAAGTACGTATATATCCTCGCATATAAGCCCTAAAACAGTGAATTTATAAAAATTCACATATAAGCCTATTCAGACTGTTATTGCTGTCATAACGTAAACATGCAGGCAATCACGTTTATAACAATGTGAGCGTGCACGCTCCTATCGTAAAAACTTAACACAACTTATCCTGCATGGTTCGAGTTGTAGCTGTTGGAATTAAGTTAGCATAATGTCATTTTGTTTGAGTGCGATCAGAGTTATGTGCGTATGAGCCGAATTTTTAGTATGATTAAAGATACTCGCGTATAAGCCCCATTTAGTTCGGCATTTTTTTGTATTTTTTTAACTCGGCTTATATACGCGGATATGTGTTACTCAATGTTAATACATGTATCCTACTCACCAAAATATTTCCTCCTCATATAAGCAAACCTCTTATTGCATTAATAAAATTACACAACAACAAATCAAACAACTCCCTTTACGGTATTGTATAGAATATTTCATGAAAATATACCAGTTCCTGGACAGCATCCATCAATTTCTTATGGTCCTCACTTCTTCTATCAACTAATGCTTGTCGAATATTTACATCAAGGTCAGTCAATACATCACCAGATAGAAATGGATTTGGTGTAATGAATACAATTTCTCCATTGTAATAGAATGGTACTGAAAATATAAAATATTTTAAATATAAAGAAATAATAATTCGATTACGAGACAATACGAAATTTAACACAAGTTCATAAATACTCACGTTTTTGATATGGTGGATCAATGAGAACCGATATATTAAATGTTGAACTTTCAATTGTTGCATCGGCAAATACTTCTGAATTCAAAAAAATTGGTTTTAGTAATATTATCAACATCATTCTTATTTTGTGCAAGTAAACAAATGAAAAAATGTAATCGACTAACATGCTGATGCATAGTGACATACCTGAAGCTGTATTGTTGTTCTCCAATAAATCTCGATATTGTTCAGTCATTTTGAATGGGTCAGCAACGTCATTCTTTGCCATAAAAACTTCAAAATGAACTTCAGTTTCATTCTCATCATAGAAATACATTCTAAAATAAAATAAAAGATCAGTATGAATGTGATTTTTACAGAACATTTTGAGAACATCTACGCAATGTGGTGCATTCACTCAGTAACATAAAAACCGACGGATAACACACATTGACTATCACATTAAGAAAAATGGGAAATTCAATTGTATTATGTGTGGATAAAATTTTGTTGTAACATGATTGAAAATGCTTGGCACAGGAATTCAATTTTTGTTGTTCACTTACTTTGTGATTTTAATGTCCTCCACATTTCCTAATGAATCATCTTTTTTGCTATATAGATCTAAAAGTTTGTTCTTCATGCTTTCAAAAAGTTCTCTTGCGGCCTCATCGGTTTCATCCACAATCCAATTCAGATTAGAATCATCCAACAAACTTGGTGTTCCATATAAAACACATTCACCCAAAAATTTTCGAGGAATGGATATTTCAACTGTTTCTGGTTCAAGTCTAAAAACAATCAACATTGTTGTTTCCATTTTTACAAAGTACAGACAAGTATGAGCAATGTATGAAAATTCCAAAAAAAGGGAGATTTTCTAATAAAAGAATCCAGAAAAAATTCTGCGAAAGTAAGCATTGGAAAGTTAGAATTTGAGAGAAAATTAATCTGATAATGATAAATTAAATACGAAAATGCAAAATAAAGAGACAGTAGCAGAAGCAGAAAAATATGACAAAATATGTGATGAAAAGATATAGAATAAATTGTTGCAACATACTTTATTATGCTTTCTTGCTCTGAATATACCGCAATAATTTCCCTGACAGAGTCTGGGTCATCTGTAGGCCAGAATATCTCAAAATGTGACACAAGCTCATCCTGATTATCTCCAGGTGAAAAATATTGTGTAAACGCTGCTGCTTTTGTCACGTTGTGGAATACATCAGAAAACTTGAAAAAAAATAAAAGTTGTATTTCAAAATATTGCTTTAATTTTTTAATTTTGCTTAATTTCATCCTGCAGCACATACGATATTTGCCACTGTGTCCTCCATGTATTTAAAATCATCACTTGTTCTGTTTAACATTGCTTTTCGTAAATCAACATTGTCACCAATATTTGAAAGCATAAATTTCCCATTGAAATGATTCGAGTCTAAAAATAAAAAATAAATCAAATTTCCAAATTTTTCTTTTTGGATAACATTGTATGTAGAATATTCAATCCTAGAATATTAATTCATACTTACCAGGCATTCGTGGTGGTGCATCCACAATAACCGTGATATTGAAGGTGTCAATTTCAATTTCTGGTGATGGTGAGATACCTTAAATAAGTAAATGTTAATACACAAGAAAAACTAAAATTGCAAGAGAGTTATTCATTCTATGATAAAAAAAATATTAGAGAAAGACAATATTAATTCTTATTTACAAATATCATAAAGAACGATATGCTTCAGCCATCATTCTTCCAATATTTTTGATACAATAAAATTCAATATGACAAAAATAAAAATTATGGACCATAAGTTACACTACATTATATCTAACGAGTGGTTAATTCAGAAATTCTTTGAAATTTGGTCGATTATACCAATGTGTATTTGAAATCATCCTTTTTGGATATTCTTACCTCGACCTATTTTCGACTTACTTGGAATTTCAAAGTCGTTTTCTAAAAGTTGTCTGTATTGTTTTGTCATTTTGAATGGATCCATCAAACTATTTTTCTCCATTAGAACTTTGAAATGAACTTCAGTTTTGGATTCGTCAATGAAATAAATCCTATGAAATGTTTTAAAAAATTTGTCATTTGTAGTTTTTGCGCATTTAGCAGGCTACAAATTTCAAGTTATGTTTATTTGTAAATTAAAATTTGCCACTGGCTTTATGCTAGGAAGTGAAACTCTAGCTCAAATAAGTTGTAATAACCTTGTAATTTCAATGTTTTTGATGACATCCAATTCATTCGTTTCACCATCAATTGTGATATTGATTGTCTTATTGTAAACAGTAAGAAGTTTTTCTCTAAATTTTTCAAAATATTCTGTGGTTGCTCCACTCTCACTTCCAACAGACCATCCGAGTTGTTTTAGGTAAGGAAATCCAAGCAAAATCATTTCACCCAGAAATTCTCTCTCTATTTCAAGTTCCAGTGAATCAGGTTCCATCCTGCATAATAGAAATTAGAATTTTTATCTGCCTATTGTATCCCTTGTATCCTTGTATTGTAACTCAAAACAGGACAATCTAATAATATCCATACAATCCACTTTATGCCATGTGTGTTGAGAATACAATTTTAAATATAAGTACAGCCCCATGTCACTTTTTCGCAATTGAAGCCAAGTAGGGTTGATGACATCATTGTTCTGACTTTCAGTTAGTAACACCTGGAAAAAGCTCAACTTACAAAAGCAGCTCAAATGCATTTTGAACTGTGTCCAGGCTTGATCCATGCCAGAATATTTCAAAGTTAACAGTAAATAGATCTTCAGTTTCTGCAGGTGAAAAATACTGAAGGAATACCACAGCGTTTGTATCATTCAAAACACTGGAAATCTGAAAAACAAATAGCCAATGTTGAAATACATTGACAAATAATTTGTTTGCCAGCTCTTCAAAAGGTTTCACTAGGTTTAGGTTTCAATTCAGTCTATTTCATATTTTTGCGGTCCAATACTGATTTCAATGTAGGGTTTTGACACTAGATAAAAATTATGCAATCACATTGATACAAATTAAATAAATTATAGCTGTGATGTATATTCATCTGGATACAACAAATACAACAATTTTCAATTTTTACGGTAACTATCCCTTTATAGAAGCTAGGTACTTGGTTTATGCTCTAAGTATTTGAGAATGAGATATTGTTTTGAAATTAGATATTCAATGTTTCCTAATATATTTAAATACACTGCTGTATAAATTTGCAATAATAAAAATAATATACTAATATGACTTACCAAGTCCTCAGACATTTTCTTTAATTCTAGAAAATCTTCACTGGTATCATTTTTCATGATATTGTATCTATTGTAAGTATCTTCTTCGCTATTCCAAGTTACAAATTTTCCATTGCTCACAGCTAGCACGGAATAAAATTATAAATAAGTTATAAAAATAAAAAATAAAATAGCATTAAGTATAATCATAGCAATACATACCAGTAATTGGATCTGTCTCTTTATATCTATCAGGAGCATCAACATAGCTTGTGATATTTGCTGTCTCTGTATCTGGTAAAAACGACCAGTCCCCTAGAACAAATAGAATGAGCTTATTAGGAGAAAATAATTCCAAAGTTTATAAGATTAAATGCCAAAAACTAAGTCATTTTGAGTGATTGTGGTCTACTTGTATCACTTGCCATATAAACAAATCATATACAAAGCAATATTTGTTACGATATATTTTAAAATATGAAAATCAAACTGATAACAGTTATAATTCTGAGACTTATTTTACCTGAACGTAATACAAATCTATTGGTAATCAAAACCGGTCGCATCAATAATGTAGTTTCAAATGGATCCAGTAAATCATTGTATGGAAGATCGATGTCAGCAACTAACTTAACTTTGTTGTCTTCTATTGGAATCAATCTGAAATAATGTTAAAGGTCAGACATTGTTCAATGTCACACATGATACAGAAATGAACAGTGCTTTGTCGGCACATTATGTAAAGTGAATCATAGATACCTAATTTTCCTGATCAAAATATTCAATAAAAATAAATGTAATCAGGTATGGCATAGACAATTGCACAATATTCATGTTATATATAGCTAGTACACAAATCTTCATTAAAATTTACATATTCTATAAATTTAGATTAGAATAAACATCACAAAAGACTGAAAGATTGCTATAGCATCAAATCATGAAGTTTATACCTTGCTACAGACATATCCAAAAACACATTGATCAACATTAAATCTGCTATGACGTCCTCTATATACAAATTTGTCAGTTGGAATGAAACGATATTTTCTTTCGCAAAAGATTCTGCTAAAGTGTCGTTGTTTTCAACATCTCGTGCTGTTGTGTTTTCAACCATCAAATCAATTTCAAAGTACAGTTCTCGTTTCGATGGAATTATCACTGACAGTGGTATGAAACTGGAATGGGAAAGAAAATATTTTTTTGCAAAACATACTCATGTTATAAATTCTATGCCAATCTAAAATTCGTTGCAATATAACATCAAGCTATTCATATATCATAATATTTCTGTATACCAAAATTTTTTTTTTGTAAATCACACATAAATTCTGTAAAAGTTCTCAGTAGAAACATATTCAAAGGCCAAAATCTTTCAATAATGTGGTGAATTTATTGAAAGTCAAAGGCTTACCATTCAGGAACAATTAGAGCAACCATTAAGCTTTTACTTCAATACTGTATATTCACTACCTAATTCTATCGACAGGTGTTGAGAACGTAGGATTTTTATTAGAGATTCAACTGATGCCAGATCATCTTAGCACTATACAAAGGCTTCACCATTCAATCAACGTTCATTACCAATCAAGAATTAGTTTGTACTTACTTTTCAGGGCTAGCCACATTGATTCCCCATCTTTGTATTATTCTTTGCAAATCAGATGGATCAGTTGTTGATGTAGAATTGATAACAAAATGAGTAGTTAAACCCATTTCAGTTCCATTAAATGGAGAGAAATGCAAAAGTTTGATGTCGAGATCAAAGTTTTCAAACTGAAATAAAAATTAAGAAAAATAATTATATGGACATAACATGAATGCAGAAACACATAAGACCTTTATGCAATATTATAATAGTTTATTTGTGATAGCAAACAAAATAGAAAGATCTAAACACTAACCACGTCAGTCATCAAAAGTGCTTGTATTATAAAACTAGCACTTTCATTATTTTTGCTTGCTTCAATCCAATCCACTGTATTCAGAATAATTGGGAATGTCATTTCTCCTGCAAATTGTACACCTGTGCTCCTATCTGAAAAAAGTTGGATATGTTAGATGCAAGGTTTTCTATTAATATCTATTACATTAATCACCTAGAATATCAAATAAAGAAGCAGTACCTCAATTAAAAAGCTGATACTAAATGTATACATGTTAAATAAGGGGTCATGCACAGATGAAGATACCTAAATGTTGCTATTTTTAAAAGTAACATATTGAAATCGGATTAAGATAACATAAAAATATATTATAAAATTGATTTAGCTGTCAGGCATGGTTCATCTATGATGGACTATTATTTAAAATTGTGTTTTAAAAAACAATATAAACTTTAGAGTAGATGTCAATTAATATGTCATATTCTAACAAACCATCAGAGTCAGGAGGAGTTGGTTCATCCAAAATAACTGTTATATTGAATGTATCCACTTGTATGTCTGCGTATGTTGAATCATCAACTAAAACTAAAAATTTAGAAACAGATGAAAAGTTGGGTAAATCACATGACAAGAACTTGCCATTTAAAACAGAAGTGATAATTTTTTTAGCTTTAATAAATGTGTATTTGTAGTTCAGTTTATTGAAATATTGGTAACAGGCACAAATAACATCTGACAAAAAATTCAATAATTCAATAAAATGTGCGAGCTTTAATGGCTTAATTATTGCACAATCATGAGAACTTTGAAGTATTTTGACACATAACAGTGCCACCTCAATGAAAGTGTATTAATAGCTTGTAATCTGACCTGAATTAAAACAACTAGGCTTTATTAATTGAAAAAACTGAACACATTTGAGAGATTCTAAATTAAAACTCAACAATGTAAAATTATCAATGAAAAGAAATTACCACTAAACAACAAATCGAATATTCGTTGATGTATGGAGATGAACAAGCCCACAATATCAATTCCAGACTTTAGAACATAAACTATACTGTGTAAAAATAACTTACATTGCATTTTATCATTCTTCAACAATTCCCTGAATTTGAGAGTCATATCAAAAGGATTTGATCCATCATTTTCTTTCATTGTTAGATTGAAATGAACTTCTGTTTTATATATATCATAAAAGTAGATCCTGTGACAAAAAGAATATTGCATGTTTTAGTCTTAATAAATACTCTTCCATTCAAATAGTTTTATAAAATAAACTATACTTTGTTAATTTAAGATCTTCAATCTGTTCTTCTGGTTGGCTGGCATTGTTGTATGAAGCCTGCAACATATCTTGAATTGGTTCTAAAACAGCGAAAAATGGATTCCTTTCGTCGATTGAAGATCCAAATAAATCCAAAAATGTCCAGTCAGGCAGATACAATTCACCAAGGAAAGATCGCTTTACTATGATATCAGTTGTGTTTGGTCTTAAATAAAATTTAGTGAAGTTCTGTTAAACATAACATTTCAAAAATGAAAGCATTATTACAAAATCGCTTTTAGTTTATCGAGTTTCATTTTTTCATTCAAATGCGGATTTACTAATTTCTATTTGAAACGAGATTTGAAAAGTATAGACTGGACATTTCATCAGCTTAGCACTCGGCTTAAACATAAATTCAACCAACTGCAATGTCGACATGATGACCATGGCCGTAGGCTCAATTTAAAAATAATTCTTAAATCCTCCAAATATTCATAAAAAAATATGAATTTAAATCAATATTTACCTCAAATTATCATCTTCAAATGTGTTGAACGTTATTTCAACTGTTTCTGGATCATTTACAGTTGACCAGATTCCAAAATTAACATCAAGTACACTATCGTTTTCCGTTGGGGAAAAATAATCCACAGAAACAATAGAGTAACCATCAAGAAATATAGGAGCAGAAAGAGCCTAAATATATATAATTATTATAATAAATTATACATATGCAATTAATAAAATCATGTGTGTATTCCTAAAATGTTACATTTTCAGAAATATTTTTCATCCAGTTATAGCTGTAACTGTCTTTGTCTGTCATGGCATCCATTGGGAAGAAATCAAGATCATCAATAGGCAAGGTGAATTCAATCTTTCCGTTAAAATAATCTAAATAAAAGCAAGATTAGGGGGTTTAAAAATTGCAGGGAAAAAAAATATTGCTGGTTTAGTTAAGTTTATGCAATGAATATAATATACACTCACTTTTAGGTAATGGAGGATCAATAAGAACGCTGATATTGAGGGTAGAATATTCGATGATTGGCTCAAATATTTGAACTGAAAAAATAAATTGTATTTTTTGCATGCAGTGAAATTTGTGCAAAGTGACACATGTTTAAGAGATTATCAATGCAGTGTTAGATGATTTATAATCTTGATACAGACAATACTTCAAAGAAGCAACTATTCCAGGGTAGAAAAAGTAAGGTTTTAGAAAGATGTTACAAAAGAAACAATGTTCAACTATTGTTAGGCCATGATTTTCAAGAAAAATAAACTTGTAGAACATCAGACCATTACTATAACTTAACCACTTACTAGAAAACTTGTTATCATTCACCAAGTAGAATCTATATTGTTCGGTCATATCAAATGGTGTGATGTTTTCATTGATGGCCGTTGTTACTTTGAAGTGAACTTCTGTCTTTTTTTCGCCATAGAAGTAAATTCTACAATAACATGATTTAAAGAATTATTCAAAAAAATTGAATAATTTTAAAGTAAATACTAAAAAATGCAATTTTTTGTAGAATAATTATTACATGATAATCAATTTGATTTTGACCTAATATTAGTATTAAATTGTTATTTTGACTTTTTAATAAAACGATTGGCAATCTTTTCTCTGGTAGTCCAATAGATACCGTACATGTTTTATTATTTTCATAAAATGAATAAGAAAAACTCAACAATTTTCAAGATTTCTCCTAAGCAGCATTAGAAGTATTTAGAGTATAAAAAATAATGAGATATCAATTAAATTTGAGATTTGTAGGAATATGCTTCTTGATTAAAGTTCCAGAGTATAAAATAAATAAACCGCTTCCAGTGAAGTAAGCACAATAATAAATTCAAAAATGTGAGCAAATCACAGAAGTAAAGATATTCAACGAATGAACGTTAATTATAATGCTTGAATTTGAGTATATAGGATATATTAAAACATGCACATGCATATTTACCTCAAGATTTCAATATTATCAATTTTTGCTGCAGGTTTCATTGAAAAACCCATTCCATCAGGTAGGAAAGCTGTTGGTTGATCATCAATTACTTCAGAGTATACTTCGAGTAATTTAGTTCGTATGGCACCAAATAGAACTTCAGCTCCACTTGAATCTTTGTGCATTATACCACGGAATCCAGTACTGGGTAGATCAGTCAGATACATCTCACCAAAGAACTCTCTCTTAATTCCGACTTCAACAGTCTCTGGCTTATAGCTGAAGATAAAAATGTAATTAAAAAAAAAAAAAATAAATATTTGAGTGTGTGAGATGTATTTAAATTAAATACAATTACTTTTGACACCACGAAATAGAGTTAACCCAGCGATAGTAATGAATATTTAAACAAGCAGAATAACAACAATCATATTAAAATCAATATAGTGAACATTTATTTTGATCTATTTATTAAAACATGCATGTTTCTATATACAGAATCAGCATAACAGATTTTAGGAATATCATTACAATTGAATCTATATCAATTGACTGTATTTTGGATGCATTGTAAAAAAAAAGTAAAACGAAAAGATATCAAAGTTGGTATGGTTTGGTAATCGAACAATATATAAATGATGTCAAGCCAGTTATTAAATATTGATGGATATAAAATAACAGTAGTTTTTGTTATATAGTACTACTTACATAATTAAAGTTGTAATGTAGGTGGGACTTTCAACCAGACCATATAATCCTTGCAAAATTCAAGGAATATCTACAATACACACATATATGCAAAGATAATCTCAAATCACACCTGAAGTCTAGAAAGCGATCATCTACAAAATAATCTGTTAAATTATTTTCGGCTTCTTCTGGATTGATTGAGCCACCAAACTTCATCAAACCAAAATGTAAAGTTAATCCTTCGTTCTTATTTTCTTCTTCCGGAGCAAAATATTGAGCAAAACCATATATAGATGTGTTCTCGAAAATGTTGGCAATCTAAAATAAAACATAATATTTGAACCAATTCAAAGTATACATTTACTATTATATCATTTAGATATAGTAACTGACTCATGTCACACTTTCTTACCATTAGTTCTGTGTATTCGATATAGCGAATATGTATAAAGCTCTGTGGATCTAACATCAAAGTTCGTCTATCCTCAGCAGAAGGAACATTTATTAATGAAAATTTTCCATTTAACCACACTGTAAAATAAGATACAAATTGACAGATTCAAAAAAAAAGGGCTAATTTACAAAAAAGAGCTAATTTACAAAAAAAGGGAGTGTAGAGATCTTTGGATGAGTGAGAGATTGGAGGGTCAGTGTACCATCATTAAAATTAGATTACTCTTGGATTTTCCGAATTTGATACTTCAACCGTTCTTTGAAGAGAGTAGGAAACGGATGCATAACAGATTGACTGGGAACATACATTATTTATATAAAAGAGATTCAATGATATGTTGTAAGCTACAATAAATCTCTGAGCAAATGAATAGAGTATGCATGTGTAGGAGATACATAGCAATTTGCAAAGAAAGTTTTCAGGTGAAAATAACACTCTTTTCGGAGATCCCTGTTTAGACACACATTCAATCAAGAGTTGATTATAATAAGCCTTTGAGTATGGAAAAAATGAATGCTTGAATGAATGAATCTCTCATGCTAAATAACCTATGCTACTATTCAAACTGTGTCGTTTCTTACCAGCCGGCTGTGGAGTAGGGATAATGTCTGTAAAAGGTGTTGTTTCATCAGAGACTGTGGTTGGAGTTGTCCCATTATCAGAAATTGTAGTTGTTTCGCTGTCCATGGTTGTATTTGCTGTACCAGGGGAAGTAGTTGAGGACACAGGTACACTCATGTCTGGTTTTGTTGGTAAATGACCGGCTAAATAAAATAAAAATAAGCGAGAATATATTTATATGTGCGAATTAATTAACAAGCTCCAGTTGCCATATATAATAAATCTTATCACATTTTCTGGGTAATTTTTTGTCTGTAAAATAAACCTGATAAAGAATACTATGCATTTCTTACCAAAGATCTCAAAGCTTGCAGGTATAATGTCATGAAGTATACTTTCATCAGAAAATGCATTGAATACATCTTTCAATATCTCTGGAGTACTGACATCATAATATTCCATAACAATATCAAAGTAAAGCATATTTTCATCCTCATCAATTGATGTCACATTGATGTCTTCATGGTATACGTTTGGTATGTTGTCCAGAAGTTCTTCCACCTTGCAAAATATATTTGAAAACATGAGATAACTGTATTTGATTCAACGTCTAATATTTCAATCAGATCAGAATGCTACCAAAACCCAAATTGAAAATATAATGTTTTTTTTTCTGACCAAAGAAGGTTAAAAGCTTCAGTTAGATCTCTAGATAGTTCGTCATTCAAACCAAAAAGGTCTTTTTAAATTTAAAATACGCCATCTCGAATGCTTGTCTAGCGGGGCGTTATTAAAAGATATAATAAGAAAAACAAGTAAAGCATACATAATCTTACCCAAGATTGAATCATTGTTTGTTTTTCTGTGGGAAGAGAAGAAGCATTACCCAGTGAAGCAAATCCCCAGAATTTTCTTCTTTCTCCCACAGTATTTGTAGAAACAAGGAAGGGCTCTGTGAAAATTTTTAATTTAATTTATATCAAAAAATTTTGAAATGTCAAAACTTTATATTAGAAATTTCAATATGATGTTTCGAAATTTTAAATAAATAATTTTCGAACAGTAGTCATTACTTTCGTTTTTTTTTTCAACTTTTGAAAATAAAATAATTCACCTATAAGAATTTCTTCCATTTCTTCTTTGACCATGAAGGCAGGAATGAAATCTGGATTCAGATTGTTTGCTTTTCTCACTTTGTAATGAATCATAACACTGGAAATCGAATCTTCACTTGGTTCGGGATAGTCAACAGATATAGTACCTAGAAATATTATTTATAATGGAAATGCTTTGGAAGCCATAAATGAAACAATGGAAAATAATTGAATTAAGGGCAGTTTTACTAAATTTTAGTGAATAAATTACATTATTTTCTGAAACTTTACAAAATACATTATAAATGGAAGAGACACTTACTTAAGTTGAACAAAGTATTGATAGTAGTCTTATTCAAAGCTTCAATAATGAGTGAATCCAAATCTTCTGCTACTGTTGTATAAGCTGTTGTGTTATGTTGATTAACCCACATAGACACAATATCTTCATAATTTACATCAGTGAGGTTGACTTTACCTAAATTACAAAAAAAAAAAAACGAGATTAGTAAATTAATATATACAGGTAGTTAGTATTATATTAAAAGTATGCTTGAAAAAAAAAATGACACCACGTAGACTCATTATGAGCAATCACAATTTGATACACTCACCTGGAACTCCAAGTCCAATGACATCATTAGCTGGCCATACAAGTATAGTATCATATGATACTCTACTGCCCATTGCATCTAGAGCGTTTTTATTAATTTCCAATTGGGTATCTGCCAGATCTTTTTGTAATAATTCAGGTGTAAGATATGATGTTTCATCTTCAGTAGGTTCCATGTAATATAAGATTTCAGTTAACCATCCATTACCAAAAAATTCATCTTCACCGCGATCTAACATCTGAAAAGGTAGAAATCAATACAAATTAACAAAACAAACAAAAAATTCATGTTTTACATAAAATTAAGTCCAATCGAGTATCACCTCAAATTGAATGAATAAATACACCAGATTGGACATTGCTTCAAATGAAAGTGATTTTCCATATTATTTTAAATGGACTGAGGAAATATAGCTATATTTATAATGTCATTGCATGAAGATTCTTTTTGTGTTTTAATAGAAGGATACCAGAGAGAAGAATGTTTGTTTTAAAAGCTATGGTCAATGCTACTCGAAAATTTTTTTGATTTATTCAAACAATATATAATTTAACTTACATCTTCTATAGACGTTTGCATGCTATACCCAGCTTCTGTTGCTAGTTCAGTTATGATTGTTGCAAATTTGTTTTTCAAATATGATTGGTCCTCAGGATTTGTACTATTTAGCAATAAAATATCTTCCAAAGGTACATCTTGTATTGTTAAGCTTCCAACGAAGGTCCTTTTAACTAAAAAATATAATTTATTTCTGTTTTACTCGAGGCTGAATAAAAGCATCGGCCAAAAATATATTCTAACTTTAGTTCCAGTTTTTAGTTTTTAAATAATGAAACCAGTATGCTTTATTGTACGGTATTCGAAAATTACTTGAGTTCGCAAAATTAAAAGTGCTTTCAAGTTTGTTAAGCAGTATTTATTCATGCATAAATAAATGAACAAACCATCAGTTGTAAACGAATCCTGGTCAATGTCAAGAAAATCTGAAATGTTTTTCTCGTGATCATCAGTCGGATTGTAGAAAATCTCAGCTATTTCAGAAGTTATGTTGTCAGGCGATTGAACAGAAATATGGGCCATGATGCTGTTATAAACATAAAAGTGTGTTATCGTACTAGTATGACGGTATGCTATTTAATTTTGTGCACATGCTGGAAGCAAGTCTTGAGATCATTTAACTAATTAGGATCATTTGCTCATAAATCAAAGCGTAATCAGTGAGAATTGGAATTTCGACAAAACAACCCAAATTAGTACACCAATATTTACAGTAGTTATAATTTAATTTGATGCTAATTGAGATCCTAATCCATTTATTATACCCTGACTTACCGTGACATGGGCATTGCATCTGGTTCGAAATAGTCCAATTGCACAACAGCTGTTTCGTTCATATGTCCATATATTTCATCCAAAAATTGTGACAAGATCTGATAAATGTCTTTATATTCATCAGACGAAGGAATCCTTGCGATCGCATAAACATCAGGCGGTGGGACGTGAAGATTGAAGGTCATGTAGTAATGTTCTTAAAAAGACATAATGCATTGTTATGTATAATAAGGTAATCTGCAATTTTGAAGTAACAGTGCCAGCGATATCATTCTATAAGAATAGTTTCCTATCTTAAGACTATTCTACTTACCCATTGGGACTGGTGTGGGTTTTGCATCACAATATCGATCCTGCTTTGTTCTTGATGAAATAAAACCAGATCCTAAAAATACAAGTGCACAATATGAGAAAACGTGACAGCGATCTTGTGTGGATTCAAAATTGGTGATAAAATGTATTTTGCAATCTGAACATCCACAAAGAATAGGTAATTCTAGTAAAATGATTCTCACCTTCAATGACAAGACTGTTTTTGTCAAAGTTGAATAAATATGCCTGGAATCCATACCCAACTAATGTAACAAGTCTCATCGGCACCACTTGCTCATTAGGAGAGGTGGTGACACTGAAATGTGGCACCAGACTTGTATTGGAGGCCTGGCCCTCAACACCGTCATATTTCCACTTCACTCTTCTATTGACTTGCTCAGGGAAAGAAGATGTTCGGAAGGTCTTTCTCAACTAAAAATATATACTTCAGGTTTCAGTACAAGTGATTCAGAATATTTTGAGGGTTCACCTGGTTGAACCATCTGTATTGTCAAACATGGAGTTTAATCAATTTGTGTACTCTGACATATTGTATTTAATCTTGTTTCTTTATACCTTTCTTTGAAAGTTCAGAAAGTCTATGTAAGAAAGTTAAAACAATTTCAATATAAAAGATAATTATTTGAACAAACTCACACCTTGAGTATATATAACTCACTGACACTCTCACACTCATTCCTTCAACTTTAATATACCAAACAAAATGAATTCACTCACCGCTACTCTGACAGTAGTTTTGAAAGCATCCTGTGATTCAGTCAGAGATGTTATGACGTATCCTTCAGTAAGATCAGTAATATTTGCATATCCACTAAACTGTCGTCGACCTGTGATAATTGTGGAGTGTCATTGACAGTTAGAAAAATGGCTTGTTAGAAAATGAACTAAACTTGCAAGATACAAGAATAACAAACCGTCGACTCTAAATGATTCTTCCACGACACTGAAATATTCAATCTGTGTGTTGTTTTCAATAGCTTGATTGATAACTTTCTCAATGTAACAAGGTTCATCTTCATCACTCTCTGTACATGGAATTTTGAAAATTTAATAAATTAGCCAAATTAGTTATTACCCAATAAAACTAACTACTTAAGAAAAAATTCAGGAAAGATTTTTAATCTTGTAATAAGATCGTTTACAATGTTCTACAATACCACGGTCATCTTCCATTGTTTATCTTTGGGGCCTACGATTGTAATATGATTTTCATGACTGAAAAAATACCTCTCATAGTCATAATAAAGTGAGCAGCCATATCTGGATCCTTGTCTTCATAATATTGGATTTCAAAATCATAAATTCCTGGTCCTGCCATATTTTCTTTTTTCAATCTATATTGCTCGTTGATCTGGAAAAAGTAATCAAAAAATAAAAGAAACATCAAAAATTGTAATCATTGACGTGTCCCAAACATCTTGTTCGGACAATATCAGTTTCAAGAAGAATATCAGAATCTATTTCCAATATCAAAAAAATATTGAAATTGCTACTGACTAAGCAGATAACTTACGAAATCTTTCAATTTAGATTCTATATCTTGTGATAAAAAGCTGGATACGTCAGATTTGTTTTTGTTGATTTCTTGATAAGATTCATCAGGTAATTGTATATTGATAACTCCAACAAATATCCTTCCTTCATAAATTGGACGCTCAGGAGGATATTCTAAAGTATCAAAAAAAGGTATTATTCTCTTGAAACACTGAAATATTGATACTGTAAAGAATATATATAGCAATTACAAACAATGGAAAAAGGGGGCACAGTAAACAAATATTGGCAAGACTTTAAATGATTCGCATTGATTACTGAAACTAAAGTAAATGGTCTAGAAAATTTTAAGAGCATCAATACTGGTAATCTGATATTGAATTTGATTACTGGTAATATTTTTTTAGTATTGCTACATTCTATTAGAAAAGATTAACTTATCTCACCAAGTATAACGCATTCTTCAAAGTCTGGAGATAAACTCGACAAATCATATAATGGAATCATTGTTTCGTTAGCCAGTAAGTTTCTATATTCTTCTGTGTGATTATCAACGGATGTGAAATTTGGCCCCGGTTCCTTGATCACAAATTTAAAAACCACAACAAGGTCCTGCAAGATATGTGTTAGAAAATTGTAAATTATCAGGCATTTTGGGACTTTGTAATGCATAGTTTTGCAGTCAATTTTATTAAAAACTTCTAGCAAATATATTAGAAGATTATTACTATCAAATAATGTTCTAGCTTTATACACAAATACTAAAACATATGTCATGCCAGTGTCATACGAGCATCAAACTCGAATACCACATTTGTAGGTATTAACAAGAAAATGTCATTCATACCTCAGGTTTTTCAAACCATTGATCATATACGTCAACATCCGATATCTTTCTCTTGTCAACAAAATCACCAAATTCCTCCATTAGCTCAGGAATCTGAGTCGGTTGAAAAACAAATAACGATTTTTATTAAAAAAAAATTAATGAATGAGGCAAACTATGATGGATCTGATTGATATTGCTTGACATTCTTAAGAATTCAAAAATAGTTTTTGACTACTAATAGATTTTGAATTCAAGTTGAAATATATTCTATAAAATGCTTTTATTGTATTCATATATTAAAATTTATTTCTTCCAGCCTTTAATATATTTTACTGCCTGGCCAAAATATAAAAAGTACAATTTTGGATTTTGACACAGATAATAGTCTTACATAGGTTTCACATTCTTTCTTGAATTCATCTGCTTTTGTTTGATCATATTCACCAGCTGATGGTAAGTTCAATACAAATTTTCCATACAATGTTCTGGTGATATCTTTCTTGATCCTCCTGAATAAGATTAAGATAAATAATAAAACTCCAACAAAGTTAATAGGATATATTTTAAAAATAATATACTCGAAAAAATACTCACCATTTTGTGTGAGGTGGTGGAGGAGGAGGAAGAGGTGGTGGGGGAGGTGGCCTGCGCCTCGATGGTTTTGCTGTTGTCTCAACTTGAGGTGTAGTAATTTCATCTGAATAAGTACATTTTTTAGAAAAATATGGGTTATTGTTTGAAATATATTTATTTTCAAATGTTTTATTACAAAAAAATCATACCTAGAACTAGGGATGGGCAATATAGAATACCGAATCTGGAGGATTCGAATCCCAAAGTATTCGAATCCAACAGGATCCGATAACAGGATTCGGTTTCCGCCTCTCCGGCGCCATGCGTCGATTTTTGCATTTCAGTTTTCAAATATAAAGACAAGCGTTTTTCTCGCGTGGAAATCTCTCTCGTTTAAATAGACTTGCGTCTGCTCGGAAAGAACCCGTAAAGTCGGTAAACTTCAAACACTGTGATCTTAATCGGCGCATTCTGGATAGGAAGTCGGCGAAGTACATCTCATGGCGAAGACTCGTTATTCTACCAATTTTGCGTTTTCGCCGTACATCAATTTTTATATTTCGGGTTTCCAATTTATCAGTTGAAGACGAGCGTTCTTTCTCGCGTGGAAATTTCTCTCGTTTAATTAAACTTGCCTAATCGCAAAGAACCCGTAAAATCGATAAATTTCAAACACTGTAATCTCAATCGGCGTATTCTGGACAAGAAGTCGTGAAGTACACCTTACGACGAAGACTCGGTATTGCACCATTTTTTGCGTTTTCCTGCTTTGCTATCTAGAAAGGGTTTAATAATAATAATTATTTGTGCCGACTTACTGGCGATATTCCGATAATCTGATTGCAACAATCTTCAATTGTTTACAGGCGTGCCTCGCTTCATTTTACATTACTGTAAATGATTTTCCGCGACCGGCGAGTTTTCCCCAGAAAATGATGCATGTAAACCAAATGCCAGGCGTGAAATGTTATGACATTACTTGCGATTAATTTAAATCAAATATTATTTAGGAATAACTTTATTACTTTTATTACACCAGTTTCCGAAATATTAGTTCCGAAAAGTTATATCGCAAAACACGACGATCTGTCGCATTTAAATTTCACTATCAAAAGATTACATATTTTCCGGTCCGTTTCTATCGTTCAAGATAGACGCACGTTTGATCGAGTGTGGAGTAATTTTATTCGTCGATAAATTTAAAAAAAGATGCCACATCTGGCGAAAATAGTTACGTATTGAGTTTGAGTAGGGCCAAGTCTGGGTAGATAATGATATGTAACAATAATATTACTAACAGAATTCGTCTTTAGATAATAATAACTAATAACTAACTACGAAATCGCGTTCAAGGGAGCCTTGTTTTGCACGTCTTGATCGCACAAAATAAAAAGTTGATTTTAATTGATAGTGGTAAATTTAATATTTTACAACGGTCGCATAGGTTGCAGTGGCCACACGCTGGTCCTGTATCTACCGTAATTAATTATCAGCGGGTGTGTTTTAGCACACTCGGCACTCTAACATTAATAATGATTTAATGCCGTTTCATATCTATTTTTGTATTTAACCGCTTACTATTAAAGTGTTTGAAGCGTGTCTTAATTTAGCATATCAGTATTTAGAGATTACATACATTTGGAACGATTGAAAGCAAAAATATTGTAATATTCTTAGATTTCATTGTCCTGGGAAATGCCTGTTTAGTATCAAATCAAATCCAATGTTGAGGACATTTCCAAATAAATAATACATTTATAGTAATACATTTATAATTTTTTGACATCTAAATCCAGAAATCAGGAAAATTCCCACTATTTGAATAAGTATGAAAATAGAATAGGATTCGGTATTCTGGATTCGATTTAACTATTCTAGAATATTCTAGAATAGTAAATTATTCTACATTGCCCATCCCTACCTAGAACGGGATTTACATTTTTATCTCAAGGGGGAGAGCAAAACCGCTAAGAAGTCCTAATCCTATGGCGAACCATGGCCTCTCTTCCAGTTACAAACTTGATGGTGGAGAGCGTTTACGTGAACCACACTACGGGGGCGAGGAGTCCAGTAATCCTCTCGCTTAAAATTATCCCCCACAGGATTTAAACCTGCGAACCCATGTGAGGAAATCAGAGGTGCGGTGGCAAGCATATTTCTAATGCTTACCTGTTGTAATATCCGCTGTTGTTGTAATACTTGGAGTTGTGAAATCTTGTTCCTCCGTTGTTTCTTCTTCGGTACTAGAGCTAGTAGTTGGTTCAGGTGTGGTAATAGTGGTAGCTGAAGCTATTACGTGAAAATTACATTGTTTTGTTAAATTTTTTTGACCTTTATACCATGCATTGAAGCGATGATGTAAGCGACTATGATTGCATGATGAAACATATTTCAGTTTCGAATCGATTGTTACATGAATATTTCTATTTGAGTATTAGAATTGTGATGAATGAATGATCAAACAAATCCAATTTTTCATAAATGCAAGAAGCGAATGAACAAGAAAGCTGTTTTTTAATTCAATCAAATTAATCGTAGTTCGTCAAAACTAGTAGTAGGTATTGAATCACATTGTTTTAAATCATATTTACCTGTGGAAAATTTAGTAGTGACAGTCCACAAACTTGGGGGAGGAGGAGTAGGGGGAAGAGGTGGTGGGGGAGGCGGTATTGTAATATTTTTGCGGCGAGGATGAGTTGTTTTTACTAAATCATAGCTGGTAGTATTTGGTTGATCAGAAATGGTAGCAGAAGCATAAGCTGTACTGGTATCATGCACCATGCCTTTGGTAGTGGAGACACCTGAAGCAGCCTCACTTGTGCCTTCAAAAACAGTAGTCCATTCAGTTGTCTCTTCTATTGTTGTGGATGATGCAGTTGTTACAGTTATCGATTTGGTCGATGTAAAAGCATTAGATGTGGTATCTATAACTTCGGAGGTAGACGTGTCACTTTCAGTTGGAAAAGTAAAGTATTCAGTCGTTTCAGGTGGTAATTCAGATGTTGTCACAACCCCAGGCATAGATTGAGTTGAATAACTTGTAGCTGACGTTGTTGCGACAGTTAAAGTCGTAGGTTCCCAAGTTGTAGTTTCTTCAACAGGTGGTAATGTAAAGTAGTTGGTTGGTTGTAGTGTTTCAGTTGTAACATAATCTGTGGTGTCAGTGGTACTTTCAGTTGTCTCAGTGATGTTATTAGTTGTTGTAGTAAAAATAGCACTTGTTTCAGTGTAGATACTAGTATTTGTAGTATCAGGTATCATGCTGATGGTTGTTAGAGTTAAATCAGTTGTAGTCATAAGGTCGACGATTTCACCTGTTGTGGTGTTGAATACAGCTTCTTGACTTCTAAGGCTGCTAGCCACAGTCACAATTTCAATATTATAACTGTGTTCCGGCAATATACTTTTAGTGAAGTAGATGATGTTGTTTTCATTCCTGTATAGAATAGAAGTTGAGAATAAAATGAGAAGAATTAAAAATGATAAAAAGATCACCTTAAAAAAAAGAATATATGATGAGAAAAACAAAGTGATGAATCGATTGAAATATAAAAAGAGTCCAATAGGGCAGTTTTCAGAAATTGTAAGCTATAGAAAAAAAATTAATTACAAAAAATTAGATAAAGTATGAATTGAAAACAAATTATACAAAACGCAAAAACACATAGAAACAAATGAAAATGACAAACCACAATGAAGATATAAGTGTATTTACCCAGCTAATACAACTGTAGAATCAATTTCATTATCATCTTTATCAAACAAAGACAGTACATAATTATCCTTATATCCTTCTGCAGGCTCAAAATTCAGGTAAATATAACTACTTGTTGGTTCAATTGTTGCAAACGGAACAGCATTTGGTACTAAAAATTTTGAAGATAGAATGTTATTTTTAAATATTTTTTATTTTTGATTCGGCAAAATTAAAAATGAATTTACTTGTTCGTTGTGATATGGCTGTGGCTTCTCCTGGTATTGAGTTAGAGCCAATAGGAGTTATGGTAATATCATACATATATCCAGCAGGCAAGTCATAGAATGTATGAACCAAGTCGGTACTGCAAGAAAGACAAAACATTGTTGGGTAAATTATCACAATAACTAAAAATCTTCCATAATATTTTAAATACCATCATATATATCATTCTATATTAAACCAGTATTATGTTATCAAGGATTTTACAACTGGTTACCTTTTAAGTATATGAAGTTTAGGCTGCTACAAATGAATGACTCCGAATTCAGCATATGTACAAAAATTGAATACTGATGAAAAACAATAAAACAGCACAAAAATATGACATTCGACATATTGTGGGAAGACATAAGTTAATACCAAAATAAGTAACATTTGCTATAGCGATAATAACATTCTCACCTGTCACTAGTATCTGCAACAACTTGTGTTTGATTTATTTGCATCACTTCACCAATCAGGACCAATTTTTCCTCCCCAATGAATAATGGAATTGAAGTTAAATACTTCGTAACAGAAGGATCTCTCTTCCAGGATATTGTGATGTAATTTGTAGTAAAATCAATCACTGTCAAGTCTTCAGGAATAGTTGGTGGGTCTAAATTTAGAATACAAAAAAATGAAGCAGTAATTAACCAATGTCACCATTTTATAATTTGAGTCAAATATATGATTGCAGCTAAGACATTGTGATGTTCATCACAAATAAAAGTTGTGCCTATATGACAAAAATATATACCTGTACAAAAAACTATATTACCTGTTGTAACATTTCTAGAACTTTGACTTTCCCTAGAATCTCTGTATGTTGATACGATAACACGATAATCAAATCCGGATAGCAGTCCATCAAATACTACGGGTTGATAATCTCCATCTAGCGCAATTTGATCCACCTGTGATTAAGCGAAAAGCAATTGTTACATGTGACATGGTGTTCAAATTTTTCTGTGGAATAGGGCTTAGTGCAAGCACCAACTTACAATATAGTGCTAATGGTTTTTAACTAGTGGATACAGGAAAAACAATGGACCGACCAATCATAATGTTTCGAAACAAACAATATTAGTAATGATGCAGACAAAATAAGCTAAAGCAATGGCTGATACTACTGGTCTTATGGGACTGTAAGATCAGAATTGTATGTATATAGAGTAAAATTTTAAAAATTAATATACCGAAACTATTATTGATTAAACTCCACTCCGGGATGGAACAGACACTGCTCAAAACAATTATAAGTATTTCTATAATCTAGTAAACATTGAGAATAGAAAACTCTTCAGAAACTTACGCTAACAAAGATTTCATTTTCTTGAGTAAACAGCATAATACTAATACCATCAATACTTGGATCAGTAATAATTGAATCAATTGTTACAATGATTTCTGAACTAGTCGTTTCCACTGACCAGTCAGGATCAATAATACGGACTGAGAATAAAGAAGAGGAATACTTATAAAACTTTATGTAGTTCATTGTAACAAAACGAAAAAGACGAAAGTACAGAAAAAGAGACTTCAAATAATGAACCAGCTACTGGCCGCATGTGGCCCACAAGAGCTTTTTACGCAGCCTGGGAGATGATTTGAAAAAATCCTTAATTCTAGATAAATTTATCTAAATGTCAAAATTACTAATTCAAATAACATCAAGTTTCCCACTTTTGTTCAATTTATCTCAGTTCTCTTGCACCTGTCATATATTTTGGGGATATATGATGCAAATGCAAATATGCAAAGCAAATTTTCCACTCTTGAGTTACACTGTTTATACAGTATATTTCAGAAAATATAACATGCATTTTATACTGTAATAATAATAAATTCCACCCTGTGGAATTAGTTTGTTGCAGATATAAATGTTGTCTCAAATACTTATGCAATGAACTACATCCATCATCAAAATCCTTCATTTTATTCTTATAGTTACCATTGCATGTTAGTTGTGTATTTGATCTTACCTGTTGTAGCATTAAATTCAGTTGCATTGCTTCTCAATGTCCCAGCTACAGTTTCAATAAAAACAGAATAGCTGTGGTCTGGTATGATTTCATTATTAAACGTGATAAGAGAGTTTTCATCCCTGGTAAAATGTGAGAAATCGGGTAAAGTTATAATAAAGCACACTAAAGATAAATGAAGGAAAAATAGAAAGATGTCAACATACCCTTCAGTTACATTGGCATTGTCAACGACATTTTTGTCTTCATCCAATAAAGTAATCAAATAATAATCTTTATATCCTTCTGCCGGTGTGAACGTCATTAATATGTCTTGACTACCGGTTTCAATTGATGCATCAGTAACGCTGTTCGGTACTAAAATTTGATGTAAATGTAAGTATGTTTAACGCTTATTTGTGAATATATGTCATATACATATGTTTTAACTGTAGTAATATACGGTTGATATAGAAGCTATAGAATATCAATTTAACAGACTATAATATACAGGTATAGCACACTTAACTTATAAAATGTTACGATAAAAAGATGTTTACTTGTTCTTTGTGAAATATCAGCTTTTTGTCCGGGAATCTGATCATCTCCAACAGGAATAATAATAATATCATACTGATATCCAGCAGGCAAGTCATAGAAAGTATGAACCATTGGGTCGCTTAAACAGAAAAAATAAAGGTTTTGAATCACAAAGCAACTAAACAAAATATAAATGTCATCAACGATGGAACTTGATATGGATTAATATGACCAAAATGGCATGGTTAGTAATCTAAACTGAGTTTAAAAACATTGGAACATTACATAATCTAATACAATGCCAAATTATTATATTCAGTGGTTCCTTCATAAAATCAGATCAAACTAACCTATTACTGGTATTTGCAACTATTTGAGGTCCTTCAATTTGCATTACTTCCCCCAAAATTGTAAGCTGTTCTTCTCCAATATATAATGGAATAGAAGTTAAATATTTTGTTACAGAAGGATCTCTCATCCACAATATTGTAATGTAATTTGTAGAATAGTCAGTAACTGTCAAATTTTCCGGCTTTTTTGGTGGATCTAAAAAACAAAAGAAATAAAGTTAGAATTATTGAATCTAGAATGTTACAGGATTATAAATAATAGGAAAAATAAACATCTTAACTTTAATTGTAAACAAAGTTTTACAAAACAGCAGAACAATGTAAAATTTGAGATTACCTGTTGTAACATTCCTAGAGCTTTCAGTTTTTCCAAAACCTCGGTCGATTGTTACAACAACTTGATAATTAAATCCAGATAACAGTCCATCAAATATAACTGGTTGATAATCTCCATCAGGTGTTATTTGTTCTCCCTAAAATTATATAAATCACATTACATTAAAGCTTAACCACAGAAGAATGGCAATTTTATGTTTAAAATAGGTCTACAGGCATACAGCAATGAGTTGAACAAGATGGGAATATTCCCTATCAGGTCTATTAACCTTATTTCTCACCTATTTTTGAGAAAAATAGTAATACTAATTAGAATTCACAGCTGCAAGACTAGGATTATGCGTATATGAGGATATATATTCAAAAAATAACATGTATTGAACTTAAATTATTTCCATATTTCATTCCATTGCAATAACACCCAAAATGAAAAGACTAGAATATCAAGAATTTCAAGAATATCTCTATCTCAAATATACCTATTTCGGCGCTCTTGAAGTATGTGTACCAATATGGAGGTAACTAATTTTGTTCGCCTACTTTACATCAAGTTGTGTAAAGGGACTGATTAATATGGGCAGAGGGTATCTTCACTTGCCTAACACAGACACTCCCTGAACTTGTAATAGAAATATAATAAGGAAAATTGGAATTAAAATATGTCCTAGCTCTAACATGGTACACACACTACGGAAGTACCAATATTTCTACAATCTGGTAAGATTTGAATATATATAGATTTTTGTCAAACTTACGTCCACAAGATATGCGTTTTCTTGAGTAACGAGTACAATACGAATGTCATCAATACTTAGATCGGTAATATTTGGATTGATTGTAACAATGACTTCCGAACTTGTTGTTTCCACAGACCAGTAAGGATCGTCAATAGGGGCTGAAAATTAATTTATAATAAATAAAATAATTTGTTGCAAATAAATCTCAATATAAAAATACTCAGAACAAACCAGTTCGAACAGTTTCATTAGCTGGTAATATGGGTTGTTCGTAATTATCTGGGAGAACTTCAACAAAATATTCAGTATCTGGTGTTAAATCATAAAATGTTCTTGTCAACGGTTCATCGCTTGGCACAAGAGGGCTTACCTAAATAAAATAAAACAGATAATAAAACAAAATGATATTTCGTTAAATCATAATAACTATCTGTAATACAAGACAAGAACCAATTGAACACATAAATAGTTTCATTAGACAATACTGTAAGAACTTTCTAGTTCTGCAGTGATATTTTTGTTTAAATGATAACAGAAACTGATTATTATACTATGAGACTACATTGTTTCCCAAGTTTGACTATCGTCAACAAAAAAATAAATACAAATTTAAGCAACCTAGATGACTCCTGATTCAATCGAATTATTTACAATTTCCCTAAAAAAAGTGAATTATGTTTTGATACATTTCCATTCAGTTTGATTCTAATGAATTCATAAAATTGACTGGTGTTTTACTGAAATTTAATGCAGGTGCAATGATAGTGAATGAAAGATTTCATACATGCTTTCATTTAATTTCCCAATATCATAGTTACCAATTATACTTTAATCGTGAAGAAACCAATATATGTCTAATATAAGATATACATACATATCGGATTCCATCTGGAAACGTGATAGCAGCAGTTATAGTATCAAAACCAGTAGCTGGTCGTTTGATATTCACTTCGATGGATGTTACTCTCGCTATTGCTTGGAACTCAATAGTTTCCAGTATGATTTCATCTGTAAGAAACGAAATTTGTATTAATAGGGTGGAAATATGAAACTATTGTATATAAAAATGTTTCAATACCATCAGTTGTTACAGAAGATCGATTTTTAGGTCCATAAAATACAAATTCTTTGCAATAAGCAACAACAGTGTAGTTAGTTGACGGTGTTAATCCATAAAATATTTCATTTGTTGACCTCATCATATCATAAGATATGATTGTTATCTGTGAATACATAACAAGTTATAAAAAAGTAATTACAAAATATCAATACCATTAAAGAGAAATCTACTTACGTTTTTGACAAGGTTATCCTCAGCATCCAATAAATCAAGAATAATATAGTCGACTGGTATAGTTGGTATTCTGTATATAACTTCCACAGAGTACATACTTGTTATTGTAACAAATTCAATTAATGGAAGTGGAACTGAAATTATAATATACGGTATTAGTAAAATGAAAACTTGACAAAGTGGTTCATTTCAATAGCTTGGTAATAATATCAAGTCCAAGAGGCTGCATCTACAAAGCATTATTGAAAGTTTTGAAACAGTTTGTTGAAGCAATTAAAAGTGAACATACCAGTGGACGCTTGTTTGATAATCATATCTCTCCCCAAAACATCATTCAATACTGGTTGGACACTAATGTTGAAATTGGTATTCGGTGTTAAGCCAGAAAATACAGTTGTGAGAGGATCATCAATAGAAGGAACAATCTTTAACTAAGGAATGTAAAAAAAAGTTATGAAACAATACATCTTCAATGATTCAAGAACAATGATACAAGATATAAGAAATAAAGCAGTATGAAAAAGCATACCTCAAATGTAATACCATCTTTCATAATTTCGACAAAAAATTCATCCACAGTAATATTTGGACGTTCTATGATAACCTCTATAGATGTATATCCTACACTTGTATTGAACTCTACTACAGGCAGCTCTGAACTCAATTCAGTTTCTGAAAACAATCAATTGAATCACATATTCAAATGAAATTCTCAATATCAGGTAAGATAATGTGTCAATTATAGCATTGGTATATTGAAGAATCATTTAGTAAATTAGGATTTTAGAAATATATTGTTATAAATTGTTACAACAAATAGTACAAAAAGTTTATACAAACCAGTTCTAATAATTTCATTTCCTCGTAATATAGGAACATCCCTATATATAGGAATTACATCTATAACATATTCAGTATCTGGCGTTAAATCAACAAAGGTTGCAGTTAATAGATCATCTGTTGGTAAAATTTCATATTCCTGCAATAATGTATAGAAAATAAATTTTATATTTAAAATACTATATTATTAATATCAATGTAGTTGCCTGACAGTTTGGTGCATCACGCAAAGCATTAGGAATACGCTTGTCAAAGCACCTCTGATTAACCTGCGTAGGTTCACAGGTATGAATCCCGTGGGGAATAACTATGAGCGTGAGCATTGCTGGGCTCCTGTAACATTGGTAATATAATCGCAGGATGGTTACGGCTTTCATCACCCCCAAGTACATGCATACCTGACTAACTAATCCCATACGCAACATGGACTGGTAACCGAACAAGAGGCCATGGTTTGCCATAGGATTAAGCCATCTTATCATGTTACCTCTCCCCAGGATAAATATGTAATCCCTATCCTATTCATTTTCTTGATACTGATCAGGCTAATTTTCCAATCCAACATCTATTAGGTATACAGTAATGATAATGACTCAAATCGATGTAAACATACCCGAGTTTCATTGTTTGGATAAGTTATACGAACAGTTAGCAACAAGAATTCAGCTATTGGACGTTCAACATTCACTTCAATTGCTGTTTCATTTGCTGTTGCATTGAATTGAATCAATTCTGGTTGGTATTCGTCATTTCGAAAAAAATATAATAACAGTTAGATTGAGCAATCTCTCACTTTTTTCAGCATAAAATATTATAAAATATAAATTACCATCAGTAGTATCAGTAGTAACCAATTGTCGATTTTCAGGTCCAATGAAAGACCCTAATGTAGAGTATACAACAATGAAATAGTCCGTTGACGGAGTTAAACCAGAGAACGTTGGAGAAATTACTTCATATTGGAGCTGTTAAAAATAAGAAAACAATTTATTCACCAGACCGTTAAACAACTAAACTATATACATTTTACTGGATCAATTAAAAGATTCTAGTACTAATATAAGAACTAGATGACGCTTATATTATATTAGCGCTAATGATCTATATCGAAAAATATTTAAACATGTTAAGATTCATGATAAATAAATTCTTACGCTTTGAATCAATACAGCTTCGTCATCTTGAAGTTCAATTGTAATATTATCAAAATCAATTTCTGGTCTTTCGACTTCGACCAAGATACTATATGCAGTTGTTTGGCTGGTAAAGTTGATGAATGGTAGTGTTTCTGAAATATTAGGATGACATTACATAAAAGAAAAACATTGTACAAAAAAGAAAAAAACATAAAAAGATTTTCATATCAATGTTAACACGAAATCGCATTCTTCAAATAATGCTGTTTTGCATTTGTTGGTATTGAAGCTCTCTTAAAAAGCTTATGAAACATACCAGTAGATACATTCTTAACACTCATATCTCCTCCAATTTCATCTAAAACTGGTTGAACATAAACTCTGTAATCTGTACCAGGATCTAAATCTTCAAATACTGTAGTAAGTGGGTCGTTTGTCGAAGGAATAGTTTGGATCTGCCAATACAGAAAAATGGTAAATAACTGATGATTCATGTATAAATTTGAAATGATTCAAAATTCAATTAAAAGTGGAAAAACACTGATTGATGAGTTACGAGTGACTAAAGATACGCTAATAATGATATATAAGTTTTATCTTTATGATGTATGCAAAAATCAGTTGGTACAAATTATAAAATGATTGAAACTGGCACAGCAGGTGAGAAAGTTACATTGTATGCCATGAAGCAAAAATTGTTTGGTAAAAGTCTGCTGAAGTATTTATGAAAGAAACAACATTTTGTCTGTGGTATGTAATGAATATAATGATTGCAATGATATAATGAATAAATCTTCATATGCAAACCTCGAGTCGTCCTTCATCTGTTGCAAGTTCTACAATAAATCCATCCACATAAACAATAGGCCTTCCAACAACAACCTCTATAGTTGTAAATGAGGCAATTGTATTGAATTCTACTATAGGAAGATCTGGGGTCGATTCAGGTTCTGAAAATAATCAATCGTGTTGAAGGATTTTATTTGATGATTCAATTTGTAGCAATTTTTACCTACATACAATTGAAGTGATTTTACCTGTTGTGGCCTCAAAATCAGTTTCTGCACTTCTCAAAGCTCCAGCTACGGTTACAATGACAACAAAATAATTGTGTTCTGATATTATATCATTACTGAAAATGGTGCCAACATCTTCTTCCCTGTTTTCAAAGTAATGAATAGATTAAATAACGAACATACATTGGGTGCTAATTAGTGAAAGCATGTGTAAGAAAAATGCAATCAAAGGATAAAATTTGATTCCTTCATAAAAGACCAAAAAAAATATACAGAATTAAATAAAACAACATACCCTGCCGATCTATTTGCACTATCAACTTCCACTCCATCTTCATCCCACAAAGTAAGCAAGTAATAATCTTTATATCCGTTTGCTGGTGTGAATGTCAGTGAAATATTGCTACTAGTTGTTACGAGTACTGCAGTAGTAACACTTTCAGGTGCTGAGAATTAGAAATATATAAGTTTTAAAAACTTGTCCATTAAAACCTGTGTCTATTACTAAACGTTTTGCATTAATATAAATGGAACATGCAAGTATATTTACTTGTTCTTTGTGAAATCTCAGCTTGTTCTCCAGACAACAAATCATCACCAACAGGAGTAATAATAACATCGTACATGTATCCAGAAGGCAAGTCAGAGAATGTGTATACCATTTGGTCGCTTAAATATAAAATAAAAGTTACTCTTACGTAAGCTACAAAATTTCCATACAGAGCAACAAAAACTTACTTAAAACCCATAACTTACTGAGGGCTTCAGTGCTTAGATTTAGAGAAAAACATTTCTGACACTACCTAATTTCAGTTTTGATAATAAATAAAACAATATTTGATAAAAAAGAGAACTGACTATTTTTCCTTTTCATTTACTTTACTTAAGATATTTAGAGTTTTCAAACCTGTTGCTGGTATCTGCAACTACTTGAGTTCCATTGACTTGTGGTATTTCACCCAAAATGAGGAGTTTTTCTTCTCCATCAAAATATGGAATTGAAGTTATATACTTTGTAACAGAGTGATCTCTTGTCCATGATAAGGTGATGTGGTTTGTAGAGTAGTTAGTAACAATTAAATTTTCTGGTTTTGCAGGTGGGTCTGAAAAATAATTTTGTAAATCAGTTTACAAATTCGATCAACAGCAGCTGAATCGATTTGTCATATTAATTGCTAGCAATGAATTGACACCAAAAAACTTCATAATAACAAGGACTGGTGTCATGGGTAAGACAGATCACACTAGCTTGATATCTTGCATTTAAACAATAGTTTCTTTCCCCGATTCAAATCAAGCCCACTATTTCACTCAAGAAGTAAAATATTGTGTGAGGTATGCGCAATCAGTAAGAGTGTCGTCCTGGTAAAATTCAATGGATTCATATTTCCGAGTTCTGAGAGATATTCCGAGTACACAGACATGTTTAGATATAAGAAATAAAACACTTATTCAATTATCTGCTTTAGGGACTCTAATATTTATTTTGTCAACACAGCTTACTTGTTGTAACATTTTCACTTTCTTTTGTCACTTTTCCTCCTTTTATCCAAGATAAGGTAATGCCATAACTGAATCCAGACAACAATTCATCAAAAATAACAGGTTGACTAGTGTCATTCAGTGAAACTGGTTCCTCCTGAAAATGGATAGGATTTAGTCTGCTGAAAGTTCCCTAAAACAATCACGCTATATTGCCAATAACACAACAGAAAATATTAGGATTCTGTATCAACTTAATTTTTTTAATTGAGAGTGAGAGTGACATAATCACTGTCATTTTAACATTACTTACCTTTATATATAATCCACTTTCCTGGACAAACAATTCAAGTAAAATCCCATCTGGAGTTGGATCAGGAAGATCAACTATTGTAACAATCACTTCAGAACTTGTAGTATTAACAAACCAGTCACGATCTAAAAGTTTGAAAGAAATGTGGCAACAAATGCATGAATAATATTTGACAATAATACACAATAAAAAATATAAAATTCATAATTTTACCATCAGTGCTTAACAGTTGTTCATTAGGCGGCCCATAAAAGTCATCCAATGTAGAGTATACAACAATAACATAGTTTGTAGTAGGAGACAATCCAGAAAATGTTTGAGGTGGTAAGTCTTCATATGGCAAAGTCCGCTGTGAAAACATGATCAGAATTGATGAACTATGGTGTAAAAAGTACGACGCTAAAACTTGGTTTATAGGGAAAAAATAATAATTTACACTAAAATAACAGTAAATTTCCTCACATTTTGAATAAGATTCTGATTTTTGTCCAGCAACTCAACCATAACATAATCAACTGGCAGAATCGGTTTTTCAATTGTTATTTTAATAGCATTGGCAGTTGTGGTTGTCGCCTCAAAATCAACAAATGGAAGTGAATCTAAAAATTAAGAATTGTTGGTTAATGACAAACATGAAATCCTATTAACCGAGACAAAGTGTTGTGAACGAAGATGTTGAAGCTTTACACTGGACATGGCAAATTTTAGAATTTAAAGCAATGAAGCAGAACAAGAACTAATATCTAACTAGGTTGGATTGAATTTGTTTGAAGTCTGAAATTCATTAATAATCACAAATATGTATAAATATTTTGTACTGTAAACCTAAAATGACATACTTGTGGACACATTCTTAACTGTCTTATCTCCTGAGATTTCATTCAAAATCGGTTGCACCTCAATTCTATAGTTTACACCAGGAGTTAAACCATCAAATCCTACAGTGAGTGGATCATCAGCAAAATCAATGGTTTCAACCTGAAAGAAAATAAAACAATCAGAAAAAGAGACAGAAGTAAATTGTAATAAAATAAAAATCAAAACAAAATTCATTGTACAAACCTCTCGAAGCTCCTCATGTGATATGAGTTCTACAATGAATCCATCCACTGTAACATTAGGTCTCTCAATAATAACTTCTATAGTTGTGAATGTTTCAATAGTATCAAATTCTATGCTAGGCAGATCAGGTATTAAATCTGGATCTGAAAAAATGAGAAAAAGTGAAATGCCAACAAATTATTATATTGAAAATGTAACACAAAAAGCCACATTAAAAAAGCAGAAGCCACAATAACGGTGTTCCTTACAACAATAATGGATGCATGCGTATTAAAGTATACTCACCAGTTCGCACAGTTCTATTAGCTGGTAATATGGGAACGTCCTCATATTCCGCTTCTACTTCAATGAAATATTCTGTATTTGGTGTTAGATCGATAAACGTTGTTGCCAAAGGATCTTCGGATGGCAATATTTTATTTTCCTAAGAATAGAAATTTTCAAGATGTACACAAAAACACATTGATGTATCATAATAGTGATATATTTGCAAAGTTCGACAAAGAAGATAAAATTAACCAACCGTAGCATTGCCTTCAGGGGGTGTAAGTCGTACAGTTAATTCAACAAATTCAGTAAACGGTCTTTCAATAGTAATTACAATGGTGTTAAAAGTTGAAGCAGCATTAAACTGCAATTCATCAAGCGGCTCTGCTTCTAGAAAGAAAAAAATATATTTATTTCAAAGTCTATTTTTATTTTTGGTATGGTACAAACAAACTGATTTTCTGGATGCTTAAAACTGGAAAATTCATTATCCAATGAAAAGTCCTGCACAATTCTGTTTTGTTCTGCAGTCTATTTATGGTAACTCTTATTATGATTTCAATAACTGGTTAATTTGAGAATCAAAAACTGGTATAATTATATATAACAAAATTCTTATACCTTTAGTAATGACTGTTTTCTGATTTTCTGGTCCAAATAATACATCTTCTACCGAATAAACATTAACAATGTATGTTGTGGATGGAGTCAAACGACGGAAAACTGCAGATAGCTCATCCTCATAAGATATGGTAAGCTACAAACAACAACCAAGTTGTCAGAAGAAAGTGACATAACATTTAAAAATGATGATTCAAGAAAAAATTAATAAGGTCAAATATGCGAAACTGTTCTGGTAACTGGTCATCGATCAGATATTTTAAACCTTCTCTCATTGAGACTCCAAGCAAGCAACGAAGGTTTCATGAGTAAAATGTCGAGCAATGACAAATGTCTATCTGTACATTTAAAACTATTGTACGTGATTAAGTAAAAACAATTACGGTCCTACAATTTCATATATTTAAGAAAAAAAATTTACCCTTTCGATAAAGACTGAATTTTCAGTAAATAATTCAACATTCACAGAGTCAACAGGGGTCTTCGGTTTCACAATGTCAATTTCAATGGTATAAGATGTACTTGTGGAATTGAATTCAATAAACGGGAGTAGTTCTAAAAATATTTGTAAAGAAAAGGTCATAAACGCATCGCTGTAAAAATACACTAAAATTTCAGTTACACCTATTACATTTTAATTTATAATTTAATCCCAAAACTGTTTTGCATTTTATTTCAACATATGTTTAAACTCCAGTGCTTTACAAAATATCAGTTTTAATGTTTTTACCGTAAACAGTTTTCTTCATACACAAAGCAAATTAATTTAAAGATTTATCCTTGTTTTATCAAGTTATAAGGAATAATCCATAAACGGCACTGAGAATGAATAGATGCTGACTAACAGAATTTTTAGACATTGAACAAGATAAAAACAGTTAATATAAAATAGGGTCCAGAGTTGAGTGATTCTCGTTTCAATCAAATTGTTAATTAATACTAATACCATACTTTTAGTAGAAACAATCTTTTGATTTTCTGGTCCGAAGTATTCATCCAATGTGGCAAAAACAACAACATTATAGTTGGTAGTATGATTCAATCCATAGAAAATAACTTCTAGTGGATTGGCTGTAACATCTATCTGTTTCTGTTTTGTGAAAGATTAAAAATAAAAATATTGGAAATTCATCAATAGAGGGATCAGAGAGAAAAAAATCAAATTGAACATCTTTTCATATGAGAATATTTATAAAACAAATAAAAATAGCAAAGAATAATGCTATAGTATCAAGTTTTTTTTGCAAAAACAAAAAAAAATATGGAACAACAATCATTAAAACAAAAAAGTTAAAATGACTTTCACCATACTCTCAATATATTAAAACTTTTAAATTAAGAAGCCTTCAGAAAAACTTACTTAACAACTTACTTAACAAAACTTACTTAACGAAACAATTACTTAAATGTAGAATTTCACCACTGTAACACAAAATGAATTTTCTAGAAATTTCAATAAAAGAGGCGATTGTTACTACGAAGATAAATATTGAGAGGGCTTAAGAACAGATACACTTACAGTATCTAGGAGATCCAGTCCATCAGTTAACAATTCAACAGTGAATGATTCAACAGGAATATCAGGTTTCTCCACAACAATTTGGATTGTAGTAGGCGTTGAAGCCGAAGTGAAATTGACAATGGGTAGTGAATCTGTGATATTGTTTTTATAAAATTTCACAATTTATAAAATGTGCAAATGTGAAAAATATTTATCGAAATTTGAAAAGTGTTGGAAATTTTGCATGAAAGCTTAAAATTCCACTAACATAATTTCAAACGATCTTGCTGAATTAAATAATATGAAAGACACCTATACAAATATTTCGAAACACAATTCTGCATAGTATTTCTAGCGACATTATTTTGAATGAAGATCTGTTTAAGTAAAATAATGCTATAATTTGCAATGATGCAAATTCTCATGGTTTGGTGCTATGCTCATATCTGGCCAATGAGCTTGTCTTAGTTGTTGGAATTCCAAAAACATCAAACTGAAAAAAGCAATGCCAATACCTAACCACACTCAGTGATTGCAAAATATTGGTGCAAAATTTACTATTTCATAAAGAGAATTTAAAAATATATACCTTACATGGTAAAACACTTACCGGTTGAAATTACTCCAAATGTAGTATTTCCCTGAACCCCATTTAGTTGTGGGAAAACTGTCACTATGTATTCAGTGCCTGGTGTCAAGTCATCGAAATAAGTCTCTAATGGCTCTTCAGTGCCTGGTATAGAGTTTTCCTGACATAGGAAATGATCAATTAATGATATATAAAATAGAAAATATTCAAACTTTAGTTCAATAATGAACAATAAATCTAATATCGAAATATTTTGTTTTGATAGCATTGACAATAAAGTGAATTAGTATATTTTAAATGGAAAGTAATATATATCAGTTATGGCTTACAATAACGTTTCCTTCTGGATCAGTAAGTGAAACTATATATTCATCGACAACAATATCTGTTGGTTCCACAGTGATATTTATAGTTGTTGTAGTTGTTTCTGTGGTAAACTCTACCAATGGTAGTGGCTTTGATTCTGAAAACCCACAAAAAAAAAAGATTCTATATCTGAATAAAAAATCAACAAAATGTTTTAATAATTTTGTTAGTGATCAGGATTACATTTTTAGCTTTTTATTTTCGATTGCAGAATTAATCAGAACCTCAATTTTTGTCGATCAAAAGTCAAAATTACTACTTACTGACTAATACTGGTTAATCAAAAAATAACGGTTGTTTTATTGTTCCAAACCTTTTCCCTATCAAGCTATAGACAAGCATCCCTTGATGCATAAAATTCTATTACTTTCATGAAATGTTTTAACATGGTAGAGCTTCTCTATTTATTACTCTAACGATAATTTCATCTGCTAATAGATGAATAAAACGAAAAATTCCTAATTTTTCGGCCAACTAGTATCAAAACTTAAACTGGTAGTTGTAAACTTCAATTATACAAAAAACATTAATCATAGAAAACTACACACCATCAGTAGTAACTAGTCCTTCATTCAATTGTCCATAAACATCACCAATTAATGCCACTACTCGTATTAAATATGTAGTTTCCGGTATCAGGTTGTCGAATGTGGTGGCTAAGTCTTGTTCGTCGAACAGAATAAAACTCTATACATACAAAATATTTAAGTTATTGATTACAGAATTTATATAAAACTAACAAATTTTAGGTTAAAAGTTAGAATTTTTTATTATGAGGTTACAATCTTAATTTTAATCATGACGGGTATTTAAACCAGTGAGTTAATTGTTTAAGATTCAATACTTACAGTTCCTATTTCGTCATTGGCTAAAAACAAACTGACTTCAAAGGCATCCACTACAAATTCCGGTCTTTGCAAAATGATTGTGATAGTGTTATTAGTTGCGGATGACTCAAAGAAAATGAGTGGTACAGGTTCTAAAATGTAGTGTTAGAAATGTCAAAATTTACCAAAGTAATGTGTAATTAGTTCCATTCTACTGATAAGAAAAACGTTGTATGTGTTACAATTGTATGGTCTGATTGAAGGTTGGATTAATTCTTTCACCCACTATTATAACATCAACCAAATTAAGTAGCCTTATTCTTGAAAGACTTGGAACTCCATTAGTAATAGTTTTCATGACAGAAATTACATACAAATTCAATAGGATTTTTAATAGTTATAAATTAAAAATTAGAAAGACAAAATTATTACAAGACAAGGATACAAACCAGTTGCAACAATTGCAGATGAGACTTCCCCGTCTATGTCATCATAGACAGCACGAACATTTATACTATAATTAGTATCAGGAGAAAGACCATCAAATGTAGTTATTATCAGGTCATCAGCACCAGGTATACTGCTTTCCTAGAAAATATAGGTAATTCATTGATTTAGAAATCTACATATTGGCTTGCCATTGGGTTTATCAAAGATTTCAAAATATACACAAATGGAAAATATTGTGAATTGACTTCAAACAAATTTATACTGAACATAACTCACTGTGGTGTTTCCTGTAGGTGTTGTGATTGTTACAACATATTCATCTACAGTTGTATTGAGTGGTGTTACAGTAACATCTATAGAAATTGTAGTTGCTTCTGTCACAAAATCAGGTGCTGGAAGTTGTTCTGCATCTGTATATAACAACAATGAATATGTAAACAGTGGAATCATTTTTTAATAAACACCGAATGTAATCTGAGCTAAGATGTGTCCTATATAAGATGACCACATCAATGTTGGTATTTAAAATAGGTAAAATTTAAATAACCTTGATATGAAAATTGAAATGGCATTTATTGTTCTAAAAGTCAGATGGTAAAAAGTAATTTCAAATCACCTTATTGCAGTGTACTCGGAAATTAAATTGAATTATGTTCTAAATATTGTTTTCATTGATATTCTAATTAAGTTGCTAAATTTTGAATCATTTTGATATTTTTAGAAGTAAATACCAAAGTGGACTATCATACAAGTATTTGATGTAGTGTGGTGTGCTAAATTACCAATCCCATAGATTGATTATGGTCACTTTCTCAATATTTCTCATCTCGTTGTGAAACAGTAAAGAATCATTATTTACCATCACCGTCTGTTGTAACCAATTCTTGATTAACTGGTCCTACATCTTCGTTAATAACGGGCGAAACCAAAATCATGTAATCCGTCGAAGGAGTTAAACCTTCGTAAGTAATAGAGAGAGGGTCATCATCGTAACTCAGTGGAGTCTGTAAAAAATATTGCGAATTCAATAAAGCATACACAAATGAATATTATCAAAAAAGATAAATAAGTCTACTTACACTCTGCAGTTGTACCAAGTCTTCCGAAAGTAATTTTACAATAAAGTTCATTCTATTGTCAGGTTTTTCTAATGCAACACTAATGCTCTCCTTAGTAGTTGTTGTTGTGAATTCAACAAATGGAAAAGGTTCTGAATAAAGGGAAAATAAATAATTAAAAATTTTACAACAGAACCATATGTGGAGGTTTTCATAATAATATTTAAATTAGAGAGCGATATACAACAATAGCATAATCTTGCACAGCAAACTATAAAGTGAGTTCACAAACTACTCTTAAGTCCATTTGAAAAAAATAATAATAAATATTTGGTTGTCTACAGTATTTCAATCTTACTGATGAAATCTAAGATCTGTCAATAGTACCTGGTTAATGCCAAACAATTTTATTTGAATTCATACTAACCGGTTTGAATAAATGCTGTAGCGGTTGGTCCTTCGGCACCTTCGTTCCATGTTGTAACCTGTACTGTGTACTGAGTTGCAGGAATCAAGTTTTCAAATAAAGTAGTCAATGGATCTTCAGTGGTGTTGAGTGTCTGTTCCTTTACGAAATATTCAACAACTAATTAGTGGAATAAAATAAAATAGTATAGGTTTGCATCATATTATCTATATGAAACTAGGTGATATGCCATTTCAAAAAGCACAATTAGTAATAATTGAGATCTTTCCAATCTGAAATCCTTTAACTGTGTCTCAGATGCAGTAAATAAGATGCTACTGCTAATATTTTAACTCACTCTAATGCTGCCATCAGGTGAAGTAAGTCGCACTTTGTATTCATCCACCTCCAAATCATTATCGAGAATATTTATTTCAATGGTTGTTATCGTTGAAATATTATCAAATACAACATTTTGTAACTCTGAAATAAAAAAAATTACTGAAATTTAGTAATGAACTTGACAAATAATTTTTCGCTAGAGTTCATTTACACTTTAACTCATTATATTGCTTTTGCATGTTTCTGCATGATCTATATACTACATACCTGTTTCTTCAATTCCTGTGGTAATAGGTCCACGTTGATCACGCAGGGTCGCCCAGACTTCTATTGTATACAATGTTTCTGGAGTGAGATTTTCAAAAGTAGTCGAAAGCAATTCATCTTTAGCAGAAATAGTTTGAACCTGAATATTTGGAAGGATAAAAAAGAAAATGAACATAAAAATGGTAGGACATCGGACAGAATACATCATTTAAAATCATTTTGTCACATATATATAGACACTAATTAATATGATTACCATGATTAAATCACTGTCCTCTGGAATTATTTGTACGAAGAACTCATCAACTTCCCTGCCATCTTCGAGTTTGGTTATGGTGACTTGTACAGTCGTAGTTGTTGATGTAGAAGTGAAATTAACAACTGGAATATCTAAATTACGACAAAAACAGGATGTGTTAAGTTATCCAATGATAATTATTTGTACAGATGCAAATACAATTTTATAATAGTATTTTGGAAAACTATCAATCTGCGAAATAATTTTTTTCTTGGTAGAGTAATAGATGGATAACAATTATATTACTGGTACTTAGTTATCAAAGTTGAAATACAGAATTACCAATCTCAGTCTCCACAAATTCATCATGCGATTGTCCTTCAATTTCTTTTATTACAGAATATGCAGTAACAATGTATTCTGTTCCCGAAGTGAGATTATCAAAGGTCGCAAAGAGCGGATCAGTTTCATATTGAATAGTCTTCTGTAAAATCAGATTGGTCATGATTCAAAAAAAAACTAGTACACGCGAATGTTTTTGCAGAAAAATTCAATTGAAAGAGCTATCTTAACAACTTGTGAGGTCGTGTATTGATAGATTAAAGCTAATTTTTTTAATTTATTTTTGCTATGAAGGTCGTAAGTTGTGACAGAAATTTTTAGACCACAATATTTACCACAAGAAAACAAGGTATATTTTTTTCCACAGTGGTTTTCCCAATTTTCTCCAGTATCCATCATTTGATACTAATAAATGATGGTTGACCATATATTATAATAAGCAGGTATAAAAATGCAAACATATCATTTATTCCTCCCCCTAATTGAAAATACATATCTCTCCAACCATTTAATTTGGGAAAAAAATATACATAAAATCTTACCGTATCAACTTCAGTCAAATCTAATGTATACAATCTCACAACTACGAAGTCGACAATATCTTCTGGGCGTTCAACTGTAACATTGACTGCATCAACACCAGTTTTGACACTAAAGTCAACAAATGGTGGTGAGCCTGATAAAAAAAATAGATCCTTCATAAATAAATTTGAAAAATTAAAACAAACAAGCAACAAATTTTCTAAATTGAACAAATGTGTACCTGTTACAACAACTGTGGGAGAATATGGTCCTTGAAAATCTTTTATGTAAGGTATGACTGAGATGGTATAGTTTGTATTAGGCATCAAGTCGGTAAATGATGTGACAAGATCACCTTCCCCAGAAATCAGTTCGTCAGTCTGAATTGATTGCAATTTTCATAAATTTCAAAGTACAACTACGAACCATGTGTGAAAAATGACCGTAATATTTAGAGATAACAAACAACCAAAGTCGACATACCGAAGAATATGTGTCATCCGAATCCAACTGTACTACAATCCTATCCACTGGATCTTCAGGTTGGGCTGCCACTATTGTAATACTGGTGGCAGTTGTTTCAGTATCATACATAACCAGTGGGATAGAACCTAAGAAACAAAAAATGAAGACTTGATTACAAGAAGAATACGCTAGATGTTCATTCAATATTATTAATCAGAGTAGTTGCCAAAACTTATTACAATGCACAATTAGTGATACTGGTTAGATGAGGTGGAATTAATCAAAGCAGTTTTCACTGTAATTTTCATAATGAATTGTAAAAAATCAGCTAAATAGTAATTATTGCATTTGATGAGAATATGTAAGTGATTATTATCATGGTCACATTATCCAATTATAATGAATCCAAGCTAGAACACTCAAAAAACTCAATCAATTAGTTACAGGTAGAATAATAAAATAACGAAGCAGATATTAAGACAAATATGAGCCTGCACTTGACAACAAATTGTAAGAAAACAACCTCACAAACCTGTCATGACTTCGACAATTGTTTCTGGACCAAAATGATCATTTTTGACAGTAGATACAACCACTGTATATACTGTACCAGGGAACAATCCTTCAAATGTTGCTTCAATAAATGAGTCAGTTTGAGATATATTCCAAGTCTTATCACCACCTTAAAATATCAATGATAGTAAAATATATAAACAAGTAATTGAGATAAGGGTAAATGAAGACAAAAACTCACCAGTAATACCACTCGGTAGGAGCTGGATTTTGTATCCATCAACATCTTTTATTACTGGAGTTACAAAAACGGTTATACTTGTAAAGTCAGGTGTAGCAGTCACATTAGTCAAAGCAGGCATTTCATCTGAATGAATGAACAGAAGTTATTTTTTACCTGAAAATGTGCTTGACCAAAGAGGCACATCTCTGGTTATAGTGAAATAGGTTTTACCAAGCTATAAGATTAAGTACAAATTGGATATTAGACGGTTGAAAGCTAGGATACCTGTTATCACAACTTCTTCAGACACTGGTCCGATGTTTCCATCAATCGTTGCATAAACCATAATATAATAAGTTGTATTTGGTGTCAAATAATCAAATGAAGCATCAATCAAAAATTGGTCATCAGGATAATCATCAGAATTCAAAATCTAAAAAAAAGATATTTCTTAAAATGATGAAACAAAAAAACCTGTTTTTTTTTTTAAATAGGAAAAGAATATTCAAATTAGTCATCAAGAAGAGGAAAAGTTACTTCTGGTGGTCTTTCGTCTCCTTCTTCTGATTTCACAGTTATTGCATAACTGTCTACTCTGACATCAACTGGCTTCTCCAATGTCACAAAAATGCTTGATATTAGAGCAACAGCTTCAAAAGGAATTAAAGGTATCACTCCTGAAAAAAAATAAAAATATGTGTTAATGTTAATTAATGTAATTCATTAAAATGGGTATTGTTTGAGAAGCATTTTTTTAACACACACACCTGTAGTTCCCAGAACAGATATTTTTGAACTGTTATATCCATCCACAGTAGCATAAATACTGATATTGTACTCTGTATTTGGTTTTAATCCATCAAATTTAACCCAAATTTCTGAAGTTGACTGATCAACTGACGCTGTGTTGATGATATTATCTAAAATAAATGTGTTAAATGGAGGAAATCAAAAAACATTGATCTGATACATTATTTTTATCATTAAGTTCAAAAAGAACTCTTTTTCTACCTGAAAAGGCATTTTCAGCAATTTCCAAAATGTAAGAATTTGCTACTTCAACAGGAAGGAATGACACGTTTACAAACGTTATGCCTGTTTCTGTTCTGGCAGATTGAACAGCCACGACTTCTCCTGTTTAACAACAAGAAAACATTTGAAAAAAATTAGAACTCTTGTGTTCGGAACAATAAACAGTGTTTAGATTGATATACAGCAGTCGGGAAAATGATACAGTGTTGGTGCTCATTTCTTTCTGATCAGGCTTTTAATACAAATTCAGATAAATATATTCCAAAGAAGCAGTAAGTAATCAGTAGTTTATTTTTACACATGCCGAAAAATACACATCGTTAAGACAGAACAGAAAAAAAAAATGCATTTCAGTGTGAAGCAAGCTAAAGATTGCAATTTTCCAGTGGTAATGACATACAGAATGCATTATTCTACGGGTATAATGGAGAGAATTAGGCTATATCCGGTGAATAAAAATAAAGTGAATCCAAGATATACAAGATTGCTACAAAAAGAATGTGTATATGCTGTGGCTTTCGTGAAATCATGTACAAGTTAATTAGTATAACATACCAGTTTGCACTTCTATTGACGTTGCCGGACTGAATATATCACCAACAGCAACTTCTATAGATATATTATACAAAGTTCCCGGTATTAAGTCATCAAAATAATAGTAAAGTTTTTCTGCATCTGACTGATTGACTGTCACAACTAAAAACAAAAATGTATTAGATAGATAGATTATCTACGATTCTAACCATTGCGACTATGTCATGATTTCTATGATTTACAACTACTAATCAGAATTTAGCAAAAGAAATGTTACATGCACTAGTCCAAGATTGAAGAATGTGAGTAAAGAGTTAAGAAAAAATACTAAATACTAATATTCATAGCTAATTCCAGTAAAACAAATAGTATAGCATCACAGCATAACATCTTCAATTTTTCTTTATGTCTTTTGGGATAATGCTAGTTGACATACCTATAGTGTCAATGGATCCACGTAAAGTTAATAAATATACATCTGCAATTTCAACAGGTATGAATGTTATGTTTATATAAGTAATTCCTGGCTCTCCAAATATGTACTCCACAGGATCGAGTTTTCCTGTAAAAATGGCATAATATTTAGATGCAACACAGTAACATGAAATAGTAAAATAATTGCATGAATGCTGAGAATAAACCAATAATTAGGTTGATAAAAAATTAAGGAATAAGAAAAGCATTGGGACCTATTTAAACCCCCATATCAAGTCAACAACTTTTTATTTCCAGGCAGTAATTCTATTAACTGAATAAAATTTTGCACAATTGCATAAGTGTAAATTTATATTATAAAATGGTTTTGTAAGCTCATCAGTCAGGAAGTATTATAGAAATATTTGATACTTGAATTAATCGTCTCTAACTTATTAACATGGCATTTATTTTGAGAGGACATTGAAAACCGAATAAATGAGTTCTTACTTGTAGAAATCGATTTAGTATTGGTAGGTCCTTCCACACCTCGGATAACAGATGTTATGCTGACATTGTACTGAGATTCTGGTGTGATATCTGATAACACATCACCGGTTGCTGTCCCAGGTATTCGCTGGTCAAAACAAATTGATTGAATTTGAAATAATCGATGAATTAATGTAACACCAGGGTAAATATTCAGATAAATATGTCAAGCTAGATTGGGTAAAACTGAAGATTCGTTGGCAAATTATTTAAGTATAAAAATAACTGAAGATTCAGTTAAACACAAGAGATTGTATTTAGTTTAAATTATTAGATTGAAATATCCAAAGCTGGAGATTTGTTGAACATGAATGGCTGATTATTATCTCATACCACATACCAGTAGTTGTTTTATTTTACAAAAAATTGTTACCCAGGTCTTCTCGTCCGCAATTTCAATAATATATTCATCTGATTGGTACGATTCTAGATCTGGAGGTTCAATTGTAATTCCAATAGTAATTGATGATGCATTCAATGAAAACGCTACTATTTGTGGTAATTCTGTACAAACAAATTAATGATCACAAATAAACAATGGGAAAATACATTGTCAGTATTGGCCATTGCCAAGAAGTAGAAAATCAGTATATTACAACTTGTGACCAGTCAGGTGGAGAATATAAAATATGACACAGTAAACAGTATATTGTGACACACCAGTTGTGAAGTTACTGCCGGAATCTCCGCTATTAACTCCTCTCCTCGTTGCTACTAATGTGATATAATATAATGTTCCAGGTATCAGATCTTCGAATGAAGTTGAACTGATGTCAGTGAAGACAATTGTTGAGTTCCTGCATTGCATACACAATTAAAACATGTTAGATGATGAATTCAATTGGTACATACGAACCGAGTTCATATCAAATATCTAGATGAAAAATTGATATCTCATTGTTTGATGATTGTTTTACAAGAAATGCAAAAATTTTTCTTTTAGGATGTGAGACATAGCAAACTTGCTGTATTCAGATGGGTTTAGCAAGGTGTGAATGTGTAGATGAAATAACACAATCAAATACCTACATAAAGAATTAATGACTCAAAATAATCAACAAAATGTTTCCTATCTCAAGTTGAAGTCTTCACGCATACCAAAGCCATTTGACAACATTCACCAATCTTTGACCGATAGAAAAGATATTAAATCATCAAATCTTACAACATTGGTATTTTATTTTCATCCTGTAGTGTTACAGTAACATAATAATCATCTATATCCTCTGGTGGTGTTAACGTAACCATAGATGTTGTTGGTGTTGTCTGTATGGTATAGTCAGTCACAAGTGGTGTGTTTTCTGAAAAAGAAGTTAGAAATATAAAGAAAAGGAAGTTTTAGGAAAAAAATTTCCAAGTAAAAGATTACACAGAAAAGTTACTTTGTTTTAAACGCTAATGATACTGAATCAGTTCACTCGAACATAATCAAAAATTTATGAATGTGTCACAATTAGAATACACTCATCACACTATTTTATTTTCAGAGTGTGTGTAGTATTGTATGTGAAGCATGAAATAGCTGGTCCTTGTATTACGAACCTGTAACTATATCGTTGATCTAATCTGTACTAAACCACATAAATATAGCAGATAATGTCACATTCAGACATTACATTCAAACGTAATAAATAACAAGTGTAATATGAAATGAACTCAAACACAATATACTATAATGAAATATTACATAACATGATATATAATTTAATATATTTATATTCAGTGCTGATTCGAGAGGTATTCTGCTTGTACAATACAGGAGCAAAGTTCAAAGGACACAAGCAAATTTAGTAAATATCAATACATGTTAATCTACTTACCCAATTTTACTAGGAATCCAGTCGAAGTAACAGCCTTATCGTTGCTTCTACTTCTAACAAAGATGATATAGGATTCCCCAGGTGTCAAACGGCCGTCTGTAAGTGTGTGCGTGATTTGACGATTTTTTGCCCTTGGTGGTATCAAAGTCACATTTTCCAGTATTAGCGATGGGAAACTTTCCTGTATAATACATTATGATTTTTATTTCGTTATAATTTTCATTTCAGAAATGATAGAGCGGTGAAATTGTAATTGACTTATAAATAGAAAAATCTTACTTGAACAATCCATAACTGATAATCATCAACAACTCCTTCAACTTGATTAAAACGGACGTCGATTGTTGTAGAAGTTGGAAATGTTTCAATGTTTTCAACTATTTGGGGAACTAAATAATTGATTAAGATGTTTATAAAATTGTTTTTCAACATAGAAAAGTAATCTTTCTCAATCAAACATGATATTTCAAAAAATTGATATGCTAAAGAGGGAAAAAATGTTGAATATCAATTACATTAGCAATAAACGATAAATTTTATGACAGTTTTCTTACACAAGGTTGCAATGAGAACTGCAGTGTCTCCAGGTACAGCACAGACAAATGCTGTGACTTCTAATTGATAGGATTCCCCAGATGTTAGATTGTCAAATGTCACAGGCTCCAAAGACTCAGTTGGCGAATACACCTTCTACAAAAGATACAAATTAATCATTCCTAACAATATACGTTTTTTGCTAAATTACTATTTAAATAGTTAATTAAAATGCTTATAAATAAATGAAACCGAACTGACATCGTTTACGGCAAGAAATTTTATTTTATCTTGTATGAGATCTTTATTTCCAGAACATTGGTGAGAAAAAAATGACGCAACAGCCATATAATGTTGTCTTATTGGTTTCCATAGAAACTATGAAATTATATTGTGTGGTAGTGGATATACATGTATTCGAGTATTGCTAAAGTAAGTTTGAGTTGAAAGTTAAATTGCTTACATTGTTAAGGAAATCTCTTGGTCTGGCTTGTCTTGCTAATGTTACTTCGTAAATGGGTACAGGTATAGACGTGTTGTCGATATTAATGCTCAAACTATTATCGGTCACAGATGATGGGTTGATGTTTGCAACTGCATTAGGTGGAGGCGCTAAAAAGAACATTTAGAATAGAATAAGAAACAGATACAAAAACAAAGAACCGAAAGCTCAAAATTTGTTGTTTATTAAAAATTGTAACAGAAAATATAAATCTTATTGAAAAGTTGTTTTTATGAAATATCAAGCCAAGATCACCTGTAAATTTTTCAAGATTTAGTAATAAATATGCTAAAAGCATATAAAATAGCAGCAACATTTGAATTACTCACGTAAACTGATTGGGAATCCTGTTCTGTTGCCTTCCAATGAAAAACTGATAGGCCATAGAAAAATCGTATAGTTATTTCCAGGCCTCAAAATTGTGTCATCAAATGTCAGGCTCACAAGATCGTCAGAATCAGTTGCTTGAATTCTCTGTTGTAAAACAGGGCAAATTTTTACCAATTGAAATAAAATGCAGACCTTTTTACAATTCTCTCACATCTAGTTTTTTGTTTTTAAAAATGAAAAAAATAAATAAAAAGTGAAAGAGAAATTGGAGATCACGCTTTCGAAATAGTGAGAAAAAAAAGAGAAAAAGGAACTAATAATCATAAATAGAAATACCCTGGATCCCCTCGATCTTCTTGTGCCAGTCTCTTGGAAAATCTGAGCACGGTAGTGTGTGAATTTGCCAATTGATGGGCTAAATTCAAGTGTAGGAACACATTTGTCTAATGTAACATTGCCATCTGTAATGGGGTACGGATCTAAAAACACACAAGAGATTAATTGTATTCATTTTGTATATTTTAAATCAAACAAGTAAAGCACAGCCCCAACTTACAGATTGCTCTTTCTTTTTCGAGAGCGTTGCTCTGGATTTCTTTGATTACCATACGAGCTGAAATATCATACTTTTCACCGTACATTAAATCTGAGAAGTTGGTAACAATGTCAGATTCGGAATAGTTGAAAAACCTTTCTTCAATAACAGGAGCGGTTCCATCTGGTGTTGTTTGTTTAATTGAAACCAAAACACCATCTGTGTCTCTGTCACATACATCAGCCATTCGGATTGTTGCAATTAACGTAGGCTCATAAGGAAGACTTGTGAGTGAGAGTAAATTCGGTCGTTGTGCATTTGCTAAAAAGAACAGTTATTAACTAGTTTCATTTGAAGTTCATTATATAACATAAATAAGAAATAATAAGCTAATCGATTAGAGGTATCTTCTGAACATTTCAAGAGTGTGGATCATTAGTGAGGTACTGCTGCATATTATAAATAATAAGTCATGACAAATCACATTTATTCAAAGTATTAAAATATAAACATAAAACAGGCCTAAAATGCACCATTCACAACAGCCCAATAATGACTTGAAAGTCAGTGAATAAAGATAAAAATTCAGAATACAAAATCATATACACAATACTAAAAAAAGAACATCTTACGAATGATTGATGTTTTCACGTGTGGTATTGATTCTTTTCCTCTACTGTAAGAAGTTATGAACATAGAGTATCTCTCTCCTGGTTTGATAGCAGGTCCATCGTAAATAGTGCAAAACAGATTAGTATCGGGGTTGAAATCTGTGCTTGCATTGATAGATCTCACATCCAGTATTATTGTTTGATTGTTACGAGGAGTACAGGTTATCCTGGTGTTTGAAAATATATAAGAACGATTGGTGAAAAGTATTTTTTCAAATATGATTATGTGTTTATTCTAATAAAGAGTGACGACACACACCAGTCAATTGTTTAACAATTAGTTTAGTTCTCAGGTCATAGCTCTTGGGCTCGATAAAAATTCAACGTTTGCACAAATCAAGAACAAGTCAAATTAGTTGGGCTTTACCAGGTGGAATGATTGAAACATTTCAAACCAATGTATAACGGGTGACAAACTTATGAATAGTCTTGCTGATAGATCTTAAATTGTACCTCAAATTGCATCCTATAAATATGCCCCAAAACATTTCATTTGAGACTATTACTATCGGCTTATAGCATGATAGGACGAGTATACTTACGAATAAGCCTCCACAATGCCTTCAGCAGGTTCAAAGCACAAAGTGAAACTACAAAAATCAGATTCTGTTGTTGCACCCCTAATTTTCCTAGGAGCTGTAAAATATGATGGAAAATGATTATTAATAATTCCTGCCTATTTTAGAGTAAGGATTTCCAAGCAATCAGACATAACATAAAATCTTATACACAACTTTTCTATATAGACTTTAAAATCTGCAATAACTCACCAATTGCGTCTGTAAATATTGCAGTTTCCCCAACATGTTCTCCAATTACGCATGTGACATTTATGATATATTGTTGTCCCCAAACCAGAGATGAGAATACTGCTGTCAAATCATCACCCTGTAATGTGGTTAGAGCACGGCGATCTAATTCAGTAAATGGATCCTCAATGGAGGCAAGAACCACTCTGTATACTTCCACGCCATTTACTGGTATTACGGTCATTCGCATGGTGTTTTCATCAACAACAAGGAGGCCTGATGTAACTGCAGGAACACCATCTGAAACACATAATTAAACATATGAATTAGACATCTTTTCACTAAAGTTTCTGGTGAATTAGTCCAAAATATTAGAAAAATTAAAAAAAAAAAACAGATAGACTTTTTAGCCAATTTTCACAAAAACCAGTCCAAATCAATCAGTTAGAGGTATAACAACGAATGTTGATTCTGTCCATCTGTATCTATTATTAGAAAAACCTATTCTTTTTGGAAACATTATATATATTTTAATTCTCTGTTCATTGATTCTTCTCCAAGTTTCAAAAAGATAAACGAATTTATTTTGGACTGAGCAATAGTAAAATTAAAAAATTAAAATCTGCAACACAGACACACCATATGAAAAGTGAAATAAAACTCAAAATGAAGTTTGGAATAGGAGACAGAAAAGTACTACATTGACAAGTTGTGACATAGGATATAAGTGAAAACATGAGTAGATACTTCATAATCGAGCTTCACAAGCATTGTGATAATAACCTGGAATGCGAAAAAAACAATCTTGAACAAGTAGATAAAAATATCCATTAAAACCTAACAACATACCAGTTGTAACAGTTAAGCCATATCCAGAACTAGACTGATCTTCATTGTATGTTATAAGAGTGACAGCATACTCAGTTCCGGGAGTTAAGTTTTCAAATAAAATTTGGTGTCTTCCATTGATATCTTGTTCAAATTTTGAAACAGATCTTCTCACTGTGTTTACGCTGCCTGGATTGAAGTTTTCATCCAAAGTACTAAGGTCCACAACAGGTGTTAATTCCGCTTCAATGTATTCATATATTCCAGGTGGAGGACCAATGTCAAATGTGATGCTAACGAATCCTGTTGTGACCGTTACATCTTGCACATCGGCTGGGCCTGCATTTATAATAACAGATAAGAGTTTTCAAACCATAAAGCATGGTTGGAATAATACAATGATGCAGTCAGTGTCGAAATCTCTGCTCAGTATCGGACATTGCTGTCCCATGGCTAACTATAGGCATCAGAACAGATTAATAATGATAATCTTATAATTATTATTATATTAACATGTAAAAGGGAGTTAACAGAAACAAGATGTGTATTTGATCAACTCAATTACAATTAACTCCAAAATATTCTATAAAACAATGTTATTTCATTATTATTCCATACCAGTAAAAAATATGAGATATAAATTATCATACTTAAAATAGAACGTCCTCTCAGTGGATCACTTTCAATATCCCTGAAAACCGATACAACGCTGACAGTGTATCTTTCTCCTGGTGTCAAATTTTCCAGAAATAAGCTGCTTTCTTCAGTCTCTTGCACAACAGGTCTGGAGCCAGGTGTGGCTGGCGTGGCTCTAATTCTAAAATATTCATGCGGTGCTTCTGGTGGAGTCCAATATAAAATGAGCCCAAAATTTTCAGCATTTTGTATGTCCAAGAAATTTGGCGACTGCACTCGTGCTAGAAAATCAGATTTAACACAGTAAATATTGTAAGTTTATCAGTAAACATTAGAATTTTTGTGAAGATTTTTTGATAGAAATATGCAAATACTGTTCAATGGACAAGTTGAACAAGAAATCGAAAAAGTGGCTATAATTTTACAAATTTGTGGCAGTAAAACTAGGAAGCTTTATTTTTTGCAGTGAAACACATCTAAATATGCATTTTTTGACAGGACATATACCATTAAAACTTCATACTGTTAATCTTTGATGAGATGTTGAACAAATTAAAAGGTTTCAAAATAAAAAAAAAACTCACCAGATGTAAAATCAAATCCTGCAGTTACGGATCCACCACAAGACAACGTTTCAATTCTGACTGAATATCGTGATGCTGGTTTGAGTCGGCGGAATTCAACTTTTCGATCAGATTCGTAGGACAAAGTTTGTCTATCGACTTCTGTACCTGCGCTGTCTAATAATATAACAATATATTCCTCTGCACGTCCTACTGGCGTCAGAGAGAATTCTGATCTGAATGTTGGAAGATTCTTGAAGTCATCAACTGTTGGCGATGCAGGAGCTGAAAGAGAAAATAGTGAGTAAGAAAAAGCGCTTGAACGGTTTATATCTTTAAATTAAATCGTATTATATTCTGGTTCATCCCACATTATTTTTAAGTGAAAATTTTGCATTAATATCTTTCATTCATCTTACCAGTACAGACTTCCTTTTCAAGCAAGTCTTTCTGAAGTATTTGAACTTTGTATCTGCTGCCTCGATCCAAATATTGAGAAAGTATAATTGGGCTTCTTTTCGGAAATTGGAAGGTAAAATTCTAAAAAAAAAAAAGATTACTTATTTGTAACCTAATTAAGATAAAAGATGCATCAGAATTGGGCGTGAACTTATTTGTTAAAAAATTATACTTTTAAACTACTTAAAATCGGAGAAAATTTTTTAACTGAAGCAAGATAGGTTTTGATACTATCGGAACTTTTTTAGATATCATCTAGTACTAGTTGTCCTGGATTCACAATTCCATAAATTCGTGGTTTGAATTTCAATAACTTAGGCTGACCTGTTGAATGTTATCTTCATCCCACACTGATACAATGTACGATCCAAATGTAGGTAAGTCACCAATAAGTTCAAGCAGAATTCCACCATTCGGCCTTGATGAAACATCAAAATCGTCAATCTTTCTATCACTTTCTGCAATGTAAAAATGATATTGCAACATTTAAAAAATAATATTTTTACGTGATGTGTTCCACATTTACTTCTAAAATTGTTGAAAACTACTGTTAGGTATAGCATTTTAGTTAGATACATTCCTTCCAATCAGTCCAGACATAGCCAGTTAATTTAACAGGAGCAAATAAAACTCTCACCAGTTGTAATAAGTCTCACAGATGCACCTTCTGCACTTCGTAGCTGTCGATGCCAAGTAACAACTTCAACCTGGTAATCAGTTTCAGGTTCAATTGTTGGATCCCCAAACACACCGCTAAATTTTCCATCAGTTCCAATATCGTCAATTGAAATATTCTGACTCAATTGTACAAACGAAGAATCTGATGTCTCTGATATTGTTATCACAAAATGATCATATAATCCAGGTGGGGGAGAGAAGGAGAATTTAACAGAGTTATGAGTAGCGTCCAAAATCAAATCTGGAACGTTAACTGGATCTGGAAAAAATAAACAATATAAGTTGCATGACTGCAATCCTACAATTTATCCTACAATTATATTCAGGACTGGTTTTAATTTAGCATTTCATGCTTCACTCTGAATACAACTGTAAACACAAAACCACAATAACTTATTGAAGTCTAATGAGTTATTAGAAAGCTTGAATCAGGATTTCTAACTTGCAATATCATCAGCTATATCAATCATTTTGGCTACCAGTGCTAGACCAATGCACATATTGAAATATCCATGGTGTTCTGTTGAAATATTGGCTATTTGTTGGCTATTTTATATGAGTAGTTAAAACGAAATGATATAAATTAACAGACAAACATACTAATAACAAGTTTAGCTTGAGCAGGAATCCATGCATGTACATCTCTGTATACAGTGGAAACATTGACGAAGTATATGTTTCCTGCATCGACAGGAATTTCATAAGTTGTTTCGTTCGTTGTTTCAGAAATCACTTCTGGTAAATAATCCGATGTCACTCTTATCCGGAAGTAATCACGTGGACTTTCAGGTGCGGTATACGATAATACAAGAAAAAACAGGTTGCCTCTCTGCTCCAGTTGATACTTGAGATCAGTGGGCGGCAGAACTGAAAATAAAACATGAAAATATAATAAAAAAAACGAAATAAACAGTTTGCAATAAAAATAAAACCCATTCCACACAAAAATAACTAGATAACAATATATTAATATAAATTGCTTTGGGTAATCATTAGGGCTGTCTATTGTTCAACACAGTTGCTGTAAGACTGTTGTATCAAACCGACAGCCATCTATTTAATTTTTTGTTGTAAGGAAAGTGGCTTACTACTAAATATAAGCAAACAATTAAATTCATAAAGCTCATAATGAAAATATTGATTAATATTGATAATATTGATTAATTCATTGACTAATGGATCATTATAAAAAAATTACCTTCAAGGTTACTGAAAGTAGCAATGACGCTGGATTTGTTCTTACTTATTGATGTAACTTCAAAAACATGGATTTTGTTTGGATCAAGTTCATCATATTGTACAATAATTGATCTACGATTCCCTGCATAAATGAAAATATGAATAAATAGCAGCTGCAGAATGAATTTATATCAAAAACGTTTGAAATGAGGTTATTGCACAAGTTTGACTGCATGTAAGTTCTTGATAATAATATGTTGTCCACATATTAGCAATATTAGCAAAAAAGGTAATTAACAATATTTAGAATTTTTATTCACAATCTATCTTGAAGAAGATGAACTAAAACATTAAATCTATGCAATTTAGTATACATAAAAGAAGACTGAATGACATAACACTTTTATGCCTCATTCAAAATTCCATTTTGTCAATAATTTTCTGACTTTGTTGTTGAAATTATTGAAAATCAACTTGCATTTTTATTGTAATTCAATTTAGCTGGAAATCCAACTTAAGAAACCAGTAAATATAAACCTCTAACAAAAAGTTAATAATAAACCAAAAATGTGTGCTATTTATGCATGAATAAAGTGTGGCTAATTTTTGCATTTGAATCATTGGGACTACATTGCGAAAAAGTTGAAATTGAACTGTTTTGCATCATATCATACTTGGGTTTTTAACAGTCTTCATATCAGTTTCTGGCTCCTGTGTATCATCTGCTTTTACTACTATGGTGTATTCATCTACCACTCCTTCTGGCTGTTCAAATTCCAACACCATCGTATTGTTCTTCGCTGTCTCTACTCGGCCGCTAGTGGGTGGATTAGGATCTAACAAGAAACATATATAATGGTACATTTTTGGAAGAGCCATGAATGCTACAGTAATAAATATGTTACTTGGAAATTATTATGCATTGTCATATAGAAGAGCCTAAACTTACTTAAAGTATCAATAAGAGGAGATGGTGGTCCTTCAGCTCCCCCTTTCATGATCGGTTGTATAAAAACATCATAGGTGGCACCGGGTATTAGATTGTTGAACACAACAAATGTTTGCGTTGGTTCTATAACTTTGATATCAGATATCTTGGATGATCCTCGTAAATTGGCATAAATTCTTAAAAAGAAGATAAATGTGTGATTCTAAAGAAGACTTTTATGCACAAAAGAAAGCTGATAAATTTTGAGAAATTTTTTAACCGATAATAAACAATGAAATCAACTGAAGAAGTGGTAGACTGAACAATAGAATAATCAAAAGTTGAACAGGGGATCAATCAGTTTAATTTATATTATAATTTCTCATAACTTCAAACATATTCTTGAGCAACTCAGCAGTACATGAAGCTTTAATATCCAAATTGGGAATAATTTAAGCAACATTTTTAAATATGATAGCAAATTTTCAAGTAGGACAATCATAATCCAGCAGAATCCAAAGTTTCAATAATATTTGTGAAAGTGACAAGAGTATTATAATATTTGAACTACTGACTCAAAAAAACAGAATGTAGTCTAAACTGTAGACTTAAGTACCTCAATTTATCAAGACTTTCAGGGCGTTCAATAAGATCTAAATGAACTGTGAGATCTTTATTTGTTGCATTGGTCGATCCAGTTATATTGAATTGTGCTGCAATTTAAAAGAAAATTGTGATTAAATGAGTGTGAGATAAAAAAACAGGAGAAAGAATTTTGAATACCAATGGTCAATAACTACAATTCTACATACTTTAATTAAGAATATAATAAAAAATTTCTTTATATAAACACTTGCAAGAAACTAATAGTCCTAATTTTAACATACCTATAACAAATTTGAGTTCAACTCGTTCACTTTTCAAAACATTTCCAAGATGATCTATAACTTCAGCATAAATAAAAGCTGTGTAATTTATGAACGGTTGGAAAGTTTGAACAAAAGAAATAGAAGATTCATCTCCATCAACTTTTTTGAAAGCATAGGAAGGAATTTCGGGATCTTCGACTTGAAATATTTCAACGCTGTTAAAAGCAATACCAATGTAGTTAGTGAACATGAGAGGTAGTTTTGTTGTTGCAGTTGTTTTAACTACAATAAATTTGTAGGTATCAATGACATAAGTAAAAAATGCCTTAATAAAAGAGAGAGATCATGGGTTCAAAATCAGCTTAAATTAAATAATTGAACCAAGTTCAAGACTACATGCAGAATGTGAAAATTTAGTGGTAGCATTTAAAAGCAGAAATATGACACTCCTTACTTTCAGTATTGCTTGTATTGAGATTTGTCTCATGCTTTTATTGGAAACACAAAAAGAATGTTTAATAAATATAATCACAACTTACACAAAATTATCAGAATCTCCTTCTGGTTTTGTGTATGTGAATGTAACCCTGTTGTTGCTGTCATATTGAACCTCCGGGTTAATAACTTTACCAGGCTCTGTAAAAAGAAGAGATATTATTAGTTTATGTTTAGTCATAAAATATTAATTAATGATGGACTACTCACTCGTTGTCACAGTCGATTCTGTGGGAGGACCACTAATTTCATCAATTTGTGAGGTAATTGAGAATGTGTACTTCGTTCCGGGCAAAAGGTCTGCAATTGTGGTAATTCGTGGATCATCGATGCCTTTTGTTACATTTTGTCGCTCATCAGGGTTACCACGTCTGGAATAAAGAAAAATGTAAAAGGAATTCAGAATCATGTGGCTCCATAATCCAAATATTGCTTCAATTCAATTAATTAAATATGTAAGGCATCCAAGTAAAAAATATCAATTACATTTCTAACAAAAAAAATAAAAAAATAAAAGTGGGTTTAGAATGGCATTGATCAACTCTTGTTGGTACGTTTCTATGTATTTCTCATACTGAATATTTCTGCGCTATAAAGTTTTGATATAACATACATCCAATATTCAATAGTGTATTCTTCAAAATCCAAGTCATTGCCAAGTACAGAAACATCAAGAGAAGTAGTATGAACTTCAGAAATTTCAATTTCAGGCTTCGGTGGAAGATCTACAATAAAATTAAAAATATTTAATATTAATTAATAAAAAATCAATATTAATTGAAAACTTTACAGAATAAATAGCTGAAATATATGGACACAAAGGTCAAATGACTAACATAGTACAGCAGTGGCCTATGTATATCTAAATTTGAAGAATTGCGGTGTGTATGATTTATAAATACTATCTTTTCTAGTTAATTAACATTAATTAAGTAATTCTTTTACAATATTCTTGCATTGATGTTAAGAATAGTACCTAGAGTAGCATCTTGTTCTACAGGAATACTTTCACTGTCCTTATAATGAGTGACCAGACGAACAGTATACAGTTTTCCTGGTGTAAGACCTGTAAATGTTAACTGGCTTGGCTGATAATCATACAACATCATTCCATCAGTATTCTAAATGAAAAAAGATGAGAAGAAAATTAATGAAGAATAAAAATGAAACAATTAGTGAAAAATTTTTTAACAATTTCAAAGTCTAGTAGCATTTGCGAGGTGACAGTAACACAGCACTCATTGCTATTGCAGACAAACAGTATACTGGTACACTAAAAACTCAAATTTTCTCAAAAGCCTGGAATATTATAATTTGATAAAACTTGTGATCAACAAATATCGAAAATGGGATTATAAAAATTGGGAGTATAAAATATCATGAAAGTTCAAATTTCTGACTCACGAAACGATTACAACTACAGTTTTTGAATAAGAAAATAGTGACACTAAATTATCGTTATAAACAACAATAAAGCATTCATTGAGCATGGGCTTGCAAAAATTTGCATTACTGGATAAATGTTGAAGATATGGTTCATTTCGTGTAAAAAATGGGTCCAGAGCATCTCAGGGATTATTGGCAAGTAATAAAGCCATATAAACGACAATTTGAATTTTACCAACTGAAACTTGAAATCGATGGATTCAGCAGATAAAAAAGTTTTTAGCCAAGCAATAGCAACATATCCAACAATAAAACAAAAATATCAACAAGCTCAGCTTATGTGAAACTGAAATCATATATACTATTATCCATTAGCAAAAACAATATTTACTTACCAGCTCATTATCCTTTTCAAAGTAATCCAAGCGAACATAATCATATTGACTGGATGGTTTTGTGAAATAAACTATAAGTGAAGTTAAACCAGTTTCCGTGTCTACATCAGTAACTGGCAGAGGATCTGAAAATTAAAGCTTGATTAAGCAAACTGATGAAATGTGACACTGTGACAATGTAATTAACCACAAATGTAACTTATAGCATATGGGATAAATTTTGTCGTTTTTTTTTGTTATCATCAAAAAGTTATATTAGAATCTATTTCAAAATATTTAATTGCATGAAGTATAAATAAAAATGTTTACTGGTGGAAACGTCATTTAGAAGTATTTCTTCTCCTTGGAAAGTTTTTAGCACTGGTGTGATGGTCGCAGTATAGGTCATTCCATAGCTCAAATCAATAAAATTTGTTGAATGTTCATTTCTGCCGTTATACGGAATAATTTCTTCATGTTGTTGTTCAGTTACATCATCAGGGATTAGTTTGACAATAAAACTGAGACCATCTTCAACCTCTGGTGGCACGTTGAAATTAACAGTAATTGCGTTTTCACTGGTCAGAGAAGCTTCTCCAGAAATTAATGGCGAATACAGATCTGAAATACAAAATATTTGTTCAACAGTGGCAAGTTTTTGATCATTTTGTATTTCCATTTCATTTCATTGTAAAATGAAGCCTCTTATAAGCTCAGTTATTGAGAAAGTTGAATGAAAGTAAAAATGAAAATAAACTGATATACTAACCTGTAGTAACTTCTAGTTCAGTTGGGTTGCTGGCAACACCATTGCTTGAACCAGTGATTGTAATGGAATAGGTAACGTTAGGAACTAAATCTGAGAATTTAACCTGAAAATAAAAAATGAATAAAATTACTAGTATTCCAAGGTACTCAAAATTTCAAATTTGCGGACAACACCAAATGAAACTAGATTTGCTGGACATTCCAAATATAATTTGACAAAAAAAAAATTAAAAGGAAGGTATTAATAAATCAAAATTCTTGCTATGAAACAGAAAAAATTTCTAAACAAACTAGACATAAATGAGAAGTTACTAGGATTTTACAAATCCTTTTTCCTTACTTCCTACATCGGTTACATATGTTATGTTACAACAAGGAAAGATTGAATTTGACAGCATTTAAGGTGGAAAATACACAGAACAAAATCTCTTTCCATGAAATAGCAAGTATATTTGCAAGATTTGGTTAAATCATTGTCTAACTTCTTACAAAAAACAAGCAGCAAATTATTCAACAATTTCTATAAATCATAATATGATAAAAAGAAAAAGTTACCTCTTTTTCGCCAGGGTTTGTGCCATTATGTGAATCTTTACTCACAGTAACCCGTTCTATGACATCGTTCAGGTTTTGTTTAGTAGAGATTTCATAATAAACCCAATCAAACACAATTTCTGGACTTGTGGATGTGATGACTATAGAATTGTGAGTCGTATTTTCTGTGAAATCATTTGCATCTAAGTCACGTCCTATAAATATAAAAAAAACCATGTTTAGTTGTTGGATCTGAAAATACCTTTCAAGTCAATTGGACTTATTATTTTGGATTAACTTGGAAATTATTTGGGTATAAAATCTAAAAATTGAGCCTATGAAGTATTGAGTGAATTGGCAAATGCAGGATCAGGAAAACTACCCAGAGGCAGAGAAATCAACATACACAAAAGACTAAACTATAAAGTTAAGTTTTAGTTTATGTTCCACGAATTATTACCAGTTAGCTACCACAAACTGTTGCAAGTGTAATAGAAGAAAAAATAATGCATATTTAATTTCGTATATACGATCGTGTATATTCCATACTTGGAGTGTGTTGTATTACCATGGTGAACAAAAACGAATCATTGTTGAAAGGCTATTAATATTGAAATAAGCATTCTTGTATATTCACTCACGTAGTGTGACTGTTCCAATGATGTTCTCAGGATAATTCTCGTCTCTGTATTGTAATGTTGCTATAACTGTATAAGTTGCTCCAGGTAAAAGATTTTCAGCAAATTCAACCTAGAACAAAAATAGAAGAATAATTTGATATTCAATCTAAAATGGGACATGTTTAAATTTTTAGCTTGTACCCCGAACATATTATATTAGCACATGCCTAATAGCAGCCTCATATGGAGGATGCCATTCAAATGAAAATTGAAATTATACATCCACTTCTAACTGATATTTCACTCCAGAAAATTTTCAAAATGGTATACCATCATGATATCATTTGGCAAAGATATCTCCTTTATATCCACTAGACTTCCATCAGATCCGTTAAGTTGAATGACGAAATTGTCTCCATTTTCTAAGACGGGGAACATTTCCACTAAAATTGTGTTTTCCAGTGTCACAGATACTCGTCCTTGTGAACCCTCAATGGGTTCTGGAACTTTAAAAAGAAGAAATAAATTATACTTCCTAATAAAGTCTCATAATCAAGGGCTAGTTTGACGTTCCGCAGCATTTCTTTTTGATTCAATTTAGAGATTGCTTATCTAACGTAAACTGTAATGTGAGATAGAGATGTAAAACTTGATTAATTGGTTTTGATGTCTTCCCAGTTTGATTTTTTCCATGCCGAGTTGATTTTATCTTTCATACATATTCTAAAAGATCGTTGGCCCTGTGGCCCTATCTGAATTTGACAAGTGGCTGAATATACTAGCCACTAATTTACCAATATAGATAATTGATTACTTAATGCGGTTATAATTTACAGTTCCTTGTTATAAGTTCTTTTTTCTATCTTACCAATTTGAACATTGTAACGTTTGGTTGGGCTCTTCACTCCACTATTGGTATACGTTGTAATGCTAACAACAAATGTTGTATCTTGGATAACATTTGGAACTGACAACTCTTCCACAGTCTTCTGCCCGGGAACATGTTTGATCTACAAAAATCAGGTAAAAGTAAATATTAGTCCTATATACCGGTAACAATGCTATTTTTCAAACATTTAAAACATGGCTCAGCTAAATATTCAAATGCACTGTGCTTGAACAAGTGGAAAATACCCATGGAAGATAATTTGAATCCGACCAACAATAAAATGCTAAGAAATAGCAATTAGTAATATCACACGGGGACACAAAGATGGTAACCAAACCTTCAATCGCCTTGAAGCGCCAAACTTCTTTAGTCACAGGTAGCATAAAATTATAAGAATAATAAGCCATGACTCGTTTACTGAGTACTAGGTACGAAGGTACGGTGTGATGGTACAATTTTCTCCAAAACCACTAAAATTTCTGATAAAACAACCAGCCTAAAGAAATTGTGAAAATATTAGGTTAAGAGATTTTCAGAAGGAAATTCAGAAAGAAAAGCGATCAGTCCGAAAGGAATTTCTCTTTCAACAATGTTGACAAAAAATGATAAATTTCATACCACCAAGGGCTATGTTTACAAACAGTACTGAATAACACTAAGCTTCATGTAATAAAAAAATTGTTTTTGCGTGAGAATATCAAACTCTTACCTCTTTAATATCATAGAGACGATCTGGTTCAGCCGATTTCGCCAAGGTTATTTGGTAATTATCAGCAAGTCCTTCCACATGATCAAATGCCACATTAATTTTGTCGTTTATGAGGGTGACTACTGCATCAACAGATGCGGGACCTGAAAAAACGAACTTTTAACTACTCAAAAAAATTGAGAATATAATCAGAGTTTGAATCAAAATGGTTATTTTGTTACATCTAGTTTCTGTAGTGATGTCACAAACCATAGCGCTATACTTACGAATGACAACATTTGCAATTCCTCTTGAAGCACTCTGATAACCATTGATTACGTTGGCTAATGATACTAAATATTTTTCTCCCCAAACTGCATCTGTGATTCTGTATTCCACAGGTTGCACACCATTAGCTTGAACTTCATATTCCATAATTTGTGCTTCTGGGCTTTCTGGTTTAGTGATGATGATATATTTCGTAACGGAATCTGCCCGACTTTTTCCAATTTGAGGTGATGGACGCATGGTTATCAAGTACGAATTTCCCTGTTGTTCTGAGATTGCACCTCGTGGAACCTCGGGTTGGGCTGCAATAAAATAAGCAAAGTATATTGAAAACATGTACATTTTTTAAGCATCTCTATAGTAATTCAATTTTTAAATTTGATTCAAGTTAGCAATAATCGTGTGTGTGTAATCTGTCTTGATAATGGTAGTATCGGATAATCATTAATGTAAATATAAATCAATACATTTTGTAATAAATACTGCTTTTGAGCTTTTAGATACAAATTAACATAATTAAGGATGTTGTAGAGCAGGCCTGCACAAATCAAATGAATGAAAGAGTCGTAACATACAAAAACAATTGTTCACTGCAATTTATCATTATTAACATATAACTTATATCATGTCTTATATATTAACTTATATATATATGTCCCATACAGTGCACAAGATATTATAATGTTACAAAGAATCATAGTGACAAAATCATATGTCGGGTGTGAAAGTACTTATGTAAGCTATATGATAGTGGGCACCTTAGACATTATTTGAATTAGTAACTTGAACATTTAGATGAATTTGTCTAGAATTAACTTGTAATTGTTATTTAGCACTGATTGCTTATTTTTTTGTGTGCAAAAGTACATTTTTTTTTCCGAATCACCTTGCGGGCCGCATTAAAAGCTTTCACAGGCCACATGAGTCGGACGTTGTACAGGCCTGCTGTACAATGTAGATTCTAAGTGATTCTAAAGTCTTGCTGCACATTTACACACATATTTTTCTGTGATGTTTGGCCTGACCAAGGTCAGACTTTCTCGGAAAAACATAATTTAACGAGCCGCAAGACTTTTGTAATATTTGCATTGTTACCCGCTTTAACATTTATATAAGTAACTAGTATATGTGCCACATAACTTGTCTCAGCAAAGAGTAGGGAAACAGTTTTGATTGGTTATTGAAATAAATCGAACAATTGTCGAACTTGAGGGTTAAATGCAGAAGTTGTGATTTTGATTTGTTCTCACTACAGATTCATTGAAAGATTATTTCAATCCTGTTACTTATATTGAGTGCATTGAAATCAAGTTAATATAGGGCTAGATAATAATGTTTGAAAGTAAATACCGGTAAGTAACTTACGCAGCGTTAGAGAAAGAGAATACATAGTTCCTTCAATTTCATTCTCATTTGGTACAACATCCAATTTATAAGTAGTGCTTGGAACTAGATTTTTAAATGTGTATGTTGAAGTTGCTTGATTTTCGCCAACCCTCCTTGTGTACATTTTATATTTTTCACCATTATCAAGCGTAAGCTCATAAAAATCAGCCAAGTGGTTTTCTGGATCAAATGAAACTTCTATTGTGGTGGAAGTCGCTTTTATTTTTGGCATAACAGTTGCTGGTCCTGTTGAAAGAACATAAATGTAAAAAATCAGTACTGTATGATATCAAGATCACTTCTTCAGAGGAAAAGAAATCTAAGATAAAAAATAAATTTTTCAACTGAGGACACTTACTCAAAGTAATAGTATCAAACACTGATGGTCTGCTTTCAAATGGTCCACGTTGTGTCCATAAGGTAACAACATAGTTTCCAGGAGTTAAATCACTGAATTCATGTTCCAATTCTTGATCCGATGATATTGTAACATCAGGCTTGTCATTCAAACGCAATCTATAGCTTTCAATAATGCCAGTAGAATCAGGTGTTATTTGGACAGTGATAGTGTCTTTTGATATAATGAGCTTACCAGAAGCTTGAGTTAATAGTGCTGAAAAACAGAATGAGATGTATATATAATGATCATGATGAAGAGTTGAAAATGGAAATTAATATAAATGATACACAAGCAATACTTAGTTAGCTTACGCGTTTCTGCTGTAATGTTTGCAGCTGGCCCTGATTTTCCATTGCTGTATGGTCGAATAAATACATTATATGTAGAGTTTGGTGACAGATTTTCAAAAGTATGAGTATATTCCGATTGACCAGGTCCTGAATCGATGATGGTACTCTAAATTTAGGACCAAAGAAATCATTAGTGTTATGAAGTTACTTGAACCAGCGTTTTACCTAGGTAATATTTCTTTGTGGTTTTGGGATGAATCGTTTATTATGCATGGTATAATGAAGAAATGGAACAATATTATAGTCCCTGGAAAATCTTCATCTTTGAAACTGTTTGCGCTTTCTTTTGAGAATTTAGTCTTTAATAATCAGTTTTATGTTTCGTAAGCTTTCAGTTATATTCTCCAATAATAATGTTACAAATTATCCAATTGAGTTGAGTGCATTAAAAGATATTTCCAATAAAACTCACAGAAATTATTCAAGAAAATATATACCTGTACTGGTCCTTGCTCAGGATGTGTTATATATACATTGTAATATTCAACCTTCCCGCCTGCAGTATCATATGTTACTGTTATTGATGTTGGTGATCCTTGAACAGATGCTTTGGGAACACTGGCAGGCGCTAAAAATATAGAAAAATGCATATAAATATGTTGGTGTCAATCAAAAAAGATGTAGTATTTCACATCTCCGCTTCTAATAGCCAGGATCCATGAATAAAGATCCACTGAATTAGAAAGGATGAGAATTTATGGGTTCTACAAAGGCCTTCTTATTCAATGACATTGACCATGACCAACTGACCTCTGAACACCTCATCAGAGCTAGGTTTTAATATGTATATTATGTAGATTTAAAAGAACCCAAAAAAGTTCGTTTTGGTGAATAGCTTACCCAATTTATCACACAGGTGAAGTTATGGGTATAGAATAGCATTTTCATAACCAGTTATTGTACCCCAAGATTTTTCATGTCACGCCATCAACATGGTCGATACAACACAAAAAACACAAATAATAATATCAGATAAAATAATAAAAATAATAATAAATGAGCATAAACAAATGAATGAATACCAACCTATAACCCTTGGAGGTATATCAATGGGATGACCTTGTTTATCCCCAAGTATTGGATATATAACTCCTGTATACAGTTCTCCAGGTACAAGTTGTATATATGTCGCAGACACAAGATGAGGGGCAACAGGATTCCACTAAATATCAAGATAAATAAATTTGATTTAAAAGACGAGGTGATGTTTATCAATACTGTCGGTCGACTATGTTTGTCAAAATCTTTTCAAGACAGCATAGCCTAAATCAGTGTTCTTCAAACTTTTTGCATCGTGACCCACTTGGCATGACCAAATTTTTTATCAACCTCCAGGAACTTTATGGTTAGACCAATGTGAGAACGATGTTCTTGCATATTCTCGCACAAAACGTCAAATCTTGGCTCTATTTTGGCGATTCTCCTCAGTACCAGTTCCAAATCTTTCAAATTTGTTTGTTCTGATATAAGATAGTGTCAAAAAGGTATTTTCACACATATAAGTGGAGGCACAAGGAAGAAGAATAAGTATGAATAGTTCTGTCTATAATTGGTACCGCACCCCTATTGAGCCGTTTCGTGACCACCGGGTGTCGGGAACCCCAGTTTGATGAGCCCTGACCTAGATTTTACACCATAGTTAAAGTTGGTAAGCATGAGGCTTGAACTCGATATTCCTAACATGCGATTACAACAGAAGTAGACCTACAGTGATGACTATTGAGTCATCGCATTGTTTAATAAGAAAATAAATCGAGCTACCAAGAGGCAGTGTTAACTATGATGATATTGAGATTGATTTCACAAGGTGTGATATTCCCAATTTCATTTAAGATTCACTAATAGGTCAATAAAAAGTTGTCATTTCATATGATGTGTCATATTTCTAATAGAAAGTATTTTCCTACGTGACTATTTCAATAAAATTTAAATGTTTGCCCAAAAATGCTCAACGCACGCACGAAATAGTCTTCTCGAAATGTAAAATAAGAAACTAAAGCATTTATACGATTCGCACGCTTTCTTTGAATCGCCGAATTCAGTTGAATCAGTTCAAAATTGGCGAAATACTTGAAATTACGTCTTCGTGCGTCTGTCCTGAGGCAATTTTACGCTATAGGAAATTACAACGCTGTGAATTGGACGAATTTTAATGAAATGCGGTGAATGTTTTGATAGCACGTTTGATAGCATTACGACATTTTGCTATAGACGACGCCCAAATTTATATTCATCTGATGACGATTAGAAAATAACTTACAGTAATGATTATTATTATAACAACGATTGTTGCATCAAGTTCAATTGACTCACCTCCACATTTTGTGTCTTATTGGTCAGTTTGTCAGATGGCCATAATACAACAACAAATTTCGTCTGTGCTCTTGGCCGAGGAAGTATGTTGACTGTTAACGTCGTTCCGCTAACAATAGGTATTACATCCAATGGTGGACGAATATCTTCTTGAGCTGAAATTAAACATAAATGTATCTAATAGCGTACTAAAATATCATGTAGCTCATTAGTATATTACATTGATAACTGCAAGGAACTAACGACACTAACAATCGGAAAAGTCGACAAGATACACAAATGTGCCTCTTGGCATATCGTCCACACTTAATTTGCAAACAAATCATTGTTAAATCATGTACTTTAATAATTTATTATAAAATACAAGAGAATTAACTCATTGCGTTTACCAAAACTGCACTAAACAGGGTGGTCATTCGCGTGGATTCAAAGCGGTTATATATCGATAAAACCCGTTACTACTGTACGGGTGGTGGTAGATCTAGAAGTTTCTGGAAATTTTCATGTAAAATCACAAGTATAATCATCATAAAATTGAATTTTTCATGTTTTTTTTTTGTGGGTGCCACTGTATAATCTACTTACGTGTTACAACAGTCGAGCTAACAAAGCCCGAAGTGACGCCATGACTGACAGCGGCAACGGATGTATTATATTCCGTTACTGGTGTTACACCGTAACTGAAAGCCCTTTCTACGTCTTCTGGGCCGACCAAAGTATCTGAAATGATTGCCCCGTCTTGTGTTCGAACCACTTTGATCCTGAAAATAAAAAATCGTTGATTTAAAACGGATAACTTTTATCAACTAATGCCACTCTGTTCGCCAAAATTTAAACAAGGCAACAAATTTATGTCAAGCAATCGGGCGAATATTGGTAATGGTTTTTATTCCGAAGTTTGTCTACAACGTATTATAAAATCGATCAATGTTTCTTGATAATGACTGAAACGTCTAACATTATAAAATCATTACGTGAGTTGGATAATTTTTTAAAAACTTTAAGATAAGAGAATATCGCGCATAACCTTATTTTACATGAACGATAGACGGTAACTAATTTTTCGGAAAAGAAGGTTAAAATTCTCCTTACCATAATATATGACATCAATAAATTTGGCCAAAGTTACAGAGCTCATTTTCATTACGCATGATCATATTTGTATTTAGGCCAAAATATTCCCTTGATCGGGCAGTATTATCTATTTATAATTTGGAAGGTTTCGTCGCGGGAATCGTACGACGCGCAATCAGCACTTCAGTCACGCGCACAAAACTAGTTATTTATGACTCATAGAAGTATCATACCAATTTAATTTAGGTTTAACTTTAATATGAGTTTTAATCATTGATTGTCAAATTCATTTAGAGACATAAACAATAAAACTCAGATTGGGAAAAAAAAAAGGAATCCAGCGAGTGTAAAACATTGTTGGTGCTTTACTACAACTAAATATACAAACTATACTCGTTTATTACAGTTATCATCTTATTCAGTTAGAATACACCTTTTCATACAACTATTTTTCACCTGTTGATTCAACCAAACACTGTATACACATTTGCTAATATGTAAGGAGCTACTGCTAATCGGGAGGACCGGAATCTTTTTGTTTCAGCATTGCCCATCCAATTTATTTCACCCTGAGTGAGGGGTACATGGGGTTGAACTCGAGTTATTTAACCTGTGATGTCAACCACCGATAACTTGTATAATACACGTTTATATTTACGAAAAACACGAAATAGCAAATTCGATTCTTCACAATATGCGAATAAATATAATATAGGTTTTTATTAGTAGATTGTACATTTTAAAAAGCGGGGATATGCATAAACGGTATACGTACAATCAAATAATAAAACAACTATGTAGTAATAATATCGGAGTGTTGAGTTAAAAATATATACATAGTGTGTTACAAACATCCCTAAAACCCGCATACGAAAAGAGATCGGAGCCAAGTTTTGATTAATCTGAAATAAATTTTGCCGGTAATAAAGAAACAATATCAAAACAAGTTGTTTCATATTGTACGTCATCGCTTACTTACCATAGTAAAAGTAAAAACAATAAAGATGTCCGACACACGTATGCGTTTAAAAGCATTGTGTGTATCTTATTCCGGTGTTGACAATTAATTTATGATAAAAATAAATCCAACGAATAGTTTAATTTTCGATCGATTTGATCATGAGCATTGCTTCATGCGTCCCGATGATATGGGCTATAAGTATGTTAAATAATAAAAACGCTATAGGAAACGAAGTAAATTAATTATAATATTTGAAACAAATATTTCAATAAAGAACTTTGAACGAGTTATGGAGTACTGGGTGGCACAGAGAACATTCGCTTAAAAAGGATCACTTAAAGATTCCGAAGCAATACATAGGTGTCATTATTCTGCATAAATCGTATTCCAACTACTATAACTGGAATTTCTAAACTGTTCTAAGTACGACAACTACACAAACACAAATAAACAAGTAGAGTATAATAATCACAAAAGTGTAAGTTTAATTTTTAACTTTTGAAGCAGAGAATATCAAATTGATGATCGCCTGAAAATGAAGTACATCACAAGCCTAATCGAAATTATAATAAATGACGATAATGACCAGAAACTAAATAGCAACTCTTAATTTTCATTTATTTCCATGTCTTACTGTCAAATTCAATTCTTATTATAATATCATCATACATTCTTTCCTACATAGACTCAAACTACATTAAAATGACCTTGCCGCTGCAGCATCTTAGAAAACTGACGTTTTTATTTATCAAATTAAACTGAATGACTAAATGATCAGTTATTTTGTGAGAGCACCAACAACGCCCGAGTTCAAATTTCTACGCTGTTCAGAACTGTTAAGGTGCCACGCACATCCGAGTGGTCATTCATATTAAATGTGTGTGTGACACAAAATTATATTTTAATATAATTAAAAATGACCACAAACAAAATTTTTCAAATATAAAACGTAACCAAGCCTGAGTAATAGGTAAATCACGAAAATAACTGTGAATTATCCCTATTCATACGTGGCCATTGGATAGGTATACAAAAATTGAGCGATCGCTAAAATTCCCCCGGGCGAATTGAAAATTCTAACGATCTAAATAACACAAGCAGAAAACATTATTCGTACTTGCAACGGTATATTTCTAACGCTTTTTAATTGAACGTTTTGTTTAGATTGAGTAAGGGATAATATGGGTATGTTCCCGGTTTAGAATAAACAAAATGTCACAATGTTCAATTCTAATTGTTCGTTCTCAAATTAACATGATATTATATTATATAACAATAACAGTGAAAATACGATGAACCGATAGCCATATAAAAATTATATAAGTCAATTTGGGTATTTCAATTCATCGGATCCTAAAAATTCGCGGATCCTGAAAATTTGAATAATAATAAGAACATTCGTTACTCAGTTTGATTTCGTATTTCTAAAAAAACGACTCTTTTTGGTATATTTATCAAGTGTTCTTCTTTTCCTTTGTAAATGTCTACGAAAAATACCAATCAACTTGTAGAATGCACAAATGTTATTTTACAGACATTTATCCAAAAAGTTATCTTCTCTCTAAATACCGAAAATCAGGCAGCGCTTATTTGACTTGAACAACAAAGCAGGCCTAATCACATAAAATTGCATTTTTTGATTCTCCGGTACAGGTGGGTATTTTACATTCCTTAATATTTAATATTCTATGCGAAGCTGCCTACTAGCTTTACAGATACAAAACCTCGCTTAACCTTTCAGAAATCATTCAATATTTATGTGAAGAGGCAAACATATTCCAATGCTTTGAAACTATATAGTACTGTAAAACAACTGGCATTATGTCACGATTATTGTATTATTGTATTGTAGTGTTGCCTCCATGAAGACGATTTCGAGGGACTATATTTAAATTTTATTGTACATAGAGATGTACAACATCCAAACGTTTTGGATCCTAACTTTGAACTTTGATTCGAAAACAATGCGTATCGAAATAGCCGTATATTACTAATTTAGACGAATAGAAATTATTGTTTTTTCTTCCATGTATACGATAAAATAAGGATTTGTAACTGCCATTAACACAAATTTTGGTTAATTTTTGCGATTTTTCTCACAAATAAGGCCATTTCGAAAATTCGAAATTGAAATCGACGGAAAACTGAACTAACAAAGTAATTAAAAATTGGTCTAACTGACTGTAACTGTATACTATAAATATTTCTGTATATCTCCCCGAAAAAAAATTTTGTTTATCTGATTTGCTGGCTACCTGCACTTCCAAACACTACGCTTCTGATATTAAAAAAAAAACACTATAACCAGGGACAAAGCAAAGCTAATTCTAATTTGATTGGAGTTCAATACATACACGATAAATGACAGACGAATCATTTACAATACAGGAGGTAGCAATTAAAAATATCGCTAGTAATTATCAAATACTTTGGTGTCGAGTATTAACTACCGAATGTAAGCTATAATTAAATCGAATGCACAACACTTGATCGGGCTCATAGTTAACTCGGTCTTACAATACAATTTTTTATAGCCGATTTCTCCTAGTGATTTACTCTTACGCAAAAGTGAAAATGGAAATAAATAAGTACAAATGATTATTATGCTGGTTGGTGTTGCCGGTTTCCATCGGGTTCAAATTCTATTTCGTTGAGTGATGAATACTAGTACCCTTTCGAAAACATACTAGTTAAATTAATCATAGAGACATATTTGCGTTAAAATGGGCGACGTTTTCAATTTGTTAAGCCGAGCCCATGTAGAAAAAAGGTAATAAATAGTGTACAGAAATAGGTAAATTTCGAGTGTAATAAGTAAATTTCGTGAAAATAAAGTATAGTGATCATTGTCGTTGGATACAAATGTAGTCGGACCAAGTCGCAAATTAACGAGGTTCCCTACCAGCCACTGAATGATTGTCTACTCTAGACTCTAAACTATATTGGGAGTGAATAACAAAGGAAAGAGAACTAATAAAATAAAAAAAAGTTGTAGGATAGTTTTTTTTTTTTAATTTATGGGCACTCGGTATAACTGCGTTCTGACTCACAAACCAATTAAAAACCCAGGCCAACCAACAACCAACTCTCAACCATCTTCGACAACTACACATGTGAAGTCTATATATATCATCAATGCGCCACGCTTGTTGTTATACAAATAAAAGGATAGTCTTCAATTATAAGTGCGCTTGGGAATTAATATAGTGACAACCACATGAAGAAACTTCTATATCTAAGCGTTTGGTAATTTGAAACCTTGAACTTCACAGCAATCAGAGTTGAAATTCATCTAGAATTTCGACGTTAAACAGTTTGTATAAGTAGTAGTCATATAGAATCGATACAAATGCGAGTATATACATGATATTTAACAGAAAGAAAAACAAGTTCAAAGAATTAAATAAATAAATAAAATAAAATTACAAAAAAAAAATGTGATAGTTGGAGAAGGCAAGTTTGGAAAATGATAAATAAAAATAGTTTTTCTTGCTTCGAACACTTTCAAAACTAGAAGCACTGTCTATAGTAGAGCGTGAAATGAATGCTGGTATTTGTACTGGTAATACAAAGTGGGCGCATGCTATTAAAATTAGTGTGGAGGCGTCCAATGGCCAAAAAAAAAATATGCAAAGCGTACCTCACGATTTTGTAAGTTAGGAAGCAACTACAGATAATGCTAGATCTGGCTACACTTCACGTTATGAGCGAGAGTTTCAATAAATCCATTTCAAGTCTATATGACTTGAAGTCTAACTCTAAAAGATTTTTCCCTCTTCCGAGTTATAGTTAGGCAGCAGAATTACAATTCTACATTACTGTATAAATGATACGATAACCTACTTTTATGTTATAGTTATTCGGATTTAATTTCCGTAATGTAAAATACAAATGATACCAATGAGCTTTCAATAAAGCATAACGTAATGATTTAAATCGGTATAGGAATAAACTAATTTAGCTGGCAAGGATTCATAGACTTTATATTACTACGCATTTATAATTAGCGGTGTAAAAAGACTAGACAACACTTTATAATTACGATTTTCATCAGACAGTACACTATCAAGCTTAAACATACACGGCAGTAAGAAACTTGAAATAGAAATTATCCATTGTCAAGCGTATTACGAGATATGAAAAAAACTATCTATAACAGTATTAATATGTGTTTTTGTCTTTTGAAACAATAAAATCGATTATCGTAATATTCAGCAAGGTACAAATACAAGTAAGTATTTTACAGTTTGTTCCAACATTCGGGATTTCTGCATTACATTATGATTGAAGCAAAATAATATTCCTTTATTTGAATCCACAGAATTTACAGATTTTCGTACAAATAATTTAGCCCAATCGTGATATATATCCCAATGGGAACTGTGCCTATGAGCCGGGCAAATAATAATAGATTTCAGATTCTCTCACCTATACTGATCTACAATGCCATCTGGAGGTCGGTAGGATACCTTTATTTTTCTTGGAGTGGGAGCAGTAGCGGATAATGATTTAACTTTGCCCGGTGCTGAAAAAAACATTTAAAACATTCGTTCAAAAATTTTGAAAATAAAAAAATATTTAGAAATGAATGGAAATTCACTGCAGTTTCCCTAGTATTTAATTTGAGTGGTCATCAACTAATAGCTAAATATTCATTTTTCAAACAAAAATAAGTTCGTTAGAAGGAGGCGGTCAATAAGGTGTGATATCTTATAAACAAATGCTCGTCCAGTTCATACTTTGTAATTAAAAATTCACAAATTTGAAACATGATTTATTAAAACATGAATTAGGTAGTAATATTTCAATTTTATCAATTGTTCAGTAAAAATAATATTGTGTCAAAATTGTACAACTGTCAAAATTATTTGAAAGATAAACAAAAGTGAGGCTGTTAAAATCCGATATCAGAACGATTCATAAATTTATATATGGGAGAGTGTTTACCTAATTGAGAGCCCAAAAGTGTTTTCTTGGGGGCAGGAAATTTTTGTTCAATTATTATAATTCTCTAATTTCAATGCGTGACTCCATATTTAAAAATTCCTAACTTGAATATGATTATATTTGAATTTCCAGGAAGCGGCTTCTATACCAGCGCAGTCAAATACCAAAAACATGTTTTAATGGGCGATCAGAATCTAATATCCATTCCCATCCTAGACTGAATCTATATTGAAATTGCATACCATATGAGGGCCATGGCGAATCACGCCATCGCTCAACTTAACACTATAGAATAATTGGATGTAAAGATTTGATAGACCGAATGCCAAAACGAAAACATTCTGGTTTCTGAGATGAAGCATCTATCAAAAAATTCTCATTGGTTTAACTTAAGAATCTTAAAATCAAAAAGTATAAACTTGACCATATTTTGATTTTTTTTTACAGCAAGATAAAGGTTTATTTATATCAATGATGTCTTTCAAATTGATTGAGAAAAATTGATGGGAATTGGTTTGGTGCCAATGCAACCCGGCAAACAATAGAAATGAAAGTTACTTACGAACAACAAAAAATCCCATATATTGCTCTGGCTTCATTTCGATATTGTCCAAAACTGCTAACCAGTGAATAAGGTATTTTTGTCCGGGAGTGAGCCCGAAAAATGCCACATTCAACCTTCCATTAAGGCTCTCCACTTCTTTTTCTATTGGTGCTTCGTCAGGACTATTTTCCGGAGATATACGGAGGAGGAATTTTTGAACAGGCGTGGGGTCATGCTCTATCATGATTATGACATCACCATCGTCAAAACTTGGAATAATTCTTCCATCAGGATAGATGAATCGTTCTAAATATAAATATCGTTTTGGTTAAAGAATAAAGAATATTGATGCTTCAAGTAAGAATACATGACCGAGACCTAATATCCCGCTCAAAAAGCAAGATCCGCCATTGATATTCCAGAAAGTTATCACAACTTCAAATTAAGGCAAACCTCCTGTCTGTTTAGTTACAACTGTGTTATATAATATACAATAAAAAACGCTTTAACTCGTAAATTCGGTAAACCAGAGTATCAGTGAAGTAAATCATGTTCAAAAACGGACAGTGAAGAGGTTCAAATATGAAGTATCATTCTAATTATAAAGCCTCGATATTCTCTGTCAACATCTGGATATCTGTTCTACAAAGACACTGTCATGCCTTTCCCATGTTCTCAAGTTAAGGTTAAGCCTAGACTAGTTTTGAACCCGGAGGCCTGGCTACTTCTAATTCATTACCAAACAAACATACTAGTTTCAAATTGCACTCTGGCTGGCTTGCTTTCCGGTGCATTATTTACGACCGTATATATCCTTACAATATATACATTTGTCGGATCCAGAGGTGGAGTATTATACGAATATACAGACACTCCATCTTCTCTTGAGCTAGTTTTTGTGTGAATTATTTTTCCACCACCGAGGTCGGTGAAAATTCTGCAATAGAATCAAGATATTTTCAAGTTCATTATAAGCTTTAATGCATTGTAGGAGTATTGATTGCATCTTCTTCTTCATTGAGTATTATACCAATATTTGTTAATATAGATAATGGAAACCTACAAACGAGTAAAAGAGACAGTGCATAGCGCATACTACCATATTTTGAGAGAAGAAACCAAAATTCAGATATATTGCTATTGAGTTTTTTCATAGTTTTCAGCAACTGAAGGCAAGCTTGGTTTTGTTGAATTCTCAAAATGCTTCAAACAGAATGTTTAGAACAAACAACAAACATATCAGTGGGATAACTCGTAATCTGATCCACATTTCCAAATAAAAAATTTGATTTTAAGTACCTGAAATTATCTGCCTTCTGTGGTGTTTCAAAATATATTGTTGCACTAGTGAAATTAGCCTCTACTCGGTCGATTCGAACTGATTCAGGGCCTGTAATAAAAACACCAGCATTCGGCGATTAGTGGGAAGCCTATTTTAGTAATAGTAAGTAGGAGACCTAGAACTTGCCTTTACAATTTGGGCATTCTAGTTAGAGTAAAACGGTGGTCGCTAACCTTTGTTGTTAAATTACTCCCTTAGACTATTCTGAGCGTCTCTATTCCTCCCTCGATATGCATGGAAAACACTATATTTATTCAATCTCTAATGGATCCTTAGCTAGAATTATGCGCGAGTCACTCACGCTTTTGTACAGATTGAAGTAAATAAGCACGATAGTAATATTAATGATAAGGATGATCAGTAATTGTACTACAACAAATACTAAGCTAAATTCCCTCTACCTGGTGAGGAATTCCTCCTCTGTTGGGAAACATTAGAGTAAACTAATCTAGGCATATTTCACTTTTTTTAAATAATTCAATTGACAAGTACCCTGAAAGATAAACATCTTACTTGTAATGAACTCAGTCGATTTGGATTCACTAGTTTTGTTATTTCGTCTGGTTTTACCAGTAATCTGGTACCTAGTTCCAGCATTTAGATCGGTCAAGACTGCAGAATATTGCCTGTCATCTGGGTTGTTAATCTGGAATTGAATATAAATTTTTGGCTATGTAGAAAAATAACTTAAGCTAATTTTTCTACTGACAGAAGTAAATATATAAGTTGAAAGTTCTGCATTCGGTTGGCAATTATACCATGTATAAATATTGATACAAATAAATATTTATTGAATTAAAGCAGGTCTCAGTAATAGCAGATGTTTTTAATTATTTTTATTTTGTTGCGTATGAAAAAATTTTTATTCCAATATTTAAAAAAAAAACTAAATGTTAATTCACCTCATGTACATATTGTTTAGACTGTCCATCCTCTGAAGTATAAGTCAATATAACGCTGACTGGCATCCGTCCAATAGGACTGGCTAAATACCAGTTAACTTTCACGTCATTGGCGTGTAGATCGGTGATGAATAATCTTCCCAAAACCACAGGTCCTGTTAATTTATAGATTGGTGCAAATACAATTCAGTTAGATGGATCTGATTTTACAGAACTTCAATTTTTGTGCGATGTGATGTTGACATGGTCAAACAATGCACTACTTTCTTACAGTAATTGTAAGTGAATACTGATGATTTTGCGGTAACATGATATTTTTTCAAAAAAACACCAATATTTCCAGTTCATAATTATGAGCACAATTTATTTACATATAGTTAATACTAATAAATAATAGGGATTTGTAGCAAAATTATTCAATGGACAGTTATAACTTAATCTGTTCCACTGCTATGAAGTCTATCATAAAATCCAATCATATTGGACACAAAGTGTATCTGTGAGCTTTGTAAAACTTTTGTTGTTATTGATGTGTTAAAACAAAATCCTTCAGTTCTTTTTCTGCTGGATCAATCGATTTATCAATGGCCATATTTCCCAAGGATTTCAGATATTTCATGTTTTTTAAACACATTTTAACTCATTGAAGCCCTGTTTATCCATAAGTTTGCTAGTTTTGGGAAAGAGGGAAACAGTAAAATTTTTCAGTGATTGAATTTGATAGCAGGTGCTAAATAGAGGGCAATTCCAGTACCTTCATATTTTGTTGCATAAACTTCAATAGGCTCAATGGGCCCAGGTTCATCGTTTGACACACATGTAATATTTCCAACATAATCAGTTTCCCTTGCAATTCTTAAAACGGTTGAATATTGAATTCTGTCAACTTTTCGGAAAACTTCTTGTGATATATCTCTTTCACCACCTTGCAAGTAGATTCTAAAAAAATGCAAAAATTTTAATAATATTTTACAAAGTGTTTACTTTCAAAGGGTGAGTTCGGGTTGAAATTTTCAACAATATCCAAGGCAGAATCTTAAAACATCCAAGTCTTTCAAGCATTATTGCTATTTTGACTAAATGACTAAGTTTTCGTCGTTAAAATATGATTTTCAGTCTGGAACCTCTTTTGAATCTTGAGTCAAAATCAAAATTTTTATTAACGAAGAATTAGAAGACGCCGCCTGAGTTAGTTTTTGACTGACACAAAGTCTAGAGTCTGAGTTGAATGAAACTTTTATCACACTCCACAACCCTAAATCAAAACATTGAACTTAAAATTACAAACAAAAGGATTCAAATGCTTATATCATAATATGTTACATTCTATCAGATCATTCTATCATTTATCATTATTTCCTACATAAGGGGTTGGAAAATTTTGCAAAATGTAAAAAGCTAAGACAGACTTTTGCTTACTTGAGAATTTTGCAAACTCAAAATTGATTTGTGTTTATAGAGCATAACACAGGGCATAAAATATAAATAAATGTATCTAATTGCTTGAAATTTCCAACTATTTAATCGATTCTAATCATTCAAGTATAAATCATCAGATAGTAATTCAAGGTTCATTCAGTGACTACTTAGGAACTTTTTTCTGAAATTTCAATATAAGAAATAAATAATTTGGATGCTAAGTGTGCTTGTATAGTAAGCTTCACCTGCAGAAATCAAATTCTCCATCAGGACGGGTGAAGTTAACTTCAACTTCTGTGTTGGTTGTTATTACTGTGATATTCTTCACCTTGCCAGTTACTGAAAATAAATCAAATTCAAATTTAGTGGCTATTGATATTAATTTGAAAACAAACAATTATGGGTATACTGAATAAAAATATCAATTTTTCTAGACCTATTTCCTTTAATCATGCATCTGCTGATTGAGTTAGGCAATCACAATAGCAAATGGGTCGGGAATCAATGCGAAGTGTAAAATTAATAAGCAGATAAGCAGTTTGAAGAAGACCGAAGAAAAGTTGTTTTAAAAATAAAGCATATATGTTACAGCATATAATTTAACACTTTTAAGAACTTTGGTTTATAAAAAGAATTTAATAAAATACAGAAACTTGTTTGGCATCAAATATCAAAAGAATTTTTAAACACATGTCAGCAAAATTTAAGCTGTATACCTGCATTGAATTCGAACTCCTTTTCAACACTCTTCAATTCTCTGATTTCAGTGACAATAATCCCTCTGTATGAGGTTCCTGGTGTGACTGGCATTTCAACACCATATCTTGATTTGGGTGGGTTGTGAGCTACATATGCATCCATATAATTTGTTGTTTCCCCCATTTTAAACAATTGGACACTGAATATTGCAAACAAGAAAAATAACAGCAGGTGTACTTTACTTGATCATACCAGAAATATTATATAAATTATATTATATATAAATATAAAAGTGGTAAATGAGTTTATTTTTCTGAATGATTATATCTTAAGTATTCGGGACGCAATCAATTCTTTTCAATAAAATCTTATGAATTTTATTACCCTTATCTTAAATTTCAACGAATGCTTTATAGAGTATGAAAAAACAAGGTTATATATTTAATTTACAAAAGAAATATATATATATCTATATACCATGATCAACTCAAATATCTTTATTTTGAATTTCTGGTGGCTTAATCTTTCAGTATTGTTTTATTTAGAGCATAGTCATGTTAACTAATGAATTACAATAATGAATTCACATAAAAATACATACAGATATCTATCAACATTTCCTATGGCAGGATCAAATGAAATATTAACAGTAGTTGATGTTGTATCTGTTGCTATGCTTGTCACAGGTGCTGGCTCTATAAAAACAAGGAGGTATTACACCACAATATGTCGTTTTACAAGAAAATCATGTATATAACATTAAATGCTTCCGAAAAACAAGTAACTAACTAATCCCATACCCGACATGGAATGGTAACCGAACGAGAGGCCGTGGTTCGCCATATGGATTAGCTGTCTTATCAGCTTTCCTCTCCCCCAGGATAAATATGTAAACCTTATCCTATCCTAAATGCGGACTAGAGCCATATGCTAGAAACTACCGATTCCTGGTCTGAGAGTGCAGAATAAGCCGAACTGAAAAATTCACTGTTTTTGTGCTTGGCCTAGTTCTGATGTTCCAAATAACAAATCAGAGGGAAAATTTATATTTTGAATATTTTTGAAAATAAACAGAAATGTTCATAATGATTGGGTTAACAAATTTAGCACTGCTTGATAGAAATACACTAATGCACTTTTTCGGGGAGCATTTACGAATAGCACACTTGCAATAAATAAAAATATTAGTATAACACATTTAAGCTTACTTATACATAAAACACTGAAAAGTATAATACCTATATTCATTTCAAATAAATCAGATGCACTTTGTATTCCGGAAAAGTATGCATATACATTCCCAAAGTATCTACTACCAGGTATGATATCAATATCAACAACATAAGCTGTGGTGTTGGGAACATGATCAACTTCTTTAGTGATGTCAACAGCAGTACCATATTGTTGCACAAAAGTAATTCTGAAAGTTAATTTTCACATAGCTGGTAAACTAGATAGAGATAATGAGACATTTTGATGTTACAGATATTCAAACATAAAAAATGATGAGAAAAATAATTTTTAGCAATTGGAGCTGAGGAATTGTGAAAGAACATGATCATATCATATTTATTTTTATTCTATTTATCTAAAATCCTAAGTAGACTGTGAGAAAGCAAACAATAAGTAGAATAGTGCCTATATGCCATGAATAGTTCAGATTGAAGTGATTAGTAACTCTTTCCATTCAACACAGACAACTTAATTTTCTATCACATCATGTGGCCTGCAACAATTTAGTTTGAAAACTTGTACTACATGACCATAAAATACGAGGTGAAATGTAAAATGCCCAAACTTGGAGGAAAATATATTTAGTCACACAGAATGTATTGACCTAGTACAGTTTCCGATAAATAAGCACCACATTAGAACGAAATCATAAAAATAATTGAATTGAATATTTTTTAGCGAAATTACCTGTAATAGTCAACAGTTTCTTCAGGTGCAACAAAATTAATTGTTGCAGATGTGTAGTTGTGTGTTGTCGATACAACTTCAACAGGTGAAGGGGCTGAAGTAAGTGAAAATAAATAAACAGAAATGAATATGGGAGATAAAATTTGTACATAAATAACACATGTTTTCAATGTATGTCGTCAATTCGTACAAAATTGATTTCAATTCGAAGTAGGCATACCTGTTGCAACAATAATTTCCGATTCCTTTCCTTTAGTTTTGTATTTTATTGGCACAGCGGTAACAATATACACGGTTGCCGGTTTCAAGTCTTCAAATATAGGCCTGTAAATGAGTTTTCCCAGACGATTTGTCTGAAAATTAAATAAGGGAAGTTTTGATGAAAAAGAAGGAACGAACGTTTCAATCATTTTCCATGAGCAATGGAAGCAGCAAATCCTGATGATTGAGACTGACTGAAAAGTCAGATTCAGTTGATTAACATTAGAGTTGCGGTAATTAGTAAGATCAATGACAAAATTTGTCGACCAGGAAAATTATCGTTAACGATAGGGGATATCGTAAAGTGTGCACTTCAAATAAAAGAATTACAGGAAACCGGGATATAAACAATTGGAATAGCTGGATTTATGCAACAAACCAGGTTTTTGAAGTCCAAAACATTTAACTTTGATTCAGTGAAGATTGAAAATTCAACGCTGTCTAAATCTTCAATTGAAAAGGCTTCAATGGTGATAGAATCTTCTGTTGTATGAACCTGTGACAAATTTTGCAGGCCCCAAGGTTCTATAAAACAAGGTGACTATAACAGTATTGTACAAGAGTAGTAATATTTTCATTGTTCTTCTTGATTAATTTAGCATTTACTTGTATATGCCTATACAATTTTTTCAAACAATAAAACAACGTGACAATAAATATGTCACTTGAATAGAATTTACTATAACATTTAACATATGGAGAGATGTCACTTTACATAGACACTTCTTTGTTCAACTCAAAATTTAGTACTAACATGAATGAAAATGAAATTACCACAAATAAATGAAATGCCAGTAAACTTTCTATTTGAAAATGACCAATAAACACAATGTATTTGATAATACATAAAATCACAAAATTAGCCAAAGTGCTAGTCATTCCTTGTTTTTTTTTGTTTTCTATTTTTTTCAGCATACCTGTAACTACAATCAATTCAACGGGTTTACTGTCCAATTCACCCCTTCGAGTCACAATGCTTCCTTCATACAGTTTTCCATATTCAGCATTGAATCTGATATAGTGTGTTGATATATCAGGACTATCAGAAATTGTTTTGTTAAATACTAAATCCTCTGCCCCATCCAATTTAAACCTTATCCTGAAAAAAGAAAAACGATTGAATTTGCATACATTTTTTATGACATAGCTTCAATTTCTCGAAGCGAGCATTTATTCAGCTGATTAAGGATTTGTTGTTGTCATATTGCTAATATTACTGGTTTCACAAACCGTTTTTAACACAACAGTCTCAAAAATAATATTGTCGCACATGGCACTGCAAGTCCAAAACATGTGTCAGTGCACTATAAGAGGACAATATAAATTGGTTGAATCGTGGAGTACATGCAAAATTCAATTTTGTATGGTGCTCATAAAAGATGATTTTGTGTAATTTAGAGTATCATAACAGGAACCTCCTAGTTTCATTCCACTTTTGTGCAAAAAAAATGATACAAGTAACTTAGGTTTGAAAAAACTGTCACATTCACAAACTTAGAAACTAGCTGGGCTAGCACTCTGTAATGGTGAGATTTTGATTTTTTAAAGATTAAACCACCCAATAGACTAGAGAGTCTTCTGGTTATAAAATATCAAGCTGCATAGAAGTGCATAAGGGTGTTTATTTAATATTATTTAAAACTAATGCAAATCAATTTGAAGCTGGATCAGACAGTTCAGAAAATAAATCCTCGTCATCAGCTCATTCACAACATATTACACTGTAAGTCAAAATAGAAGCTTTTTTGTTTAAAGCTTTATTCAAAGTAAAATCTAAAAAAGATCAATACAAAATATATTCAAAAACCTGTATTCATCTGCATATCCATTTGGAACTTGGAAGCTTATGGTTATAACTCTGTCGGTAGTATTCGATACAACATTCTTGACTGGTTCAGGAACTAAACATATCAAACCATGTCAGTAAAGATTATTCAAAAAGAATTTACATTCTGATACAACGTCACTCATATAAAACTGAATATTTTGAAGTATGAAATAATTACACAGATGTATTATGGTAGAGCTTCATAATATACATACCCGTTTGAAATGGTATTTTAGTGCTGTTGCTTCTGATGCCTTTGCTTCTAGTCAAAGAAGAGAGTAGGTATTTAGCTCCTGGTATCAACTCATCAATAGTAGCATTGTATCTGATAGATGGGTCAAGTTCTGATGACCACTGTGAACAATATTATTTATAACTTGAGTTAGATCAGCTTAAGTAAAAATTAGAAAATTTATCGGCCTGACAAGAATTTGTGGAATGAGCTTAGTCATTGCAGGTGGACAGGAAACAATCTTTCTAAATCAGAAAAATTTCTATATAAGTATTTTTTCCTCAAAATTTCTATTTTTTGGAATTCACTCATCCAAGTTGTTCTACAAAAGGTTGCCTTATTTCTTCGTTGTTATGAGACAACTGACATCATGTAAATAAACCTAGCAAGCTAGCCATGTTAGCGCATTAGTGGTCACTTGGAGCATTGAACATTTCTAAATTAAAAACACAAAAAACCTTTAATTTCATTTTAATAACTTACAACAAACTTTTGTTCCATTAATGTCAGATAATCTTCTGAAGTGACTTCGAATACATATTCATCTGGTTCTCCAAGAGATAGTTTAAAACCAACCATTACATCCGTAGTTCCAACTTTGATCACTTGTAAATCTTCCGGTGGCAAAGACTCTATACATTACATTAAAAGATTAATATCAATGAATAGTAAAAACATCAATATCATGCCTGTGCTTTAAAACAAATCAAATATAGCACTCTGAAAAGCTATATTTTCAAAACATTTTTATTGTCTGTATGTAAAATCATTAACACGATCCAGACTGAAATCATTGGCATACTAATCTGTTTGACTGCTCCCAAATTATTGAAATCATGGCTGAATGTATTTCAAGGTAACCAAGTACATTCACTAACAAAATTATGTCAGGTGCCCCTAGTATCAGTAAATATTGATTTATTTATTTACCTTTTGCTGTTGATGGTATGGTATGGTATATAGAGATCAAATTGCTGAGTTTGTATGAGACTAAGTGAAATAATGACATATTATGTTTACTTGTACTAAATTCCGCAGTTGTATCCGGACCATCATTCCCTTGTAATGATGGTGTAATGATCACTATGTAATCTGCAGTAGGTTTGAACCCATAAAATACATGAGAATAATATTCTTGGCCTGATATGGCAGGTAATTCCTTTGTGTTTACTATGTCTCCAGTTACATTTTTCACAACCATTCTATAAAAAAATAATCAAGAGAATTAGAAATGCACCAGTATTATGCAAAAATGGGTGTTTCAAGATTTTGTTCGTTTGTTGTCAATGTTTTTTAAAAGTCCAATCATAATAAACTTACGTATAAATGTCACTTGTGCCCGGCTCAGCTTGGAAGCTGATGTTCACAAAATAAGTATCTGGTACTACAACAATGTCATCAATTGAGCTGGGTGCTATAACAAGAGCAATAATAATAAAATTACTGAATAATGCTAAGTCTTGAAAACTCATTTATAATTTGAATTTTAATAGTTCATCTATAAGCTCGACAATTCATCAACAAATATTTGCCAAATGCAGAAAACGAACCATCATTGTTTGACTAATGCTGAAAGATATCCTTGTGTTAGACATTGAGAAGTACCAAACCAGACTTGTCTGAGCTATTTTATTTGATTTTACTAATCCGTCAAACATTTTTATAATTGAAAATAAAAATCACCATATACAATTTTTTTTATCAAAAATGAACAATATCGAAGTTTTATTGTTTGTCTCTCTCTATCATTATTATATGATGGCATTTTTCTATTTGGTCCCAATGCACAACACTTCACAATCTATACAGAGTAGGATTAACTATGACACCTGTGTAAAAATAAATCATTGTAGTTGCGCTCTTTCGATCATTGTGAACTGTCCACGATGTGAGGTTATATCTTGTACTTGGATTCAGATTCAGAATGTTAATAATATTATTTCGTTTGACATTAACATCATATGCTGGTACCTGAATTCAAGAAATGGAAGTTAGATATATTGAAGTTACTAATCAACAGTCAGAAACAGCCAATATTATACATTTTAAAATAAATAACAAAAAACAAGTAAAACTTTGAATTACATTGACAACTATCGGTTTCGAGTCAGGTTCACTTTCAGGTATAATACTGAATACATATTCATCAGGTGTTCCAAGTGCAGGAACAAAACTTAATGTAATATTGTTTACTCCAGTTTCCACCACAGTCAAATCATATGGGGATGACGACACTAAAAATAGAGATAAGTTTATAAATAAAGAACACAACTAATAAAAGTTTATAAGTAATGTACAATGTTGGTAACATATGTCTATATATTCATATGCATAATAATGGAAAAAATTTCATATACTGCTATTATCTGATTGAAAGCTCAAAATTAAGATGACGCATTGTGTCCAGATACAGAGAACCATATCAAAATAGATATAGAAAAAAGTTTCCATCCAAAGTTTCCAAAGAAAGAACGATTTTTGTAAGGTGGGTATTGGATTGTTAAATGTGTTTACAGAACAAAAATAACAAACGTGTAGTGAAGTTTCTCTCAATTGCAGTGCCCATCGTTCCATTCGTTGTTGGAGTAATTACTACAGTATGAAAGACTGTTGGTTGTAAAGGCATTAAAGTAATATTAAAGAAATTTTGATCAGGTGGAACAGGATAAGTCTTCTCTTGTTGGTTGTCTTTGGTTTCATCATAAATAGTGAAACTGGTAATAAAGATAAAATATGCAAATACTAAATTAACTAAAATTAAACAAAATTAACATCATTTCAAATTACGACTTGACATTAGGTTTTCAGATATTGGTGAAAGTGATGAGTTTTGATGATTGAATCTCTGAATTCATTCGAGACTCTAAAATACTGTATTCATCCATAAAATAACAGTGATTTTTTTTAAATTTATATCAAAACCATGGGGCTCCCGAAGTATGCGAACCAAGATGGCGGACATCGGAATGTAATATGTGTACTAGGTTAGGGTTAGGGCCATAATTTTAGGTATAAATACGACGGGAGGCTCTTGGCTAGTCTTCGAACTGATAATAGGACTAAAATAAGGAAAATTGGAAAGAAATTATCGCCTAACCCTAACCTGTTACCCATGTTACGTTCCGATGTCCGCCATCTTGGTTCGCATACTTCGGGAGCACCAAAACCATATTACCTGATATTGTCAGCTGCATCCGGTTCAAGTTCAATATACATATAAACGTAAACATCCCCTGGTGTAACAGTAACTGACTGAATGGCCTTGGGACCTAGGAAATTTTTTCAGCATGGTCATTAATATGCAAAATGGCGAAAATAATGGAAGAGCATGTTAACAATTAGAAGTTGAAATTACTATTCAAATTCTGCTTGAGGTGCCAGTATATATTAATTGGTGATCATGTTGGCATCAATGAAGGACTGAATGTAGTAACATTTCACACAAATTGAAATCTCGCTTAGACTTGAATTATTATTATATGTATAGGAATTTAATTTTTTTTGCAATTCTATTTTTATAGATGCAGAGTAATCAAATTACGAATTCATGATCATAAAATTTAAAGTGAATCAACTGTTTGAATGAGCTTCATATGAATGAAAATCCCTGAATTTGAATCCCAAAATAAAATAGTTTTGCTGATTATCATCAAATGAACAGTCTGTGTTTGATTAAACATTATTTTTATCACCATCATGGCTAGTTTACCTCAATTGATGATTTTTAAGTGATCAATAAATTTACAATGAATTAAATATATATGCAATATGTAATACAATAGGTATTAATGGAATAGATTTTACCTGTTTTCACATTAAGTTCTGCTGTTGGACCGAATTTGTCATATTTGAAAGGTCTTGCAGTGATGCGATATAATGTATCTTCTGTTAAACCATAAAAGGTTGCTTCATATTCATTGGCACTCTCTGAGTTTTTCTAAATAATATTTGATGATTTTGTTGAAAATAGGCTATAATATTTTATAGATATCTTTTCGTATTTCAAACGCCACACAGCACTGTATAATAAAGTCAGATGATTTTTGTTCACTCAGTATCCAAATATTTAGTCTCAACAAAATTCTTTCATTGCTTGAAAAAGCACAGGTAGAAATTGCCCAATGAGTTAAAAAATCATTTTAAACAAATAAATTATATTTAAAACTAATTGTACCTTTAAAAAGATTTATTTCTACTCAAAAAAAAAATACTTCATTTGTTTTTGCCTGATCCACCAGTATCTTAGTTCAGCACTCACCATAGTCTTATTTGCAATAGAATTTCCATCGCCTACAGTAAATATGGAAAATTCAACGCTTTCAAGAGAGTCATCAGTCGAGTTTGCCATTACTACAACATAGTTTTGGCTTGTTTCAACAACTTTGAAAGATGTAAAAGCAGCAGGTCCTGAAAACAAAAGAATAATATATTATCCTAGATTTAAAAAAGATGAATCATTTGTAACAACCTAAAAAGCAAACCTACTTGTTATAATGGTTTGATGGACCGTTTCACTTTGTAATAGTCCACTGTGAGTAACAAAGGTTCCTGTATAATTGTTGCCAGGTTTAACAGGGAAGCTGATTCTATAAACAACTTGTTCAGGCACCGGTTTGATGTCGTCATCAAAGACAGTTTCACCTGTATCTTCAGATTTGATGAGAATTCTGAAGAAAAGAGACACTGTATTAACTAATAGAAATTGAAGTTAACTATATTTTTAAATATAAGAGTGGCTTATAGATAGCGTTACAAAGGATTGTATTTTCCTAAAATAGAACCAGCTTGCTTATTGATCGAGCACGTTTTGAAATTTATTACTCTATTTTTATTCTCTAAATCTTGAATGAAAATATAAATAACTCACATCATTTTATACAGAAAAAATTATGCATAATATGCTCGGTATTGTTATCCAATACACGCATTAATAATCTGGTTTTATAGAATGCCACTTAGAATTCATTTTATTGCGAAATGTCTGCATTAAAATTTAAAGTTCTCACCTGTAAAAATCAGCATTCCCATTAGCTGCATAGAATCCGAGAAACAGGGAATTTTTGCCAGCCATACGAATTCCGATAATTTGGACTTTGCCAGGCACTGCAGAAATTTATTGAATAAAAATTAAATAAATAAAATTTCAAATAGGCTCTTCCAATGTTTATAATAGAGCTATGCATACTTGTTTGATATATAGTTGAAGTGAGATTACTCTTTGCATTAACATTCATTGTCCATCCTTCCAGCGTATAATTGGTTCCTGGTTCCAGTCCGCTAAGTAACAATTTGTTTTCCGCGGCAACGCGCACCAAGACAGGAGAAACCTGGGTGAGTATATTTTTCAGTCTTACTAGTAAACCAATGAAGAATAAATATAGAAGAAGGAAATATGAGAAAAGAGAGGTTAAGACATAGAAATAGGGATATTTTGATTACAAAAGCAAACATCAATAATAAGAAGAAATTTAGAGAAGAGGAATCACTTGAAAACTGAAAAGGGATACTTAGAAACAGAAATCTTCACAGCCATTTAATGAAAAAAACTAGTATCTTACTGATTTGGATATAGGCAAAGATGTTGGATCGTCCAATTCTTGAGTTTCAAAGGTATATAGTGTGATTACTCCTGGTACACTTTCAAAACCAACTTCGATAAATGTTGTTCCCACATTCACAATGTGCATATTATTGGGTGGCAATGATCCTGGAAAATGACAATAATTTAATAGGTATTGATTTAAAATTTGATTGAAATAAATTGAACAACAAATTACAGTTCAGTAATTTACTATATGCTTCATCAAAAGTTCGATCGATTTCCAAAAAAATAAAAAATAAATTATTTAAAATACTTGTAACAAATCGAGTCATCGACTCTTTTCCTGATCTTTCGTTCAGTACTGGTATAATGGAAATGTAATATGTTGTTGTCATGTTCAAGTTCCAAAACCAATGACTGTATGTCTCCTGTCCCGGAACAGATGGTAACCATTCTTCCCGAACAGTCAACAAATTTCTATTTTTCAGAATTACTCTTAAATAAAATATAACATGTTGTTAATTTTTTAAATATGTAATTTCAGTGAAAACATCAAACTTTGCACTGATTGTGTAGTTGCAGGAACCAATTAAACTAAACCAACTAAACTTTCTGATCAAGTAAGTTAAAAATCAGTAATATGCAACGATCAAGATTTTTGGACTTGGGTTTGGGTGCAGCCTTGAGTTGAATCCAATGGACAAGATTTTTTAAAATAATTTAAGTCATTTGTAAATAAGAACACATACTATCAAATATGGTTGTCAGAATTATTTTAGATTTCAATTTGAAGATCAGTTTTGCCCTGTGATTTGGAATCCAAGCCTACCTAGTGCACAAAATTAACCACATTTTTTATAATGATCAGAACTAAGTGAAAAATATGTACCTGTAACTATCAGCTGTATCTGGTTCAACATCGAATGAAAATTTTACAAATTCAACATCAGATAGAATGGTTACATTTCTTACTTCTTCTGGTACTGTAATAAGACAAAAGCTTGTTAGGAACTATGAGTGATTATCTACTTTACTTCAACTGAAATATTGTCACATCAAAAAATAAAGTCGTAACATTTTTTAAATGTGATACTTGTAAATTTTGAAAAATATCCGTAATCGAATAATTACAAATTTTCTGGTGACTTTTGCAGTATCAACCTGCCTATTAGCAAAAATTTGAGACTCATAGGAGGAAATGATATCGGATATAACACTGTGAATGTCATCGCTTATATTATCATTCACTCAATGTTTTATAATATCTTCCATTGTAATTCAGTAAAATTAAACACAGATCATGATTCTATATCAACTAATGTTTTAAAACCACAAGTTGATTTCATACCTGTGTAAAATTCCAATGTTACATGATCACTTTCTCGATTATTGTGAATTGTCCATGATGTTATAACATATTTTGTACTTGGCGTTAACTTTGGAATATCAATTGTATTTTCTTTCAGCTTCACAACTTCAAACGCAGGAATCTGAATTTGTAACACTTCTAGTTAAACAAATGGCAATAATTATTGATAAAAAGGGTTTATTGAAATATTTCCCATTTATTAATATAGACGCTTCATAAAAATAATTGGTGAGAGAGTCTTGGTGATACATACACAGACGTAAAAATGAAATTATGATGGTGCGGCAGATTCTTGCCAAAGTGCCACATGATATCAGAACAACTTAATAACAGTATCAAAAATCTATAGTGTTTGCTTTATGTTGTCTTGCATTTTGAAGTTGTCCTGTTCTAATCTCCTACTCTCTATTAACCTAGGGTGCAATAAATTAGGTAGACCATGGCAATTAGGTAGAGTGCAAAACAGTAAATTTCACAGTCTTTCCAAAATTACTTTTTTTTCTACATATCCGTAAATACCTTCTTAGTAAGTTTGAGAGTGAAAAGCCCTGCAAAAATGAATTTTGGTTATCCATGTGAGAAAATGGTGCATATTACTAAATGTGACGACTGTCAATATCAACTTGAGATAGCGGTCAATAATGAACATTATCTGATGAATTGTTTAAATAACAACATATCAGGGTGAGTATATATTTTCAGCTGTTTATTATTAGGCTATTATCAACATCTAGTTCATAAAACTATGACATTAAATTCAGGTATTGTGTATAGAATACCTTAACAGTAATAGGAGTTGAATCAGGTTCAAGAGCAGGTACAATCGTGAAAACAAATTCATCAGGTGTTCCAGGTGCTGGTATGAAAACTAATTTGGCCTCATTTTCATCGATCTCTCCCATTTCCAACTTGCCAGGAGGTAGAGATTCTAAGAAAATCCATTCAAATGTTGCCTAACTAAGCTCGATTTTTTGTCTAAGAATACTAAATTATTAAAATAAAATTACTGTATACATTCAAATGATAAAATGAAACAAGGAATGTCTCGGAAGAAATGATCTTAAATAGAATTCAAAATATTCTCAGAGCTTAATTGAATATATTGGCCAGTAATTGCAAGCCAGGCAATTTGTGTATCGTTGCCACAACAAGTAGGTAACTATTTTGTAACATTCGGCATTAAGTTCTTTGTAGGATTGAGAAAAATTATTTGATGCCTAAATCTCATTGTATAAATATGCTTTCCCATTACACATGTGATGGCCTATTCAAAAAAAAAAAAAATTGCTGGTAAAGGGTCTACGTCAGTGGTTCCCAAACTTTTTTGACAATCGCCCCCCTATAGTAGTTTATACAACTTCATCGCCCCCCGGCAATACAAAAAAATGTAAAGTCAGAAACGAATATATTACAGACCAAATAAGAAGACAAATCATAGTTTATAGTGTTTTTTAATGAAATAGATGAGATTGGTGTTCTTTAGCTTCTTTTTTATTGTGTCTAAAATTACCCCGTTTACTGGTGGAAAGGCTATTTTGTTGTTTTAATAGCAATAGTAGCACGGCTGAAAACCCCTTTGTCACATATAATAGGTCGGAAATGAAAGAATCCAGGGTTCTACCTCCTCAAACACCGCCGTGTACTCTTTCCTTATAGTATTTCACTTCCTAAATTCACTCTATTTCACATTAAAATAATAAAAACAAGGTTAATTTTTCCAAACTTATAATAATGATTTTTGTACATCTCATTTATTCGTACAGCATGATGACATGCACCAAAATACTTTGGTAAAATTCATCCCCGATTCCTCATCCTACCACGGCCTCCAGTCCGATCACCAGTCCATAATTAATCAGCCATTTGTTTTTGGATTCATGGACTCGGATGTGGAAGAAGCCGTGATCGACTATCGGCTACGGCCCAGGGGACGGCAAATTTTATGTCGCTCGCCGTACAAAATTCAGGGTTGCCATTTTTTTGCGGGTCGCATAAATTTTTTGAAATTAAAAACGGAACAGTGCGTGACAATGCCCCCTTTCACATCCGCTCAGACACGCTCACTCAGACAGATTCTCAGGCGTGGTCGTGAACATTACCTCAGTTTCGCGATTTTGAATTATGTTCGTTAGTTTTTAGTTGTTTTTCGGAAATTTAAATATAAATCAAATAAATCAATGATTACTTTGTCTTCTTATGAGTTTCAGTTAAATTACAGGAATTAAAAATTAGTGTAGAAATAGCTGTGAAATTCTTTATCGGTACTTTTAAAAAACAGATTGTTGAATGGTGTGTATTAGAATGACAGTTTGAAACAAATACCCCATTTTACAGGCAACAACTCGCGAAACCACACTTAAAATAACACCGAAAATTTTAAAATGATAAAGTATGGGAAGAATTTTCCGCGATCAAAGGTCGGGGAAGGTCCATTCAGTGAATCGTCCCGGGCCAGATTATTTTACTCCGGCCGTATTTTGCCGACCACTGGGATACGCAACTACCGTACCTTACTGCGAAGACGAGTCCAGAAATCCTTTCGCGTGTGATAATCGCCCACATGATTCAAGTCTGCGAATGCACACAGATTACAGAATTAGGTGCGCCGAACATAAAACAGGTTTCGCGAAATCGCCCCCCTATCGCCCCCTTCAACTTTTTCGCCCCCTTCCGTATCGTTTTCGCCCACTGGGGGGCGATATCGCCCACTTTGGGAATCACTGGTCTACGTTGCATTTTTTCAACATAGAAACTTATTAATGAAATGAGAAAAAATTGATAGGAATCATACTGTATTATGAAACAGCAAAGTTTTGTTTCTCTTACTTGTGGTGAAGTTTCTTTCATCTATAATCCCCTTTTCCCCATTGACTATAGGAGTAATTATGACAGTATGTTTGACTGTTGGTTGTAAAGGACCCAAAGTAATGTTGAAAAATTTTTGTCCTGGTGTCACAGGATACTCTTTTTCTGGTACTACTTCATTGCTGCCATCTGACACTGAAATGCTGCAAATTGTTGTACAGTTTAACATAGTGTAAATAAGGAATGCAAATCAAAACAGAAAGAATAATTAATTGTGGAGAAATTGTAAAAAAAAGATATAGAAAGTTATATTTTTCGAATACATGATGGATATTTTAATTCAGTTCAATGTATTTTCATCATACTAGTAAAATTATTATGTATTCAAGAATGGAAGCAGTTTAAGAAAATTATTCTTTTGCATAAAGCACAATAAACAATATTCTTACATCATATTGCCCGTTGCCTGTGGATCAACTTCCACAAATATGTTTACATTTTCTGCCCCAGGTGTTATTGCAATATTTTCAAGAGATTTTCGTGCTGGAAAATAAAATGATATATCAGTATCATATACTATAATATACAAAGCAATGATAAAAAAAGATAAAAAATAAGCATGTATACCCAATATTACTAACCTGTTGAGGTTATAACCTGCGATGTAGGGCCAGTTTTGTTGTGCTTAGTAGGTATTGCAGTTAAACGATATAATGTGTCAGGATCCAAGTCGCCAAAGCTAACTTGGTATGTTGTTGATTTGTTAATGTTTTCCTATAAGAACAATCAGAAAATATGTTCAGATTATGATTGAATTGTCTACGAGACCCTGTTATCTTGATCTAGTTATTATCTTAAAGTCACAGCAATGAGTAGATAATGGGGTCCACAATATGCTAGGCTGACAAATTTAGAGCGGTTCCCAAAATCCCAATAAATTAGTAGCCCTGTGTTATTTTGTTCAGATGTGCTTAGAAACATGCTATGGGCGTGAAAACAAATCCAGTTTTGTAAGATCAAATGAGGCTATTTTCTATATGAACGATTAACTCTTGCTGCCTTGACATACATACATTTCCTATGTACATTATATTCAGTTTGTCTTCCTTATTTTTAGTTATTTAATTTTCAGTTTGTGTTAGACATATCTAGGGTGTTGCTGCTCAAAAAACAGTAGTGGTTTTTCATGTCTCTCTTCACTCTGAACTGCTATTTCTCATTCTATTCTACACTGTATATGTACATTACATATTCCAGCACTGGAGAAAAAATAAACTACCGAGTGACTAATTTTTTTTTTCAATCTTAGCACTTACCACAGTTTTGATTTGAATTGGGTTGGAGTTATCATTACGATATATTGTGAAGTCAACGCTATCTAACGTATCATCAGGGTATATACACCTGAATGACAGATAATTTTCACCATAATCAATGACTTCCATAGTTGTGAATAGTTGAAGGTCTGAAAATAAAAGTAAAATATAAGAATGGAATTATTGTACATTGCTGTAAGTTGTAATACAAATGACATTTAAATTTTGCTTTTCTATGGTTTATATTTTATAGTTAACTTCTATTACAGTACATAACATATTTTAGCTCATTTTGTTCCATTAGTCTACTCATAGAAAAATCATGCAAATGCACAAAAAATTGTAACCAAATCTTGATGAAATTGTATATTTTGAGAAGAAAGATTAGGCACAATTTTTCTGACAATCATGAAAACTATCTTAACATACAATTGGTTCTTTCAGGATCATCATTTACAATACTGTAGAAAATCAGAAACTTCCACCTTGTGTGAATTCAAAGGTTCGAATATTGTGGGGATCATCATGTGAGAAAGAATGAACACTTTGCTGTTGTAAAACTAGCCAACTCTGACCAGTCCACATTCAACAAGTACGCTGTTGTTTGTCTTAGGAATAAACCTCTGATAATTTTAGGACAGGATACATTATTCCTACAATTGTTTATAGCCAATAAATACACACCAATTTTTCCAAAAAGTCTCTAATATGACAAACATGGACAAGCATTATGGTATAGAGAACCTGTGGCTCTATTTTTGACCAAATTTTGAAGAATCAAATAACCAGTTAAAATGGACATACTTGTTGTCAGGTTCACATTAACAGGAGCACTTTGCAATAAACCACTGTGCGTAACAATTGTTCCCAAATATCTAGTGCCAGGATTTACAGGAAAACTTATTGTATATTGTAACTGGTCCTCAACTGATGGTATGTCCTTTTCAAAAGAAGTGATACCGGAATCCATCGACTGGAAAATTATTCTGTAGAGCAACGTTAAAAATTAAATAAAGAGTAAATAAGTAATTGTGCACACAAAAGAAAATATTTCTTCATGGATGTATGAAAAAAAATTCCAAATGAAAACTCCAATTTCAGTCACCTAACAATAACATAGCAAAAATGGAGTATGCTACCTATAAAAATCAGCATTCCCTTCGGCGGCATTGAATCTTATGAAGACATCATCATCAATAAGGTCAGAACTCTGAACAACTACTTTAGCAGGTACTGAAAAAATGAAGTTTAACAAAATACAATTGGTAAAATTTTGTATTAATAGTTACGGTAATATGCAAATCATCGTTCTTTTATACCAGAGATGGCGAACCACTGACCCGCGGGTCATAAAGTGACCCACCGCATTTTATTTGTGACCCGCCAAGCGAAGGCACGAATAACATATCAGTGATAAAAATTGATAAAACCGGCCTTAAATTAATCTAACAATAACTAAACTATTATATTGTACCGTCAGTTGGAGAGTCAGAGCTGCGATAGCTCATATTCAAAATGTTGATTTTCGGGCCGGTATGGTAATTTTCAAAACCCCTAATCTTAGACGCATGTATGCACCGTTGTATACCCTTATTCAGCTATTCGGCCTGACATCGTTTAGGACATAACATTGCAATTGATCTGTTCATTTCTCGCAACGCCTGTCTCTTTCGGAAGTGCATCTGCAGACTGTTTTAGGGGTTATACGAAAACTAGATGCTACTTTGCGTTTTATTAGTTTCTCGCCTACAATGCCGCTGAGAAAACAAAATCTTTCAGACTTGAAATAAAAATCTAATATAACAGTGGGGCAGTGTAAAAGTGCCTTAATGTGGTTGGAAGCCGGTCGAAAATTATAACACTATCAAAGCGGAATCACCTCCAAACACTAGAACCGTAAAATAATTTAACGCATCATCCTAAACGTTTTTGGTAATTCATATGCGTGTTTTCGTACTCTAATATCATAAAATCGAGTGCCATGAAAAGTCCCTGATAGAAGTGCTGCATAAGTAAAGCCCAAAACTACACCAACACCAGCTTATAAGATTTGTTTCAGAAGTTTCTTATAAATACAAACGTGAATTAAATATCTGTGACCCACTCGCTTCTGTTCCGCGATAAAATTATAATTTTTGACCCATTCATTGAAAAAGGTTCGCCATCCCTGTTCTATACAATGGGCCAAGCAATGTCCAAATACAATGTTATTGGCAAACAATCCAGATAAAAAAATATAGATAAAATTGTTGTATGTAACTTCAACATGGGAAGGTCAACTCCTTTTTTTCATCGCTGCCTGGTTTTTTCTTGAAATACTAAAAAAATACGCATGTTTCTGGTCTCGGTTCAGCAGAGAAATAAACTGCAGCTCGCAAAATTGCAGCATATAGAGTCTACCTTTATTGTTATGTAACAATAGAGGCGTGAAAGTGAACGACATAGACAGGTAAAATAAATTCATTGATTCGATTCATATACACAGCATTTAAAATAACAAACAATAAAGCATTCATAATAATTACAATATGTAAAATTGGTAACCATATATCAGTTATGTTTAACAAGATTCTTTGGGAACCGCTGACATGAGATATGAAATCCTGAACTTTAAATCATTTTGATTTCATCTTGTCTCGATTACTGTAACTACTGACCTGTTTGAACAGACTGAGATTGTATATCACTATTCCCACTATCAGAAGTTGTCCATCCTTCAATTGTATAACTTGTACCAGGTTCCAATGTTTCAAGTAAAACTGTATTCATTATGCTTGGGCTCACAAATTGTGGCAACACCTTAAATAAATTAAATGGTAAAATTGCATTTCGGTAACAAATGCATAGTGGCATTAATTTGTACATATGGATTATTACAAAGTCTTTAGGCCAAAACACAAATTAATTTGTTTGTCAATGAACAAGTCATTTGAAGTTTGTATAAAATTATGTACTGTATAACAAAATGCTTGAGTATTTTACAATATCAATCAAAATGACATTCAAGCAAATACAACAAAAAAAAATTTTCCATGTTTTTTCAAAAAAACATCAAAGTCACAATAATTTGTGATATATGAAATATGAAAACTCTGGTTAGATCTACATCTAAAAATAGAAAAACACTTTCAGATTGAGAAATGTAACAAAATCAAATCTTTGATTATAAAAATGACTGTTTGCTATTTTACATATAATACTTCAATAATAAAGCTTCAATTGGATTGTATAGTTAAAAATCTTAGTTAGTTTTCTGTATTTATATTATGTTAAACACATTTTTACAGAACACTGTTTTGCATATGTTTTGATCTTATAATTTAAAATCATATAATTAGACGTTTTAGTTTAAAAGTAAATTTACTGTTTCTGTAACTTCCTCGGCATCAGGATTGTCAGATTCAGTTGCTCTAAAAATATATTGCTGCACATTTCCCTCATTTCTTGTAAAACCGATGTTCACAAAATTGGTCCCAGTTTCAATAATTTGCATGTTTTGTGGTGGGAAAGATTCTGAATCAATAAAAATATATTAGACAATTGTACATAATTTTGGGCCTTGTACCTATCTAAACCTTCGGGCCTAGTTTTATTTATTTTAATTTCAAAAACAAATAAAAAATAATCCTACTTGTTCTGAAACCATTTGTTATGCCTGGGCCATTGTTATTCCTGTATATTGGCGTCACAGAAATTGCATAAAGTGTTGATGGTGTCAATCGATAAAATGTATGATTATATACATATCTTCCAGAAATTGAAGGCATATCGTATGATTCAATTGGATTACCGGCATTATTCATGAGAACCATCCTGATGAAGAAATGAATATTATGTAAAAGTCGAACCAAATAGTTAAGGAATTATATAGAACAAAATATTTATCTCATTTAAATTTTTGGGAACCAATGTGTCGAATGAAGATTTTGTGAATGGGTACAAGCAGCCTAATGGTACATATAATAAATCAAAATATGTAATACTGAAATCATATAGTAATTGGAAATTCAGGTATCTTCCATATAAAGTAAAGCCAAGTAGCCATAGTCTGAATATCTAGTTGTTTTGGGGTAAAATGGGGTACACTATGCAAGTTATTATTTATTACTAAAACCGATTGTTCTGACCAATTATTAATATGAGATAAAGTGATTTTTGAGACTATTTTTACAAAATTTCAATAGTAAATACATACCCGAATAGTGGATAAAAATCGAAGGAGACAAAGAAAAAGTAAATACACGTATTAAGTAGAAGGAGAATCTTCAAAATTTGCAGGCACAATTTAGCATTTTGTTTGACAAACAAATCTTTTTTTATTGAGTAATGATAAATAACCCATAGTTGAGTATACATTATTAATCAGTGAAAATACTTTCACTTTTGCATTTATTTAATAAAAAACCTGAACTCGTACAGTTGAGTCCTATGAAACTTTACATAAAATAATTCATTCTTTTATTGTTATTTTAAACATTTCTGATACATACTTATAAAAATCACTTTGTTCTGGTTTTGCTGTAAATATTATTGTAGAAAAAGTGGGACCTGGTTCAATGAAAACATTTTCCACTCGTTCAGGAGCTAAAATAAAACAACAAAATCAATAATAAAATATCGTTGTAACATTTAAAAGAAAATTTCAACATTTCAAAAATGAAGCTCTCGCTATTTGTAGCATTAACTCTTCAATTTATGATTAATTGTTTTAGTTGATGCCCGAACCCTTAATTAATAGTTTACATACACCATCAAAAACCTAATAAAAAAATCATGAAAAGGTGACAAAATCAAAGGAACTTTTGATTTTTCAGTTTGGAAAGTTGCTACAAATACCATAGTAATTTTAACATTTTTCAACAAATTTTCTTTGTACATAAAAATCTTTTTTTAGAAGTCATAAGATAGAAAATTACAAAAAGGAAATTAGTGTAAAATCGATGAAATTCAGAGAATATTAAAATACTTTGAAAAAGATTTGCTATTTATTAACAACATACCAGTGTAAAATTCCAAAATAGCTGGATCGCTTTCGACATCATTTATCCTTGTTCGACCTAATACAATATATTTAGTACCCGGTTGGAGTGATGGTATTGCAACAAGATATGGTACAGAATGGGAAATGCCATCAGCAGACACCTACATATGAGAAGAAAACAAAACTATTGCTCTGCACTCGCTTTCAAAAACAATCACACTTTTTACTTTCCCCGCTATTTATAGATGATGTTCAATATAAGATATTGAAGTAATAAAAGTTTTAAAAGGACATTAATGTAACTTGACTCTGAAATAATAATATGAAAGCATACTATTTCAACAATTGGGTCTGATTCCGGTTCATCAGCGGGAACCAGACTAAATACATATTCGTCTGGTATTCCTGATGAAGGGTTAAAACTCAGCGTTACATTGTAGACTCCAGTTTCATGTATTTTGAAATTAGCAGGAGGCATAGGTTCTGGAATGTAAAGAAAATATCACAATACAAAATATGTGAAAAAGGCACATGCAAACATGCAGTAAATTGCAAATGGGATTGATAGAAGTGAGAAATACCAATAATTGGAAGCTCGCATACAACTTCTGTAAACAAGTTTAAGACTAATTATTTGAGCAAAGTGCTCTTAAATGTAAATACTATGATGAATAAAAAAAATACTTGTGGGTCTTCTCATGTAGCCTCAAAGTTATGTATTTCTATCTTTGTGCATGTCAATACTGAACCTCTTGTCTGTAACATCATTTTGTTTATGTGGTGTTACAAGATTCAGCCTTTAAATATTTTACCATTACCAAAATATACTAATACGAGTCTAACTCAGAATATAGTGAAAGGCAAAACAGTGTTATTTATTATATACCCACTAAGCTTACTTGTTGTAACATTATAATAAGTGGTTGGTCCATCCACTCCATTAGTAACAGGTGTTATAGCAACGGTATGCTTGGTTGCTGGTGGTAATGAGATGAACGTTTCATTGATTGATTTATCATCAAAGTCAACAGAAACAACTCGAGGAGGGATTTCAGAAACTTCGTTTAAAACACCAATTCTAAAAAAATGCAATTCAAAAGTGAAAATACATATTGTATTATGAAAAATTCAATTTTATTTATTTCCACAAGCATTTTCTGTCTGTACAAATTAACAAATAAAACTGAGATTATTATAGCATTGTTGGCTTTGTTTATGTACAAATTTGAGTGAGAGCTTCATGAAGTTTGGTGTCAAATGAAGCTGAAAATGACTCAAACTAGGACTAGGAGTTTTGAAACTGACATATAAAATTCCACTTATTGTAATAATTGATGATTAATTTGTAATTCTATGTCATAATTGAAAGATATCAGTTAAGTTTTATAAAATTCATAACAAAAACATATTACTTGATAGCATCAATATAGTAAGGTGGAGGAGGAATATTGACGAAAACAGATGCTTCACGATAACCTGGAGTCACAGTTACATTCTCGATGGGCTCAGGAGCTAAAAATACAATTAGTTTATTTGAATATAATGCCAAAAACTACTGGTATATAGTGGTAGACTAATGGTACGCAACCATGTCTTATAAGTATGGAAATAATCTGACTCAGGTCTATCCCAACTCGATTCCATCCAAACAATAAGTCAAAAATGCCAATATACATGAAAAACAGGTTGCATAGCTTAAAAACCATCAGCAAATGAAATAAGTCATGTCAGATGTACTGAAATATTTAACAACAGTAGCACAATATTTGCTTGGAGACTTGAAACATTTAATAAATGAAACATATTACTTTTCATCATGCAAAACAGCCTCAAAATCGTATAGTATCTAATCAAATCGTATCTACTTTTGGGTGTCTTTAGGAGAAGAAAACATAGATTCCACCACTATAAAGTGCAGGAGTTGTTATGAAAGATAGATGAAATGATATTCATCACATATAACGTATTCCGTCTGTCTTTCATGATCTATTCTAATATAGTTTACCTGTATTGAAAAACCGCTCAATCTCATCACTTGGAACAGAGTCCTTCTCAGTAGAAGCAACTAATTTATAATAAGTGCTAGGTTGCAAGTCTTTGAATGAATGAATGTTGATCGAATCATCGGATACATCAGATGATGCAATCTGTTGATGAAAAAAGACTGTTATTTTGAACAAATGCTTCAATGATGTTACCCTATAGGTACAATATGGAGATTGAAATGCTGGTCTGGTTTGAACAATCTACTGCTTTCTCAATAATATAATTATAGATGATTTTGCTAGCACTAACGAATATACAAATAACAGATTTTACACAAGATGTCTGCTAAAATATTCATACTCATGTTGCATATCTATGTAATGTTGTGTCACTTTACTCCACCTTCTTACCCAGACTGAATACTGAGTTGTAGACTTAATTTTCAACTTGAGGCGATGCCACGTGTGTTTATTACAAAGGAATATAAAAAGATTTCCTATTACAAAAATTAAAATTATGTTTTCTGTAGTGGGTCTGCATCGAATTGCTTTTCTGAATGTAAGTTTTAGTGTTCATAAAATGTTACAAATAGCCACAATTGCCATTAGCTCACCCTAATTGTAGGTGGCCTAAACTGGTCCGGATCTTCTAAAAGTACAACTTTAAAAATATACATATCAGGCTTTTCAGCGGTCGAAGTAAAACTGAAATCCATGTGATATCTTCCAAAATCTATCACACGTAGATTTCCAGGTGGATCAGGTTCTTCCACCAGTTTCTCCGTTTTATCTGCATGATAAAATACCAAAGGCATAATATACCGCAATGAGCGCTTTATATCCTGATCTTGGCAAATATATAAACTGCATATACATTGCAGCTGGGAATTTGATTTACTACTGAAATTTGGTTGTATATCATATGGAATAGTAATTTGAGAGATTCACCGAAAACCTCACAGATAAAAATTGTAAGCAGAATTATATTTTAAAAATGAAAAGCAAAATTTGTCATTTAAAAAAAAAAAATTACAAAAAAGGTGTCACTTTCGTAATTGTATACAAAGTTCACATAAAGATATAGGCAGGTATTCCTGCTAAGTAGCTGGAATGGTTACCGTTGTTTTAGGTCTTGTGTTAACCTTAATCAAAACCTCTGTGTAAATCTCTCTCTCAAATCTCAGAACTTGAAGTGCTTTTTCCACTTTTAGTTCAAAGTATGAAACCTTGCATTGAGCAAACTTGTAAAATGTAAATCAAAATAATAGAACTGAAATGCTGCTTTATGAGATGGTCACATGATGTCAATGCATATTCCATATTGTAACATGAAAAAATGCCCAAAATCCTTGCTGTTTAAAGAATTATTATTTTGATATTCAATAATATGTTAATACCCGTCGTGACAGTAATTTCCTCAATGGTACTGCTCAGCCTTCCGCTTCTTGCCCAGACGGATATTAAATATTTTGTGTCAGATTTGAAACGGAAAAATTCTGTTGTTGTGGTTTCCCATGATATGTATCTTTTCTGTAACAAAACATTACAAAATTTGTTAAATCATGACTTTGAACTTTTGAAAAGTTTGAAATATGAATTGAAAATATACCGGTAAGTAAAAATGAGATAATTATAGATGAAAAAAATTATCATACAAGATTTGAGAATACAAAATCATAAAATAAATACCTCTAAAATAACGTCTGAATCAATTTCTCTCAACGTTGCAATATAATAATCTGCTAATCCATCTTCTACTGGTCTTTCAAATGTTACTTTGATTGACCTAATGGGTTTTTCAGCCAAAGTCAAGTTTCGTACTGGATTTGGATCTGTATTAGAATCAAAGAAAAAAACTTTTTAACTTTATATCAATTGATGTTGATAGAAACTGACAAATAGTCTTTGTAGTAAATAGTTGAAAGCTTTTGCAAGCAAGACTCGAGATTGGTTTGAGCCTTATACAAAATGGTTTTCAACTACATATCTCAACAATTTGAATGAAACAATTTGTACAAATTGCTAAATTATGAATTGGTGTATTTGATTAGCAGCAATATGTTGATTTTAGATCCGACTAACTTTTCCCTTTAAAGTTGGCTCTGTCATGAGTTCACTTCAAGTAACTCGTTTATAGATTGAGTGTCAATTACAGAATGAATTGTTGACATTGATTCTTATCTTACATGTGATTACTTCTGATGGTATCGGAATAGATTTTTCATCATTCGCCTCATTTCTGGCCCATAAATAGTATCTAGATCCAGGCAACATGTCGTCCTCAAGAAAATGCGATTCTGTATTGAATTTTCGATCTATTCCACTCTCAAGTGAGGCCGAAATTGAATCTATTGGTCTTCCAAGATAGACCACTTGAAGACTGTACAACTAAAAAGATTGAGCAAAAGTTGTAAGATCAGTTAAAAACAATAGAGAATCATAATATATGATAATTAGCTGAGAAATATGCCAACGCAGGCGTAGGTAGTCAGGTACCATGATGAAAACTTTGAAGCATGAATTCTGAATTCGTTTTCGGTTCAATGGTTTGGGTATATTTGGTCGGATTTGTTTACACATTGGCGTTTTAATCTTTTCTTTGTTTGTTTGGTGTTCCATACACCACTACGAACACAAACCCCTAATCCCGGACTAAGAATTTTAATCTTATCACTATTTTTATTTCATATTTTTATGTGTTTATATCGTATTGTAGTGCAATTTGCTCTGGTAATCTAAACTAAATTTAAAAAATTGAAGACTGCATGTATGCAAAAGTGTAATGAATAGCACTATGAAAAACTGAATAAATGTAGACGAAAAAAAATAGTAGTTCAACTAGCACACAAATCAAAATGGGTGATAAACCTGTCTTCTACAACATTTTTATTATGTTAGAATGCCACGAAAAATGTTTTTGGGCGCCTTGAATTCTACCCCAACAGCAAATTCATGTCTTATCATATTTTATCGGAGACTCCAGTATTTCGGGAATGAAGAAATATTCTAAATCAGAAGTGGGTAATGCGGAAAAAGGTTGGGAACCACTGCGTTAAACACTATTCATGTCGAGTATTTTTCGAATATAAAAATTCCACTTATTCACAATAAACAACTGCATAATGGCAATTTCAAAAAATCTATTGAATACTTACATCAGCATATTTTTCATCATCCCAATCCACAATGAATGAATCATTAGTAACATCAGTTATGATTAGATTTTTTGGGCTCGGTAGAGGCTCTATAATAACAAACAAACAAATGAATTTGTCTGTACTAAATATAAAAACATTATACTTTAAATTTAATGAATAATATTTATCATTATTGATACGCATTTATTTAAATAATATATAATCTTTTGATAACGATAAACTTTAAATGAATATCTGAAACTTACGGGTTCTAAATTCCCTGTGCCTTGCTTCATACTCCCTATTACTATCAGGATATAGTGTGAATATGTATCGTGAATTTGGCCTCAGATCCCAAGGTGTCTCAAAATTGTAAGCCTTTAATGTTAAAAAATGAATTAAAAAAAAAGACTATTTGGCGCATAACTTGGAACAATCAATCGTGCAGCATTTTTTTTATAATTTCAACATATAATATAAACCGGTAATTAGAAAAAATTAACTTCTTGATTTTACATACACCACATAAGGTGGTGATAGAAAGATAATTGAAAAATATTAAATGGACAAGTGAAAAATAATAGAACCGTCTTATCATCTTTCCTCTATCACAGAAGAAATATGAAAATCCTATCCTACAACAAATGTAATGAATTTCGTAGTATTTTTACATTCAGCATCCAATTCAGTGTTTATGAACCAAATTTAAATATTTTATAAATATATGGTACACACCGTAGGTATTAGTATATAATTTTGCCGTGAAATTTATTTTATTTTGATTGTTTTAAAATAATATATTATACAGCTAAATAATAAGATATGACTGCGGTACAAAATTTCATATTTTCAAGATGAAGATAGCTAGTTCTATCGACTGACTTCTTATAAAAAGATGAAAAAGGCTACAAATTATTTATGGTTGAATATTAATTTACCTCAACAGAAGAACGTTGCTCAATGGAGTTGCTTACTGTTGCATTCTCATCACCGATAAGCGTAATTTCATAATCATATTTTAAAACACCCAGAAGTCCAGGTAGACTGAATCTTATATTTGCAGACACAGGCGTTGGAACGATCGTAATAGAATCTGAGGGGTCAAAAAATACAGTTCTCAAAATAAGAAAAACTTGCAACCAAAGATACATAACAATATGGGGGAATCTTTCATTCATATGTTACCATAAAAGGATGATTTGAGAAACTCAATGCAGAGGCTTTAGTGAAAACTCTACCGCGATATGCTATATGTCAAAGTGGAACACAACTGGCCTATGTCACAACATTTGATTCATTACTAACAGATCAAGAATATAACCCACCTGGTACAGGTATGTGTTGGTTTAAAAACACATAGAAAAATCCCATACTTACCCTCAAGTCTGCATTCAATATCTCTAGTGACATTTTCAATAATTTCGGCATTTTTCAATGATTGATAAGTAGGAAAGCAAACTGTATTCGTATAAGAAACTGATGTTCTCATAAATGATAATTGTTCATCTGTGCAATTTCCTATTCCGATTATCCTCGTTACAACATTCTGAGATTGAAGACGTCTAAAATAAAGATAAAATTTGATATAAACAAATTTTGTTCAGTCTAGCAGTTTTTTTTTCACACTACCTCTTTATAATTATATTTATATTATTTTATAATATTTGCAGTTTATGACGCACAAGTAATTTTCCATTCTTTTCAAATTAAGTTATTGGTTATGCATTGTTGGTTTAGTTATGGCTTTTGTACACAAGAATTAAACATATCAAAGGTTTCCCATAAAATACCTGTATATTGTTTTCACGTCGTCAGATACTTTGTCTCTTGTTATTATGTAAACTAGTTGTTGACCATCTACATCCTTCATATGATCAGCATAGAATGATAAACCTACAATTATGAAATTTTGTCATAATCAAGTTTATTCAGCCAGTGAAAATGCATACAAAATTAGGAGAAATAAAAATTGAACACCCAATTTTACTGAAGAAGAGAAGCAATAGAAAACCAACGCTGCTTATTAAGCAGTGACACACAAGGTTTTAAAATTAGCTCCGGAATTTTAGTTTTCAGAGTACTATTAATATTGCTGAGTATGGCTTCGACTGGTAGACAACCAACATTGTTCATTTGAGAATAATATATGAGATATACCTTTTACCCTACCAGGTAGTTCACAGGATATTCCCTGCCTGAGCAGGCTTATAAGGGGCAAAAAGTGGAGGCTGCGTAAAATAATAGAGTTTACTAACTCTGTCATTTAATGCAAATGAAGCAGAGGATATGTTTTTTAGTTATTATTTGAAAACATTTACTAAAATGAAAACATTTGTATTTCTATAAATCATCATACCTTTTCCAAGATTATTTTCACTCGGTCTAGATGGTTCTAATGACAAAGTATCAATGTCTTGTGCAATAGAATGTCTGGTATATCTTTGTCGGTTGCGGAAGTCCATGAGCAGTGTGGCTTCAGAATTGACTCCAATCACAGAAATTACTGCATAGTCCATTTGAACTATCCTCAAATCCCTAACTACAGCCGCCACAAATTTACGAATGTGATTGAATTGAAACAAACGGACATTTTGTGATGTTGAAACAATAAATGTGACATACAGACGTATATCACTAACAGCACATTCAGGACTGAAAAACATGACAAATATACAGCAAATGAAATCAAGTTCTAAAGATGAGCACACTTTTTCTGTAGTAATCATATATAAAATCTGTGTCAACTCCATATCATTTCAAAGTAAATTTATAATAGTTATTCAGTAATTTTATGGTACTTCTTTTGTGGTGATGTAGTGAGTGATTTGTAATTTTATTTTTTAGTGAATTTTTTCCACTCCATTTTTGATTAACAAGGAATTAACAAGGGTAGAATATGATATTTATGACTTACATTGCTACAGACATAAATCCAAAATCAAACTAATTAGTGTTAGATTAGAAGGAATTTAACGTACAAATACCTATTATTCTTCAGATAAAAAGAATTACTTACGAGAAATATTGAAGCTTTGGATCAATCACAACATTATCATCAATGTCTCCGCCAGCACCTCGATCTTAATGAAAATAAGTACATTATGAAAGAAACTAGGTTCAAGTGTCAAACATTGAAGTTCAACAATTAGATCTAGATAAGATGACATATTTATTGTAAGGAGAGAAATCTAATAAGTTGATTGAATTATACATTGAGTCATGGTTAACAGTACGGTTATCATTCATGAATAGTTACAAAACTAGTCAATTTATTGTTGGCTGCATGAATATTGTTTGTTGCCCTGATAGTAAGAAGAATGCTGTAATCTGCTACATGTTTATATTTCTGCCAATTATCCATTTTTTAGATAAAATATTATCTCACCAGTTTTGAAAGTTTGGGTCAAATTCGCACTATCTTCGCCAGCAGTATGGGTATGAAATGTAACAATATATTCAATATTCGGCGAAAGTCCATCAATTGATATTTCACCTTTCGATTCTGTAACCTTTGTTATATGAATACACATCAAAATTCACTTGAATATTATCACTTTAAGAATTTACATTAAAAGTCATTACATTTACATATAGTCAGTCAAAAATGTATCATAAATAAAGTATATTGTGATAGCTAATTAAAAAATTGTACTGAATGTATATTGGAAGATTGTGTATTCCAAAACATGTTGATACTTAAACTTAAGCTCAATAAATTGAATTGAATTGATAGCTAGAAAAAGGGAAAATTTGTTGAAAGTAAATACTTATGTATTTATAGTTAGCAAAAAACAAGAAATTTTCAAATGTTTAACACAAATGCAAATGAAAAAAAAAATAAAAATAACAATATCACAAAAATTACTTCTCTTTGTCGTGGAAAATGGATAAAATTTTTTGGATACACATTGAAGACATAGGACTCTGCAGACTCGTCACCACTGTAGATTAAGGTAACTGAACGTGTGCCTACATCTGTTACGTTAAGTAAATCTGGAGGCGCAGTCACTAAAAATTCCCAATAAAATAAAATCAATCACAAGCTACAATATGGACACAATGGAAATAATAACATAGAGATTGCAAGAAATCTCTTACTCCTACTACAGAGCATTTTCATACATTCATAGCCTAAAAATAGATTGAAAGTAAGTCTGTAACATTTTTGAGAAAAATTATGCAGACTTCCTCAATGGCATGAATACCACTGCATATGCGCACTTCTACTATTTGCTACAAATATATACCTATATCAATCCCGGTCCAAGTTTAGGATTAAACGCCTTGAAAAAGTACAGTACAACCGGTGATTAGATTGAAATAGATGAATTTTCAGCTCTTTTCATTGGTTCAGAAATATGCTTAGTAAGTATAAGTAATCAATCAAGAATTTATTTTACATATTTAAGATTAACTGTCTTTTATCGTATTTCCTTATTTCATATTACGATTCACAGAAAGTATAGTTAAAAATTCACCTGTGTTAACATCGATTACTTCAACCTTGCTTCTACGTTTGCCACTTTGTGAGTAAATGAATGCTTCATAATCAGTCGATGGTGACAAACCAGTGAAGGTAACAGATCTTTGCTTTTGACTTTGAATCTGTGTTTGAAGTATTTCAAATTTTTATTATTTAGATTTTTGAGTATTATTTTGAATTTGTCACTCAAACGCGACAGATAGGAGCATATATATCATGTTTGTTCCAGCATAATTTTATAATTTCTGTCAAACAAGTCATTACCGAAAGAATTACTGAATACCATTATCCACTTCTGCCTTATTAAATTATTTGAATCTTATGCACGATGATAATGAAGATTAGTAATAGATTAGCAGTAAAAATGAATAACTTTGCTTGCCCAATGTGATATTCATACCTCCAAAGGATATAATAAAAATGATAACAAGATTTGTGTACAAACTGGAAACTAGGGTTTCAGAGTTAAAGTGCTGGCATTCGGAGACGTAATCCACGATCGAGACCCATAAACTGAGAGCCAAAGTCAATTTTATTGACCAAGATGTTGATTATAGCATCTGACGCCAACAATCAATTTGAGTAGATGCTTCAAGCGAAGCAGAATACGACATTCAATCAGGAGTGCTTTTATTTTTGAATGGCTCCCCATTGAGACTGAGCACATCAATCCACAAATCGAACATGGAAATATTGATAGTTGCGAAGTTGTTTTGCAAACTTCTTGTGCAATATTTATTTTATTTACAAACTCATTTCACAGAAAATGTTCATATCAAGTATAATATATCGTATGTTGTTAAGTACAAATAGTGTGGAGACTGGAGTGAATAAAAATAATAACAAAATCACCGTTTCAGTTTTTTCAAATACTGGATTTGTTTTAGCTTTGAGAGTGATAGTATGATTGTCATAAAGCCCTCCTTTTCCTGGTGCAAATCTTAATTTGATGTAATCATGTCCCCATTCAGTTTGTTGAAAGATCATGACTGGTATGGGATCTAGCGATAAAGTAATTAAATTTGAAATTAAAATGGTAGAGACAACACTGACTATTGGCATGACCTTTGTTGATAAATAAACATATTATGCTTATAACTTACATGTGATTTCTTCTGTGACAATTGTTTTGGAGTCAGCACCATTGGCGTTATTGGTGGATTTAATTGAATATATGCTTCCAGGTATGAGATTTTCAACTTCAAAGCGTGGAGTATCTGAATTTCCTATTATTGGAATTTCATCTTCTACAGGTCTGGTAGGACTGCCACGAGATTTTACTTCATAATGATAATTCTGTGGAAAATGCATCATGAACTTTTACACAATTTAGGCATTATATAAAAATAAAAATTGAACTTTTATTTATCTGCACATTTATATTAGTGGTTTGATGGTATATGAATGTATTACACTTTTATTTTTTTCCTCGCATCCGACAAATCAAAATGTTAGGAAATTAGAAAAATTCACTTCCGAGTTTTATTTTAATAATATACATTTTTATTTAAAATGTTGACTCAACTATTGTCCAAAGCATTCACAAAGCACTAAAAAAAATTTTACTTTTGCAAATGGTTCAACATCCCAAGTGAGAATGAAGGAATCCGTTGTTAAATCATCAATTCGAACATTTTTTGGAGGAGCAAGAGACACTGAAAAAATTATAAATATACAAGCATTATCATAGTAACTTCATGCAAATACATTAAATCAGTGGTTCCCAAAGTTGATTGACCGTGGGCCAAAATTAGAAGCGGAAAGATATTTGCGGGGCAGAAGGGAGGAGTGCCACAGGGTTCCGATACTGGTTCCAGTATGTATAATCAAGATACCGGTATATTTGTAATGTAACTCTATTTTAACGATTACTTGGAACAAATTACAAAAAAGCAATGGACTGAATAGAATGTTAGTAATGGCATGGGTTACTGAATTGAAAATAATGATAAGCTTTGCAGTAAAGTAATTTTCCTCTGGAATTGGATGAGACGTTAATATCAATTTGTTATTCTTTTGTAACTAATGCTTACCAATCGCAAAAAGTATACAGAATCAGTAAAATATTCAAAACCTTCGTGATATCATGACTTACATGTGTAGAATGTTTCATTAAATGAAACAGTTTCCATTCTTCCAGTAAGCTGAACTTCTACAACATACCCAGTGACTGGTACAAAATACTGACCAGTTTCAAATGAGTATGTCTGTTGAAAACATGATCAAAATTAGGTTGATTGCAAACAATAAGTAATGTCAATTGCTTATATTACGAATGCATTCAATTATACTAGCTTGTGATCGGAATTATAAACATTCTTCACAAAGGAGAGGAATTTAAATTAGAAGCATTGCGTTTGTGGGCATTCTATTGAATCTATTTTTTAATATTTTGTACAGCAAAATAGAGATAAAAAAATACATTAGAATGAAAATAGATTTAAATAGATAAATGCTGAAATGGGTGAAACACTGGTTTTAAAAGGTCAAGCAAATAGGAATACCATTATAAGGAGCATTAATAAAAAACTCTAACATACTGTTTGTCCTGGAATGTATTTCATAGATTCAGTTGGTAGGTCGTCATCATCATTACCATCATTAATATTTCTGAAACTGACCACAAAATGGGTGAGTCCAGTTTTGTACGGAGATGTGAATGTGACTTCTGTTGAAGTTGGTGTTGGTCTGACAATGATGCTTTCAAGTGGTTCCCCTGAGTTAAAAGTGAATAAATGAAAAAAGACTTAGAAATGATAATATGATATAGTGATCATTGTTATCATATAAATAAAACTTCATGTATTTGATATCTCAATAAGCACTGATATAAGATCTGTATATACGGCAGCATTTTCAATAGTGAAACATTGTTTTCTTTTGAAATAAGATTCTAAAAAGTAAAATAGTCATTAAGGCAGTTTTACAGTTGCATCTGTCTTCAAATAAAAAAAGGAAAAAAACTCTCAAATACCTGATTTTGCAAGGATTGACACAGCATCACTTTTTCTTTCATCGCTCTTGGCCACTACCAACACAGTATAATACTGTCCTGGTATTAAGTTTGAGAACTTTACAATTTCTACCTTAGAACTGTCATTAGTTGGCAAATTGACCTAGAAGAAACAGGAGTATAGAAATGTTTCATCAAATATAGTGTTGTGATTTATAACCCTCAATTTTAAGAGATATTTCCCATATTTGGTTCAAACAGGGCTTAGGACAACCAGTAATTGATAAACATAAACCATCATTATTACACTCTTAATTGATCATGAACATTTGGTAGACATACATTGTGGAAGTAACAATATCATTTTTTCAATGAATTAACAAATTTGTTTGTAAATATACTTTTATGTAATCCTTAAACAATCACTATGTTTTATGAAAGAAGTTACTTAATTAATGGAATGAGCAAAAACTCTTTTTTTGGCATAAGCTGTATGATATGTAAAGCCACAAAAGGCAATCATAAATGAAAATCAAGAGACTATTACCATAAAATTACGTACAACATGAGAATGAGTGCTTACTGTTTGTGTTTGTCCACCTTTCGAAATATCCCGGGATTTAGTGAATGGTGTTAATGTCACAGTATGTGATTGTGAAAACCCATCCCCATATGTAAATTCAACTGTGATGTTATTTGGACCAGTCTCTGTTTGCATCAAATTTTTCACCGGTGGGGCGCCTTGTATTGAAAAATTATTTTTCGATACTTTATGTACAAATAGATATTCTACAATGAAAAAACACTGCTAACATTTTCATATTATGTCTTTTCGTATATCCATTAGCAAAGTCAATACCATTTGGGAAATCTGAATAATCTCACCAAATTCCCACCCAATTTAATATTATTATATTAAGTAAGGTAATGAGCATATTAACAACATCGATTTGAGTTAAAATTCTAAATTGCTCAACTAGATGACAATGATCGACCCAATAACTAGGACTGATTGATCGATCCCACATTTCATATATTTTTAATCAGTTATAATAATAAAACAACTAATAACAATTATTTAGTGGAATATCTTACATAATTTCGTTTAACAAAAACTGCTCTTTTATTTATATTTCTTTTGGATTTTTCTACATAAAACTTACGTAAAGTATCTATAAATGAGCGTGTGGCTGATTTTCCACCTTCTCCCTCATTCCAAACACTAATACTGTACAGTCCCCCCGGTACAAACTTGTCACCAAATACATCAAAACTTGGTTCATCGCTAGATTTGCTGAATATTAACTCAGCATTTTCTTGTATTGGATTCACTGGATCACCCAGATACCGCACTTCGATGTGATATTTCTGAATAACACAAATAAGGAAAAAAGATTTCAAATGCATATTCCATTTATAACTAAAGTGATTTTTATTTGAGTTTTTTAGGACTTAAACCAAGAAACCTGCCATTTTTGCTGGTGATGAAATCAAATTTACAGACTTTGTGAATTGAGTGATCAAAATTGGAAGTTAGATTCCTAACTTGACTTGTAACTTGAAGTCAAGTTACATGTTTTCAAGGCAATGAGCCAAGTATTTTGAGGGATTAGCATTTTTGACGAAATAGCCTATATGAATCAGAGTAATATTTTTATACTTAAATGCAGGTAGAGATACTACATTTAATTAGCAAACTCCTCACCTTCGCTTCCTCTTCCCAATCCCATTGAACACCAAAGGAACTACTGGTTACTCTGTGATATCGAATGTGTCGTGGTGGATTCAGATAATCTGAAGGAACAAAAGAAATTCAGTAAGTATAATCACACACTACATATGAAGGTTATTCTAAAATCTAAATGTAAAAAAGTAACTTACATTTTGCTTTTATAACTGTGTCATCTTCTGGGGCTGAAATATGGAAAAATTATAAGCAAGTTGTAACCGAATGATTTACACAAAAAAAAATAAAAATAAAAAGTTATACAGTTAAAGCTTAAGTCCATTGCTGTTCTTCACTATCATAGCCTCTAAATTGTTGGGAATATGAAAGAAGACATAGTCCCGATTGCAATTTGAATGATTTCTACTACACTACGGCAATTCTAACAGGGAAGGAGGGTATTTAAAATGGATATTTACAAAGAAGGGCCTTCAAGTCATTATACAAAATTAGCATAATACTCTCCCAAGCCTAGAATAAACTTTGACCCAAATGTATTTTGGGCATGCCAGCAGAAAGTGCCAAAATGCGGTCTAAAAAATTTCATTTAGAAGTGTTGTTAAGCAAGGTTATTATGATATGCCAGTAAGAAAAAACAAGTTTACGGTATACCAGATTATATATGAATTCATAAACCATTCATTCAAAATAATTCATGAAAATAATAAAAATTTGAATATAAGCTATGACTCTGACCTGTTGTAACTTCGATGGTTGTATTTGAACTCTTGCGATCACCTTTTTCAACAAAACCAGTAATTTTATATGTACTTTCAGGCTGTAAGACATTGAACGTGACTACATTCTCCACTCCACGATCAATAACACGCTGAATATAAAAACATGATTTAAGTTTATAAAACTTAATAAACCTATAAACAAAGATCTGTACATATTGTCTGTCAAACCTACTGAAGATATATTCCAATATTGGTTCGAAGATAAAATGACAATATGCCATCCATACAGTTCGAGTTGATGTTATAGAAAAAGTTATGAACCGTAACCAACTATGGTCGAAAGTCAGAGGCAGTGAAGAATCAGCCAAATTCAAAATATTGATGTTAATGTTGTAAACATAATTTAAATATGAAGAATATTTAAATAATTTAATGAAAGATCTGGTGGTAATAATGTTCCATTAAGGTTGTATGACACAAAACACATGAAACATACAAATGTAATATATATATATATAGCACGTAAAGTATCAACGAGCCAGAAAACAATAGAGACAATATTTCCTCACGGTTTAAAATGTTCATGCAAGTCAAATAAACTCACCTTCACAATAGAATCCACTTCAACATCAGGATCCGCAGCGGATGATACAGTAAAAGTATATCTATCTGCTTGTCCAGGTCCAGGTATAAATTTAATACCGACTGAATCCGAAGTTATATCAACTACTTCGACATCACTCAATGGAGAAGGAACTGAAAATATTAAGTTGGTAATTATGTACGTAAATTGAAGGTAATTTATTTAGTTATAGCAAGGTTTACTACATTTACTAAGATGGCATGATACAAAATGCTGCTTTTTAGACTGGGTCATATCGCTAGTATAATCAGTAGAAGACGCATTTGTTATAATTCTATTCTGTAATGATTAGTCTGACAAAAGTCAGTCTTTTTCAGACAAGCTGTGTACAACAATTATGAAAAATCAAATCATTAACAACAATCATGATCTTTGTAAACTACCTGTATGAGGAAGCCTGGCTCAAGTTAGACGGAACGTTATAGAATTAAAAAAGTGATATGTTTTGTAATTGAAGAGAAAATAGATTTGGTCTTATTAACAGCAATTATGAATAGAATATTTAAGAAAAATCAATAGATAAATCTAATCTTGTTTAAATACTCACATAGTGTTGCTAGTGAGGTCATTCCATAAGAATATTTTCCAGATGCTATATTGGCAACTCGTATTGTGTAGGTTCCTCCAGGCAACAAGTTTGTTACATTCACTGAAGGTGATATCAACTCTGTGCTTATGTATACTCTTGTTTGTTTGCCTGGCTCTTCATATATGACTTCGATTGCATAAACCTGTAAAAATATTTGAAATTTTCAAGCTAAAACTCATCTTATGGGCAAAATATTTTCTCAGGAAACTACAACAATGGTGATAAACAACACCATACTGGCTCCAAAGACCAGAATTTGTGTCTACAGTGCAGCCTAATAGCACAAAGAAGGCCATTCAAATGAAGATTGGACCGTATGTCCTACACTACCTTATTTCAGCTAGGTGAAATTTACTAACAATGTTCTGCTAATCTGGTACATGAATTGTAATTGAAATTTGATATCTATTAGCAGCCTCTGGAAATAAAGGCTCGTATAACTTGTGGAAAATTAGTGATGGGTATATTAGATTACTAAAGAGTAGGTAATTATTACCGGTACTCCATATATTAGAAATATGATATTATACCTCAACATCGGGATGTTCATCCCATCGAACAAAAAATGAGTTAGATGTAACGTTTGTAACTCGAAGATTCGTTGGTGTGGGTGGCAGACGTTCATCTGGTACTATAAGTGGTTAAATTAAAATAATATAGAAAATATTTTATAGATGAACAACTTATGATAAATACACACTATCAAGGTCAAGTCTATAAAAAATAAAAATTAATAGGACTACAATAGCATAATGAAAGATTTGGTTAAAACGGAGTTTTCAAAATCAGGATGTTTACATTACAATGTGGATCCTTTTATCCAAAACTTAGCAATATATAAGCTTATGGAATTTTCATTAAAGCCAAATTTTTTAGGAAATAATAACTTTTCCAGATATCTTTTTTTCTATATTATCCTTACACTATTTTTTTATATATCCAATATCAACACAAAATTCAAACAAAATTTTGAATTCACAGACCATGTTATAGATACTTCTGTTCAAAAAATTAGGATTTCATCATTATTCCATATTTCCTTTTCAAATAAATGCAAATGACCGACCTACATCATATGGTGTGATACTTTTCACCCTAATATTATGGTAACTTTAATCATGGCGGCAAAAGTGAATTGTGAGAATTACTAATACAAGATAGCAAAGCACAAACGTATGGACGAAAAGGTACTACTCGTACATGTCACAGTTAATATATAAATGCTGTTTTCTGAGCACAAGCAAGACAAAAGCAATCAAGGAAATCAACTTTTGGTGGTGCAACTTTTAACAAAATCAGCAAAATTTTGCAAAAAAAAAACTCAGAAGCTCAGAAAAACTTGAAAAAATCTAGCCTGAAAGTTATAGACTACTTGAAGATACTACCCACTATTTAAAATGTTTAGTTCTATAATTTAAAATCGAAATAATTTATTGGAACAGCAATCAAACAACAAAACAAACACCCAACAAAATGACAATTTACAATCTAAGCCCACAGGTTCACTTCATGACGGTGAAATGTGAAGTCTAATAATACATCAAAACGGAGTTTTTACAATCAGGATGTTTACATTACAATGTAGATCCTTTTATCCAAAATTTAGCAATATATAAGCTTATAGAATTTTCATTAAAGCCAAATTTTCAGGAAAAAAATAACTTTTCCAGATATCTTTTTTTCTATATTATCCTTACACTATTTTTTTATATATCCAATATCAACACAAAATTCAAACAAAATTTTGAATCCACAGACCATGTTATAGATACTTCTGTTCAAAAAATTAGGATTTCATCATTATTCTATATTATTCAAACACCCAACAAAACGACAATTTACAATCTAAGCTCACAGGTTCACTTCATGATGGTGAAATGTGAAGTCTAATAACACATCATTGATGACAATTATATTTTGAATGCAAACCTGTATTAACATCCAGAGGGAGACGTTTACTAATTTTGTCACCACTCCTGGCAAACCCATTCACAGTATATTGAGTGTCAGGTTCAAGATAAGAAAATACTACTGCTCCATCATTTGGCTTGACCTGATTAAGTAATGATTGAAAATGAGTAAGATGATATACCATTAAAAACAACAAAAATTATATTCAAATTTTCAAACAAAAGTAGTGAAATTATATCATCTGATATCAAAAACTTGGTCTGTAAATTTGGATAGCATAAGTTACCATAAAAAATTTAAATTTCAATAATCAAAATTAGGCCAAAATTTGGACCAAAAATGAAGCAATGCTGAATATAATAATAATCACTTCACAGTAAATAGTAAGCATCTTACTAATTCCATTCCTAAAATTATATCGGGATCATCATCAGCAGCTATTTCAAATATGAATTCATCTGCAAAACCAGGTCCACTCTCGTAGCTCAGCGCTATTTCAGTAGGACGTGCCATTATCTGCCTCATACTTTTAATCTGTGATGGGTCTGTGAAAATTGAGAAAGTGTGATAATTATGTCTATATTAGGCGCAGTGATTTTCTAATACTTCTACCTAGCCATCATACATATCATGCCTAAACCTATACTGTATTTGTAAAAATACTTACTGACTGTTCCATCAATAGTTGACTTAGGAGATGTTTGATCATTACGTATAGCTGATACCTCAACTGTGTATTTTCCACCTGGTATCAATTGTGAAGCAAAATATTCTGGTGATGCAAAACCAGTGCTGGATCCCTGAAGTAGTGGTTGTACGGTTTCTGCATCGAGCGAAGTTACAACTGAATAAAACTAAAAAAAAAAATTATATCGATATCAGATTCACTTGATTATCCAAATTATAAGGTTTCAAAAATAGGTTACAACTACTTGAAAGTTATTATTTGAAAATTTTCTTCTAAGATCTTCTTTAGATATACCGTGTCGTATCATCTCACTGTTTTTCTTTTTGAACATTACTTTTTCATACACTTAGATATGAACACAAACTGAGAAAAAGACCAAACCAGATAATCATGTATTTATAGGTAAAAAACATAATTGAAGCATTTGCCGATAATTTAATCAAAAACTATATAAGGTAAATTATACGCTTTCCCTGAGACCTGCATCGAATATTCACAAACACTGACAGCACTTTTGTCACTTGCTTGAGCCATTTTTTATTCACACATCTTATCACAATTACCAATAAATTTGAACACATTTTTGAATTTGAAATTAAAACATTGGCTTACTGGAAATTTTTGCATTCTAAGAATGCCTTCATTTAATTGAAAAATGAATGCATTCATTAAAATGATAATAATCACTACCAAGTACTCACATCGGCTCCTTCTACTGAATCCCATTTTACCATGAAAGAGCCAGTAGTGACATTTTCAATTCTTAGATTAGTTGGTGCAGTAAGCTCTTTGGCTAAAAGAAATATATATTATGAATTAGAAATTGCAATGGAGATATTGTAATACAAAAGCAGTTGAGATAGCAATGTGCAGAATATAGATACACACATCGCTACCATTGCCTAAACATTTGATGTCATTGAGATCAAGATTGTCAAAAATTATTCAGCGGATAGTTTCTGTTATCATCTAATTTTAAAATCAGCAAAAATAAAATAAGCATTCTAGAAGAAAACATTCAAAAGCAATTAGTACAGCAGTTGAAAATAAACAACAACAAAACTTTTTCAAGGTCATCCATTGGTTCATTCTAAGTTCGAAAATTGAATAATCTAATAACAAGAATGGTTAAATACTTATTGAAAGCAGATTTGTAGCAATACTCACACCTGCCCACTTTAAACAATAGTTTAGTTCACAACAAACTCAAGCTAGTGCATAGTGTAAATATAAAGCATTCATTGTTTTTATGTCTCTGCCTATATAATGTATAATTGCTTCTTATGTCACTCTTTAATTAAACCGTGCTTCTAATTTATCTGATAACATGGGAGATTTACCTGTTTCTACATTACTATTCACTGATGTACTGTTTCTTTTTCCACTGATAGCAATTCCAGTCACAATATATTTTGTATCTTGTTGAAGATTCAAGAACTCAATTTGATTATTTGCAGTTTCTTCAAATACATTTACCTATAGCCATATTAAGTAGAGATAAGTTCAGCTATGTTCACAATATGAGTGCAAAAATTTGAAATACATTGATATGATTTGCCAATAGTGCACAATGTAAGAATATATGAAAAAGCAAACTACAACATTTGATAAATGCAAAGTCACGAAAATAGTTCAATAGAAAATACATAGTGGCTTTTTTTTAAAATAAACTAAATTTGAGGGGAAAACAAGTCCCAGTAAGTCAATGCGAGTAAGAAAAAGTGAACAAGACTAGTCATTCAGATGATGCTTTCATATTTAGCTATTTGGCAATTAAAAGTGATAGAACAAATAGTTGAAGATGAATGTAATTTTTGTTCAACCATTAATAACATGGGAAGCCACAAATTTATCGAAACAATATATAAGTCTTATTTCTGATCAAAAACATAAGGAAATAGTTTAGTGTCCTTTATAATTAAATATTGGATGGATTCAGATTCAAATAGTTATTTTTATCGTGATCAATGTAAAGCAATAAATACACATGAAAAACCAACAAAAACAGAAACATTGAATCTAGCAATTGATGAGGGGTCGTGAAAGACTCAGTGAGTCATCCAGTCAGTGACACCATATGAGTTCAAGCAGCAAATATAGCAAAAAAAATTATTTTCATGAAATCACCTTAAAATACACAATCATGATCACAACCATTATGATTTATTTACAGCCAACACAGCCAAATTTTGCTGATTAATATGACAAGGCACTAGGACTAGTCACTGTTATTGTCAAATCTGATTGAAAAACAAAAAACAATTACCTCAATTGTATCAATCAAAATATCTGGCTGGCTTTCAGTTGCAATTGTAAAAATAAACTTCTCAGCTGTACCAGCTCCGGGTCTGAACAAAAGTCCGATTCTTTCTGGTTCTTTGATATTTTGAGCAAGTGTTTGAATAGGGAATGGATCTGGAAAAATATACGATACATGTATAATAAAGAATATACTAAATTGGTAATAAGACTGATTTTCTAAGTTGCAGTTTATCGATACAGGTATTTTAATTTGAAGCCTCGGCTGATAGTGACAAGATAAAAATTTTGTTAAGTCTTAGGAAGCAATTTTTTATAGGTCAAAACAAAATTTGAAACTTTAAAAAGTGTATAGAAACTAGGGATTGGACTAGTCTGAGTAATAGGTCAAGGAACCAAGCCAAATCCTTCAAGTTTATGACACCATATTAAAAAAAAGAAGAAAATGTAGACCAGGGTGGTCCAAACCCAGGCCCAGGCTTCATTATCTATGGCCCGCGTCGCCATTGCAGGAGGGTAAACAATAAAATCGAACAAAAACAAAATTTATTGTTGTTTCGTCATAAAAATAACCAGAAAATATTTTAACATATTGTGACATCACTAATGTCACTGAATTGACTAGTGTTATGGTTAGCTGAGGCGTCTAGCGAAGTTGAATAATGCGCTTGGCTAATCTAAATTGTTAACTGGCATTCTATCATTTGGGTCGGGAATATATGCTAACAAAATAGGCTTCATAAAATAATAATAATCGAATGAGAAATCTATTAGCCTAAGTTGGCTATGCCTGATAACTAAAAATTAATATTATGGCCGAACAATATAATTACTGCTGGGTGTTTTTTTCTTAACAGTATTACAAAAGTGCTGTCAAAAAATTTAGTAATTACCCTCCTGTATTTTAAATTTGGTAAAATTCAGTATTCAATCAATCCGCAGTTATCTAAAAGTTACATTCTTGTGGCCCGCGAACGCATCAAAAATAATAGTGTGGCCCGCGAGGACATCAACCTTGGACAACCCTGATGTCGACCAATGCGTGCCTTGGCTGCAATCTAGCTTTATTATCTCCCTCCTAGATTTTTTTAATTCTGAGTATCTTTTTAGCATACTTGGCGTTTTAATATCATTGTTGCAAAATTGTCTAAAACAAAAAACGCAACACAAAATACGCTACAAGCCATTTTTTCAGGAAGCTAAAACTTAATTTGGAAAAAGTGTTCATAAAATGAATCCATGGCCTGGTCTTTTTTCAATTTTATGTTATAACAATCCAAAATAAAATACCATTAATCAGAAATAAGAAATTCCATGTAGCGTGTTTTATTTTTTGTGCAAACCAACAACAGTAATATTTTATGGTGCCAACATAAACCTCTTAGATTCATGCATATTAAAATATACGTAGAGTGGATGTGAGATACAACATTAAATATTTTGGTCATTAGTGGAGTTTGTCTGTGTAGTCATTAGTCAAGAATGAAATTGAATCTATCCAAAATGATGTGGTGATTAGCGATGATTGAAGTTGAAGTATCAATAAGACCTTTGTCATAAATGACCTACCGGTATGTAAGTTTTAGAGATCTTATCACATAAATTTCACTACGTCATATTGTTTTGACTGAGCTTTATAAAAGTCAACATACATAACATAGGCGACAGTTAGTAAACAAGAAATACTCACAGACTGTTTCTTGAGCAGAAATCTTTGGAGACGTTTCACCATTTCGTATATTTGCAACTTGAATAAAATATCGGGAACCAGGCTTCAATCTTGTGACTAATGCTTCTGGAGCACTCAATCCCGTATTGTAATACATTCTTGTTCGAGATCCTTTTTCACCACTTTCAATTCTATACACTTCACAAAGGTATCTCTGAAAATGAAAGTTCATTAATTTACAATGATTTCATTAAAAAATGTTACTCATTTAGAACTGTAATCTACACATTAGCTATTGGCAATAATATAAATGTTCAGTTTATTACCTGTTTGCATGGTACAATTCATTTACATCACCAAAAGTATAATATACTGAGATATTGTTTACATGGAGTTTTATTCAGGACAAAAATGGCAAACATAAATAAAACTCACGTCAGCTCCATCCATTCGATCCCATTGCACCACAAATGATGTTGATGTGACATCAAATATTCTGAGATTTTTTGGAGAACCAAGAGGTGTTTCTAAAACAGAAAAAAAAACAGAACTAAACTTATATTACATGATGATGACAATTTCTCACAGATAATTAAAAAATATGACATGATTTTGATCACAAAACGTTATCTGTATCAGATATTACACCACTTAGGATAACGTTGAAGCACATCAATTTACAGTAGACAGAATTGTTAATATTCAAAGTACAAAAAGCTTACAGTGGCATCTTCAATTACTCCCGTCATACAGGTTTATTTATTAGTTTTATGGGTTGAAATAATATAAAATAAAGCGAATACCAGTTTTAACATCAATTGTTACAGGTGAGCTGGATTTGTTTCCACTTTTTGCAACTCCTGTTATAATGTATTCTCTCCCAGGATCGAGATTTGGAAATCTAACCAAATTATTCACAGATCCATCTGCCACTTTAACCTGAATAAACATAACTTGAAACTTTTTTTGCTCTAGTCCAACTACTAATAAGATAGTAAGCAGAACTAGCTTTGCATGAAACAATGTGTAGTCAGTGCTATTAGTAGTTTGACAATATTGAGGTTTGATAGGTAAGACAAAAAAATCTAGACTTTAAACGTGGACAGTATTCCCCACATAAGTCAAAGTCACGATCAAGAGTTAAAAAAGATAATGATAGAGGTTCAATAAATGAAAATCACAAATGATACCTCACGAAAGTCCAAAGTTCTACTAGAGTCCTCTCTGAGAGCGATGGAAAATTCAAAGCTGTCTGAAATACCCGGAGAAATTCCAAAAGTAATTGTCACAAAATCATCTCCAACATCAAATACTTGTAGATCTTGAATTGAGGGAGGTTCTAAACAGGAAAACAATGTTTAAACAATTTTGAACAAGAAGCAATCGAATAGTATAATACATGTTTAAATTTCAATAATAAAAAAGGAAATGAATAACAATAACCCAAAACTATGCTTGATTTGAGCTGGATTATTATTTTAATTAGAACACAAATTCAAATAAATCAGCGGAAGAAAGATGAGACTGTTAACACTTTTATTGGTTTTATCATACATTTTATTCAAAAAGGATGGAGGATACGAAGATAGCTATAATACTTAGGATTGATACACACAATGTGTGACATTCAGTGACACAATTATAGTATATTGATTTGTTGTGGCATTACACGTGCAGCTGCCTAGCTAACATTCTTTCACCTATAACATAAATTCATATCAGATGACTAACTCCGTTAGCTAAAATTCGTGTTTAACAATGCAGTTATCGTACTTTTGGTTGCCATCCACACTATAATAATTATCCTAGTATTGAGAAAATTGAATATTCCTAAACACAAAGTAATCCAAATATATTTAATTCAACAAAATTCACAATCTCACCAAGAGTTTCAGTGATGATGAATCTGTTTGACATTTTCCCATTAGCACCAATATTAGCAACTTCAACACGATAAGTTCCGCCTGGTGATAAATTTGGTAACCGCACGTCAGGTACTCTAGATCCATTGTTAAAATACACTCGTACTGGCACCCCTTCTTTTGGAACATAGAACACTTCACAAAAGTAATACTGCAAATATAACAAAATTGATAAAATTAAAAGTAGATCTGATTATTAATATTTAGAAACAAGCTGCTTCGTGAACGGTAAAAACAAACTTACTTGTACATTATCAGCTTGGTCCCATCTCACAGTAAATGAATTGGAAGTTACATCGACTAGTTGAACGTTTGTTGGATCTGGTGCATCTCCAACTTGAATTTATAAAAAATCATAAAAAAATTGCCATCTATATTTGATAATAAAAATTTATTACCATATTACCGTAGTATATAAAAATTCATGTCTTGGATCAATGTCCCAAAAATAATTTAAATTTGCAAAAATGAAGTTTGTAAAAAGTTTTGTTAAAGATTGCTTTATTTGACATAAATAAAATAGAACCACAGGAACTTGGCAAATCATAAGTATTTGTTGGAACATAGACAATATAGAAAACAATTCCATTCTCAACAAAAAAAATTCAAAAAACGATTTTCTGTCTCAACAACAACATCAATTTAGCAAAAAAATTCAGATCAAATTTGGCTCTATTGAAACAATTAAACTAATTATTCAAAAAACTACTAATAGTTGGTACCTGTTTTGAAAAGTTCACTCATCGATGCACTATTCACATTTCCACTTGTAGCGAAACCAGTAACAATATATTGTGTATCAGGTGATAGATTATCAAAAACAATGACATTGTTAACTTTTCCGTTTTCAACATCAACCTAAATTATTTTTCATTAAATTTACAACTCCGATAGTTACCACATCAAATATGTTTCTCTAAGGCAGCGTTTCCCAACCTTTTTGGTCGCGAACTATTTTCTCACTGGCGAAAACCTTTGCATACTCAACGTGAGTTTATTGCAACCGTACTCTGTGTGAAGAAGTAATAAAACCAAACACAACAGAATTTTATCGAATTTCAAAATCGGAAATGCTACGCAATTACGCCTTTGTTAAAAGGGCCGATTTCTTTAGTGTATAAATGGCTTTTCCTGTCACACAATATTCAATCCTTGACAACGACAAGGATTTAAAATGTGTTCTTATTTTAATTTAATTGTGTTCATGGTCACTCGCGGTTGCGTTGATTTATGACAAGATGAAAGCATTACTTCTTTGAAATGCCACGACAATCTGCGAACATAATAATTCAGAATATATTGCCGGGTATATATTTAGTTTTGATATAAATTATTTGCGATCTTGCAAATTTGTTATTGCCGTTGTACAACTTGATTTAGCACTTAATAAAAATATAATTAGTATATTAGTAAATAAAAAATATTCATCGCCTTGCTTTAATATTAATTTAATTGTGATCATTTTAATCTGCGGTTGTGTTAACGAAATAAAAGCCAAACTATTCAGAAAATATCATGACAATCCGTGGACCCATAAAAGGCGTGGTAAAGTGCCCGATTATATTTTGTTTTGATTCATATTTTTGTGAATTCGACAAATATGAGTTGTTCGTACAACAGTAAAGCCAGGAGTCGACAACATTTTGTCGCCCGCAGGCCAAAAATAAAGGTTGCAAGTCATTGGTGGGCAGCGCATATTTTTAGAAAGTTAAAAGCCGGGCGTATGGCCAATGAATCACATTTTTTCAAACAGATCAGAAGTTAAATGACTGCTATAAATTTCTAGAAAGTACAACTCGATTTAGTACTTAATAAAAATATAATTAGTATATTAGTAAATCAAAAAAAAATATTCATTGCCTTGCTTTATTATTAATTTAATTGTGATCATTTCAATCTGCGGTTGTGTTGACGAAATAAAAGCCAAACTATTCAGAAAATATCCTGACAATCCGTGGACCCATAAAAGGCGTGGTAAAGTGCCCGATTATATTTTGTTTTGATTCGTATTTTTGTGAGTTCGACAAATATGAGCTGTTCGTACAACAGTAAAGCCAGAAGCCGACAACATTTTGTCGCTCGCAGGCCAAAATTAAAGGTTGCAAGTCATTGGTTGGCCGCGCATATTTTTGGAAAGTTAAAAGCCGGACGTATGGCCAATGAATCACATTTTTTCACACAGATCAGAAATTAAATTTTAAGCAGCGCCCGAAGACTGACCATTTAAATATTGAACCAATTGCACTTAGCGTTCAACTTTACTGCGTTTTGTTGCCATTGAATGCCTAATTATAATTAATTTATAGGCTCATTCAACGAGTAATTGTGAATTACTTGTTCGGTTATGATATAATTTAGTCTAAGTAAAATCGTAAAAAACAGCTGTTTTGTTACTATAATTCAGAGAAGCGTCGCAGGCCTGATTATATTGCTCCGCGGGCCGTAGGTTGCGGACCCTGCAGTAAAGCAAAGAATTCTGAGGGAAATGCCCTGATACGAATACTACATTAGCACCCGAAATTTGGCATTTGCAACATGTCTAAAAAAGCGTTTTTAAAAAACCTATGGTGTTTGCAGTTTTATTTTCAGTATTTTGTATTGCCACTTTTCAATATAGAAAATTTAGGTTGCCACCATTGACACCTACCAGAAAAATTATTCCTCGAACCACAACGACTGAATCCAATCGTTTGATTAAACGACGTGCAAGCGACCTGTCGCGTCATCTGTTACCAAATTTTCGAATAATAAATTGCTATTCTAATAGTTGAATATTCGAATATATGCCAAGCCCTACTCATTCAGTATTCAGAAATTATTGACTCGATGAATGTTATATGAATAAACTTGCTTTTTATGTTTTATGTAAATTCTAACGTAAATCGTGGCTGATGGTTAAGTTTCGCAAAAACGTTTGCGGCCCGCAGTGAATATCTGGCTCGTTGCGGACTCATTCAACCGCTCCGCGGACTCATTTGAGACCGCGGACTCAGGTTGGGAAACACTGCTCTAAGGACTTAGGGCTTGCGTGTTTGTGCACTTCATTTTTCAAAATCTTTGTACCCCATGCAAATTTGAGATAATATACCATGTAAAAGATAGAAAGCTTTTGCAAAATAAATGTTTCAAAGTTACAAATCAATTAAAACACATAGCAAACTACAGATAACACATTATTTTTAAATAAAATTTCATCTTGTTTTACAGCTGAAATTTGTAGTGGGGTAGAAGACAACGGTTGGTATTATTCAGTCTCATCCAAGTAGCAAGTAAAGAATTTGACCGGTATAGGTTGCTGGGACAAATGCAGAACTCAAAGACTTTCTTTTCATATTACAATACTAGAATACAAATTATCTAAACATATCTGCATTTTAAATTAAAATCACATTTCTAACTTACTGTTTTTGTGAAAATTTGAACATTTGGTGCATTTTCTCTGGCAATACTGAATGTGAATTGGTCAGCACTGCCTTCACCAGGTACAAATAGAAATCTTATGTTATTGAGACTGCTGCCAACTTGTGTCATGCTAGCCACTGAATTCGGAGCTGTGTTATAGAATAAGTAATTGATATCAAATGTTAACAATCGATTCACCATTAGAATTCTACAATAATTAGAATAGAAGTTTTGACAGTGATATTTTTCCCTGAGACAAAATTTTGTAAGAATTATAAATAATATAAATGAAAGGTAAATTTGCATTCTATATATATTGAAAATGGAAATATAGAGTCAAGTATGATGATAAAATATTGTCAATGAACACTGTGTGAGTGAAAGACTTAAAAGAAAAAATAAACAAAAGACCCTAAAGTGGTGACTGCATTGGTTAGGTTTAGAAAGCGTTTACCTGTTCCATCACCCTGTGGATTATTGATCACAAAGTGTGGAGTTGGAAGGTTTGAATGGAGCATGGATAAATTATGTGCACAGGCTGGTTACAGATTCTTATACTAGCAATTTGTACATCAGAAGAATTTAATATTTATCTAATTGGATAATTCTATAAATGATCTGGTAGTAAATGCCCTGAGGTAGTATTCTCATTGTGACATGGATATTAAAACTAATTATTGCATTAATTTTGCCTTATAAAAATATAACTTATATAACTGAAAGGTTATTGGCAATGTGGATACAAAGAAAATAATGACAAAAAATATTTATTTAATCTTTCAGACTGATATTCAAGAACATGCATACTTGTTATTTTATTAATCGTAACCATTTCTGATGTCTTTCCATCAACAATGTTTGAAACTTCTATGGAATAAAAAGATCCTGGATTCAATCCAGTAATGAAGGCTTCAGATCTCGTCAATCCAAAACCTCCGTAGACTCTTCTACGTCCTCCAGAAGGTGTTATGAGATAAACTTCAGCCGAATATGACTGAAAATTTAATGCAATTACTCTAGCAAATATTGTTGTGCATGTGTATCAAGTTTTATGGCAATAATCAAAACTAAGAAATATTTGAATTTGAATATTTTTTTTTATCTAAAAATCCTATATTTTGAGCAAAAAATGTGGCACTTGATGTTCTATCAAAACATAAAATTTTATCTTCAATAAAATTATAAACCAAAACTGCAAAGTTCTACTCTTTAGCTACATAATATTATTTTTAGCTGTTTGAAATGTTGTTAATACTTACTTCTGCATCTTCATGTTCATCCCAGCGTACAGTAAATGATGTTGAGGTCAAGTCTTCAACTCTTACATTGCCAGGACGGGGTGAAAGTTTTTCTAGCGGGTATAATATATTAGATAGAAATTATGACAAAACAAATCTAGAGAAAATATATCTATTTTATCAAAGACAATAAAGACTTTATTTAAATCATGTGTCTCCCAAATCATTGCCGTTATATGTAAAATGATATGTTCAAAGCTGGTAGGGCAATGCAAATTTGATTAAGCAAATCGTTGTTTAATTAAGTTGATTAATACTCTTAAATGTCCAAAGAGCAACTCAATTTTACAGCCATCCTAATTTTAAGCTTCAAGCTAACAAAAGCCCTGTAGATAGTCCATCAAGGTCATTGCCATGTACCAACTTGCTGGCATGGTGTATGATTATATACAGTTGTGTCTTCTATATTAAATATGTTATATCTTGAACGCCAAACTCATTAACAATTTTCATACAGAAAAATTACATTGTCTGAATAATTCCTTTTTATACTGGATAAATATATAATAGCATAAAAGTACTCTATTTCAATTTTGACCATTTTCATATTAACCATACCAAACGCATGTACTGATACGTAAAGTACTGTCATGGTCAGAAACAGCAGATATTATCAGTTTAAACTTAATCATAACCAGCTAGTAAGCTATACTGCATGGGTATACACATAGTATAGTATACTTATCAACAAAAATAAAGATACACATGCTACGATTGCTTACATGCAATTAGTCGGTCAAAACTTACCAGTCGTAAATGTAAAAGTTGCTGGTGAACTATTGGCCTGGCCACTTTTTGCAATTCCAGATACTATGTACGATTTCCCTGGATTGAGATCGGGAAATCGAACTAATGCGTTCACAGTACCATTAACAACTTTAACCTGCAATAAGATGGATTTAAATTTCCTATAATGTTTTTTGAGAGCACTTTCAAAATCAGCAATTGACTCATTGACTTACCTCATTTGTTTTTATTATAAAATCAGGAAGTTCTTCTGCTGCAATCGTCAATTCAAACGAATCTACAATTCCGGGTGATGCATCAAAAGTTAATAAAGCATAATCAGTTCCAACATCAAAAATTCGCAAATTCTGCATTTGCATTGGATCTGAAAAATATAACTAAATGTTTTAAAGATTTGTAAAACTACAATGAATATTTTCCCAATCTTTGGGCTTTCAAAATATTCTAGCTATATCAAATACCAATTTATGATTTTTTTTTTTTTTTCGTATCGAAGTTTTGATAATTTGATTCTGCACACTGACTAGCATTATTAAAAATCTTATTATCCATTCAATTGTCCAAGCACTAATGAAAACAATAGAAACAAGGATCTGAAAAAACTCACCAAGTGTTTCTTCAGTGGTTATTTTCTTTGATAGCCTTCCTCCAGCAATATTGGCAACATGAATCCTATATCTTCCTCCAGGTATTAAAGAGAGTAATTCTAGTTCTGGAACTCTTGACCCATTGTTGAAGTAGACTCTTTGGATCGAATTATTAACTCCGAGTAAGAATACTTCTATATAGTAAAACTGAAATTAAAAAATAATTTAAACTCTTAGAGTAGTCATTGTCTGCATATTGAGCAACACATCTCCTTTAAACGAACTTTCATTATCGTCCTCTTTTTTGGTGAAAAGTAATCTAGCATAACCTAGCATTGCAGTTTAATCATGTATTCCATACTTTATACAAATATAATAAACTAAAATTTATCACATTGGTGTAGCGAAAAGTGGATCACATGGTGTCAAATTTGAAATTTCATCACATTACGTACATCAATGCCCTCAGCTTCATCCCATTTGAGGGTGAATGAATTTGATTTCTTTTCCTCAATTCGAAGGTTGGTTGGAGCAGAAACTTCACCATCTAAAAATGTAATTTTGTTGAGAGAGAAAATCAAGTTGTGTTATAAGTATTCAGTCAGCGAGACATATGGTAGGCTGCAAGATGTTTTCAACCAAAACATTTTCGTGCTTGGGAAGCTATAATTTTTTTAATAGAGTTAGGCAAATTGAACTGTAAAATGTTTAAAATACCTGTTTTGACAATTGTGTTTGTTGGTGTACTACTTTGATCTCCACTTGTTGAATATCCAGTAACAACGTACTGGGTATTGAAGGCTAGACCTCTGAATGTCACTCTGTTGTTGAAACGACCAGCAGAAACTTCAACCTGTTACGAGAGAAAATCCAGACTATTTTTCAGGAAAATTTCCAATTGTCCCTTTTTTTATAAAATGTCCAATGGCAAAGGAATGTAGAAATATAGAACTGGTAGATAATAGATTTTAGTCTAAATCATACAGTTTAATAGAAAGCATTGATCAGATTTACTTGAAACAATAATTAACCTAATAATCTTTATTTGATAACTAGGCAACTTGCGATGCAGAAACAATATATGAATTATCTATGGCATAGGTTTTTAATCTTTTTGGTACAACCCCAATGTAGTATTCCAGAGGCTAATACTAACAATACAAAATGATCTTTAAAGTGTAAAATGTTTAGTAGGAGTGGCAAATTATTAGGTATTTGATTTTAGTTGAACAATATACATATATTAATGTGGACTCTCTTATTTGAATAGAAACTTGCAAAACCTTGGACTGTATTGGCACAACCCAAGTGAACTCGATATAGTGAACTCGGTTGAAAACCACTGATCTATGGTAATCAAAGTAATAATTCGAGTCAAAATTTTGTGTGTCATAAGTAACTTCCTTCGAATCATGTGTCCAATCTCTATATTTTATAACACATAGGCAATATTATGCTAAATAATTTTCAGGCTGCATAAAACTTCCTGTGTAAGTACCCTTTTTGAATCCAGTAATGTTTTTAAGTCATCTGCTTGGGCAATATTGAAAGTAAATTGGTCTGCAATTCCATCTCCTGGTAGAAACTGTAGAGTGACATAGTCAAACCCTTCATCGATTTGTTCCAAAGTTTCCAATGGGGAAGGATCTGTTTGAAGCAAGAAAATTGAACATTGTATAAACAGAAGTTTTTCAAATAAAACATGTAAAATCCTTCATTATAAGTAACAAAGTAACAAAAATATTCTTGTTCCTTTCATACAATATAATTTTTGGAAATCGTAATATAGAATCAAATATAGAATCTTGTTTATATAATTTTACTCAAAGACACCGATCACTCAACTACAAGTGGAAAGAATTGAAATCATAAATGTTGTGAGTTCATCCACAGAATACAAAGACATTAATAGTGAAGAATTGAAAGCTGAATATTGCCATTAAGAAAACTGATGGATGGAAGAAGAATTACAAAAACTTTTGGTGCTTAAAAACATTGTTGACAAACTAGAACATCTATAGTGAATAGATGATAACTAGTGACTAATTCAGTGAAAGGAAAAAAATAGTAAGAAACTGGTGTCGTAGTGTAATGGCGTTCACAAAAATACTATAACCTACTAATTTATTGAACAAAATATGCCAACATTGTGCTAATCGTTACGAACATGCTTTCCTTGCACATCCACCATCATGTCTATGCATCTGGGACATCTGGGAGCCCGTGGTTTGACATATGATAAATTTGACTCATCAACTTTTCTCTCCGCTGAATAAATATGACAACCTTATCCTATAGAGATCCAAAACAGGTACTTACTGGTGCGTTGTTCCAAATCTACCATTCCAGATGTTTTATCTCCAACAATATTTGCGACTTCAATTCCATAACGAGCACCAGGGGTTAAACCAGTAATGATCGCTTCCGGCGAACTCAGTTGTGAGTTACTATATATTGGAGCAGGTGCTCCTAAACTGCCTGGGGGTGGCAGGAGGAAAACAACACAAGAATAAAACTGAAAAACAAAGAGTAGTTTCCATTAGTCAGTTTAATTATATATAATTTACTTATATATATAAAATATCTACTCAAAACACGTAGGCTATTAATGAATATACAGATATACTACAGTAGAAACACGGATTACCTACCGTATATTATCAAATTTCAGATTACATAATAAACTGACTAAATTGATTACCAATCCCAGTACTCGGTAAGCAATATCTTTATTTTAAACCAAGATTATTTATTGTTCAGCAGGCCTCTAAATATTTTGCTCAAGTTTAATAATTAGCAATTATTTGCCAGCTTTCTATGATTTTCATTTCTTTGTAATTGCTTAAAAAATAAACTGATAATTGCATAGTGACATGATTTGTTATGAATCATTAATAATAAGCATTGGATATACTGGTGTTTTCTTTTGATTGCCTAAAAAAGGATTATTATCAAAGAAAAAACATACATCCACATCATCTTGTTCATTCCATCGAACAGTAAATGAAGTTGTTTCCACATCATCCACTCGAACATTGATTGGTGCTGGAGTAGATATATCTTCAAAGGTAAAACAAAATATTTCATTTTTAAACTACCTCTATCAGCTATAATAGTTTCCGGTATATCTAATTCATTTCAGTTATCTCTACCAGTAATTTGAAACACAATGCTTCTGAAATGCCATGCTTTCATTAATTTTAGTTAGGTGATATAGTTAGGTTAGGTTACATAGATGAAACCCTGCTGTAATATTTAAGCTAACAGATATAACATAATAGAATGGTATAACTCAAAGACACTCATAAAATTTAACTCAAAGGATGGTCCACAGAGAATCAATATTCAATACCTGTGCTAAATTGAATTTTTGCGGGTCTGCTTTCTGATTCTCCACTTTTCGCAATTCCAGTCACTTCATATTCCCTTCCAGGTTCAAGATCAGAAAATCTAACCAGTGCATTAACTCTGCCATTCTCAACTTTAACCTTGTAAAATGAATTAATCAATTTCAATGTACTTTTAATTTTTAATTCATTTTCATTGAAATGATGATTCGTACCTCTTTGAATTCAAAAGGTAAATCGGGAACTTCTTTAAGAGCAATTCTTATATCAAATGAATCCACGATTCCAGGTAAAACATCGAATGTAATTGATGCAGAATTAGTATTCAGATTTAAAATTCTCAGATTTTGTATCGGCATCGGAGCTGAAATGAAATGGTGAATAGGTTTTTAGATGTTTGAAGCCTATCCTTGTTGGAATCGACGCGAACATTGTTTCTTCTCAAGCCATATTGAGTGGCAAGCCATATTGAAACAGTATCAGTTCTTCTAAGAAGCATATAATTTTTGTAATACCGGTAACTGTGATATTTTATGAACATTTTTAAAAACACCAATGAACTCCATCAGTATCAAATATCCCAATCAAGTCGGTCACTTTTTAATATTGAAGGTAAGGTATCGGAGAAATATTCTGAAGCTAGTGCTTAACGCAATAAATTTTATCGAATTATCTGTTTACCTCATATAAAGGTATGTTACACTAAACTAGTCCCAAATTTCAAAACGTACATAAAGATTCTTGAACTTTCAGTAATATTATTTGTCTCCACTCATCGCCAAAACAATACCTCATACAGCTAGTAATTTTATATTGCAGAGAAAAAGTAATTGTACAATAGATAAGATTGTCCATGATTATGTCCACTCTTTCATATGTTCTATTGCTTATTTGCTCGCGGTTGTTACAGTAAATAGAATGATTTAATTGCTTGATCTAATCCAAACAGACAATTGATTCATTTTGAACAAATTGTTTCATTCCCAGGTCAGTAGATATTCAATTTAGTCAGCCCTATTTGTTCAATCATTTCCTCTCACTTGTTGTTTCTTCAATGCTCATTTTGTCCGACATTCTTCCACCACCAATATTTGCAACATCAATTCTATATCTTCCACCAGGTGTTAAAGGAGGTGATTTTATTTCAGGTAATTTTGATGCATTAGTGAAGAATACTCGTTGACTCGAATCTTCGCCCAGTAAGAAAATTTCGGCAAAGTAGAACTAAAATGGGAATAGAAAATCAAAAATGAAAAGCTTGAGCTTTTAGCTTATAAATCCCTTTGGGAACCAAGTACATCACAATAAACAATAAGCTATGATCCGATTCTATTCTTACCATTCGAAACCTCATAACTCCCTTTTACGAATTCGGATGATTATTTAAAAAAAAGCCTATGTATTATCTGTGACATCTTGATAGAATTATAAGACATTAAGATTACCTCGAATAGAAAAGCAACAAATACTCACACCAACATTATCTGCTTCATCCCATTTGACAGTAAAAGAATTAGTTGTAACATCTTCAATGCGTAGATTAGATGGGCTGGCTAATTCACCTCCTGTAGTAATGGAAAATATTTTAGAAAAATAATAAGAAGATACTATAATTTAGTATTTAACATATACTACCCAATTACATGCAACAGGCATCTGTGACATATCACTCTTGCACTTGTACTACATAATAACAGTATCTAAAGAATATAGGGCATGCAATACAAGGTAGTATAATTCGATCAACAAGAAAGATATATTTATAGACTTGTGTTATCCTCCCAGAATCCAGAATAACATCAACTATAAACCAACTTGAATAAATAAAATGTACTTGTTTTGGCCATGATATTGGTTACTGCACTATTCTTATTTCCACTTGTTGAATATCCAGATACAACATATTGCGTATTAGGAGATAAACCATTAAATGTAACAACATTGTTCACTCTTCCATTTATAATGTCAACCTAAAAATAATGCAAAGAGAGACTGTAGAATATAATAGTGGAGCCAACAAAAAGAAATCAATCATACAGTCTTTAGTTTACCCTTGTAGATTCTAATATTGTTTCTATGTTATCAGCTCGTGCAATAGTGAATGTGAAATCATCAACAACTCCTTCTCCAGGTAGAAATTGTAATCTGACAAAATCAAAACCTTCACCAGTTTGTTCGAAACTTTTCAGCTGCAAAGGATCTTAGAAAAGAACAAAGTGAAAGTTAAAAAGAGTGGTAAAATGATTGAAGGACTATAAAAGCTAAGCAAATGTTTGAAAGAGAATGAAGCTGAATTGAAATCAGGTATTCAAATTCGCTCAAATTAAACTATGCTAATTAAAAAAGTTTAGAACAAACCCAATTCAATTATTTTGCTCTCAAATTATGATTGAACCTATCTTTCACAAAATAAATTTTAAGATATGATGATCATGCTGAAATAATTTTAGATATAATGAAATCTCCCACACATGAAATGAAAGATACATTTCTAATCACAGCATTAAGTATCTTACTGTCTATAAAGCTAGTAAGAGAGTAACCTTTTCAAAATAATCCGGCAATATATGATCACTTGATATGAGAAAGACAGTGACTACCTTGTATCTAATTGTATTAAGCCAAAAAATGTGTACCTAGTGGGAAATCTTTGAAAGTGAACTGTTAATTTTATTGTGTGCGTTTCAAAACATTTGTTAGTGAATTTTGAAAAAGAACTGCTACCATGTAGTCTACTTTGTCTGTAATTATATCTTGTACTAAATACCAAATGAAAATAATATAAATAGAACAATGCCTGTGGTATAAATAAAATATAAAACATTCACATGTTCTTTCTGATAGTTCAACAGTTTCAGATGTTCTTCGTCCTACAATGTTAGCAACTACAATCGTATACCGAGCTCCGGGAGTAAGTTCAGTCAAAATAACTTCTGGTGATTCAAGTGCAGTATTGCGATATACTCTACCACGAGTGCCTATTACACCAGGCTGTGGCTCAAAGAATACTTCACATGAGTACAGCTGGAATAATAAAACAATGTTGCTGAGATTGAATACTTTCATAAAAATATTGTGAGAATGAACAACTATACTTAAGAGTTTTTACAGGGCCTTGTTGAAATCAAATAAATGAAACAGTTTTGTAGTGTTAGCAGATTTTATGGATAACTAAGCCAGATTATTGTGAGAAGTTCAATTATAGAATTAAAAATGAATACAAGATGAATTCAATACTCACATCAACATCTTCGTGTTCATCCCATCTAACAGTAAATGAAGTTGTTGCCAAATCATCCACTCGAACGTTAGTTGGGCGTGGTGGAGGTTGTTCTAAAGTTGATAACATCCATTTTAACTGCTTATTAACAAGAAATGCACGAGTGAAAAAAATATATTAGAAAATATATCAGTTACTTGAGTTATTTGAGTAAATCATATCGTATATAAATGCAGAGTCATCATTATTAACTTATATTATTTTGAAAAATGACATACCAGTCTGGACCTCCAATGTTACTGGTTCACTTTCATATCCTTCAACATAAGAAAATCCGGTAATGAGGTATTCTGTTCCTGGTTCAAGATTAGAAAATCTAACCAAAGGATTGTATTTCCCATCAACTACTTTTACCTGTCAACGGAATTAAATTGAAACAACATGAAAAAACAAAAAACAAAAAGAATAAAATGGAAAAAACGAAATATATAAAACAAAGATACTGACAAAAAATATGCGAACTTCAATTCTATGACAAAAATATAAGAGTAAAATTATTTTAAAAATACGAATTTGCAGTTTGTTCAAATACAATAATAAAAATAAATATTTGAAGACATCAAACGAGCCTAAAGTAAAAAGAACCCAATCCATTCTATAGCATTTGTCATCACGTATGGAATACGCTTGGAGTATTACGGTAGTTGTACAAAAATTTTGATTCAAAATTATGATATGAACAAAACGCTTAGTTTTTCCATTCAAATTCCTATTTAAAACTTGATGCAATAAAATAACGATGTTTCGGCTCATGCTTCATTCAGAGTAACATATACATACCGTTGTGCCGTCAATAATAGAATCCGGAAATACTTTAGATGCAAGTTGAAAGGTAATACCGTCAAAATAACTAGGTGCAATGTCGAATCTGACAATGATATAATCCTCTCCAACTTCTTGAAGTCTTAAGTTTTGAGGTGGTATGAGATCTGAAAATATGAGATGTTTTAATTTGTACTTGTTTTTAAATTAAGAAAAAATTATATCCAGTATATAATGATTTTCAACTTCAATATATCTTGTATCAACTGCAGACTAAAGCAAGTCGATTCGATGTTATTCTGCCAGTGTTATGACAGTTAGCATTTCTTCTCTTTCTATAAATATCTATCTAAAGTCAGTGGATATCAACATTGTGTTATGTCTATAAAGGGGCAATACCTGCTAGACCAGTGGTTGTCAAACGGTGAGAGGTGAACCACCTTATTTTGGATATTTACGATCCATCCACATATTTTCAATGTGCTTTTCGAATAAAACATGTTTTCGCCTTACTATCTGTTATTTGTAGCTTATTGTTAGCTAGTTATTCTTGAGGTGGGGCAGGAGACTTGTCAAATTCTAAAAATCGGGACGCGGCTTAAAAAGTTCGAGAACCACTGTGCTAGACAATTTAATATACCGTATATATACTGAGCCGATATTTCGATTTCCATGAAAGTGCCACAAAACGTCAATACCATTGAAATGCTGGAGATAATATTGTTTGGCTAATATTTTTATATCAAATATTTATGACATTGCGCCCACTCCAGTATTTTCGTCTCATAAATCAAAGGTTATGTCGAAATGAAAGTACTTAATCTCACCGACAGTTTCCTCAATAGTTGTTGTATCTGAAGTTACTCCTCTGCGAACACTAGCAAGCTGTATCCTATATGTTCTTCCAGGTGTTAGTCTATCCAGTGTTTGTTGTGGTTCTGTCAGACCATTGTTGCCATATATTCTGAATTGCCCTTCCTCACCAAGACGGAAGACTTGCAGGTAATATGACTGAAAAATGTTGCCAAGCTTACCAGTTACATCATTATAAAGAAAAACTTACTAAATCAATAATATAGGATAAAAGTTCCTTTTAGCCTGATTTTACTATTTTAACTTATGTTGTATAACTTCATCCAAATTCCAACAACAATAAAGACCTTCAACAAATGTAGTAATAAAGAATAAAATGTACTCACATCAGCGCTGTCATCTCTATCCCATTTAATGACAAATGATGATGTGGTTTTGTCCTCTACCCGAAGATTTGTTGGAGCACCAGCTGATTCTGTATATTGATGAAATGATTGAAATTTGAACAAAAAATAAAAAGTGATCAATGCTCAACTCTATAAAAATGAATGCTTATTGTTTTACTGAAAACATACATATTGTGTTAGGTCCAATACATACAGAACAAAATAAATAACTGTAAAAATTTGTCCTTCTTCTAATAAACAGTAAAAAGCGACTGGTCAATCAGTCAGAGAGCAAAAAGATATTTTGTGTCAGCAACAACAACATGAATACAGACATCAATAACAATGTTTTAGAGTAATCATTGAGAAGACTTTGTACCCAATAACAATGAATTATAAACGAACAACACATTAACATACATCTCAAAATGAATCCTGAATATTCTATTCGTACCTGTTTGAGCTGGACTAGTAGTTTCTGAACTTCTAAGATCTCCACGTTGTGCATATCCAGTGACGATAAATTTTTTATTAGGGGATAAGTTAGTAAATGAGACAATGTTGTTTATATCCCTGTCATCTGGCAACGATACCTATATTGAAATGTTAAAATATTAAAAAAATTGTATCTTATTTTAAACTTGTATCAGCATAATGTCCAAAATAATTACAACCATCTACATCTATGAGTTATTTTAAAAACTGCCTATATCTTATTACCTATTGTAATAAACCTTAAACATTTACCGTAACAGTTTTTAACACAACAGTAGGATTATTTTCTTCGGTAATTGTGAATATAAATTGATCTGCATCACCAGGTCCAGGAATAAATGTCATCCGAACATTGTCCAAATTTCTTCCTAGTTGCTCTAAACTGGCTAAAGGTGCTGGATCTAAAATAACAATAGTTCTGATAAGCCATGTTGAAAAGTGTTTAGATGAAATGATCATATAATGTCATACATATAGTTTCCTCAATAGATGTTGTTCTCGATGTTGCACCATTTGCTCTGTTGGCAACTTCAATTCTAAACTTTCCACCGGATGGAAGTCCCTTGACATCAATGTCAGGATTATTCAAACCAGTGCTTTCGTAAACAACAACTTCTCCTCCGTCATCACCATAACCAAGATAAATGACTTTAACGGAATAAACCTAAAATTTTTCATATATTGATAAAAAAGATAAAAGATGTATTGAAGATAAACAAAAGCCAATGACAGATTATGATGTCAGAATGTAAACATAATAATATTTTGAAAATACTCAACTCATGATTTATTAGCAGTAAAACAAAATTACTTTTGTCAATAACATTTGCTTAGCTTGCTTTAGTATTATCTAATAATAATTTTTGGTGTTGGTTCAATTATTGCAAAACAGTATTATAAGTAGGATACCTTTTCAATGGTCACAAAAAAGATTCGGTAAGGCCAGTTTGAAATGAACACACTGTATTTGGAATTTTTCTGACTTTTTTTGTATATAGTCCTATAAGTTATAACACATTCTACTCTTCAATAAACATATTGAAAGTTTTTATTAGAATGATATTCTTAGTGTAACTTACATTTGCATAATTGTCAGGATCCCACGCAATATTGAAGGAATCCGTGGTAATATTTGTTGCTCGTACGTTATAAGGTCTTGTCAACGTTGCTGAATATAAAACAGATTAACAAAATTGTAAATTTATTCTTTGAAGATGACAAATTGTGTTTTCTTGGGCTCTGTGCAAAAATCTGCTTAAAGCATAAGGAACAGTACTCGATTGGAAGAATGAAATCTTTTCAATTCAAAATAGCCTTCAGTTTACAACACTTTGCAGAAAAGGGTAGGCTTGATTTGAGCGAAAGGTCCCCGGAACTTCAACACAATATCTGTGACCTAAGATGCCAACATAACAACTGCAGCAATTCAAATTCCCTTATCAGGACACAGATGAATTTTTACTAAATATATAAATAATCTGACTAATATTAGAAGTAAATAAAATTATGATAAAAACTAACGGGTTGTGAATTGTGAATCCATTTCTGTTAATGGTCCTTCAGCTGTGATAGGAGTTACGAGCAAAGTGTATACTTCACCAGGTGTTAAAATTGTGTTGGTTTGAAAAGTGTCTTCCTAAAGTTTGAAAAAAATTTGTTATTGCTTTAAAGAAAAGACTATGTTTAGTAAAGAGATCAGAATTCTCTCAAGTAAACTTAAAAATGACCAAACTAGATAATATGCATTGAAAGGTCTTTTACAATAAAATTATGCTTTTGAACCTGCTGAAAATTTGAAATTTTTTTTTTAATTAACATTCAAAAAACGACAAGAGACAAGCATACCAGTAAGTCAATTCAGGTCACAAAAAACCCAAACCAGCCTATTTTTTTGTGTTCCTTGCAGTCCTCTAATGTGTACAACAATTGTTTAAAATAGGGCAAAAATTCATACCAAAAGAGAGCAAAACCAATGGAGAAGCTCAATAAGGTGAGACTAAACAAAATCCAGGCCAACCATGCCATCAAAATTGTGCTCTTAACAAGCATTTTCCATCTATAAAAAACAAGAGGCTCAGAAACACATGGGGTACCTCTGGTCTCAGATATGATCTACTTCGGACTTCTCCATTCGATGATACAACACTTATCTCATAATATAAAGCATTATCATCAGGTCGCTCAGTTATTTTTAAAGCAGCCGATACAGGTGTAACAGTGACAAGGAATGTGTATTTATCTGCAATAGTAATAATGATGGTTAGGATAGGATAGGATGTACATATTTATCCCGAGGAGAGAAAAGGCGATAATACGGCTTTTTCATATGGCGAAGCACGGCCTCTTGTCCGGTAACCATTCCATGTCGGGTATGAGATTATTTAGTTATTTGTTTTTCGGAAGCATGGACTTGATGGTGGAGGAAGCCGTAACCGACCAGCGGTTATGTGAACCACCCTACGGCGGCGAGGAGTCCAGCAATCCTCTGGTACATAATCATCCCTGCATGGGATTCGAACCTGCGAACCCACGCAGAGTAATCAGAGGTGCAGTGGCGAGCGTATTCCCATCGCTTAGCACGATGAGCCACACCGCCGCGCTGGTTTACTAAGGTTTTTTAACATGAAAACATGTACAAAAAGTTTTCTAGTAGATATTAAAAATTATGAACCATTGTCAAATAAGAGAATAAATGCTAGTTGAAATTAATCAAAAAATGCATTACCAAATCTAAATGGTGTAGCTGTCTTCCAATCCATATCTATTTTTGGTTTGTTCATCAAAGGTGCTGAAATAAAAAGATAATGTAATAAATGTTTTAACCAGAAGCTTGTTTATAGCAAAAATTTACCAATACTTATAAAAGTTTAACAGTACACATCTGAATACCTGGTCGAGTTTTCACAGTTATTGTTTGAGTTTTTCCATTCCTCGTCCCACTCCTAGCATAACCTGAGACAATGTACTCTTGGTCGGTGTCTAATTCTTCAAATATAACCGCGTCTGCACTTTCGGAAGCCTTATGTAGATTAGAATATAAATAACAATAAACAATACTACATCTAAAAATGTTGCAATAGTTTGCCATTTAACCAAAGCTATGTGCTCATTCTGAAACAGGTAAAATATTGCAATATCATAAAACAGAAACACAAAATAAAAAAATAGAAAATGGGCTTCAGATGCTGTATTAATAAAATAAATTATTCTAATACTCACAAGAATAGTTTTTAATGGTATATCAGGCTGATCTTTCGATGCGATTGATATTATATATTCTTCAGCATTTCCACTGAGAGAGTAGAAACTTAACACAACATTTTTAGGGCCAATGAGGGTTGGCTCTAATGCAATAGGTGAAGGTGCTGAAAAAGAGATTCAAAAATTATATTCTCAAGAAATGTTCATAAAATATGATAAATTAATATATTCTATCATGAAAAAATCAAAGAAATCAAACATAAGCCAATATGCAATGGGATACCCTATTTCCAAATGTCCAAGCAAGATAATAGATGCAAAGAGAAACTTTAAATATCGAATAAAATTGGCCAATTTTTTTGAAAAATGTTGAACAAATGATACCACATAATCAATACTCCATGAAAAACTAACCACACAAAGTTTTTTATGGAGTGAACCTAAATAAATGTTGGCAATTAGGCAATTGAAACCAATAACACTGATACCATTGCGGAAATTGTCATAACCGCTGTTACGCAACATTGCATTTCAAAGTTATTGAACAAAAAATTACCAGTATCAAAATATTTATTCAGGTTAATACAATATGAGTTAGAAACAAAAGTTTCTAACTTCACTCTTTTTAGTATAAAAATATGGCAATTAAAACCATCTCACATACCCGTAGTTTCAAAAATTTCAATAAATTCCGATGCATCTCCATCACGAAGATTAGTTGCTATTATTGAGTAACTACTGCCAGGTAACAATGGTTTTACTTCTTTGTAAGGCGATGTTAAATTATATTCAAATGCTGTTACTGGAGCTTCAGGATTTGCCGGGTTCCCGAAATAGAATATTTTGAGATTGTAGATCTGTATTAAAAATATGATCTCTAGAGCTGAAAGTGACTTCAATTATTATCAAATTGTTGAAAATGTTTTTCTCGCAATGATCCTAGGTTTCAAAAGTGGATAATTTGATAGAGAGATAATTAGATATAAGTTGATATAATCATAATTTGAAAAAATCTGTAGCCAACATGGCAGCCAAGCCATGACAGCTACAATAATGCAGACTACATTTAATTGAGTTCAAAATGTACGCAACAACAATTCATAATTACAATATAACAATTTAAAATAGCAAAGTGTACAAACAAACAGATTCCTAACATCCTTATTGTAGATTTCAAACGGTGTTATTCAATTAATAAATTCTTTTATTACAGCTACTTCATTGAGTTGAAGTTAACCTTGCAATATGTACCATATTTTATCAACTCACTTTAGTATCCTCCTCTTCCTCCCACTGCACTGTTATCGAGTTTGAATTGACTGTAGTTGCTCTCACTCTTTTGGGTTCTGCAAAAACATATTTTGACATTTTTACATTGCTAAGTGTGTCACACACATGAAAGCAATGCCCTTAAAGTAAAATATATACTGTAATATATACACTCACTTACAAAATCAATGATACGAACGAATTGAAAGTAATTCATCACTTTTGGACAGTATATTACTGTGACAGTTATGAATGTAGCATGAAATAATATTTACTTCTGAGACTAAGATGTTAGTTCAGTAGATTAAGCATTGATTTATAACATTGAAGATTTATAGACACAAAGTGGCAAAATAACTTTTTTCCACAAGTGATGGATCAATCAATTTCAAATTTTCAGTACTTGGAGATGTGGTGGATGGTGGTACTATTATTTTTATTTATTTCCAAAGTTTTTCTGAGTCTTACGGGACCCTATATTTCACCCAGAATAATGCTGTTTTACTCTAATTTAATGGGAGATTTTTTTTTTGAAATATGAGAACACTTTATTTTATCATGCTTTTCCACCTTGATAGAAAATAAGAAAATAGTATAGTCCTCACATAATTCCTCAAATAATAAGTAAGAGTTAAAGCTATAGTTTTCCATCAACTCGTCTTGACATCTATGTTAGGACTTCTCAACAAATACAGTATAACAGGCTTCATCTGGCATTCATACTTACTTGATGGAGATTTTGATCGTACAGTGCTTGGTAAAGTAGGACTTGTAACAATGCTTTCTGTGGTTGTTCTGACACTAGGTTCTCCCAAGCCACCTCCTGAATGTAACAATACATGTATCATTGGTATTCTATTATCAATTTGTGGATTCATTAATCATGCATGTTCTAATTATCAATAAATTGCTCAAATTTGATTTAGTGCAGCATTTTTTTCTGATAATGAGTAAAAGCTCCACAGGCTATTATCATGTCAATTTCCAAACAAAAGAAGAAACATCTTTGTATAAGTCACTAACACTCTGTTTAAAAATTCCTCTGTTAGTAATGCATACCTTTAGGACGACATTCAATATCCTTAACAACACTATTAACAAAAGTTCTATCTCTGAAGGCTCGATAATTTGGCAATCGCACTCTTCGATCATTCCTCGAGGCTAACATATTCAGTATCTTATCATCAGGTTGACTTCCAACAGCAATAGCAGTGATAACAGTGCCATCATTTTTAACACGTCTGTAATTCAAATATATGAATGTTAATATAACTGAAAGGTTATAGGCACAGAAAGTGACCAATTTTTTATAGTTTTTCATTCTGTCTGGCCGATAAAAGTTCACATACAGGTGACCATGTTACAATGTTTGAAAAAATTTGAATTCCATTGCTAGCATAGCTTACTATAGTTAGGCTTACCATACATCCCGCTTTAGGCAGGACAGTCCCGCTTTTCAGCGTTTTGTCCCGCCGTTCCGATGAGTCAGCCAAAAGTCACGCTTTTCCAGCATAATACACAAACATGTTCTCGTTACTGTTGTTTCTGTGTAGCGCAGCGCTAGCCTACTTAGTGAACATGAATGCGTTCGTTTCCCGCTGATTCCCATTTATGGAAGACGTATCGCATGTACAACCAACACTAATTAGTCTAAATTCGAATTATTTATCGGTACCGGTATCGTTAACGTCAATTCTTGCCTATTTTTCGAACTGAACCCGATATTTGGACAGAGAATATGCGCATGAAATTTCAATAACCATATGGTCAATAAAGACAGCCGAGACAACTTTAAATGTAGGAATGTAGGCCTATGTAGTAAAATAGGAAAATCTGGAGATACAAAATCACAGCTGAGGGGTCGTTGTCTTTCGAGGTGACCCGATTTGAATTCACAAAAATATGGTAACCCTAACTATAGTCATTACACCCAGAGTAAGTTGGTAGTAATGGAGCTCATTTTGTTTGACATTTCCAATACATACATTACAAATACATTTCCAATTCAAGTTTTTGGATGATCTTACGTTGAAATAGCTCTAGGTCCATCATCTGCATTATCTTTAGTAATGAGGAAAATCATCTTTTCTGCGTCATTTCTTCCTGCAGACTGTATCTCACGTATATATTGCGCAAATCCTAAAAAAATATCATAACTTGATACAAAATTCTATATATTTAGAATAAGATGCAACCTAAAAAAAAAAATTTTTCCCGTTTTTAGGAATGTAATCAAAGCAAAATAGCAAGTAGAACCGTATACCTCTAACACCAATATATTTTAATGTTTCTAAATTTTCGGGCAGAAACCAGAAATAACATTTTACGAAAATGGAAAATTGACGATGTATCATACCAGACATATTTTAATGAGAGAGATTTCATCTGTGTTGTGCTTTGTGGAATATGATAAATCTGCATATCCATACAAAATCAATAATATATAGTGTTGATTTACAATTGATAATGAGGTGATCAAAATAGTTTATTTTTCATATATAAAAAAAAGAATTTCAAAGCATCAGCATGATGATCGAACTAAAATATAAAATCCAACTTATTCACATACCTTTGACAACATTATTCTTTCCAGCTGCATTTTTGCTCATATCGCCAATAGCTTTCAATAGTTGAGTTTTAGACAAATACTGGGTCAAACCAATTTGAATATATCCTTCTGTATTAAACTCAATTACTGAAACAAGAGCAGACTGCGTTCCGAAGGCAATTTCCCTCACTATGTTGGAAATAAAACTTTTGACATGATTGAAATCACTATTGGACACTCCTCTTGCAGTCGACACAAGGAAGACCAAATTAAGTTTTGGACGGTTGAGTACACATCTTGGTCTGAATACAGAAGTGGAAACTTGGTTAGAAACTAGAAATTGAATTAAATAAAAGTAGAGATAATTCAACTGCAAAAAATAGTAAGCATTAATATAAGGGATTTTCTAAGAAATTTTTTTTTGATGAAACTGTACTTAGTATCATAGGTGCATAAAAATATTCAATTTCTATCGATTATATCTGAGTCTCAAAATGACATTGTTCTGAAGTACATTTTTAATTAGTTAGATGTCAAATTGATGATATACCAGTAACTACTGAAGATAGTAGGGATTAAAAATAGAATATTCAAAGAAGAAACATTTGTCAGATAAAAAATGTTAGATATCGTATGTGTATGCCACTTTATTTTGATAACATTTAGTGTAAAGATATACAAATCTTCGGTACTTAAGTGGTAACATGACTGATGATTATAGCGGTAATATGACTGACTGTTGATTAGATTCATTTTTATTATGGTGAATTGTTTTTTCATTTCACCATAGTCTCATAAATCAATCAATCATTGACAAACAGGCAATACTCAGTTTATACTTATATATTAGAATTTAAATTCAAACTTGTAAATAAAACACCCATGCATCATTGATAAAATATCTATTTCTTGGAGTGTTTTAGTCCCTTGTCTTAAACAAGGTTATCTGCAAGATGAAAATTAAGATAAAAGTATTAAGATAAAGTATTTTTGAATAAACCAGGATCCATGTTCAATCCAGATTATCAATTTCATGTGTATACACATACACTTCAAACAAGGAAATTGGCAACTAGGTAAGTAAATTAGCATCACCTGTACTTTGGCATTCTAATCATTGGTGCCTCTGTGGTTTTTGGAGCTTTAGTTGTCTTTGGTTTAGAAGGTTTAGAAGGTCCTGAATCACAATTATAAATTTATGAAATTAGTAATGCAAATATGTAGAACAAAAGAAATTTTTTATAAATTTTTCTCAATAGTGATGCAAAATGTTTCGGAGCAATTGATCCAGTGTAAAACTAGGTATCAGATAATAAGAGATAACTAATACCCGATAGCTTATGAATCAGATATGATGGGCATATTTACTTTTTTGTACACAAATAGTGTATTGGGACTTAAGCATAGTTTTTATTATGTAAAAATTGTTCATCTCAATTTTCAATTTAACTGGTGCTATCTATCTGACAACTTGTATAAAAGCAAATATCCGTTCTCAAATTCCCCAATATCATACATATATTTATTTATTATTTTCTTACTGTCTCTAAATAATCTTATGACATTATATACCTTTTTTTGTTGTGAATCCTGAAGTTATCTGCCTACTCTTCTGGACTATCTTTCCACCACTTTCAGCAACAACAGAAAATCTGTAAGTTGTTCCAGGCTTTAAACCAGTCACAGTTGCTTTTCTATTTCTTCTGATGATAACTTTTTTACCATTCAACTGTGGATGACTAGGACTGATAATTGTCATCTACAAAGGAGTAGTTAAATTTTAAACAAAAATATTTTATTATTTTTATCTATTAAGTAAAAATGAGATTATAGCATTCCAAGATTACTTGAAATATTAGAAACAAATGCTCATTTTGTTTTTGATTTGAAAAAAAAAAAATTGAATGGTGTAACATCACATTTAGTTTTAACATGCCTTTTTTATATATAGTAAACTACCCAAAAGTCCTTGAAACCAATCAGTCGCCTCTTAAAGATAAGTAAAACGAGAGAAATTATATTATAAAGCTTACAATAAATCTTGTAAAATCTCCAGATCCAGCATTCACAGTAAATTGAATGGAATTTCTTGTGATTTCTGTAGCTTCGAGTGAAGCTATCGAACTGGGTTCTGAAAAACGAAAGAATTATTCTGGTCTTCATACTATATTAGCAATTATTTTCAGTTTGTCTTTTTACCAAATCATGTGCGCAGATAAAGAAAGTAATGCAGATTTTAACATCAGTAGATGCTAACGATGTTGTACTTATTCTTATTGTACATTGCCCTAATTAAAGAATCGACAAAACAATAATTTGATTGTTTTCACATGCATTTCATGTTTGATGCTCCCAAGATGAAAATTTTTGATCGACATTGCAAAAAGTAGCATGCATTTGGAAAAAGATGAATCTGACAGTTAATCTAAATCTGAGATATACCCAGCAATAAAAATTATCAAAACAATGATTGTCTTACTCATTTGAAGTTCAAAAAATTCTGAGAAGGGACTCTTTATTCCTCGGACACTTCTTTGCACAGAAACATGATACAATCGTCCTGGTACCAATCGATTCAAGGTGATGGTAGGTTCTGTTTGATTTTCGAGAACTCGAACATCTCTTCCTTGTACTGTGTCATGTACCTGTATAAAATAGAAAAGGAAATTCACTAATATTTATAATAAATATTTGGGATAGAAATTACGGTATGTATCTTTCAATATATAACATATAATATTGATTTTGTGCTAAACTGGTTATAAGGAAAGGTGTATAAATCTACAAAGCTGGCAAGCAACGCACCTCATTGATTATTCCATCGTAAACCCACGGTGACTTAGGCTTTAAGGATTTTCAGAAATTGACACTTTGGATATAGCCTAAATGCTTTTTCCTGTGTATCAGAACCATGACTGCTTTGGATATATTATTATCATAAATTACCTAAGTGTTAACTCATACATACCTTAATATTGTACAAACTGCCTTCGTAGTGAGGAGTCAGTGTTAATATTGCATTGTTTTGATTAATTTCATCTTCAATAATTGCGGGATATTCTGGCAAGGCTGTGAAAAAATAAAATTGAAATATTAGGTAATCTTGGTTTTCTCATTAATCAAGGAAAGATAATAACAAATTTTATATACACAAAACATAGTGAGCAATAATTATAAACAGAAGATTAAAATAGAGAAGTTACCTAAAACGACATCATTTCGCAAGACATTTGTGTTTTGTTCTTTATTTCCTACAAGCTTTGATGAAATTGTCACGATATAACTCTCGCCAGGAATAAGTCGGTCAGAATCAAGAGTTATCTATATAAAAGTGTTAAAAATATTCGGTCAAATTTTATTTACAAAAGTGTCTTAATAAAACGCGACACATACCATCAAATTGTCAAGTCACAATGTGTAGATAGGTGTATAGGATTGAAGAAAATAAATAGTTTAGGTTAGCAGTCAGGGACTAATAATGACTGACCAGTTAACATATCTAAATTTAATGTACATGGCCTAGTAAAATGGTTGATTGGCAACTGGTCGATTACGACTTCCTCCGCCATCAAGTCCCTGCTTCTGAAAACAAGTAACTAACTAATCCCATACTCGACATGAAGTGGTAACCAGGCCGTTGTTAAGGGTTAAGTCATCTTATAGGCTTTCCTCTCTCCCAGTTTAAATAAGTACATCCTATCCTATATTTGGGTAAAAATTAACTCCAGTACCTCTGTTTGAATTTCAGTGCAACAGAAAATCACAAAATAAGACCAGAAATAAGTAGAGTGATTAATCTATCTATCTTATCTAAAATATTAACAGTTCAACCAATGAACAAATGTTTCTACATGATTTCAAAACTGAATAAAAATGAAAAGCATATTATTACAAAACATATATAGTTCAGCATACAATCAATCAAACCCTACCGTATTCTCGCCGGGTTGAAGTTCTTGTGTGATAATATATTGCCTTGGTCTATCAATCGGTGCAACACGAACAGTGTAATGTTGTACTGTACCACTTTCATCAGGATCAAATGTGATTGTCAAGTTGGTAACTGACACAGTACTGAGTATTCTTCTTCTAGTTGGTTGACGAGCTGTTACAAATCAAAAATACCAGATTATTTTTTTTTTCAGATTTAGTATGAGAAAGACTTTAACAAAATTTTCAAATTGGAAATTATACGGTAAATTTCATCAGATGCATTCATGAAAAATCAGTGCAAAAATATTTTTAAAATACTTTGAGCAAAAATTTCCAACATTTAATAGTAATGATTCAAAGAGTTTTGTTTTGATGATAATATTTTAAACATAAGTAATAAAAAGTTTATCCTTTGTTGAAATATTTATCACTCTCAATCAGAATTCTATGATTTGAATCATAAAAATCCCTTGACTCAAACACTGAATTAATTGATTACATAGGTACTTGTCAGAGAATTATTTTAATTATTAATATCGATACTTATATTATTCTCAGGTCAAGTACTAAGCAAAATTATATTGTATATTAATATTTTTTGGGAATAGTGTTGAAAAAACTCATATTGGGAAACATATATGGCGCTTTCCAAATAATAAAATTATATATGTATTCAAAAAATAATGCAGATTAAAAGTAATTTGAATCTTCATTATTATTGAATTAATTGCATGCACAATGGGTATTCATAAATGCCTTATTTTACAGAATTTTATTGCCTTTCAATATGTAAATCAAATTGACTGATATTGAATATATAAAAGTAAAAAAACAACAGCAAAGACTGATACCAACAAAAAAAAATGAGGAATAAAATTCGATTATGAAAAACTTTGACGTTATCATCAAAAAATAAACATAATGTGCTTTTACAAAATACTTTAGTTAACTATTGTTTAAATTTGAGTCAAAACAAAGAACAACCACTTACACTGTTGTTGTATATTTATCGTCACTCGAGAACTTCTCGTGTTGTTGCTTACAGAATGAAGAAAAAGTTTACTTAAAGCATCAGGTCTTCTAAAGTTGACAAGTGCACTTGTTTTGTCTGAATTATGCAGTACTTTCTCCTTCCCTTTTACAGTGGTTGACATCAAATACCTATTTAGTTTAGCAAATGAAACATATTTATATCACTGCAAGTGGACCTTTGTCAAGTTGTTGTTGTTAATTTAGATTTTCTCCTGAATACAAAGCCAGTAACTTTTAAATTTTCATTAATTGAAACAAATGTGTTTTCCAAAAACCTGTTATTTTTTTCGTCATTTGTTATTTTACCATGAATTCTGTTGCTTTTAGAAAAAATGCCACACAACAGAATTGATTTTTTGATAAGCGATTTTGACCACCTCATGTACTATGATACAATTCAAAATTACTCGTATCCTTGACTCACCTATCAACTCCAGTGACTTTATTCCATGTTATAAAAATACGATCTGCTCCTTGTTGGGAAAGTTTAACATTTTGTGGTATTGGTGGACGAGCTTAAAAGCAAATAATATAATTTGGAATTGAATAGATCAAACCAATTGGTGTTATATTTTAGTTAACATTGACTTCAGTTTCATACTGCATTACATCATGTAGGTGAAGCTAACAAACTGATGATAAGGAGAATCAGAAAGGATTAGCATGTAGTAATGTCAACACACATCGAAATATGTGATTTTTCTTCAATATTGTATTATATAACGTAAACCAAGTGAACAACCTTAATTCATGAAAAATTGTTGAAATTCTCAAATCTAATTAATGTGTAAAGTATAATTACAATGACTGTGATTAGTTAAAAAATGATTAGGTCATACTGCTTTTTTTAATTTGTTCTGAAAACACCACTGGGCTTATCAGATCGGAGACAAATAACAGTAGGATAGTTAAAAGTCAAGTACGTGGCAAAAACATAAGACAATATATTAATTCAGAGGTATCTACGTAGTTAACAAAAAACGGAACGGCATAAAAACATACGCAGAAACGGAATCCCAATGTATGTATTACGATAAGTATGGAGATCAAAAATTTCTGGTGATCCATGTGCTAAAATACACTTGCATATTACCGGTAAGTAGGAAAAAATGTGGTCATATAAAATATCTTGATCTTGTTTTTAACAAAACAACAGTAAAATTGAAATTTTTTGTGCTACAAATTTATTAACTACAAGATAAACTTTCATATAATATTCAATTGAATTCAATATTTGTTATTTATTGAAATATCTGTTGTTTCAATATTTGTTGAATATAAAATTTTTAAGATTAACTAACCAGATTGCAATCGATTACTTACCGATCAATAATCTATACTTACTTAAAGTCACTACTGAATTAATTGGTCGGAAATTTAAACGTCGGTTGACTGCGGTTATACTAATGTTGTAAGAATATGCAGGTTGCAAGTTATTGAAAACCACTGGAACTGGTTGGCCTCTATTACGAAGAGCAACGACTTGTGTCCGACCCCTGTAAAATCGGATTCAAGCTAGTTACGCCTTATAATTTCGGATTTAATTTTTGTCCTAAATGGTATAAGGTGTGAACACCCTATATTGAGCCAGTAATACAACACCTGTTAAAAGCCTATCAGGGTATAAAAACTGAACGTAATATATGCTGGTGGATAGTAATGCCTACAATGCTATTGCAGTTCTAGTCAGTCCATGTTCAGTCCAAACATGCAAGCTTTACCCTTTGTAGAACTGCATTTGTTGCTGCTGTACTTGAATTCTTTCTAGGCATAAGTAGTTTCTTGTATACAATCATTTATTATGGAAGTATTGAAGTATAATGCAACACACACATATGATCAAATCTTCAATTTACCTGTTTGCATCAATTCTAGTTACTGTAACTCGATATCTTTCTCTGTTGTTGTCAGATGGTGTTATTTTGAGTGTAATAGATGAAGAAGAGTATTCAATGTCTACCGTGATAGACTGTGTTATCGCTAGAAATTAACATAATTAGTTATTTACAGTTGGAACTAGGATAGGTGGGCATCAAGGGATGGATCTTTCTTTGCCAAAAATTGTTTACAGGTGAACTGTGTGACTCAGTGGCTAATGTTATATATAGGATTCATTATCTCTTCAAATGCTGATAACTATTGATGAAAAATTAGTTAACTCAGCTCATTTGAATGAGAAAATATAGTACTAAATAATAGTTGTGTAGCAACTGTTTGCTGATGTATCAATAGAAATAAAAAATCTTGGTAATAAAGAGCATATTATCATAAATGCATGTAGATTAGTAATGTACTTTCAAAACAATTCTATAGGATTATTCAAATTGACCAGAAAACATCTTCCTACGTGGGATACACAAGCAACTCAAACCTGTTACTGATTAACCAAACAAACTCCGGTTGAAAACCACCATGTCTTAGACAAAGTTAAATTTTAAAACAACACTATCCTTAATAATATACTTTGGTGAAAAGATCCTTGCAGTTAGGGGTTATCATCAAAATGTTAATAATAGATTAGTTTCATTTTCATGCATATTATGAAGAAAGATGAAAGTTTGAATGGAAATGAACACAATAAAGATGTATAATATCACCTTGAAACAATATTGATTGTCAAAGAAGCGACCCCACAATTTAGGAACGAAGTTTCATGCATCATAATATTAAAATACAGACAAACTTTTTTACCGTTTTTTGGATTTATTTGTATGATCATATATATTGACTTGATAACCCTACTAATCTCTATAACATAGCTTCAAAGCTATATTCAATTTTTTTTTATAGCGGAATAGTTTGATTCGAATATTTGTAAAAATTTGGGTGATTCAGCTGTACCTATATATGGGCATATGCTATTATAAATGACTACTGATTGTAACAAATAATAGCTTCGACATACATTCGAATTACGACATTCGAATTGTGAATTCTATAAGCTCACCATGCAAATCGATACAAACAAAAGTTAAAAAACAATTGCAAGAAATGTTTTTATGGCAATGAAGTGAAAGTGAAAGCTGAAAGCATAAAGAAATAAAGCATATGCTAACTGCTATAATAATAAAATGATGAAATTTTTCAAGCGAATTAAATTTTAACACAATTATTGACAAATACATAGTGTGTATGGACAGTTTTGATGATGAACTTTTGAAGTGAACAAATGAAGTATGAACTGATCTGCATTTTGAGCATATTGCCATGCCGTTGATCAACTTAATCACATGGATTGATATTGTTTAAGACAAATATTTTTCAAAAATATAGGTTTGTATCAAATAAAGCATTATTTCCGATTAAACATGCAGCATGTTGCTTATAAAGCATCAAATCAACAATATATAGAAAAAATTTACATGTGTGATTCAAGCCCATTGACAATGAACAATTTTAACATTGATCAAATATTGGTATTAGGATTAGACAAGTTAGTGATTTCAAAGCGTTCAGCAAAGACCTTTCCAGCAAAGTCAGTTTTCAGCAGAGTATGTTTACAATAAAACCTAAAATTATTACTGATGAAATATGAAAGCATTTATTTCAATGCTTTTGCAAAAACATACTCTGCTGAAGACTGCTTTGTCACGGTTGTCGCGGTACAAATTTATGAAATCAAAATTGTACTTCCGGACATATATACCTTCAGTTCTACCAAACGCTAAAGGCAAACGATCAAGCAATATTTATTTCCGTACATAAACAGAATTTATTTTCAAGTCATGTCGGACAAGCATGAACTATGAATGACTGAGCATGAGTAAAATAAATTGTCAAAAAACTCTAAGAAAAACATTGCAATGAACCGTATATAAATATTATTCATTATATATATATATATATTATAGGCATTCATTTATCAAGACGAGTGATCAGCTCCAACTCTTTCATAAAATGGTGAATATTTAAAAATTGAGGTAAAGTCAGACCATCGTCTTCATACGTCATTATATTATCGAAAGTCATGTTAGATTGTAGATAAAATTTTGGACTGTCGTAACAAAGATTCGAAGTCACCAATAACCAAAACTCTAATATAATACATATGGAATGGAATTTCAATTACTACTATGAGCTTCAAGGTTTCAAAAGTAGACATAAGCAATCTACGTTTTTATATATGGTGATTAAATCCTTCAGTTGCCTATGTTGAAAATACTTGATTGATTAACAGCTTGCCTTCTTCTTCATTTATAGGTTAATGTTTTATTTGTTATGTTGGCATTATTTTTGATTTAATTGATAATATTATATTTTTGTAGGTTACACTGCAATGTTTTTCTAACAGTACACAAACCACCAAGAAAACTCCACTCTCTATCACCACCAACCTTGTTTTTTCTTGGGCGATCCGGTTTTATTTCCTATTTAAAATTATATTTGGAAAAATTATATTTAATTGATAACTTTCGATAAAACAGAAAAATAACATTTTAAAATAGTTTGAAAAATTTAAAACTAAAATATAAAACATTTCAAAACTTACGAGATTCTATTATAAAAGTAGCTGGTTCACCACGGACACCATTAGCAACTGTCAACGCCGTAATAATGTATGACGTATCCGCAAGTTGAGGTACCTTAAATAATCCCTCGAGAGATTCATCAGCTTGGACCTATAAAATTTATAATTTTCTATTAGCACTTCAAGATCCCCATATATGAGAAGAGTTATAAAAACTTTCACTGATAATATGGTTTTACCTAATTTTCGGATGCCCAGTATAAAAAGATTTTGTAAACATGCCATAGCAGAAATTCAAGTGTTTCACTGAGCTATCACATTTTGATAAGTAAAAATCTTATTGTTTCATTATGCCTTTTTAGCTGAATCAGTTCAAATACCAGTAAAATTCTTGTGGTTTCATTTAGAGCTTATCCATTCTAAAACTCTGTTGCTAACTTTTGTGCGTTCTTAATTAATAATATAGAAGGAAAAAAAAAAGGTAAGAATTGATATGCCTCAAACTTGTCCAAAATGTTTTTATTATCCATGTCTTTTCCAAATTTGATAGAAAGTATATAATGATCAACTTTTTCCACTCCAACAAACTTGACTCGAACACCATCAGAAGTCATTGTTGGTTTCAATGTTGTAATAGGCAGTGGAGCTAAAACACAAAACTTGTTGTTATCAGATGAAATAACATCACTTTTTAAATTCCAGTGCATTCTTCCAGTAAGTTCTAGTGCAACAAAATTTCCTGTATCTCAGTATTTAACTTCTGATTATTTCCAAAATATGTTTATTTATTATTATTAGTCAAAGTAAATATAGCAAGCAGCTTAGCATAAAGATCAGAATGTACAGTAGGTAGATGTATCCTCTTATTTTCACACGCCCAATTAAACCTTACAATATCAATAATTAGAAACTAACGTAGTTATTTTTCTATATCTTGAAAATTACTCTGGAGAATCCGAAGCATATTCAAATTTGCTAAAAAGCGAGAAGGAAATACATTACGACATCGATTTTCGGCCAATTGAGTTTGGTAATTTTGTGATAAACAAACACCTTAGGATTACAGTAACAGAATACTTTGTACCCATATCTTTGTGCCTTTCTCCTTTGTTTTATTGATTTTAGACTCGGATGTAACCATCAAAAGGAATTGCACTGTTATTTTATCTAGACGTGATTCGAATGTGTAGCAAAAGTGATTCTGCTATAGTACTTTTGATGTCCATAACAGTACACCATAAGTGGTACGAGTGTGATAAGGAGTACAAGTGGTGCATGACATGTACCATTTTTGTAGTACCATTATCTGAGTTGCTCAAATGGTGGGAAATAATAAGGTGAAGGAATAGTTACTAACCGGTATTGGAGATATGTTTCCTTGAATAATCACTGGTCTGCTCCATATTATTTATAAAAGATCTGACTTTGATTTCATATTGATTTGCTGGTGATAATTTTTGAAAGGTATAATTTGGATCACTTGTTTTGTGTATCAAAAAAGTACTATCTCCTGGCAATGGGCCTGTCAATTCGACAAGATATCCCTGTAAATAAATTGCAAATGATATAGTTTCTGATGCACACAAAAACACACAGCCATATCTCGATATGTTACACAATAATTACCATAAATAATGAAAAAATTGACCCTGGGTCCTTATTTCAAATAAACTTCTTCTATATCACATAATTAGCCTTCTGCTGAAGCCTGAATTAAAAAAGCAAGAGTTCTGTGTACACAATCCGGTCCGATTTCCACTACTGAACTTGTTCAAAGATGTGTTGTGTAGTTATGGTACAAAACATGAACAGATTCATTTGATGTGCAAGTCTAAGTTAAGTGACTGATATACAAGTTTAAAGTCAATTTTTTGCCAACTCACTTCGACATTCTTGATAGAATCCCACGTAATACCAAGCATGTTGGTCCTGGATAACACAGTTTTCAAATTCTTCGGTATTTCAAGTTCATCAACCAAAAAATCAAATGGCACAGGCTTTGATGACTTTGGGCCACTCACAGTGGTAACAAGGAACAAGTATCTAAGAAGAAATATGGGTAATTTAAAAATGAAAATGTTGTTTTCAAACGAGGTTATTGTATATACTTTTAATTGAAAAATACATTGTACAGAAAATCTTGTTCAGGTAGGAGACTTGGATTGACCAATGCAAGATGACAATTTTCAATATTCAAAATATTGACCTATGGCTACTAACAAAAGGGGTAATAGAAGTTGCCAAAATGCAAATCCCAGGAAAGCTTGAGTTTGTCATTAATTGGATATTAGGTACATTGATTCATAAGATGTAATCACTCCGTGGTGAATTTAATTGACTCAAGTCAAATTCAAGATATTATAATGAACATTTATTATTGTAAAAAATATGACTTTACATGAACAAAACTTGTCTAAATAAAAATTTCAGAATTCTTCAGAAATTCTCGAGTACCCAACTAATATCTGATTGCACCTCATTTATTGTGTATCCACACTCCTTGTACACTCAAAAGGACACTTGAAACTTTACTGATGAGTGAGTTTTATTCATTTCACATTCAATTCTTGTGAGTATGACTCTTACCTTGAGCGAATATACATAAATGACATAGTAATCTATTGTACTAAAGCACATAAAAAAGGCACCCAATATTTGTAGCTAAAAGTACTTACTTTCCAGGTATATTGTTTTGGAAAACAGCAATTATATCTTTAACAGACTTCTGTTTCTTAACATTGATAGTATCAACAGCTAGTACTTCCATCGTCAAAGCATTAACTAATACAGTTTTATATTCGTCAACATTTCCAACAACAGGCGGAAATGATATTTGTAAATTTGATGCCAATCTGACTACCTTTATATCGCCCGTAACTTGTGCAGGATCTAATGGAAAAAATAAAATTTTATTCAGATTAACACAGAAGCTCTTAATGAGAAAAGCTAAGAATCCTTGCACAGTTGATCCTCGTAGAGTACACTGGACCATAACGACAATTCAGTACTTGAACAAATATCTGTATGATACTAATTAGGATATTCATTGAAATGCAGCCCTCAAACTGTAATAAAAAGGTTCCATTACTAACTATGAAAAATATGCAATATATTGAATTTTGCCTAATTTTATTAATGATAAAATTATAATCCTAAATTTTTCGAATGAAGCCTTAATTTTTGATACTGCTGTGTGTATATTGTAAATATTACTACATGAGTTTTGAACAGCATTCTTACTTAAATTAGTATTCTGAGGCAAGTGTGTTCATTTTGTTTACATTTCAGAAATGTTGTTACCACAGATTGAGGAGGATCTGGTATTCCAAACAAAATATTAAAAAGTACTAGACAAAACTTTTACTACTAAGAAACAAATTAAACTTTCTCGATTTTAGTGAAACCTAATGATAAACAAACCTGTCCAAAACTCTACAACATTGGAATTTTTTCCTCCTCGTCCCCGTCTTGTCTGTACCATAACAGAATATTGTGTTCCAGGTTGAAAACCATTTTTTTCATCAAATACATAGGAATTTCCTGTGACTCGAACCTGCTTGATATAGCTGGATGCATCTCGACCATCACCTTTATACAGCTGAATACCAACCAATTTAAGTTATACCAAATTTTTATTTTAAATTTTTATTATTGCTATTAGATTATTATATCTAAAGAAGTTATACTTTTAATTTAACTAATTCCACTAAGAATATATTTTATAAAAGTTTATCCCAGTTTCCCAGATGGAAAATTGGTCTAAAGTCTGTAGCAACAGAAATGCAAGTCAAGAAAGATTAACTTACATAGACTATAAATGAGTTCACACCAGTTCTGGATTTCCAAGAAACATGAATCGATTTCTCATTTATTATATGGACTTGAATTCCAACTGGAGGAAAGATTCCTGAAATAGTTTTAATGAAAATATGTGACCATATATATTTATTCTTGTAATTCTACATGAAACTACGAAAAAAGTTAGTTGCAATATCTTTAATTTAAAAATGAACAAAACATTGCACCAAAAATAGACGAACACTCACTAGGACAATTTCCTGCCTTTTTGATCTCTTTCGAAACTCTTCTTGATATTTCAGTAGAATTTAACGTTGCTTCGGTTGTACCAAACACCACGCCTTGTGGTAATGATATTTCTTCCATTAGTTTTCTTCTCAATGGCTGAAATATATTATACATATGATGACCAAGAGCAAATAAATAACAACCAATAGCGCCGCAACGAAAATTTGGACCTATTTTTACATATATTGGCCATGCTTCAGAAAATAAATAAATAATCCCATGACCAACATGGAGTGGTAACCAGATGAGAGGCGTGGTTCACCATATAGTTAAGCCATCTTATCAGCTTTCCTCCTTCTCTTGGAATAAATATGTAAATCCTATCTAATGCTAATTGCAAAACGCAACAAGTGCCTAGCTATATATATATATATATAAATATATGGCCTACCATACTACTTCCAACTACAATCATAAAAATATACTAACTCCTATTCCAACGATGTGTAAAACAGCGCCTTGATTTCTTAATGAAGCTGCAGCCGAAGCAAAATCATCCGGTAGGTTCCCTTTGGTAACAACAATTATGACCAGTCCAGCTCCTGGTCGTCTGCCCTTTCTATTCAGCAGTAAATTTGCTTCAATAAACTGTAGTGCTGAAAAAAATTTGAAGGATTCCTCACTCTGAACGAGGCTTTGAACAAGTGGGCAAAGCAAAAGGAGATAAGCTCTTCAATATGATATAAACCACATTGGTTTATTGCACGCTGTAGAGTTTATCATCTATATTCTAATACCGGACTAACATTATTCAAATAACAAAGCTTCACTGTTTGATAACTAATTTTCAAATGCAATTCTCAACTATAATATACTATGATGACAAGAGTTAAAATGGTTGCTTCATTTTATTTTTGTGATAGCCAAGAGTGGTTTATTAATGGGGATACCCATAAAACAATTATTTCTAGACAACGTGGCAGTGGCGTATTTAGTGAGTAAGAGCATTAGTTTATATCATTTTGGCACTACTAAAATTGATATCTTCATCGCGTTAGGAACATAAACAACAAAACTTTGCAATACAACTGATATAACAAAAATTACCTTTGCCAAGTAATAACTTTGGCTCCCTTCCATTGTGAGTAATTTGTTCCAAGGCTTTTGCAATTTCAGTTCCAGTTTCATGTTCATCGAGAAAAAATTCTATCGATGATGTCGAGCCCATGGTCACAGCACCAACCTGACGTAAAAAGTATATGATATTAACGATTAGTACACAGTTTTTTTTCAATATCAGTGAAAAAACGTGGTGTACAGGACAACGAGGAATGCGATGCCATTTCATTCAGTCGAATGACACAATGAAAAATATTAAATTTGGCAAATAATTATGTCTTAGAATAAGGATAGGTATGCAAAATGGTTTAATCTCATTGCCGATGATTGCGAAGTTGCCGATGTTTCTGTCATATAGGTATCGGTATTTAGTTAGATATATATGACATACTGCAGAACTTTTATGTTTTTCTGACGAACTGCAGCGTATATAACTTTTTTCTCATACTATCCTAAATGATTTGGTAAATCATGTATGCGACTTACTTTAGTTGATAGCTGTCCAACATTAAATTGGCTGGCCACATTTAAGGCAAACTTTTTCATTCCACCGAACAAATTTCCTGAAGTAGCAAGTGTTGTTTCAAGAGCAAAAATTACGTCCAGGTAATCATTGTTTTCAGAACAGCCATATGCTAAAACCGAAAAACCCTCATGATGAACAAAACATGTTGAACAAAAAATTGTAAATACATTCCAACAATTATGGCTCATGCTAACTGTGTTATGTATAAAGTACACACTCAAGAATGAAAAATGTATAAAATAAACTGTAATTGAAGAGGTTTGTATTTCAAACTCGCTATATCAATATAATATAGTGGATGAGCTAATTAAGCTATTTTGTTTCAAATACTTAGAAATTGTATAACCTACATTTATGAACCTACAATCAACATATACAAGAGAATATTATCGCCCTTGACAAATGTAAAATGTCAAAATAAAAAATGTCAAAAGCTATAGAAGCAATGCAGCACATACATGGACATATTGAGTTACGTAACATGGCAGGCATCTTTTGTTCAAGTAATTTGAAATTTGGATACGTAGTAACTCTTCCATCGTAGCCAGCTATATCTCTCAATTCCTTTTTATCGACGTGATTGGACACTCCAATGACATGCACATGAGAGGTGATCTAAAAGTTGATGTAAATTATAAATTCCGGTCAATCAACAATGTCTCTTTTTTATATTTAATAAACATTTCAAAGTCATTACGACTGTTTGGCAATGAAGTCGAGACATTTTTTCGCGGTATGTTGTATCAAATAACATGGAGCGATAAGAAAGCCCGGGGCGTTGAATACGTTATCTGTCTGAAAAACATACTATCGCATTCGAACAATAACCTGGCAGAGAGTCTATTCGGTATCAACATTTTTTTTTATTTCGAAATTAAAATAACAATGGGATGAATTCGAAAAACAACTTTTTAAATCGCCCTAGGCGCAAATGTCGACAATACACACACCACAATCTCAACGCAATGTTTACGGTTCTTATAAAGAGCAATCGAGTTTAAAGTAAATTATATTTCTTCATATTTCCAATATTAAAATTTTTTTAGACGGGGGATATTGGTGTTTTTGATTTCTCTCCTCATATACCCAGGTAGTGTCTGTCCATGGGATTCGTACCAAATATTTTTGTTCAGATTGTAAAATAAAACAAACCTTGTGCAGATTACTTGCAGGTAAAGTTACATCGTCCGCACTTTTCCCATCAGTAATAATAATGACATGAAGATCGTTTCGTTGTCTTCTTCCGCGCGAAGACAACAAAACCTCGTCCTGGAGTTTTTGTATTGCTGAACAAATAAAACGCTATAATAATAGATGAAAACTTTTTGTTCTAGTCGTAATACAGGAATTTTATATATCGAGTTATGGACTTTAGCAAAAACTGCAAATATTACATAGTTTTCATAATACGATTAAATATATATATATAATTATATATATACCTAATCCAGTTTTTGTACCAAATCCCGAGTACGGAATGTTGCCAACTGCTTGTATAAGACTCTTCTTGTTTGCAAAGTCATTCAAGTAGAAAGCAACTTTAATATTCCTTGAATATTGTACGAATGCAATCTGAGACAAAAAGTAAGGTAAATCATATGATGGCAAACCTTTGAATAGATCATCGTCGATTCAATGGGACACAACAATACCAAACTATCCATAAGTACAGGTTGGTTAGGGCTTGATATGGCGATGAAAGTTTGAACGAGAAATAAAGATGTTGCTCATAATGTTTATATAAGATAAATGAAGACTCTCGGATGAATATTATCACTGAAGTAGGGAGATCTACAGAATGAAATCAAGGCCAACATTAAAAGTTAAGACACGGAGAACCATCTTACTTTATCTTAATAAGCTCAGTTGGCCAGATGATCTATCGGTCAAACCCTTGGACTTGGATGTGTTGATGACCACAGTTTGAATATCTCGAGTTTGTGAGATACCAGACAGGTTTCGCTCTTTTTAAAAATAGTCCCCCTTACATATCAGCTGATGCTTGTACAGGGCATTGTTCAGAACGAAAGACGTGATTAAGTGACGTAGAAAAAGTAATGTAAACCAAGATTAAACATCTTTACTTACTTGAGTTGCATACGGTCCGATCTCCAAGTAATCAATAAATTTTGTGACGGCCCGTAATACGAGTCTGTACGATGGATCTGTTACTGTTCTGCTTCCATCAACCATAATTACAATGTCATATTTTGCACGATCGCACGCTAAAAAGTTTGGAGGAATGCGAACAGGCTTCACCAAAGACATCTGAAAAATAATGTAATAGACAATTTTGAATAATAATTAAATTTGAATAATAATTTCAACATTTTCTAAAACTAATGATCATCGTTTTGTGTAACTGAGAAGTACAATTTGATGCTAATTTGGGGCTAGTTATATCTTCACTGGTGACTGAAATTGTTTGAATTATTTCCTCAAGCATTATGTAAGTCGAGCGATCAGACGTAACTTATATTCCAACGATAAACAAATATGTAGCTTGTTTTTCTTCGATCTTCTTTTCACTCATTATCTAATGTATGCGACTACGCGTAAAATTGCATATAGAATATTAATATTTAATTTACCATCGCAATTTATAGAAGCAATGAAAAACAGAACAGTAAATAGATTACCTCTTTTGATACTCTCTTCTCTTTACAATTAATGGGAAATGGTAGCTTATTGCTTCTTGGCACGGGTTCAAAACCGGGTGAACAGAGACAATAATAACTTCCGGGTAAGTTATAGCATTTAGTACCAGATCCGCAATTATTGCTGTCTTCTCGATCACAAGCTTCGCATTCTACAATGGTATAAAGTGAAGAAATTAGGCATTGTATCGTATATTCAATTGATATGACACTAAACAACAGAAAAATATAATTTATTCGTCTGTAGTAAATTCAGATTACCGTATTTTACGGACCATAAGGCGGCACTCTTAATCCATTTTTGCTAAAAAACTATTTACTAAAAGAAGAAAGAGTATAAAAATAAGTAATGAAAGAAGATATGTAAATCGTGATCATTACCTTCTATTTCAATCGATTTGGTATTCAAAGTTTGTAACAGTGAATTGGATCCCGAGTTGCTTATGATTGTTGTGTTGAGAGTTATTGTCAATTCTCGATGATCCTCTCCATCTAAAATGAATCACGTGTTTAATGTTCTAATCGTGAAAATAAATATGATTTGATTTGCGTCTGAAAATCTTACTAATCATGGTCAAATCTGGCATCTGAAGATGGAAAAAAACTTTTGTGTAGTCGTCAACTTCATTGAGAGTCAAATCATTCACATGAGCAGGTCCTTTTCCCAACGCTTCAAACATGGAAGTTAGCTGAACAAACACAATCAAATTCTGTATTTAGCCGGTAAATAATGACCTTTTCGGAGATCAACATAATTCCCAGAAACACATTCTCAAATGTTTTTCCCAATCTTTCGAATCATTCACGTTATATATATGTTATATTTATGGTTGTATCCCAGCAAATAAGGCCTTTTACAGGATGATTCATTATGTTATTTAAAAAATTGTTTTGGATATAACGAAAAAACATTAGCATACAAAAATAAGTATATAAATATATATGTACTTACCATTTTCTCCAAATTTCCAGCCAAAAGATTTCTTTGACCAATATCAGCTTTCCATTCTCTTTTCAAGAGAAATGATATCTTGATGCAGGACCCACCTTTCAAATAAAAACGATAACAATTAGAAAATTTTCTAATTGAAATATGGCCCACAACCGCAACTTACCTAGACTATTTGACTTCCCAATCTCGGACTTTTTCATTATGCTGACTAGCTCGCCGCTTCCTAAAATTAGACAACAAATTTTCGAGATTTAGAAAACTATAAGGAAAATACAATCTACAATGAAAAATAATTTATTGATAGAAAATAAGTAAAAAGCGGGTAGTATTTGTTTGAACAACTGAAAAGGAACAAAACAAGGTCACGAATTTTTTTAATTTTGTGTTTCATGAAATAAAACACATTACCTGTAGAAGCCTGAACTTGTTCAGTATAAGATCCCGTGCCAGCACTATTGATAGCAGCAATCCGAATTAGATATCTTGTAGAAGGCAGAAGACGAATGATATCTGTTGATAACCTATCAGCAAGAACCTGAATGAAAGGCAATGTAAATAGTTTGCGCTTTTGTTCATCAAGTATTCAAATTACTGGAAATATTAAACTTTAAATATAGTACAATGAATGAATTGCGCATTGGAGATCAACTTGACTGCCGAAGCATTTTATCAACAACTCGTACTGAAATGAGGTGTCAAATAATTATTGAAATGACGTTTATCCCTAGTCATCAGCGTTGCGTTTTTGAGAACACGGACCAATAATAGGTCAGACACTAGGTGAGTGATGTACTCGAAATTAAAATTTAATTAATTTCACACCAGCAACAAATTTAAATCTGATAAACTTACTTGTATTATTTTACTCTCCTTGCATATATTGCCTATACATGAAGAGGCTTGTCTGTATTCAACTGTGTAACCAAGTATTATTCCCATTGGTTCATCAGGTGTGTCCCAAGATATTTTTATACTATCTGCTCTTTCATTTTCAACTAGAAGATTTTGAGGCGGCGACGAAACTTTAAAATATAAAAAGGGAAGGTTTTGAAAATTGAACGAAGCATACAGCCTCGCATACGAATAAAACATGTAAATATACTTATACTTACTTATACTCATAAAAAAGCATAAAAAAAAGCATTTGGTAAAATCCTAAAATACTGCCCAAACACACTCACCATCACTATGGTGTATCATGTCAACTCTTTTGTGCCACAAACTAGTGGCCGGGGAAGTGCGCGCTTGTTCAAAAATGGAAAATGTTTGTTTCAGTGCAGTAAAATCACTTCATGAAAGAACAGTGATTAATGTTAGGGTGGAGTTTCATCAATTCATACTGACTGCTGGCACGCGTGTGTTTCTTCTTTGTTACGTAAATACAGTGACTACTAAGTACTAACATTTAATAATAAACCCAATACGCCCTATGATAAACGATTTAGTGTCCCGGTTGGTACTCCCTATCTACACGAGACAAGATTTTCTGCTTTGGCTGTCATTAAACGCAAAGATACATCAAGATTAATACTAAACGAGACACGCCTTATTCAGAGATCCGACGAGGTTTGCCAAATTAAACGAGTCTGCAAATCGCATTAAAATGTACCTGATTCATATTTGGTTTCCTATGATGTTGAATTACAAATTAAACACTTATTGTTAGCTTCTTTATGATCTTATTTTTATTTTAAGTATATTTTCACAGATACTTTGAAACTTTGCGGCAATCGTCGCAACGAATACACTTCGAAAAAATACTGTTGTAAAACATTGGATAATCTGAAACCGGAATCAAATCAAGGCAAATAGTGAGTAAAATCCCACTCCACAATTAAAAACTCATATTCGAAAGGCTCGTGTATTTGTAATCAAGAGAGTAAAATGGACAAAAATGATTTCACATTCGTATAAATCGTGGCAAAAGCTATCAAACTCACGTCCTTCTCCCGTTACTTTCACACATGATCGAGTTGGGTTTTCTACAAGCCCTTCGGTGATTTGCATCCTGAGTCTAATAAAATATAGCGTGCTTGGGCGGAGATTGGTTATGATAAATGAAGATTCATTTCGCGCAATTGCTCTGTACTTTAAAGACGGCACGGTTTCCTGGAGATGAAAAATAAAAATAAAATGTTTGTAATAAACACCTCATATTTTTAAGATTTTCAGTTTGCTCGTTTATCCAATATACATTAGTAAAATCCACTCAATTATTGTGACTAATCTGAGAAAAATCCATGAGAGATGAAGATGACATAAATGTAATCGTGTCTCGGCATACGAAACTATAGAATTATTCATTATTCATCTACACAGTGTTTTATATACAGTAATTTGATCCGGTTGAACATGCTGAAGTCATTTCGACCGTCCATTTAAAAGCAGAATAATAGTATAGGTGAAAGAAAATGTCTATAATAAAGAAACATCTGAAAATCTCCCAGTGGTTTTATTTCCCTTATTATTAGGTGAAATAAAAAGATTTGTTCATTTGTCAATTATTTTTTAGGATTACCGTTTCGATGACATCATTCAGTTTTTCTTCGTAGTCGTCGAATTCATCAAAATATGTCTTCAATTCTTCCTCTGTGTCATACGACAAGTCTTCGCGTGGATTCCAAGAAACGATAAACTGAATAATAATAATAAAATAATAGCAACTATGTATGAGTATAATCGACTGCAATTGATTTTTATGAACCAGTTATTGAAAATAAATCGGCATCAGTACGATAAAGTGGACATTTGACAATCACATCCAACAGCCAAGGATAAATCACAATATTACAGATTGTACAATATTACAAAATAAATCAATGTTTCTCCGACCCTAGAAAAATTTTCACATACCTATAATTATCCTATTTTTACGTTCATTTTGAGAACGTTTTTGCTAGCTTGATCAGAATCAAACTACCAATGCAGCTATTTGCCATTAAAATGATGAAATATTATTTTCACCCAATCTACTATTGCCGTTTAGTCGGGGCCATTTTCGATGACTCGGAAAGAATGGCCACTGAACTGTTTCATTATACCTTCTTCGAAAACTTGAAGAAGAACTGACAAATAAAATTCAAATTTCATCTCTAAAATTATCTCCCCTCAAAAATTGAAAGATAGGGGGAAATGCCGTCGAAGTACTTTCATATTTTTATTACCTGGTCGATAACAAGAGAATTTCTCCACTTTGGCGGTACTAGCCAGCTAACACGGATTGTGTCATTGCCCAAAACATCACAATTGAAATATTCGATCGAGACGGCAGCTGAAAAAAAATAGGCTCGTGTTACGAAAATCTCGATGTGCGATCTTTCAAATGATAACTTTTTAATTAAAGCAATCACTTTGAGTAAAATTATAACATTATTATGGTAAACACGAAAAGGTGTCACTTGCTCAACGTGATCTTGATCGCTCACCACTTTTGTATGCGTTTAATCTCATAAAGACATTCTCAGAGAATTCATTTTCTAAACTAAACTCAGTGAGATATCACAACCGCTGAGAACGCATATCAAGGTAGCACCTACGAAACAGTATGAAAATAGCAATGTCATAGCCTAGTACAGGGGTGTGCAAACTGCGGCCAAAACTAGCTAGCAAATCCCTGTAGCAAAATACACGATGTTATAAAAACGTTTTTCTCACTTAATGTCGGTGTGACAATAATTTAAATAGCACTTTTCTTCAGCAATTTATGCGTTTTAACTCACCATTTCTGCAAGAACCTCTGATAATGCCGTAAGATCAATAACAAACAAAAAAATAATTGTGCATGCAACCGCTAGAAAAGCTATCTTCACCCAGTTACTTGTGTTTGGCCCTCCTGCCATTAAGATTGCACACCCCTAGCCTAGTCCAAACTGAATCAATAGACGATGTAACACCAAAACAAAACTAATGTATTTAAGGGTTGTGGAAGACAGGTATATTGGAATGTATACCGCTTTCAATCTACCTTGACAAGAGTTTGTTCCATCGCCCACGTATCCTTCTTTGCAAAAACACAGAAAACCTCCGTCAATATTTTGACAATTGGCATCCGCGTGACAAGGAGAGGTTAGACATTCATCTTGATCTGTGATGTGAGATTTAATTACACCACTCATCATATGCTAGTTAAACGTAATAGCGAATACGTAAACTCTGATTGTGAGTCATAACCGTTCGAACATCAGTGTTATCTGTGTGTTGATAGCGAGTTTGGATGTTGGTTGTACTACCACCGTGAAAGGTATGGGGTAACGGAAATAGGCCATTTCACTTTCAGCTTCACTGATATGTTACTATGATGGACAAATATTGAATGCTGAATACTAATCGAGGAATCATATCAATTTTGTCCTGAGCGAAAGGAAAATTCGATAGACCTACTTTACGAATGTTAGATTCAGTGACAAGTCGATGTAAATAGGACTGGACAACAAATTTTGACAACCTTAGAGAGGGAGCACGTTACTGATGGCCAGTAAATGTGAGCATAACACTATTGGAATCCTCCAAATAATCGTTCCAGCATGACTTCGCTTTTAGTAAGTTATTTAGTTAAGCGCAACGGCCTATGTAATTCAGGCTTACTTCGAGTTAACGGCACAAGAAGTGTTTGTATTGAAGTATTGCAATATTTACCTTCACACGTTGGGACTGGTGAATCGTACTCGTTATCGTTACCACAAGTGATGGTTTGCTGCCCAACAAGTTCAAATCCTTTATTGCATTCGAATGTTACAGAGGATCCGACAGAAATGTTTCCAGCAATCATTTGCCCGTTGTCGATAATTGGCTCATCGCAAACAGCTGGTGATGAAATAAACACAAACACTGAGACTGAGTAATTAATAATGATATATTGAATTATTTGAAATATTCCACTTTAACAATTGTCTGGTCTGGCAGCTCATTTTACAGATAAGATGAAAAGATCGGGTATTCTATGAACTTTCGTTCATAGAACTTTCGTTTCGAGGTAACGTACTAAACATGAACAAATGTGAGCTGATTCACAAACGTTCCATGAATAAGATTAGATTACTCCTGTAAAGATTGAACAAGTAATGTAAACGGAGTTTTTATGCACTTTGAGGGAGGGATAGACAGTTCAAATACGCAAATAGAAAAAAATGTGGGGAACTTATGTAGCCTACCAAACACTACAGAAAGCCTACCATAACAAACTATTCCGTCTCCTAGGTATCCTCTTGGACATTTTTCACATTGGAATCCTGTTCCAGGAGCCGGAACGTCAATACATTCAACTCCTTCGAAGCAAGGATCGTCTCTACATCCATTTTTATCGTTCAAACACATTGATCCATCGTAAGCATCAGAACAGTTGCATTTTAATATCTGTTCAAAGTGTTACATGATATAGAAAAAACTATGGAATTTATATTCATCTCGGGAGAATGCCAATAAGACACTCATTGGTGTGGCGAACTACAGTCTGTAACCAATCCCAGTCTGGCAAAATTGCTAGAGATTCAAGAAATTTATTGATGTGGAGGTGTCCGTGGCAACGTCGCAAAAATATCGTGTCCCACACTTGCCGTTCCATTTTAAAACGCTTGTTCCACTGTTATATGTTAGGGTATATTGTGGGGCAAGCTGTCAGGGTATTCATGTTATTTTCGGGGTTGGGATAGATATAGTACTTCGACATAAGGTTAGAGTATTCATATTAAGTTAGATTTATAGGTAACACACGAAATTTTTGAAACACTTCCTGAAAGAGATATAATGATTGATTTATGGGCTTGGATGAACAGCATAGTGCATCAAAAATAATAATGAATACTCACGTGTATTCTGTCATTTTTGCTGTAAATCACGTCTGAGTTACAAGATCCGTTGTTTTGGCAACCACATAAATTCCATTCAGGGAACAGGTAATCGAAACCGTCTTTACCATCCTCTACCTTGAATTCAAGTCGGAGTAAACTTTTCAAGTAGTCAACAAGATTGCCTTCCAAAGGATTGTATGTGGTGAACTTTCCGTCTGAATATAAAATTTATGTAATTAATCGAATCCAACAGATAACGAAATATTTGTGATAATAATAAGCTAAATTTACAAACCTGATGTTACCGAACCAATTGATGATTTCTTTGTTAAAGAATACACCAGCTCGTCTCCATCAGGATCCGTTGCAACCAGCTGAGCAGATCCAATCTCGCCGATTTTCAGATGAACAGAAAATGGACGTTCAAATGCCGGGGCACGATTGCTGGATACTGTGTACAAATCAATATATACACGAACATTTCGATTATATTTTAATTACAAAATTTTAAACCAAGTTAGATTTACTCAGTGGCGCTGTCGTGGATTTTATCATTTAAGTAGAACCGCCAAAAGAGCACTTAAAACTATAAACAAATTAAAATCGGATCAAGGCGGTGATAAAGGTGTATGTTTGATTTATAGGTAAACTTGTAATGTCTCACCTTTGTATAGGACTAGTATTAAACGCTCCGGGCAAATAGTATATATATATATCAACGCAGTTTCTGCAAAAGATATCTCAGCGAAATAAATTAAAAATGACGAGTACATTTAATACTTAATCTCCCAGTACAAATCCACGTTATTCAAATTTGAACTATACATTTTGACCTAGTCGTACGCAGGTATTCGGCTAAATCAAGCATATATATATATATACGCGGTTAGAGTAATTTTGAGTTCTATGCCAGCTAATTTATTTGATATTATGAAACGCTTAGTCAATATCAGGATCATGTTTCGGCCTTGGTTTGCTAAATAAAATAGCAAAAAAATTAGCTTCCTCTTCATCTATTAACCGAATCGCTTTCAATTTGTCAGTACTTGAACAAGAGTAAATCATAAAATAATATTATATCTTTTTTTTCCAAATTTTCCTCGGACTACCTGGACCTCAGTTTTTTATTATTTCGCTGCCTGCCACATGGATATTCCGCTGATTGATTTATTCTCTTGCGTATAACTACGTAATGTATGTCCAATAGTAATTGTGTCAACTTTTTTCCATATATTTATGCATTGCTGTTTTGTTTACCTAATAAATTGTTGACATATGTAACTTTTGAATATCATAAATCGGTAACACAACATAGATTTCCCGTTGCGGTGTCGTTTATTATATTGCGTAACAAATTGCGACACGTTCATTTAAAGTAATCGCGAGAGAATTCTAGAAAACCAATTGGTCTCGCTTACTCACGCAGTATTAGATTTAACTGATATTTAGATTTTATCTACAGTCTAATGGCTTTAGTGGACATAACGAGTGACCTAGTGACACGACTTTAGTTGGCATTGCCGAATGCAGAACTAGAATTAATGTTAGATAAAAATCGTGTAATCACAAAATCATATTAAGTTTCGTTCCTTCTTCCAAATTCATAAACAACGGGAAATAATATATATGATCTATCTATACAACGAAATGTCTCATTTAGGGCCAAACGAAGTTGTAATCTTACTATTTTTTTTATTCATTGCCACGCCCTAATTACTTTAGCGGGTTGTGTGAAAACATTCAAGCAATTTTTTGCCTTGGTTTTCGAAACGCTTACAATTTACATAATGAAAAAATAATTATATGTTCTAATTGCATATTGAGTAATTGTATTTTTTACTGAGTATTTTTAAAACCAACTTTTGTGTTGCATACCGACACCACCTGCGTTGTTTTTAATCTCATTAACTAACAAGTAGACTTAAGTAATCCTCATAATTTGTGGATTTGCGTTCGTTCTTTCAGTCACTTGTTTTTTTATTGATACACAAAAGCGTAATATACTGATTTGGGTTATGGCAATCACAAATCTACAAGTTTTAAAATTATCGTTTGGGTCACACAAAAGGTTTATATGCAAATTTGGGAATGTACCAGCCAATAACAATAAATCCCTCCACAAAATATGCCGGCTTCAGCGCACTGGTGGCTTCTTATTTGGAACTTATTTTGAGCAAAGTGGTAGGTTATATGACATTATAACTCCGAATCATAGTTAAGGAAGGTTATATGGTCCCTGACGCGATGTGAATATCCTCCTCCGTCGAAGGCATATTGGTCTGCGATATATACAGCTAAATACACTACCAATCAAGTGTGGGTTTGTTAAGTTTTATGGATTTTACAGATTCCCAAAGCATACCTTGACGTCGATGGCGAGTTTTTCCTGATTCACTTTTTTTCATTTCGCCCAATAAATCAGACAGGTGTCCGCCCTGCGCCAACTCCGCGAATCGCTCTTTTAGCATTTGTATTTTGGGTGTTCCAATATCCGGTAGGTCAAAATTATCCATGAAAATATATTCTCTCGTTGAATCATCGTTTGTGGTAATTTCAACCATTGATGAAATACTTGAGACGACTGAATCCCCATTGGTATCTCCTGCATTGCATGATGCTATGAGGAACAGCAGGTATAGCATACCTCCGCCAGTAAACGTCATCTTCATTAAGACAGCCCCGGGTGGCTGTGAGGGTCGGAGTATTTTACGTTTGCACAAAAAATTTAATTCACTTTCTACAGAAAAGGTTATACATCTAAAAACATCGCAATGAGATTTCGAGGTTTTATGCTAGGATTTATACAAGAAAAAAGTGTCACGAATTCCTGTCATACGATATAAATGCGTCTTTTTGGTTTTATTTGAATTCGTCTTTGCCTACGGCTCCCTATTTCTTATCATACAGATGATATATCCCAATCTTTTGTGTTATGAATCATAAGTCATCATAAAGGTATTTTAACCACACTAACTACAAATTCACATGATAGGTTAGATCGCTGTTAGAAGATTTTACATCTATCCTGACATTTTGTATTCATTAGCATCCTTTAACCCCTGCATTACAAAATTTACCTCACACTATAGGTTTTCGGTGCCGATTAAAACAATTCTTTTAAGAAGAATTTCGAAATGAGTCTTTTTCATGAGAGTGGATTAAAAAATTATATAAGAATATGAAAAACGTACCAAGTCTGTTAAATCTGATACATACATACTAGGAAGACTGTCATATGTTTATGTCGCCGTAGGCTAATGCTATGTTAGATTTAAACGGGATTGAGTATAAAATATGATATTGCATAGATCGTATATGATAACAAACACTAAACATAGGCATAGAAGACAAGGCCATGTATGGTCTGTCAATGAAAAACAAATTCCTAGAAAATAATAAAGTTTGTTGTTTAACTGCATTTTTATATTGTTTCAGATTTAGCAAAATATCTGAAATGACACAAGGAAATGTCGTTTTGCCGATGACAACAAATATGACTGGCATTTTTGTTTAATTGGGATGCGGAAAACGATTCCAAAAGCCGCTATAATATAACAGGGGGTACTTGTTTAAACCAAAACTTGCACAATAGTTTTAAAATACTGTACATGACTGAAAGAAATACAAGTTGAAAGCCACGATCAAGTATATTATTTCAATTACAGCTGTTTTGTTTTTATGTTTTTGAATGCTAATACAAAGCAGTCGCTCCTGTAAATATGACGCATAATTTAATTTAAATGGATTCAGAATTGTCAATGAAATAAGTGTATGAATTTCTCAATGAAATTGGCAATCTTCTACTCTTCATAAAGAATACATAGATGAAATTTTGCCGCAGCTCACCTGCAACATTAAGTAGGAAATGTTTTGTGGCATGGCTGAATACACGGTCGTCATTTTTTAGTTGTTTATCGCCCAGAGGGGATAGTTTGGAAAAAAGATATGATTTACTGACTTTTCACGGTAATTTCATGGTTGAATTAAAATGTGTATACAATAGTAGACTAGTTTTAGTTTATCATTAATCAAAATGAGCTAAAACTGAACAATGTTGCTGAACATTTTCATGGAAACAAGTGTTTTTAATTATGGCTAAAGAAAATGTAACATTTTCGGAAATGATTCATTGGTGAGCTGCACATTGATGGTCGTTACGTACAATTATGTAAATATTTTTGACGGGATGGGTGATTAATGTGGGAGCAGACAAAATAAAAACAAGTACATATAAATATTGTTTATGAATTTTTCTCATTAGGGGAGTGGGCGGAATAAAGAAGCGACCGATGAACCAACAGGATCATGGAATGCAAATAAGACTTTATGAGCAATTACCGATAAACTTGAATACATAATGAATTTTTTTTGGCAAATTTCCTTACTTTGACATGCATGGATCTGTATAAGAGATATTCCTAAATTTGTAATACAAGTTGAGTGAGTTTTCGTAAAGTATCATTGTTGCATGCAAAGTAGATTCCAAAACAATCGATTTTTCGTCGTTATTACGATGCTAATGTAAAGCTATACGGCAGACATTGCTGATATATGTTCAGGATCTAATTCTCCATATGCATTGAAATCAGAGACGATTCTATTTACATTCACCGATTAATTTTCGACTGTCTGAAAGTTTTTTTGGCGTGTATTTAAGTCAATGAGAGTTCATTTTCGTTAATTATTTGAAGTTTCCAAATTTATATGGGATCATTCATGAGTCGTGTCTGTTATACAAAGACCAAGATTGTTCTATCCTAGGAACCATGAAGACAAAAATACGTACAAAGTTTACAATGGCAGATGAAATAAAATGAACATATGCTACATCCACGGAACGCTTTCGGGACTAAAAATACGCCTGTGTGTTCATGACAAACAATCTATATGATGCGGTAATATTGATTCACGCTTCATCGTTAGTGATAGATCGTGAGGGTCAGTGCGAACATGGGCAAATATCTCTTGGAAGTCCCTGATCGCTTAATATGAATCACCAAAAAGTTTTCAATTTGTCATTTTTTAGTTCTTCGTTTTATTAAAGTTTGATCAATTGTGACGTAAAACAATAAAGTACATTTTAACGTCATAAATAATTTACAGTGTGCAAGAAGCTTCATGTTTAGCGAACAATATCATATGAAGTGAGGAGCGTATGGCGAAGAAGGAAATGTGGTCGGCCTGTCCTTCATCCATTCGTGTAGGTTGACAATAAGAGTTTACTGTTGTGAGGTTTACTGTGATCGAGACTGGTGAGTGGCAAAACCAACCAATTTGGTTGGTATCAAGTTGGTAATAATATACTGTTGAATAATTTTTCTTCGATTTTTTTTTATTTTGTCTAAAAATTGTGAAGCGAGTAAATTACTTTTCACGCATTATGGATATATTTTACCACGCAATATCGGTACCAAGGTGGTGAAAAGTTAGCTTAATTACCTCCACTCTTTAGGTGAAGAAAAAATAGAATTGTTGTAAATGGTTTGATACAAGAATTTATTCATTTCCGTTCAAAAGATGCTTTCTACAGATCGCGCTAGTTAGGGGTGGCCCCCACTTTAACGTCAATCTTTATTACTAAATCATGTTCGGCCATGCATACCCGATTATATATAATGTCTTGGCATATTCTTAGGTAATATAATGAGGAGATGCGCTGCTAGGATGCATGCCGTGGCTCTATATATTGATTAACTTCGTTAAGTATTATGCCCGAGTCTTTGAAAATACTTTTAAAATTATGTGAGACCACACCATCACAATATTGATTCAAGCGAAAGAGAAAGATATCAAATTAATGGGGAGCGATGTGTAGCAATGCGTAACATTAGCAAGTTAATTCGTGTAAATGAAAAATTGTAAGGTCTTGGGAAATGCGTTTTATCGCTTAATTTACACAACATTGAGTTCTTGTGATGGTAATATATATTTGTTACAATAAGATTCTAAGATTGAAAATAGTAACGCACATATACATATTTATGTATATCAGCTTGAAAATCGAAGCAAACTGCAAAAAGCTCGATGTTACTGTAGCATAATAAATATTAATCAATATTGTTTTTCATAGATATAAGCATAATTATAAAAAATCAATACGGTGCTTGTTCTGAATGCCAAAAATTGCAAAAACACAATAAGTTACTTATGAAGTTCCCTCCGTCTGAAGGAACAGTCAAGGATCACAAAGAACCTTCAACAAATATGGATGGATTCGGTTCTCAAAATTCGGCGAGGTCTCGCACCGGAAGAGGAGCTCCAGAGGGTACCCCGGCCCGAAGATCCAGGGGTGAAACTCCAGTAAATGGCCTGAGTGCACAATTATCTGGAGATTTGATTGAAGAATCCAAATCACCAAATAGGTTTTCAACGATGAAAAAGGCAGCTGAAGAACAACGAAGAAAAGTACGAGAAACAAGGTATGGAAAACCTAAGCAAAGGACTAAAATAATTTCTGCTACAAACAATTATTTTCTGCAAACCCGTTAAATATTATAATTATATGTTAAGGGTGGTCGATCAATACAAATGAATGAGTTACGTTAAAACTAATTTATTTTCTTGTTTGGGTTTCTTTGATGTAAGCTTAACCTATTATGAATGCAAATTATTGGAAATTGTACTAAAACTAAAAATTAATATTACGAATATAAATACTAATTTGCTAAAGTAATTAGTTGATATAACCTAGTAAATGCATGGATATCAAATGCAATGTCAATTAATATGTTATATCAAACAAGATCATGTATGTTGCATTATTGTAAAAATAAAATCTCCTATTTGGACAGAATTTAAGCAAAAACGTTTAAAATAGTTTCATTTTAATCGGTCGTACAATTGATAAATGTAATGCAGCATGGTGATTTTTATTATATATTTATGTATGTATTATATATATACCAATTATATACGTGGTAAATTAATCTTAGCGAATGTAAGAACAGTAAAAAATAAGCGGGTTTATTTATTGAATACCAAACCCGAACTAAACCAAAACAGAAAAGCAGGCCCAAATCTGAAATTACGAATAGCTGAGTAGGTTCAAAATTTGATATAATCCAATTAATTACTTGTGTGAGCTCCATTGTAAATAATTAATGATTTGAAGTAATGCTTCGAGTATAACCCATGTTTGTCTATTTTAATCTCAAATTCTACCCCAGCAGTCCTGCGATTTAGATTTTCTGGCCAGTGAGTTTTTTTTTTGTTTCTAATGCGATAAAGCTCAAAATATTTTCATGCATAAAATACCTCGATAAGAACTTTTTGTATTGTTTACTTGGCAATGCTTCAGTTAGTTTTAAAAATTTAATAGCGCATTAATCTCCATTTTTCACTAACTCTGTTGTGTACTTTACTGTCGAAAGTTAATAGAAAGTCACCATCGGTCACAATTACATTTAATCTAGTGCAGAATGTTTCGCCCCCTCTCTTTTCTATGAAGATTATTCGATGGTAAATGCTTCGATGAGGGTTTGAAGCCATGATTGAAACGATAGAAATGATTTTATGTTGCATTTGTTTCAAATTCAGATAATAGTTTCTGATTAGAAACAAGCCGAAGCTTTTGATCCATCCCGCGCATGCATAACCCGATCCATCAACACCTACTTATTTGTTCGTTCGTCGATATTATTTGATCTGGATACAGGACCACACTTGAATGATAAATGAGCGCGTTTCTCAGTTGCAAACTTTGAGTATCACATACTGAAAAGCTGGAGGGTTATATTGGAATTCAAGGCTTATAAAACTAGAAATAATATTTTGATCATGTTATTGTAAACTTCCATAGCTTATTTTATACGTTTACAACATTCTATACCCAGTCGACTGGCCTTTGGGGTTTGGACTTGAGTTTAAAATAAGTAAAAGAAAAATTGTTTAGCAAAAATATAATGTAGAACAGATCACTCTGTCAAATATGAATATCGCTTTTCAATGTATGGAATTATTTCAAATTTGTGGCCTGCCTCAAAGAATTTGGGCCAGGTGTTTCGAGATTATGAGCATATTTTTTCGAGTTCTGCAAAAAAATCTCTCTGCTCTGCTAATAAAAAAGATTCAATTTTTAAATGTTTCAGAGTGAAGCAACATGAAGAAGAAAGAGCACTGATTGCCCAGAGAAGACAAGAAGAACTAAAATTGCAAATTCGTGCGGTACTCGATAACATATTAGTCGATACTAGAAAAGACATCCTATTGGTTCTTCAAGATAGAATAAATCAGGAAAGACATTCAATAAAAGGTTAGTATACGTTTTAGTATTAGTACGTAGTAGTACGTTTTAGTATTAGTACGTAGTAGTACGTTTTATTTAGTTTTTGTATAATAAATTGTATCTTTTGTTACATTCAAGTCAACTCACCACCTGAGAATCCGATATATAGCATTGCGCGCTATGCAGTTTGGTGCGTATAGTAAACATAGAAAAATGATGTTTTCAGTTGTGATTTGATCGTTGTTTCGACTTTATTAAGTTGTTATAACTGCAATGTTTTTATTTTATTTGGATCAGTTTGAAGACCCGCTGTTTGTCCGGAACAGTGCTCCATATAGCCAATCGTAAATAACGCATGGTGCTAATTGGTTGGAATTTTTTGGGGTTATTTTCATATTGTACCCAATTAAATATAATACGAATGAAATGCTGAAAGGGTCAAGATTTGTTCTTGAAATCTATTCATTTTGATTTCAACATAGTTAGGCCAAAGCAGTAACTCATAAAGAACTATGTAATCACACTCATAAAATCTAACTTTTGCTTTCAATTTATGCTTGCTAATTTGTCACGTTGCTGGCTTGTACATTAACTTGTGTGGAAGTCACGGGCAAGCGCCTCAAAGGCGCTCGAAGATTTCCATCTCTAAAATCGGACTGCTCGGCCATGGAACGGCTAAATTAAACGCAGAGGACTACTTTGAATATTTTATTTGATAAACGTAGTAAGATTTGCGTGAAATTAAGTTATCAAACGACGCTAATAAAATAGAAAGGAAATTTAAATCGATACACGAGCGCTCTGTGAAAGAGCAGGACAAAAACGAAATTTGCGAAGTGCAAAAAGCATTTTTACTACTATTTTTACTTTAGCTCTTGCTGTACATATTATTTTCAATATTGACAAATAGATTTGCCAATCTTTTTGTCGTATATATTGGTAACTTATTTTTCACTGATACAAACTCGATATCGCTAAAATCTATATCGATCCCGATCGTTATTCCGATACTTATACTTGATAAAATATCTGAAACCGTTTTTTCAAATATATCACAGGCTGACATCAGTTTCAAACATGATAATTTATTACTTTAATACGAATAGTAAAAACGCTATTTTATCTTGAGATCAGATCAAAATTAATTACCTCTTTATTGGTACACACATTTCTGGAGTGCCGAGATTTATAGTTTTTATTCCCTCAAGTTAGCCAAATTTTGCGATCAATATTACAGTGGCGTAATGGCAATATCTATGGTCGAAATATAATATACATTTAGCTGATAGAAATAATCCTTAACCTAATTAGATGAGTGGTACATGCAATTATAGGGAAAATCGCCTAATTTTAAGGGATTTAACCATCAGACGAGTACTTATGAGACTACTCCAGGAAACAATTTTGCGCTGTCTAATGAGCTGTAAATAATATTGATTTATCGACTCACAACACACAAAATTGATCCATTTTATGAAGGCTGCCGTCCATTTAAACACGACTTAAAGTCAATTACAAGTACGAGATAGCGTTGAAGATAATTTATATTCTGAAATCAGAATTGGAATATTTTTTTATTTATTTTGAAATTTTCGATCAATTAGATTTGATAAGCCCGGTCACCAATATGTCCGGGTCTGCATTGCATCCCCTATTTATTCCACAGGTATGAAGGCTTGAACCCGAGAATATATTTGTGACATCAACAAAGTCCACCGTCATAATTGGATAGTATCCGAGATAACCAATTTGACATACAAAACCAAACATAGTTCGACCAATCCCCTATACCACTACAATCAAAGTAGACAAAATCTACCAATGCCCAACAAGAAAGTAAAATAATGTATTAGAATTGTTTAAAGAACATTACTTATTTGCGAGGGCTTTCCAATTAACATCTAAATAACGTAGTGTTTCGGCTTGATCTAGAGATTACTGATTTTTACAAACTACCGTACAAAAACTCATTTTTCAGGAGAATTAAAAGTGGACCTCGAAAAAACGGAAGATAATCTCACACGAGAATTAGAAAAACGTTTGACAAACGGAGAACCTTTTGAAAACCGAGTAGCAAAAGTTCAAAAAGAATTTGAAGATAGTTTCAACAAAATTCTTAAATCGGAACTGGGCAGGGTAAGAATATAACTCTAAAAAAGGTTATTTTTAAGACAATTCAACTGTTATGTTATTCTAATATATCGTAAACAAATTTGAAAAGAGCTCATCAATTGAAGAATTGCATCACAAACCATAAATTTTTCAAGCGATTAATGGTTTTGATAGATATATTTAGTTTTCGTGCTTTTATATACTGTGAAATATGACACATCAATCGCGAATTCTATTCAACTTGAAAATACTAGTTTTAGCCGGGAGCGACATTTTGGTGCTAGATTACGCATAATCGCATAAATAAGTCATTCTTACTTAAAAATATTATGTCGCATGTGCCATATATAAATCGCATTTGCCTCCTACATTTATCAAGATAAAATGTTGTTAGTTATAGGTTAATCCAAGACAAGTGCTTTTGCTTCACGATTTAACGATCAAAATTACTCCAACCGATCATTACTTTCACCAATGACATTTGTGGACAGATGATGCCACAACGTTTATCATGTTAGATGCTCTTCAACTCTTTCATTTCGATTCATCCGTACATTTCGTGATCCGCGGTGACGCTTTGTTTTTGCGGTGGGCGTAAGACTGAAAACAACACTGCGTCTATGGCAACGCCCGATACTATTTTGTGTTCCGTATTAAGATCAATCGGGTAAATTTACTTCATCGACAATCGAGAAACGGCCAATTAATTCATTAAATATTCAATGCTTTAAAGCATCGCAGGTTCAATGTATCGAAAACGTATGTACATCGCAGTTAAGATAAATTTAATATGAATTAATGCCGCAATGAATTATATAATATTGTTCAGCAAACTTGGGTTACCTTCGTTAGATGTAATGAAATATTTATGCGCCTGCTGTTTTTGCTGTCCGTATACAAATAACCATGAGCGGGGAAAGTAATGAGATACATGATATTTGCTTCAGCGTCCCGTATATTTAGTGTATATATCGCAGTCGGTTCTGATTGTAACAATTTAAAAATAATAATAAATTTATAATGAACTTTGAAAAAATGGATATATGGAATGGATATATTGGCACAGGGAATCTTTGTAGTAATCAACCAATCTTCGAACAAAATGCTGAATAAATAACTCGTATCTGCTCAATTTCATATATATATTCAATTTAACGTTATACTAAAAAAATTACATTGACGAGACTCGTTACTGTTGAAGCGTGCTATATGCAGTGGTTGGATCGGTTTGTCAGCGGTTTCATCACAAAAGTCATATTTTTCACCTGGTTCTGTTACATAAAGTCATTGACAGTAACCAGTAATGCTAACCGGTTCGCTGATCTCTAAAATTCCGTGAGACGGTTCTATATAACCGGTGCGAACCGACTGAATCCCACCACTGGCTATATGATATATTGATCGACATTGCGCCAATCGTCGTCGTCATTTTAACAAAGATGTCTGTAGATAGCGCTGATGTTCCAGACTGGAATTAATTAAAGTTAACACTGTCGTGCAAACAATTCATCTAAAAAAATAATCGTTGGTTTGATTAAAAAGTTTATAAACAAAACAATAAAATAATGTCATCACTTTGATTGTAGAATATGCAGTGGAAATTTTGTGGAGTTTAAGCATTTCCTGGGACATATGTCAATTTTGCAGGTTCAACGTGAGATTCTACAAGATGTCGATCAGAGGATTGACAAAGAGAAGCATCGGTGGGAGGAAAATTTTCGACGAGAAGCTGATACGAGAGTACGAACTGCCGAAGAAAATATCCGACAAGACTTTAGGTCAGTGGTTCTCAAACTTTTTTTGCTCGCGGCGCACTGAGCAAATGAAAAACAATTTGCGGCACACTTGTAAAAAATAAAGTTAGCTTTAAACAAATTTTATTCTGCAAATGTTGATTCGATGTGTGTGCCTGTTTTGAGAAACAATTGAAACGAGGTTCCATCGATCCCTTTTTTGCTTTTAATTTCAGTCAGAGCAAAAAAACCGTTTTCACAGAGCCATATGGAGATGCAAATGGCCAGATTACTTCGATGAATTTAGCACAGTCAAAACTCGTACAAACTTGCTTTCCTGTTAGCCCAACTAGGCGCGCAAGTCAACATGGTTAAACATGGACGTCTTGTTTGAATATACGTTATAACATAACAATACAATTATAGCGTGACAATTACCCTTACTACAACGACAAGTCAAATGCAATGATGTTATCAGTCTAATAATGGATAATGCGCACTCAAGTTTTTCCCGTTGCATGCATGCCTATGTGTAATATGAAAAGCTTATTTTCTAAAATTCCAAAAATCTCTGCGGCACACCTGAGAATCTCTCACGGCACACTAGTGTGCCGCGGCACACAGTTTGATAAACACTGCTTTAGGTATTTCAAATGTAAACAGAAAAGATTTGACATGAGATCAAAGACTTTATTTATTTGAAAGTTCATTCAATCATATACACATGGTGTCCATCGACACATGGTGGTATTTTTGCATCCCATTGTATCTATCCTTATTTGACAGTAAATGCGAAAACGCCTATAAATCTAAAATTGACGTTAAGAACAAAACTTTGTGAAATGTTTTCGCGTAAGATCTCATTGCGGTCAATGTAACTTTTAAAGCATTGCCACGGCTTAGCAATATAGAGCAAAGTATCGGTGGAAGGAAGTGAATAACCAGTAACATGGGGTAGATATGAACATTGCTTATTCGATTTTAGATTTAATGGCTTAACAAGTTGATTCATATATTCAGGCACGGCTTGGAAGACTCTCAACAACAATGCGATGACATAGTTCGAACTACACAAGAGCGAACAAACAGTTTAGAAAATCGACTTATGGATAAAATAGACACACTTGATCATTCAAATATGAAAAAAATTCAAGAATGCGAGGAAACACTAAAAAAAACAATAGATGATACAATGACAGATCGAGATGCAAACTTGACGCAAACATTTAAGAGCGAAAGTGATCGTATGCGCCAAGATATTACAGACATCCGGGGCCAGGTTACGCAACTCCAATCTAAATGCTGTACAATATTATAGCACCAACATGAGGATACAAACTAAACTAAAGTTTATTAAACTGAATTTCTTGAATTTGTATTTACAATTTTTCTAAATTTATATCGACTCTATTCCACTTCTTAACAATTAATAATTTTTCTTAACACACAAATAGAATCAGTATAGTAATCCAGACTGGTGTATGTGTTACAAATTTATGCGATAAAAATATGCGATATCATTTCTTAGACGAGTTTAGTCTGACAATAAATTATATGGCGCGTATTAACGGGATTTAGAGAAGCCAGTTTCAGCAAAAAAAAACGAGAATATCGGTCAGAGACCGAAGACTTATCGATCGAAAGTTAGGGGATCCCCCAAAACAGCGCTCTTACTCCATAGTGACACCTTGTGTCCCATCACTAATTAATTAATAACTCGCTAATTATACGACATAATTCGCCCAAAATAAATAGGCTTCTGGTCCGAGATATGATAAACGGACGTGCAAAATCTGGAGCAGATTCAATCTCGCTTTCGTGAGATATTGCGTGCATCTAACAGACAGACAGACCGACAAATACCTATCAACATACTTACCGATTAAAGTCGATAAGTAATGAGTTGGCAGATGTTATGGGCTTGATGATTACTGCTATATGTTAACGTTGAACCGCTCCGCAATTAATATTTTGTTCTTTAGTGATACCCCGTGGCCGCTCATGAAAATCGAAGGCCCTCAGCTTCGCACTAAACTTATTTACTCGCGGGACCAGCACGCAAGTCAAGTTTTAGATACAAGTTATGGACATGAGCAGTGGTGGGGTTCAATGGGTTTTGCACGAACCTGTTCTTGGAATGTAGTGAAGAGTCCGCGAACCCGTTCTTGTTTACTGTTTTAGAGTAGACGATGAGACGATCGCAGCATACGTGCACCGCTACTGACGACCAGCGAGCGCTATATTTGGCCTGTCGAACGTTTTGAACGTTTGTGATTTATGTGAAGCGTGTCATGTTATCGCAGCTTACATAGGAGATCATACATTTTCTGAAATGGGGGAAACTCGTTGTTAGTGAATTTGATACAAATGAAAACCCGTTTTAAATATATAGAACCGATAGAACCCTACTTAATTCCATTATAGTTGATTTTGCCCTCGGCAATGCTGACTATGTCCTATGTTTCCTCGAAGAAAAGACAGGCTTTCATTTCAAATTTCTTCCGAAAAATAACAATTACGAAATTTTCAAATATACAAAATATGAAATCAATATCCATTTACTTATAAATAACAATTTCTTATTTGATAAAAAACCGACTAGGTCTTATTTTAAGGGGAGAGCATATTATAAAATCATTTTTAAAATTCAGGATAGGTCCCATTTTCGGGGTTACACGGTATTGCAGACTGCAGTAGGGTTGAACTATCTGATAGACTTCTGGCAGTTTATTCTGTTACGATCCCTAACTCGTCAAGTCAAAGTGCGATACGTGATCTGTAAAAAAATACACACGTAAACTCCCGTGGGCGATATGTAGAACACCGTCGAAGCGCAGCAGAGGTTGATGGCAAGCCTACGATTGCGGAACCCGAAACGCCTCTGGTTCGAAATTTTATAAGGATGAATTGAAATACCTAGTCAAGGATTTTAATCATCCACTAATTAATTTATTGCAGCGGTCGCCAAATTTACTCGATATATTTCTCAAATCATTCGTACATGCATAAGATAATTTAAGCTACTATGAGATTCTTTTGACTGCTATTGAAGGCTAATACTACTATCTAGGATAGGATTTACATATTTATCCAGAGGGAAATGAATCCGATCGTTTATCGTATGAATAACCACAACCCTCCGTCCTGTTATCAGTCCATGACGGATGTGGGATTAGTTAGCCAGTTATTTGTTTCAGATGCAGGAGCTTGATGGTGGGGAAAGCCGTGACCAACCAGCAGTTAAGTGAATCATGGTGGGGAAAGCCGTGACCAACCAGAAGTTAAGTGAATCACCATGCGGCGGCGAAGAGTCCAACAATCCTCTAGTAGTCTAGACTCTAGCTAATAAAATTAATAGTATTTAAGTTAATTTTAGCCTTTTGGTTTCATCTTTACAAGTATCAAAAACGATCCGTCCAATATCAGATGAGTTAAAATGAAAGTGTATTTTTCCCAATTCAGTAAAACGATACATATACAAACTTGTCAAACAAACACTTGGTTTTATCAATTTATTCCACAAAACAGTTGATAATCAAAATATAAGCAGCAGAATGCAATCAATAAAATACACAGAAACATTTTTCATCAAATATCATACATGATTAGGAATATACTTAATATATATGCCACATTTCTTTATTTACAATACATAATCAGCAGTTACAGCGTATCGGTGAAAACTTGAAAAGCACTTTACTAATAAACTTTGCAAAACTAGCAGGGGAAAAATGCCATTGCCTCGAGAAGAGCTAAACTTCATCTATGCTTGAAATATATTTGATGAGCAGATCGGAGTTTACGATTCAAAATCCCACTTCCGAGATGGAGGGGTATTTGAGTTTCGCTGTTAAGGTATACATCAAAGATAACATAGAATACACATATTACAAACAACACGAGATATTATAACCAAGTAATTTCCAATGCAAGACACAACTCTGATATTAGATATCACGAAATATTCTTTGCGTACAACAAAATAAAAAGACTTTTGGTCATAAGAGGGATCCTTGGCATACGCAGTAATGTTCAAAACTTGTAAACCAATGAGAAAACATGGACCTCTAAATTCCGATTCAACTAAAATCGCTATAGAGGTTTGTTATGAATACTATGCTGAATTTTTTGAAACTAAATTATGAGCATGTATGTTACCTACCATAGAAAATGAACATTTGCTCAATGCTCAATTAGGCAATAACTTGTCAGTGGTATCAGCTAATTCAGTGTTTTGACGTAGTTCAATTAATTAAAAATATAAATCAATATATTTTATTCAGTAGGATCTATAAATGTTAAGTTTTTTTTTTCAATTCAAACAATATAATTCACAAATCATAATGAAAATAAATGTTGATTATCAATTTTTCAATGATAAGTTTCATTGAGAATCAAATTTATATCAATTCCCCAATATTCATCAAAAAAAGAGAAAACAAGTATTCTTAACAAAATCAGCAATTTGGAAATTACCTTAAAATTAAAATACAGATTCATGATTTGATTGCAAGTGGCTTGGGGTTTCATCAAGATTTTAAAATTATATATTGCAAAACTGTAATATTGCCATGCTATTGTATAATACTGTGTATGGATATAGACTAAGGTTCAAGTTTTAATATAAAGGAAGTGCTTCTGATTATCTAATTGTTTGTAAAATTGATTGTAAAAAGTTGAGAAAACTTCAAAGGGTATAGAAAAAATATCCGTTACTGTAATTAACTATGAAAATTAGTAAACATAAAAAACTGTTTTTCTAATCGCAACTTAATATTAAAAACTGAGCGGTTTTTCAAAATACTAATCTCCTGTAACATTTCATTCGATATAACAATGTAACAATAAGACTTTAATCTTCTGAAAAACAAAAATATGATTTGCCAATGGTTTCACAATTCAATATTTCAACTTGAAAGTCATAAAACATTGAAATGAAAAAAGTCAGTGTCACTTGTAAATCAAGAAATACTCATCGGTAATAAGCTATGTTTGAAGTCAATATCAATATTACTGGGCAAATGGGAGTGCACCAATTACAAAACTTGAGCAGCGGCAAGCAGAAAAAATGATACAAAAAAAGTTAGTTTCATAATTAATTTATACAGTATGAGAGGCAGTTAGCTTATAAAAGAATAGCATGAATGAAAGTTATCCAACAGAGATTCTACAGTACATTGATTTTATAAGAAAGCGTTTTTTGATCCATAAGTGCAAAGTAGTGACGGTATTTCAGAATATAAACAATAATACAGCGATAGCAAGATATTGTTAGCAGTGATAAGTAAAATGAATGACAGGAATGTACGCATAGCAGCACTGTAAAAATATTAAAGTTCTTTTATTTGATATTTACAAAAATGGTTTTTGTTGAAATCCATAAGGCAGCCATGCACATAGCATATTGCCTTTGCAGGCAAGGCCTAGACAATAAGGAAAAAATTTGCGACTCCTAACAGGAATACTGTGGTTGTCATTTTACCTTAGTTACAACAAGTTTGAAAACCATGACAAAAATGGGTTTTATCACATTGTTGTAAGATGTGGTGACAAACACAATCAAAGTTCTGTCTCAGGGAAAAAAATACTTAAGAATTAAATTATGTTAAGATAATGTAACAACCTTCGCTAAATTTTTATAAATTTCACCAAGCTTTCTAAATTAATTAAAAATTCATGATAATTAGACTTAGCAGCAGCACAATGAATATAACAAGAATAAATTCATGATTAGAGGAAGGAGGCTACCAAATTGTTTGATTAAAATTAAAAATAATTGATTCCCTGTATTTCACTTTCACAGCTTACAAATTAAAAGTTATGGGTTTATGATAAATTTAATCTAGTAAAATATACCCAATATCTCAGAATAATAAAATGACTTGCAAACAGAATATCTAGAATGCCAGCCATTCTATTGAATGTGTGCAGTCTTAAGTCAGAATGAAATAACTAATAAGAAGATACAGAATGTACAATGAACTAATTTGAAATGTTGACCAGAATTTTGTTTGTCGACTTCAGTGGTGCAGACACAAAATTGAAACGTTGATCGTTTGAAACTCAATAAAAAAACTTTCTAAATAAAATCTGAAACTTGAATATATATGTCATTTCAAACAGAGGCACCATTGTTTGATTATTAAAATACAGTAGTATAACAAAATGATGAAAATGATACATACAGCGTTAGTGTACTGAAAATAGAAAGAGACAAGTGCACATTAGTCATATCAGAGTACAAGATACATACAGTATTAATTATTGATAAATGGGAAAAAATATGGCCAACAATTTCAACATATGCTGATAATTTCAAATATTGTTTAAAGGAGTTACTACTTGAATGTTCATATCTTAATATTTTCACAATTTTTCAATTTTTATATCCAAGACTAATTTCCTTTTTTTATTTCCTAATTTGACCATGTTTTTCAAATACCTTGAATAATATTTACATTAAATACTCACTTACACTTCTATTAAGAAAAATAAAAGACTTTTGATAAATTGTATAAAATTGACTATAAATGAATTATGAACATCCAATAATTCTCAACTTTACAGTCAGTTCCAACAAACACTAAATCAGTCAAGTATTTGTACTTAAAAACAATCCATTGTTAGGAAATGCATAAAACACATTACGACTAGAGAGAGACATCGAAAAACAAGCCTTGAATTTGTATGATAATCAGTATCTATCATTTCTTCAAAATTCATACAAATATCATCTGAAATAAAAAAATGTGATTGAACATTATTACTTTCTGATTGAGCAAAATAATAAAAACCACCCTAATTGAAACAAGCACGGACCCATTAAAATGAAATTAAAAAAAAAAACGAAATATAAAGATGAAAAATATAGGTCGTTATCGAGAATTTTTGTAAAGGCCAGTGACCCTCAAGCTCAAATTGCCTAATGGTCCGTATAAATTGAATAAACATGATCCTTCACTCTTTTCAAAAATTTTCAATACCCTGAAATGCTTTGAATATTATCTTCAAATTGTTAAACCTAACTTACCAGAATTTAACTGACTGCATTAGTTCCATGTACATCAACACTCACGTCATCACAGGATATGTTACTGTCATCTTGCTCTTCAATCTGAAAACCTTCAGCTACAAATTTCCAAAGAAAAAAGACGAATGTTGGTAAATTTCAAACCAACTTATGCGACTTATCACACAGCTATTTATGTGAAATCTGCGCTAGTTTTCTGTAAATTTAAAAGAGTCTGAGTTTTGCATGTTTCTAAATTTGAGATTCACAAAATTTGAGACAGACAAAATTTTTAAAAATTCTAGTCCGCAGAAGAACGAGGATAATTGAATTCGAAACTTATGAGGGAACTGAAAAAAGCATTAAGTGAACCAAGAACGCTCGACAGATAAAAAATAATAGGACAAGTTTTTCCAAATCAAAAATTCCTCCAACATGAAGTCAGAAGCTAGAGTCGCGCTCAGAGTCATACTTTATGTCAACAAGGAGTCTGTTTGTGTTTAAATGAACCGGAGTTTAGAGTAAACTTCAAATCCAAACCACCAAATCGGCAGTGGGAAGTTGTGGTATAAAATACAGTACTCAATTTTAGTACATGAAAAATTACACCGACTTAATATGTTAAGCACATTACCATTGAATGGCGATGATGTGGCTGTGTCTGTCGTTGTACGTTTTGTGGAAGTGGAAGGAGTTGATGAAGCTTGTGGTATTGGAGTCAACAACCTATCTTTGTCAGTAGTTTCATTACATGCATTTGGTACAACATCAGCCTGCAACATCAAGTGTTTAATTGGTTAGGTTGCAAAGCTTGATATTACAACATTATAAAGAGTCGACCGACAAGAAAACAGTTCCCCCGAGCATCGGCTTCCTTGTTTATTTCTGTGACATTGACATTAGGTCATTAGCATTCTTTCAGACACCGCTTTCACTCAGACAGATTTTCAGGAACAACTTTGAACTTTCGACTCTTGTTCGTAGTGTCGAGTGTTAGTGTTATTTGTTAGTTATGTTAACAAATGAATCAGCAAATATAAACCAGTTATCTCAGCTCTCATTTGTCCTCAGAAGTGTTTTAGCTCGGCTGAGATAAATGGAAAGACTATGAAAAATGGGTGCGATAGACCAAACTTTTAAAATTAGTTCTTTTTTTGACAGCAGCTTGAACATTCTGGGGCAAAAATCATGATTTTGAAGATGTGAACCAATTTGCAAGCGCCAACTCACGGAACAAATTCCACAACGAAGCAGTATAGAAAAAAGTTTATAGGGTCAAGGATCGGGGGAACATCCATTGGTTTCTATTTCACATATATACATACCAAAACACCCAAAATCATCAAAATATCATCTCCTACTGCGTTAGATAATCAAAAAATATTAACAAACATTCAGCACATTTTATTTATGATTTACATAAATACAAATATATGTTGATCATGCACATGCAGCACATTTTTGCAATGCAAGAAAAATACAACAATAACTAATATCATATTATATTACTTACTTTCACATTTTCAGGACTTCGGAATGACAGTCCAAACGTTTTCTTCGATACTGGACTTCGTGCTAGAAATAAGAAACCAATCAAGGATTAAAAAAGAAATTATCTAGACAAGATGAAAAATGCACATTGACTCATAATGTCATATTTATACATGGCCAATTGGCTACCAATCAATATTAGGCATATTCCCATTCAATGTTTACGCAACTGAGGTTTTATTCTGAGGAATGGAAAAACATTTTGTTATGCATTATAATTAGTCGCTCATTCAAGTTTTATTGTGATGGCAATCAGACAAATATGCATGAAAATTTTTCACTAAAAACTATCTGTGAAAACTCGCTTTTTTCATTTGTTGAAACCAGGGCTGTAGAGTCTGAAAAAACTCACAATCGACTCAAGACGCATGAAAAAACTTTGATCTAAACTCCAGCTACATAATCCGAAAAAATCAAATTTCGATAACGAAAACTATGGTATATGAGTCTATGACGGCCTTCTTTCATGGACTTAAGATTGGCTAGAAAAATTATTGATTACAGAGAAAACATGCTGAACTCCGACCCCAATTTAACATCTCTGATTGAAACCCTTGTCTACAGGTATTTCATCCTACATAATTTTTTTGAGAAATAGTTAAAATGTTGTGTGATTTTACAAGAATGGTGATTTCATGAGTACGAAGAGACGCTGTTTACCATGCATTATGGTTTTAAATCTTCACAACAAACATACCATAGTGTCCTGGTAAAGACAAAGTAAAAGATTCAGGTCTGGCAAGTGGTGCTGTTGCATCATGAGACATAGAGGAAGCAGATGAAGACGTGGATAATGGAGTACCCCGAATCTCATCAGTTATGTTGACACTAGAATAAAATTTTATATGGGTATTTTTTTTTTATGTTTTCCATGCTTTCACTTCGAACAAATCTAGGAAGAACATAGTCAAGTCCAATGCTAAAACTTTTCATAATTAGTTGCTCATATGCCCAAATAATCTATGTCAGCAGTCCCCAAAGAGAGCGATTTGCTAGGTGCTTCTCCAAAATTGACAGAATTGTGTTAAACATAACCAATATATGATTGAATATTTTACATATTGTATTTATCATAAATGTTTTATTGTTTTTTGTTTTGAATGCTGCGTATATGAATCAATAAATCTATTTCACCTTTAAATGTTGTTTACTTTCTGTTACATAGTGTTATGTTACAAACACGGAAATTTGTTTTATTCGAAGGCAGCAATTTTTTTTTCGTGCAAGTGCGCCAAGAGTTTTTTCCCTTATAATACGGCGTCGTACGAACAAGAAGTTTGGAAAAGGTGTTTATCCAGTACAATAAATAGCTGTATACAGCTCCAAAGCAAATGCATATAACATTTGTGTTATAAAATTGTTTTCGTGATATCATAAAAGAAGGATGAAGAGAACTGAATAAATCATACAAAACTGGAAGATTTGTCAGCACAGAAAAACATGGGTTAAATACCTGCTTTGAAATCCATCAAATTCAAAGTTAAATTTATAATTTGTAGAATTTCTGATTACAATGTACGGTATACAAATCATACTTATTTTGATTTGTATTCAGAAACGGATGATCTGAGTCTTCCGACACATCTGAATCATGATGTCCATCAACTTCCTCATCATGATGGTGATGAGTTTGTACAGGAGATTCTATTATCAAGGATGTGTGAGGTTGCTCTACTACGGGGATGGTCTATAAGTATAATATTACAGATTGAAGAATAGGTGAATGGGGCAAAAGAAAAATGAACTCTGCAAATTAAAGAATATATATCAGTTTTATGAGTGGTAAAAACTCTAGGACCTGAAAATACAGTTATCTGGAGCAACCTATTACTGATAGTGGTTCTAGTATTCATTAGGTTATCCGTACTACTAACAAAAACAAACAAAATACAAAATTTCAGTAACAGGTTCCTTCGTTTCATAAACAATGCCGAACTTCTAGAACCATAATTGTACGTCATATTGACTAATGTATGTAACTACTAACTACATATGTTTCATTACCATGATTCGCTTTATATAAATTTCATACATAACTTTTGAAACGCCAAATACAATGATAGTTTTCAACTACGTGGTATGTTACCCATTTGCTGCTGTAGTCAAACGCTCACAACCAAAAAAAAAACAGAACAGGTCAGCTGATTATCACAACCATCCAAGGCATGTGAACCCTCCCTGAATCCTACACCATTGCTTGCAACTACATTAGTACATATATAGCATTGTAGAATAGAGTGGAAGCCTAGTAAAGGCTGCTTTTAGTCATTTATGATTCAACAGATATTTCGCTACCTTGTTCCTGTTTTTGTCTTTATTGCTTTGCATAGAATTACTTTTATTTTCAGTATATGGAAGAGTTGCTGATTGTGCATATGATCTGTTGATACGATCGGTAGGAAAATTGTGTATGGCCTGAAAAAAATATATATCAAGCATTAGACTTGCATAACTAATTAGTATTGAATATTCAAAATTTTGAAATGCTTAATCACACCGTTAACTTTAAATTTAATTACGCCAAGTAAGCAGTCAGTCATGACTATAAATACGTGCTTAGAATAAAGGGCATGCCAAAAGCTGTTTAACAAAGATACTGTTATGATTTTAGGCGAAGTCAAAGTTTTGAGTTTGGTGCTGTTTTATGAACAAGTAATTTCGCTATACTGGTTTGCTATAATGAGCAATTTCAAAATGCATTGTTTGTTTTAAAATCCCCAGTCATTAGGGAAAAAGAAATTCAGCAACCTCAGACCATCAAGCCTTGACCTGAAAATTTGAGCTAACCCTGAAATTTTTCAATCACCATAACACGATTATAATCACCTTTCTGACACATCTTAAAACTTCTTGTGGCAAATGATGAGAAATCATCTGATGTGATACTATAACTTGATTGAAGTCATTCACATTGTCACCATATATCATGTAATACTTTTTCTTCTTCTTGGAACTGTTGATGTAAAATAAGAACAACTTTATAAAGAATTTGCTCTCTACCTCACCTCTGTGTAAGGTCATGTATGACAGAATTGTCAAACTATTGTAGCCATTCATTGGGTAGTTTGAATAAGCACTGAGTAGTGGCAGTTTTCATCTTATAACATCCCTATAAATTGCAGCAGTCTCAACCTTCTAACTAATCCTATATCCAAGGTGGGCCGGTTTGATGAGACGAAATTGTTAGACATATTATATAAGTCTTGTCAGTCTTGAACTTTCTACAATAAAATGAAAATCCGATTTTAATAGGCATAGGGACGCTACATGGTTAGAGACTTATGGAATCTAGTCCATCTTTATTTGAAAAAGTTTCTTGAAAATCCCCCTTGTTAGCCTACTCATTGAGGGAGAATTTAGTGGCAAAAATTTGAAAGAAAAAAGTGAAAGATGCAATTCCTGCCACAGAATTCATGTAGAAATCAAGCCACACTGTTTTATTTAAAAGGGGATGTTCACACCTTTATTCCTAACAACATGTAAAGGAGATATATTTTTAATAAGATCCAGAATCTTTCTATTTCAGCATTGCCTACACAATTTATCACACCCTGGGCAGGTGGTCGACATGGTGGCAAACATCTTCCCAAAAGCATTCTTACCTGATTGGGAAACGCTGCGCTAGGCCAATGGCTCAGAGAAGCAATGTAGTAAAAAAAAGTTGAAGATGTATTTGACTATTTAGTTTGTCAGAATTCACAGTTACTAAATAAATAAAAATATCTATATTAGATATGCAACCAAAAATCACCATACTTCTGTTCCGATATACAGTCATTGGAATACACAAGATGAAAAATTCTTCCTGGTGGAAAAAGTTCTTCAGTTGCTGTTGAGACCATTTCTGTAGTATTTGCACTCACAGAATTTGTAGGCCTGGCACCTAATCTTACAGCTCGTGAATTCAATCTTTCCGAGCGCAGCAAACCATGGCGGTGTTCAATAGAATTGCACAAGTTCCCAAGTATAATTTGGTACTGAAATTAAAATAAAAAACTTGATTTTTACTTGATTTTTTTTTATAAAAGAAATCACCCATAGCAGGCTCAGAAATAGAGGAGACTCTTATCTGGGCAAAGATACAGGTGAGCATTGTAATGACAATATTGCAAAGGCCTGAATAGTATGGATCGAAAGAAAATTTACTAAATGAACGCTGCAGACAATTATGGACATGTTAAGAATATAACTGACTTTCATTGACAAGCGGGAACTTGAGTAGTGAATGATCGAGAATAAATGGGAGGAAAAAATAAAACCAGATAAGCAAGTTAAGTCATTTGATGACAACAGATTTGACAAAATCTTCATATTTATCTCGGGGAAAGGTGAAGAGCTAGCTTAATCACATGTCGAACCACAGCCACGTGTCCAGTGGCCATTCCAAACGTTGGGTATGAGATTAGTTAGCTAGTTTTTTTGCTTCAGATGCATGGACTTGATGGTGGAGGAAGCCGTAATCGTCCAGCAGCTAAGTAAAACACCCTTCAACAACAAGGTGTCCAGCAATACTCTAGCACAAAATTAGTCCCCACAGGACGGTTCTGCAGTAGCGAAAGTTTTCTTTGCGCTAAACACAATGTGTCAACTTCTGTGGCTCTGTTGGTTCATTTATTTTATTTCAATCAGGAAGCTCAGTACAATTTTGGGTGTCTGATCTTATGTTTGGCGAGATAATTGTACACAGATACTCACTTTTGGCGTCTTAGTATGCTTCAATAAGTCAAGAACTTCATTTCTTAAACTTTCTAATTGTGATAATCCAGCTCTTGGTACAATGTCTTTACCAAATATTAAAGTATGAATATAATCTTTAGATGCCATCACAGCAGAATGGCTAAAATAGATGAAAATTAATGATATGAAGGCATACATAGAATTTCCATAAAACATCACCATGATTTAAAAAACAGAGCAATCCGTAAATATATGGACACGAAAAGCAAATACAGTAATACAGCCAATGATAGCAAAATTTCAGGCTAATGTTACTAGAATGGTGTCGAATTTCATATGAAAATGTGTCAGAGAATAATCGAACATCAAATTTTATGGTGAAATGTTGAGCCGCATAGGACTATAGGAAAAATTCAAAATCAAAATAGTATTCCCTGAGACTTCCCATCCGTATTGAAAATTTGAAATCAATTGGTCAATTAGATGCAAAGAAAAACGATTTTCCAACTTCAATGATGAAAATTTTTTAGTAAAACTATTGTAATTCAGAAGATTAACCTACCTCAATAATCCACCCGGAGGTGAAAATGCATAACATTTTAAATTTCGATAAATAGGATGCAGTAGAATGGCAAGAATACTGGCAATACCGGCACCAAGTGAATGACCTGAAAAATATCATTTAAGAAATCATGCGATCTAATATAACAGCAATATCACATAATGATATATGAAATTACTAGAAATATGTGTACTTGTCATAATTTCAAAGTTGTGAAAATAAGATAGGTAAATAGAACAATACATAGTGTTAATGATAGGTACCATCTATTAGTGAATTTCTCACCCTGTATCACCATTCTTTTATTATTTTGAAGCTAAAACAATCAAGATCTTGACTGTTTGAAGAATGAAAAGATTGAAGTCCATAGAACAAACTTTTCACCCCAAGAGTACATAACCATAAATTGACAACTTACCCACTAAAACTAAATTATAGTCTTTCGTCCCCTTGGAAATACAATGACCAAAACCGAGAGACAAAACCATTTCTTCTTGCAAAAGTTTCTTCTTAATATATTCAGCACCATCCACCATGCCCTGGATAAGAGATATTAGATGGTTGGAAATAATTGGTTCAACGATTTCCAAGAGCTTTCAATATAAGATTAAGAGTATATCATTATTGACTGGATATACGTGAGTGGTAGTAATGAAGTTGAAGTAATAAAATTTAACAATAAATTACATATATAAAATTTGAAATTACATGGCTGTAAACGCTGATCAGAAAAATTGATAGCTTCTCAATTACTGTTGTTTACAATTCATTTTACATTTCATCCATCACCACATAGTTAATGAGTTGTTCAGAAGGATTGGTATCTTTTTATCGCTGGGTTCAATGGGTAAGCTTATATTGAAATGAACATGATTTGGTTCTCACAGTTGTTTGATATAAAATTGATATTAATAAGACTGATATATGTGAAAGTATTAGTCAGCTATGCATAAAATATTGATTGATATTTTTGGATATATTTCTTACACCAATGCATAATACAGACACCCAATTTTGGAAATGAAATTTGACTATGAAAGTGAGTATTATAAGTGGAGAAATATGGCAATTACTCTATATAACAGCTAACAAGAGTAATAGGAAAAATAAACAATATTCGCGAAAATCATGTGATTTTTTTTAGATAATAATATTGAGAATTCACAAATACTTTAGTGAACAATCCATACTAAGTTGGGTTGCCAGAGCTATAAGAATGTTCACAGGAACAGATGAAGAAATCAAATGTCAGTATCAAATATTCAGAATTTCTCATTGTCAGTGTTCATTAGCCATAAACCACAAAGAGTTCGACAACTATATGTACACTTCCAATTTTGATGGATATATACAAATCTATATGCTAAAATCCTGATAACAGAAGGTGATATGTAATTTTGGCATGAATCACAATATCATTGAAAAACATGCAATTCCGTGCAAAATACAGTACTTTCATAGTAGGCTACTTTATCAATTGTGCTATTTCTTGCAATACAATTTTTTATAATAAATAATTTAGGTTCAAGCTAAATTCTTTAGACAAAAACAATGTAACTTTCAAAGTAATATCCTTTCACTTACCTTGTGTGCTCTCCAAGTTCCATCATTTTCCTCTGTATCAAGATATTCAGAAGAAGCAACGAGATCAGTGAGGGCATCCGCTTCTGCTAGTGTTCCCCTCACTGTAACAACCACTGATCGTTTTTCATGATCAACAGATAGAAAGAATGGTTGTTTTGATACCTGAAAAAAATTGCAAATAAAGAGTCATAGAAGATGCCATTTCATGTACAGCAGAATCAATCAGAGTAAAGAGCGCAGCAACAGAGATAAAATGTCCAAAAATCTGCATTTGAACAATTCCATACGATTATTTGCTGATTAGGTAATTTCTTTGAATATCAATTTTGAAATCACAATTTTATTTTACAAATACAGTTTTTCTCATTTTGACACAAGTTTTCACTAAATGTGGTCAAAACATGCGTTACATAGATTTCATATAAAATGTCAGTGGTTCCTTTTTGTTTGTGCGGCATGTATACACAGCATTTAAAATAAGAAACAATAAAACATTTATAATAAATACAATATGTAAAATATTCATTCTTTTCTTAGATATGTTTAACAGTAACACAATTCGGTTGATTTTCACAGCTCACTTAGCAAACCGTCCACTTTGGGGATTTCTGTACTAGATTGTATATAATGATCTTTAAGCTTTGGAGAGAGATAGAATAAATAGAAATGCATCAGCGACATTAATAATACATTAATGACATTAATGATATCAAACTGCTATGACTTTCGCTTAAATATTATCCAAAATCTGCACCAATTTACAACCATACACATGCGGATCACTGTCACCCTCACAGATATAATGCACCATAGGATATCTATCACAATCATAATTTGATTTATCGATATAAACGATATCGAGTCCTGCAGTGGTATACCCAGTGACAAATTTCTTTAAGATTTTTTTCTTCAAGATAATTCTCTCATATTCTTTTGGCAATGACAGTTGGCAATGAATTTTTTATAAAAAGCTCGATTTGAAGTTAACTAAGCAATCAAATCATAACTTCAATAATAAAAAGCATAATAGAAAAAATCAACTAATACAAATATCTTACATCATTTTCAAATGATACATAAACTACTTCTGTGTTGACACCATGATCAGTAAGTGATTTCTTGATTCCAGCAATTGCCCATCCACAACCGGAATCACCCTTGATGAGTGTTTTTCTTCGTCTTGCCACTTCTGCCCCAATACAACATCGTGATGTACAGGTTGGATTCTCACTACACCTAAAAAATACTGGTTATTATCTTATGGGCCTTAGAGTGAAAAAATCTTAAGAATTCAAAACATGGGACTTGAAACATACTTCTTGATAATTGAGAATTTCAGTGTTTAAATACAAAGACACTAACATGTAAAAAGATTATACATACAAAACTATATAACAATTTCCCAACAAGACGTTTCTGAAATATGCATTTTTATACTTAAATTTTCAAGTTCAAAGATAGATTAAGCAGAAGTGCCACTAAGAAACTTACTAAAAACTGAGAAAACTCAGGGCAAAATTTGTCTGCAGCCAGTGCATTTCACTTGTTTCTACTCTTAAGGTGAGTTTATGTCATTTGGTTTGTATAATTAATTTTTCTTCTTTCAGTTATAAAATATCTTCTTATATACAAAAGTAATCATTTCCTACAGTCATATCCAAATTATAAAAAATCCTAACCTAATATCAGCAAAATTGTACACATCACACCATTGATTGGGAAAACAGGAGGATAATAGAAAACATTAATCAGATAGCAGTATGAAGTCACCCATGCGCTGAATCCTAAAACTAATACTTCATCATGTATTATTATGAGAAGTACCATACTTGACTTACAGACATTCCTGAAGGACACCGCATAGTCCAGTTCCAGTGTTCTCCACCCAATAGAAGAGAGGTCCATATGCAGCTAGACCATAAACACAATAATACGCCAGGTCCTCACATTCTTGTTTAGTCACCTGAATAAATTTATAATTGATTTTCAATCAGCATGCATATTTAAAAGCTATTAGTAATTTCATAGAATCACTTACTGTTGTAAGATGTTAGTAATGATGGGAAAACTAATACCAAGTGCTCAATATACCAAATATGATAAAAGATGAATAAAATTGAATATTCCACTTAAGTTTTGGCACCCATGTACAGCAAATATTTGCACAAACAAAATATTTTGTCACAAGTATCATTGCAAAATCCAATACTTTACAATCACTTCTTCTTAGGGAGTCCATAATCAAAAGGTTTTTATTCTGGGATTCTGCTTTGCAGTTGTTCTCATAAGCATATAACATACTGAGATACAAAACAGGCTTAACCCAGGTATTTGACATCCCATTTTATACACCTCGGGATGGAAGGCAGGGTCGGATAAACAATGAGGTTGACTAATGGTTGGGCTTCAAACGTCCAAAATGAAATCCAAACGCATAAACCATTAGGTTAATGTATGATTTCCAATATCTAAATTTTGGATATAAGACACATTATCACATGTTCGCAGAATCAAGACCTGCAACGATTAATAGTGTGCATGATGATTGTTTGACCTGTCATCATTGTGGGATTGCCCTAAATTGCGAGGTAGACAAATTTCTCCACCATCAAGTGCAGGCATCTGAATCGAATAACTGATGACTATTTCCATATCTGACATATGTTAGTCGGATGACAAGCTGTGGTTAATCATATACATGTTTAATTAAGCCATTTTACCATGTTTCTTAACCTTGGAATAAACTTGACAATCCAATCATAAACTAACTTTTCTTTCGAGGCAAATAACTGGTAATAATAACCACGTTTACCCACCGTATTACTGAGATCCACAAAATTAGTATCTGGTGTAATTGCTCTTCCACACATGAATTCCTCCACATCATTTTCATCCTAAAGTAGACTTGTTATGTTAATTCGACAAGTTACAAAGTAAATGACACAGTAAGAATAAAGAAAAGGCAGATAATAATAAAGAAAATAACACATAAAGTGAATTATGAGTACCATTATTACAAAATAATAATTTGAAGTATAAACAGAGAAATGAAGAATTTATGAAAAAGGCAATATTATCAACTGATTTATGAATCTTTAGAATGGCCAATCACTAGTGAATAGTGATGTCCATAGAACTTAGGATAGTCCATATTTTAAGTTTTTTTTAGAATATACGACGACAATATTGAAATATCTGTGCAAAGTTAAATGACAAAATTTCAAAAATGAATATTTATAATTTTCAAGGATTAAAGTAAATCTATTAGCAACTCTCAAATCACAGGAACTAAATATAATGTCCAAGTCTGTGCTTTAGTTTAGTTGATCATATTGTGGAGTGGTATATTTGTATCAAGACTTTTGAACTTTAGAATCAAATGGGTATTTTATAGTATTTATATATATATAGATAAGCTAGGAAATGCCTGCAACTACACCAGGCAATAACAATTATGTCAATCAGATTTGAGTCAAATAGAAATCGTGAATCACAATTTACATGCAGAGATGAAAAGACAGCTACGGTAACTATGAATCAATAGAATATAACATGATGAATAGGTTGGAAAATTACTTCCTTGTTCACTCAAAATTATTCAAGCACTAAATGGGTATACTTAAAACTTAGTTTGAAAGAATTTGTGAATAATGTTTTTTGAAATATTGAACGCCCTAATATTCTATTGATAAGAATCGCTTGGTTTTTAGTTGAATCTATCTAATTTTTTCACAATTGTTATAATGGTGTTATATGCAAACAATCACCACAAGTTAGAGTTACTAGCTAGCTAATTTCATCTAGACATACCATGGATGCAACTACCTAAATAGTGCAAATAATCACAAATCAAGTGTTGGTAACTTTTGGGTATTCACCATGCAGAAAGAATTTAAAAAGGACGTTTGTAAGTATTCTCAAGCATCACACTAGGCTTTTAATATGGTTTGAACATTTGAATTTGATACTATTGGTGCTATTAGTAATATTCTAAATTGAATCGCATAAAATCAGCAAGTAATGCCATATCTCGATAACTAGCTACAGCATGCACTTAATTCAAACCAGGAAATATCCTGACTGAAATAATCTTTTATTCAAAACTTTTTTGAACTTCAGTAATCTATAATTCCAAATTGGTCAACATAGAAAGGATGGAGGTAAGATGCTTGATGAAAATGAAATATTGACGTAAATATATTGTTGGCTTCAAGTCCTATGGAAGTGAAATTTATTTCGATAGTTGCAGTAGTCTAATTGTGCGATGATAGTTCGATTCGTTTTGCCGCGATCTAACGATTTTTCTCTAATGTTCATTTAATTGCTATTGCTAGTTTGTGACACAAAAAATTTGTTTCCAAGTTGGATTTTCCTAAATTATCTTGGTGATCTATTGCAATCTATTTCAATATTGATTTTTTTTTTGACGCACATGACCTAATCATAAAGTGTTACTAAATAATCTCAAGCAAGAAACGTGAAGTGATGAAGACATCGAACCCTTGTGACTTATCTAAATAATATTACTCATATGTCTACATATCACCTTACTAAGATTGAATTTTATTATTCCAAAGTTTCAATTTGATGGTTTACTTCGGACATATTTTACCTAAACATGGTCATGACATGACCAAACATTTTTGAGCTGGTCTTTAGCGTATATACATGGATTATAAAAGAATTCAGATTTCATTATTCATTCATATAAATAAATAATATATATTCATTCTTGAAGGTGAAGTTACTAATGTGAAAAGCTACCCAAATTACAAATTATTCACTGAACTATGATTAGCATTCAAATTGGGATAGGATTACTCTAATCAATGAAAAAATTGAATATTCATGATGCTAATTTCATTCAAACAGTCACAGGTGAAAATGATCAAATCAAAACCAAAGAAAATCAGAAAATAAATAAAAATAATTACGTTGCTCATAACTTGTTCGCGACACCAGCATTCCTGTGAAGTGATAAACCAAAGCAGTAAGGTTAGTGGAAAGCAAGCAAAATGCAACAATCACCTGGAGTGAAGCAAGCAATGAAAAAATAAAAAGATGAGAAATTGAATGAAAATCTGAATGAAATCAATTCAAACTTATTAATCACACTTATTATTAAGATACAAATAATGTTTTGAAACATAAGACGAAATACGGAATGGAAATGGGAGCCAAATTTCACAGCACGGACATAAACAATGTGAAACTGACAGAGAATAAATCAAAATGAAGATAAAAGCAGAAATATATATTTTCATTTAAAAATTAGTCATTTCTACTATAATTTTCTATGTTCAAACCAATGCTTCATAAGAATTTATAGAGCTTACAGTATGTTTTGCATGAAAAATAGAAAAAAATTATTCCAAGATAGCTTCCAAGACCAATACAACTGAACTAAAAGTTGAAATAACTAAAAAATATTTGCCCGCTAAAGAAAACTCACCGACTATTATAGCAAAAGCTAGCTATGTCTAATGAAAAAGTAAGGCTTTTGGGAAGTGGAGAAAAGAAAATAAAGCTACATTGTGCATAATAACTAACTTAAAATTTGAAGAACGGAGAAGCTAAAATCATGAATTTAAATGCAAATAGGAATTTTTACTGATAAACAGTTTCTTATTATCTTATTAAATCTATTTGAAAAATGTATTTTTCTTGCCAAATACTATAGATTTTTCAATTTAACGATTTGAATATTTTTGACACTCATAACAAATGCATTAATAATTCAATAGGCATAATATGCTCAGTCTGATTTTATAGAAAAAGATAAAAAAAAAAAAGACAATATAAACAGTGCTACAGATTGAAGCGAAAATGAACTGATTTGAATCTAAATGATAGCGTAAACATCATGCGATGCAAAGAATATACAAGAAAATCCTATAAAATAATACTGATGGAAATCGAGAAATGAACGTAACCTAAAAAAATAAGTAGAAAATTTTTTAATTTTGCTGTTTATCATTACAAAATATATATTTCTATATATGTCTACACATCTATATCGTGATGCATGTTTTTAGGATATAACCCATTCACTCACAGTTACTGTTGTATCATTTTCAATGCATTGTTGTTTGTGACGAAGTAGAGTGAGACCGGCTATTATATCAGACATAACCAAGTCATGTTCTTTGAAAAAGTTGTGTAATAGCATGGATACCTCATCTAAAGCAACCTGAAAATATAGATTACTGGTTATAGGATGTGTATAAAATGAACTTGTTGACTGCTGTATCAAGAATTATCATCCATATATATATTTGGAACCATCCAATGCAAAATAAATGAAGAATATAGAGGGTTATCAAGCGTAGCTTCACCTATGTTAAGTAAAAAAGAGGAGTTCCTTATGGAAAAAATTGAACAGTGCCATGTATAACAATAGAATCCATGTCATCCGAACAACAGCATATTATAATTCCCTTGGGTTGTGGCATTCTGACATTTGAATTACTACGGAATAAACAAGTAGTAAAAATTGTATCCGAATGCCACGAACAACTGTTATCAAGCTGTAATGGCCACAAAATGATAACACACTGACAGGAAGAAGTCCACATTATTTGCTTACCAGATAAAGATATCTTGATTCTTGAACATGTAGATTGAATCATGATACATCCGATAAAACCAGAGTTTCTGTTAGATGGCTGGTATTCAAGTATTTGCAGAATTTGACATTAAATGGAATAACTCCAAAAAAAATTTGAATCAAAAATGGCTAATTTTGCAAAAATATTTATAATTTCATAAGAAACCATCAATACCAAACCATCTTTACAGAAATCTATTCTATTTCAGATATTGAAAAAGAATATATTCCACCAATTTTGATCATTAAAATATTTATATTACTGTGTACACGGTGCACACATCCAAACTTAGTTTTAGTACTAACTCATTAAGGTAGCAAATAACATGCCTAGAAAAAGCTTAAAAATTTAGAATATAAATCAGGTGTGGGCATGGGCTTGTCAGGAGGGGCATAATAGCAGAAAGCGAATGGAATTTTTGCAACAGATCCAATACTAATAAATATTTAATGAAACCATAATAAACATTTGGGGTTACATTATTATATTCTGGTTCTCCAAACAGATTGGAATCTCTCTGATTAAGAGTGATATTGTATATACTTGTGGAATGACAGTAAATCTACTAAACCATGAAAAAGCACACAGCACTTTGATAAAATATTAACAGTGGACAAGAAATAGACGAATGAAATGTTTTGCTTGATGATTGTTGTTGTTACTGAGAAAAAATCAATTTTCTTTTCACTTTTTTAAATTCTCAGTAAATATTTGGTATTCTAGGTTTTTACATATTTTCTCTGCTCTCCTCTTTTGAGGCTATTAATCTTATCCCAAATTTTGAAGAAAAATGTGATACTATATGAAATGCCATATATTTTTTATTACAATACTTTGCGTCAAAATATATCGTGTTCATCTTTACATGGTGGTCACAGTGGCCTAGAGGTTAATAAAGCATTAGAATTGACTATCATGGCATCGCACGTTGGAACTTTTATTTCCCAGAAAGAAATGAAATTTTTTGTGAATTTCAATATCAAATTTGCAAATTTATCAATATAAACATATTTTTAGTAAAACAAGAACTGAACACACCTGTTTAATATTAGTACTGTTATTGGATACACAGCAGAAACAATTGCTTAATCGGGACAACCAAGTCTGCCGTCGTACGCTATCAAGTTCATTTCTGAAAATATGAGTATAATGAATCGAACAAGTCGAAATAATGCAAGCATACATATATAAATAATGAATTGTCATATAAAATTTCAAAACACGATAACCATATCAGACAACAATCATGCAAAAATTTCACTTTAAACAGCTAATTAGGTAAATTTGAATAGAGTCAACACAGACCCATTCAACAACTTGGACAAATATCAAACATATGGCATGATATTTGCATAGATATTGAGTACATTTTGATTTTGAATAACATGAAACAATCCGATAGAGTAAGGAAAAAGGATGTTGCATCTGTGATATAAGTAGTAGAGGATTCAGAATAAATTATCAATTCAAAATTTAAATAATTAGGTACGTGTTGCATAGAAAAAATGTGTATACCACTGTGACATGATAAGCCAAATTTGGAATATATTTAGAACCAAATTCTTTAAAAACGACTATTTACAAAATTTAGTTTTTCCATGAAACATTTAGATGGAGAAAACCCAAATTAAATAGGCTACAACCCTCCTTTCTAAATATGGATTCCAGATTATATATATTATTCATGTATATTGAAATATTATTATCGGATGTCCCAAAGATTTTATTTTTTATAAATACATATTAATCCACACTCAATGCTTATCGATTTTAATCGGTAGGTATGTTGATATGTATTTGTCTGTCTGTTTGTTTGTCTGTCTGTTAGATGCACGCGATATCTCACGAAAGTGAGATTGAATCTGCTCCAGATTTTGCATGTGCATTCATCATATGTCGTACCAGAAGCCTATTGATTTTGGATGAATTATGTCGTATAAATAGCGAGTTATTAATTAATTAGTGATGGGACACAAGGTGTCACTATGGAGTAAGAGCACTGTTTTGGGGGATCCCCTAGCTTTCGATCGATAAGTCTTCGGTCTCTGACCGATATTCTCGTTTTTCTGTTGAACAGGAAGAAATATATTTTCTGAAATATTGCAAATAGTGAATTATTCAGGTAAAAGCTTTTAAAAAAATAAAAATAATAAATAAAACAAACCTCATTTGTTCTATGTATGAAGCTGACATTCGTTCCTTGTAAGCATTCTTTACCTTGTAGTATTTTCCACCAGCGGGATCGAACACACAATACCCAACAAGAACAACAATGAGAAAAACTATGATGTTGACAATCACAATTCCTGAAAAAATGTCTTTAGTGAAAACAAGATATTTAGTGCGGGTAATATGAAGGTAACTTGGTCCCCAATTCCCAAAATAACAAGAGAGCAATCCTTAAATGCAAGTATACTGAAGTCCCACACACATAGTCAAAAATAATTCACATATTTGATGTTTTGAAATGGGCAGAGTTAATAACACGGTAAATTTTCTCGATATATCATGGTTTGATGTCATATATGTACATAAACTGTTGAAGTGAATTGAATTTCACCACATGAAAAGAATTCTAAATTTGTAACTTCAAGACATTTGTTCTCAAAAGTTCTCTTATGTAACATTGCCCCTTTACAGCACTCTATACATCATCATTGTACCTCGGCAAAACAAAAGAAATGTGAGGGTTGTAAACAAATGCATTACAAATCAATTAAAATAATTATAATACACGGTGCTTTTAATGAGACGGATGAGCTTGGCGATTTTCAATGAGTTCTTAAAATTTGGAGACATTACTAACAAAAGCATAAACGTGACAAGTTTCGATATAATTTAGACTCTGAGAAAGCGTTTCGCCTCCTGCAGATTTTCACTGTCAAATGCATCTTTTTGCCTCCAGAGGGTGACTGATATTGCCCACTTTGAATTTCACGGCTTCAAGGCACTGCTCCAGCAATAAATATAGGCCTGAATCCCTGTAAGTACCCTTCTATGCATAAGACTTCTAATCTAATCTCCTATCGATTAAAATTCTGACCTGTGGCAACAAAGTCATCTAAAGTTTAATGTTAGGGAGGTTTTGCCAACTGCCAAACCAGAAAGATTTCTATCTTTCTAGCACAGTTCTTACAGTGGCTTTATATCTTACTAGTCTGGATCCTTGTTCAGAATAGAGTGTGAAAAACATTAAAAATGCTCTAGTAACAAGCCTGATAAATACCAAAAACCTAGACAAGAATTTGATATTGTGGCCACTGGCCAGACAGAATAATATGTTATGATTTGTTATAACCATGCAATCATTGTACATAAATATTCATTTCAGAGTAAATTGCATATTTTCAAACTAATATTTTTAAACGACATGAGAATTCAATTATCGCAAGCATTCCAACAACTATTTAACTCAGACCAGGGCCATACAGATGCATATCAAACAATACTTTACTGAAATTTACAGCAATATTTCAGATACCTCGGACATAAGATCAAGTTATTTAAATTCAAACTAATTATTTAGTATACACATAATATATCTTTTCTTGAGGATAGGCTAATAGATGAAAAACAGTTAATAAGAATTCAAATTAAGAAGAAATTTCTTCTATTTGGAAACTGATTTGGTAGATACAGATCACATATATTTCGAAATGCATCTGTAACAAGCAAATAAAAATTCATACCGATTTGTATATTGTATAAATCTCTCAGAACACCACAGATTCTCCAATGAAGAGATATTTGTACAGTGGTAAGAATACTATAGGCCATTTCAATGACGCCAAACGCTGAAATAATAAAACAAATGAACCCAATTTAAACCCAGATTATCATCCTTTCATAATAACTCAAGTATTACAACTAATCTACAATTTATTGTTCCAAATTTTAAATAGATTCATTCAAAGAATGGCCAAAACCAAGTAATTTATCATTTCGAATACAATCTAAAATAATGTTTTTTAATAATATCATATTTATTTTACAAATTGGTCCTTTTCAACAGAGAATTTCCAAAAGCCATAGTTAATTCATAGAAATAAATTTGGTTAAGTGGAATGTTGAATTTAAATTGTTTTTTACAGAGTAGGTAGCTCCCCTAAGTTTAAAAAAGCAAATTTATTACGACGAGCAATTATTGAAAGAAAATAATTCCTAAAATCAACAAGTTACTACATTGTAAATAACCAATTTCAAATGTATTTTAGAATTGTTTACAGGAAATATGGACATAGGTCCACTTTCACCTTAATAATTATTAAAGTAATAAGTTTATTGTTAGTTTATAAGCCCTAATCCAATTTGCCACTCTTAAAATCTCTATTGAGAGTTCACTTTTGATTGAAGACCTGGGAGATATTTGTCACTATCAAAAAGATTGGTGTCATCAGTTAAAAATTGTGAGAAGAATGAAGAACAATGGGCAAGGTCATTAATAAAGACTAAAAATAATTAAGGCCCCAAAGTAGACCCTTGTGGACCCCATAAGATGCTGGAGCAGTATTTTTCTACTCGAACATATTGAGTTCTATCACCTCAATAACTAGATGATTTTCCCAGTATTTTTACTCAATTCGTTAGAGAACAGAGACATTCTTATAATTTATAAAACAATGTCATACCCATTCTGATATAAATCAAGTATTCCACTGGTTTTCTTGGTTCAGGGTTCATAATAGTTCCTTGCATGCTATAAAGGGTCAGCAAAATCTCTATTATCTGGAAAAAAAATACTCTATGAATAAAAATTAATATAAGTACATCACATCTAATTTTGTATCCAAGGTCAAGTATTTAGCACATTATATAAACTTAACTATATAGACATCTCAGAATCAAATCAAATGAAATTCACCCTACCCAAAGAGTATTAAAGGGAAAAGGTAGAAGTGAAGTCAAATCGAAAAGATTCCAGTCATTCCAATATTAGTACCGGAGTTCTTTACATATGAGTGACTATTTGTCGATAGCAATCATCAAAGAAAAGAGGGGAAAAACACTATAATATTATTAAAAACATTATGAGAGAGTACAGAATAAAAATTAAAAATAATATGATGCAGATTAAACTGGTGAAATGAGTATAAAAAAAAACTGTAAAATTTTGTTGATGACCGATATTGCTGTTGTTGCATTTTGTAATGTATTTAGTGAACTATGTAATAATAATGATGTTTGAAGGAAGAAAAAATAATACGAGAGTGTATAGATAGGATAGTCAATGCCTAATCAGAACAATTTTGGTCCTTCCACAATTAATAGCTTTCAGTGTAACTTTTCAGTGGCAGTGGCTTATAGTGTGTGCAGTAACTTTTCAGTGGCTGCTTATACAGTGTCTTTTTCAGATTGAAAATGTAAATGAATAAATTATAAATAATGACTATTTCTAAAAATCAAAAAAGCAATCTTACAGCAGCTACTGCAGCTAGTACCAAGTATCCTATTGAGTAATCTCTAATTTCATGAGCGCATGCTGCTTGGTCGTAGAGTGTCTTATTGTAGATAACACTGGTACTCAATGCATTTAAATCATACGAGGCATATTTATCCAGCTCTGGAGATGTTGAAATGATTACTGCTATCACAATAAATCTAAACAATTAAGAAAACTTAGTTTCAAATAACTACGTTAATAAAAAGAGCAATGCTCAAACATAATATGAACACAAATATGAATAAAGTGTTCCCATATTTCATAAAATGTGTTCCCATGGATTAAAACAAAACATAAAAATTTGATGTGGAACGTCGAGTCCCAAAAAATCCAAAAATGAGAGGGTAATAGGGCAATAGCCTTCCAGTAACTTCATTGATCTATATATATTGTCTACTAGATGTCAAAGTTTCAAACTTGACCGTGTTACGGTGTTAGCATCGGTAGTCCTACATCTCATGGCCAACACCCAAAGGTGTAATAAATTGGGTAGGCAATGCCAATGTCAGTTATAGAAACTCCTTACATATCAGTGGATTATTGCGCAAGGTATTTTCAGAGCAAAAAATAAAAATAAATACATATTTGGGAAAAATGGGATTATCTGCCCATTTCCAGCATTTTTTTATATGTCGGCGTTATTTTGACCAAAATATTATTCCTATTTGCTAAGTCTTTAGATATTTTTTCTATATCGGATACCGGTAAATCGAAAAAATAAACGTAAATATCGACTTACAATATAAGATGCATGAGGAATAGTAACATTCCAGGAACCACAAGATCGTCGCTTCCCGTTCCCCATCTTCTTTTGAAGGCAATCATTCCAGGCATGATGGTGATAAATCCAACTTTCAACAAAGTTCATAAATTTGCTTTTAAACTAAGTAAGCTAATGATTATCTCCATTTAGGAAACGACATCTCATACTCCCAATAGACTCATGTAAATACCTGACCAGAAATGCTTGAAAAAAATGAATTAAAGATATGGATACACAATGTATGCAAATATTAGAATAGAGAGAGCCTGGCAGCTATTGGAAAATGAATAATTAGAATAAAATTACAAATCTTGAATCTTGGTGTAGTACAACCAAGAACATTTCCATATTGAAATATAAATTCCATAACATATTTTGCATTCTGATATTAGGAACAAAGTCCTAAATTATCGGTATTTTAAATTGAGAAAGAAATTAATTTGTCGATACCCCATAAATGTAGTTTGTTGGTGCCCACAGGTGTGTATAAAATGAGGTGAAACAAAGACTTGAATAAACAGTTATTAGAATAGAACAAGCCTGATTAGGATATATAAAGAGATGACTTCATACCAAAATTGAAATTGTAATAGGACTATGAGAAATTCATTAAAAAAATATCATGCCAATTTTCTAAATTGATACATACAAGAGTGTGGTGGTACTATATTCTTTCAAGAATTAAAAAGGAGGTGTTGCATGATTATATTCTTATCAGTGTAGCCAGTGATGCACAAAGAATGGTTCGTGAGCGCAAAATTTAGAACAACACCTGGTACATTGGATCAGTGGTTCCCAACATTTTATCAAGCAACCCAAATTTTCTAAAAAAAATTAATTTCCTAAAATCTCGCGACCCAAGGATATGTTCAAATACTCATTGGCATGTAATACTTTTATGGCCGCAAAATTCAATGACTAATAAAAAACATGACTAAGTGAGAAAGCTGCGTTAGTTTGCCCCAGTGAGGTCGTAGGGTAGCTCTACTTAAACAAAACAAATGCTGCAAAGTTTTTGCAATGTGACACTTCCCACGTATACAATTACTATTGAGCGACACTTCAATTACAAATATAAAACAAACAATAAAATTCACTAGAAATTAAAATTGGTAACTTTTAGATTTTCTTTGAAAAAACAAGCTACCCATAAAAATGTTCAGGAGACTCAGTCGTGGGTCGTGACCCATAGGTTGGGAAACACTGCCTTAGATAATAAAAAGTTAAGGTGGGTGCACAAATTTGTAGGTAGAAAGCATTTCGCAACAAGTCGAAACAAATTAAGTCGAAAGACAATTTGAGAAGGCTGAGAACAAATAGATAAATTTACAAGCTGCAGACCTACTCCTTAGGGAGCAAAAAAAAATCAATACATTCTGAAAAAAATCATAAAGTTCAATTATGTGGTAATTAAAGTCATCCATGAAGTACATAAACAACTTTGATAGAAACATTTCTGAACAGATTAGTGAGAATCAAAAATATTAAAAACATTAAGTTTGACTGGTTTTCAAGTCTTGTCTGCAGTCAGTTTTTCATAGTGTGTATAATGGTAATTTAGTCATGATTTTGTCAAAACTTCCAAACAAACATTATTCAAATAGAATCCTAAAAGCAAAAGGTATTATATTGAATTGACTTTGAGCAAATTACATTTGATTTGCATATAGCTTGCATCTTAGCCGATTGTTATTAAAAATAAGCACAGTCGTTGCAGAATACATTGCCTATACATAGATCAATTAAAAATATCATTTCTGTTTTTCAGAATAATCTTCTAAAACACCAGCTATAATATGATCATTATGTCTTTTAAATTTGCGCTTTCTGTTATTTGCCCTTTTACGAGGCTGTGCTGGCTTGAGCTTTGTTCTTGTATCTTGTACAGAAGACATACCCTGTTGATTAAGGTACTCTTCAATTTTAGTTTCATCCATTGATTCAATAGCAACACTTCTCCACAACTTTTGAAATTCTTCGTCGACTTGAAACTCACAACTTTTATCATTGTAAAACAAAACTTCCTTTTTGTCAGGCCTTGTTATATAAATGATTTTATTCCCTAAAGCCTTTAGACAACGCTTTGCATTTGGTAAACTTTCTTCTACTTCGAAACGCATAATTCCACCTAGACCACGCTGATCATATCTATCCAATAATTTCAGAAGTGATTTTTTATCACGAATGTTATACTTCGGTTTGAAAGCGTATTTTCGTTCCTGGCCTGGATTGTCGACGACTTGTATTTTCGGATTATTTGGTAATGCTTCATTTATCAGCCAGTTTTTCTGTACTGGCGTTATAATATCTTCAAGCTTGCATTCCTCTAATATTTCATCAATCGTAAGTGGGAACATATCATCTTCTTGATGTCTCGATTTCATAAAGTTCACAATTTGAGCGAGATTTCCGAATTTTGAACCTCCTATACCTGCTCTACTGCTATATGATGATATAGACTTGACCGAGTTACTATCTGACGTAGGCCGTTGTAATTTTTTGGGCTTTTTCTTTGCACTGGCTGCAGAAGTGTCATTGTTGACTGCCTCTCTCTGATGTTTTCTCTTCTCTATGACAGGTCGTGCAAGCGCACGCTTATTAAACTCCTCTCTTTGACGTAAAAGACTAGCATCCATATTTCTAAATCTGTGAATTAAAAAAAATTAATATAAAATACAACGAAGCCACTTGAACTTGAATAATTGCAAACAATTTTTAATAGAAGTGGTATATACAACTACAAGAAGGATTGAGTCATTTATATCATTATTAGCATGACTTTCTAATTTAAGGAATCAAAATCACTTATACCAGTATACAGACAGCAATGTGATATCCTTGAATAATAATCTGAAACTACAGTCCAGCAATCACATATAACACTCCATATTAATTAATACAAGGGTTTAAAGGAGGAATGTGTCGTGTACTTTCAAGTGCAAATTTTTTGCAAAACCGAGTAAATAAAAATCCAATATTAAAGCACGCAACAATCATCTTTTCAAAGAATTTATAAAACTTTAGAATGTTTTGATAAAGTTATTTGAATAATTCTGTGACACATAAATATAAGGTACAGAATTGTGCGAACCGAGCCAATCTCAGGTCAAATACAACAAAATCCAAATCAACAATAACTGTTCAAAATAATTTTGTATGAATTCATATTTTACTTGGTTTTATTCACAATCTAGTTTATTTTGATATGAATTTATTGGAGAGTGGAAAAATGAACTTTTTAATTCATTGATTTTACTCTTAAAATAGTTATTCAAAACATTCATATTGCTTTCTGCTCAAAAAATAACCATTTAAAAAAATCATGTTGTGTTTCTGTGTTTATATTTGTTGAAATTACTACAGACAGACAGAGCAGGTTGATGGCACACATTTTGACGATTCCTTTAAAATATTGGTAACAATATTTCACTGGCTTTATCATATTCCTATATGTTTTTATGTGTGCATCTAATTAGTCGTTATATATTTCTGCTGTGATTGTGTTTCAACTGATAATTCTGTGTTTGTCTAATACTGGATAACAATGTAGGGAAAATCTTGACTCATTTTTTTCAAGGACTCGGTGGATCTCACATTTCATGTAAATAAAATCACTTTTCTCGGATAGCCAGAGAGCCCGGATTGGGACTTCCAAGGGGTTCCACCTCAGTTGGAATGTGGAAAGAGCAATGTACTAACACACTAATGGAACATAATTTCTGGACACAATTTATCATGTCGATCAAAGTTTTATTCAAAACTCACTAGCAACAACTCAAAATACATCATGTTCATATAATTAATATTAAACGGTATTTAACGTCAATTTGGTACGGTAATTGTCGTTGCCTAAAAGTATCCAACTTCTGACAATGGTGCATTATAGACTACACTACACAAACATTGAATTCGCCAACGATAGCGAATTTCGGCAGTCGGCACGGTACCGATTTACTACTAGTCAACTAGGAAATGAATTGTTCCAAGAATTGTTTATGGAATTGGTCAATCGCTCACTTTCAATCCAACAAATTAGACCTGGCGCGGAGTAAGAGTGACATCTTGTGGAGAATTATTTGCGGCAAAGAAAAATAGAATGAAGTCCTCTTTTCAGCACCACTTCGGCCATTTGGTTGGTTTTCGACAAGGTGAATTATATCCGTTGTAATAGATCTATTTTATTAGTGGATTGCTTTGTTTGTTATAAAATCGAGTACAGGATGGTTTATTTTAAAAGAATAATCTTTTGTGGAATGAAAGATAGCTTAGATTTTTTAGAATATACGTATCAAGCGAAAGTATATATTGGTTTATGTATTTCAGAACACTCAGCACCATGACGTTGAAACGGCGAAATAATGGACGTAACAAAAAAGGCAGAGGGCATGTAAAATATGTTAGATGCGAATCATCAGGAGCCCGTGTTCCTAAAGACAAGGCAATCAAGAAATACATCATCAGGTATTGTGCTCTAATTTACTGATCTGATCTTTTCAGCTCTGCGATTATTGAAATCTGGCTGTTTCCATGTAGGATCCCCCTTTGCGTTAAAGAAAACGATACCCAAATCTATTTCAATGCAGCAATTTGTCATTAGTTAATATGACACAGTTCTCCGGTTCCAAGAATACCCCCCACATTTAAAGACATTTATAACGGTGATTGCCAACCTATGCTTTATGAGAAAGTCTGGGCCTCCATATCGGCAATGTGCAATAAACTAAAAGGAAGCGCAATCTAAAAATGTCACCATTGGATTCCACTCAAAAAGTAATTAATACACAGAAGATACACATGTTTTGGACGACATTTCGTATACTTTGATGGGCCATATTTCGGCAATGTAATGTTGCAGTGACGTAATTTTTGGATGACAAAGTCATGTGAAATTAGAAATGACATATGCGAAGATGGTTATGTCACGCCAACTAGAAGTACTTGACTGCGTTTAGTGAACTGGCCTCCTTCTTTTGACCAATATGTGCCATGATTATGTGAAATAGACCTTGTTACGTTATACCAACAGAATTGAAAACTTCGTAAATTCACTCGTACATCTGTAATTTACGAATAAAGTTATTGAGCGATGACTGTTTTTCATATAGAGCAGCGTTTCCCAACCTTTTCTGGTTGCGGACTATTTTCTCACCGGCGAAAACCTTTGCGGACTCATTGTGCGTTTATTGCAACCGTACTCTGTGTGAAAAAGCAATAAAACCAATTACAACAGAATTTTAAAATCGGGAATTCGCCGCAATTACACGTTCGTTAAGAGACGATTTTTTTAGTGTATAATGGCTTTTTCTGTCACACAATATTCAATCTATCACAACGACGTGAATTTAAAATGTCCTATTTTAATTTGATTGTGTTCATGGTAACTCGCGGTTGCGTCGACTTACGACAAGATGAAAGCATTACTTCCCTAAAATGGCAGGGCAATCTGTGACTATAATAATGTGAGAATATATAATATTGCCCGATTATATTTTTTGCGAGCTTGCGAATTTGTTATCGCCGTTAGAAAAATCCTACTATCTGCTATAAATTTCCAGAAAGTACAACTTGATTTAGTACTTATTAAAAATACATATTCATCGTCTTGCTTTAAAATTAATCCAGTTGTGATCATTTTAATCTGCAGTTTTGTTGTCAAAATAAAAGCAATGCTACTCAGAAAATATCATGACAATGCGTGGTAAAGTGCTTGATTATATTTTGTTTTGATTCTTATTTTTGTAAATTCGACAAATCTGAGCTGTTCGTACAACACTTACGGTGCTCCAGTACTGTACGTACCAATGTGGAGGCAGTAAAGCAAAGAATCCTAAGGGAAAATGCCCTGGTACGTATACTACGGTAGCACCCGAACTTTTGCGATTCGTAATGTTTAAAAAAGCGTTTTTAATTGGTCGCGGACCATCATAAAACAAAATTTAAGGTGTTCTCCGTTTTATTTTTAGTATTGCCGATTTTCAATTTAGAAAATTCGGGTTGCCACCATTGACACTTATCTTATCATCAGAAAAAAAAAATTTATTCCTCGTTATTCGAACTCGCGAAACTTCATTTAGATATCTATCGAAGCTTGTGCACTCTCGTGTTTTTGTCGGAAATCCGCAAGGGAGTTGTGAAATCCGATCGTTTGATTAGGCGACGCGCAGGCGACCTTCGCGTCGTCAAATTTTTGAATATATGATCAGTCCTACTCAGTAACCAGTAATTATTGACTCGATTAATGTTATGTGAATAAACTTGCTTTTTTTGTTTTATGTAAATTCTGACGTAAATCGTAACTTGGCTGATAGTTGAGTTTCGCAAAAACGTTTGCTGCCCGAAGTGAATTTTTGGCTCATTGCGGACTCATTCAAACGCTCTGCGGACTCATTTGAGACCGCGGACTCGGGTTGGGAAACACTGATATAGAGTATTGTAAATGAAGCAATTCTGATTTTATAAGCAAAAAACAAAATGTGGTATATTTTCAATTGTCTGTAGACAGTGACCTAAACTCATAGCAAGTTAGCAGAATAGCTGTGCCTTTTAATTTGTCAAACTCCTGGTGTAGTCTAACGATATTGGCGTATGACATTTCTAACCCTCACCTTACTATATCATCCACAAATTATGTCACAGTGCAGTAAAAAGGGTCCGCCATAATATATGGACGATCGGCCAAAACACGCAAACGATCACTTGAAATCAAGCAAGCAACATCGTATACAAAGGGATACTCTCTCATTTTGTCGTTATAGTGATTCCAATATGAGAGAGGCCACTGGCGTTAGTGAGTTGGACACTGTCAGCCCAGACGTCATTTCGTCGTTCAGCAATACGTCGTAGTGACGTAATTTTTGGATGACGTAGTTAGATGGGGTTGGTGATAACATAGTCATAAATGGTTATGCCACACGGATTAGAAGAATTTGTGGTGCTAAAGTACTTTGTTAATCTCTTGTATAGGAAATGAATCGGGAGTCCATTTATTAATAATGTATTCGAAAAACTGGTGTAATTTATTAAACATACATTCTACGATTACTCTATTTTATTATGGAAACATGTTGAATTGTAAACTTCATTTATTTATTAACCTTTTGTATTTCTCTCATTTCACAGAAACATTGTTGATGCCGCAGGAATGAGAGATTTGGCAGATGCTAGTGTGTACGAGTCATATGCATTGCCAAAAATGTATTATAAGGTCTACTACAGTGTATCAGCTGCTATTCACTTGAGGTATTACAATTAAAAATATTTTTAATAATATTGAGTTAAGAATTAAATAGAATTATCGTAAGTGCTTTTTGTTTGAGTTTTTCGTAAATATTTTTTGCAATCTGTGATTATTGAATTCTGTCAAATATTCACAAATCACAATACTATACTTTGTCATTGTTTGATCTGGTTTTTATCCCAGAGTAGTGATAGTGGAGGAAGTTGAAACTGCTTCGAAACACTCTATAGCAGTGGTTCTCAACCTTTTATGACTCGTGGCCCCCTTTCGGAGGCTTTTAGCACTCATGGCCCCCACTTTAATATTCCGGAGGTATTAATAGGGTTATTTGCTATGCTCTTGAAAATAACCATGTCTATCCCACATAGAATTTGAACCTGTGAACGCACAGAGGGTAATCAGAGGTGCGATGGCAAGTGTAGTCTTAATATGCCTAGCAATCTGTGCCAACCGCTGAGCTAGGGTTTATTTAGAACAAAAACAGGGATGTAAAGAGTGAATCAACCAGTAATGGCCAAAATTCAGCAATATACTATTTCCGAAATATTATTCTTAAATATGGAATGTCTATGACGTACGGTAATTAACAGAAAAATCTGCACAAATTTCGTAAATTCATTAGAGCTGAATTCAGTGAACCTCAACAAATAGTACGCTTCAAATGCCTACCATATATTTAACGTGACCCAATTTGGAAAACATGGTGTTTTTAGAATGTATCCAAATTAAGTTCATTTTCTACCATACTATCAAAAATGTTGTACAATTTACTGCTCAATCAATAATCCAATGCTATGAAAACTGTGTTTCTGTTGAAAGGCTGCTTGAATACGTTTTAAATTGCTTCTATTTTGCAGACTGGTAAAGAACAGATCGAGACTTGCCCGCAAGGACCGTACTCCACCACCAAGATTCCGGCCGGGTGCTAACCAACAAGCAAACAGACCTAGAGTTTCTTGATTTGCTCATATTGCACATATTATGTGAGTGCAAATAAAAGCGAAAAACCACTGCCGTGTTAGTTATATCTTTGACAGGCTTTAGGCAGGTCAGGTGAATAATATGAGATCTGGTTCACTTTCCAGTCCATGTCAGGTAATTGGACCAGTTTTTCATTTCAGATGCATGGACTTAATAATGAAGAGTGTCACAACAGGCCGCCTTTCATCAGCATGGAGTTTTGCAATTATCGCTAACATAATTATCCTGAGAGAATAACACCTAGTTTTATACAGTGGCACAGTCAAGTCGCGGATTGTCGAGTAGTAATGTGTTTATTTTGCCGAAGCAACTGCAGGTGGCGTAATCGCGATGACTGTTTCAGAAGCCGTTTTGTGGGGGTGAATATATGTTTTCGATCTACTTTATATGTATTATCACTGTTGTACTTTCTGAGTTTTTATAGCAGATCTTGGGATTTTTTTAACGACGGTCACGATCCCCCTTAAAAATACATGGCAGAAGAGAATTTTGTAAGCATTTTTGGCTGTTTGTCAGATGTACTTGTGGCATAAGAGACCTCCATGTAAAACTTATCGGTAGAGCTTTAGTTTTAACTAAGGTCAGCTAAGCAGAACGTCATTTTAAACTGATGTACGTACATACACCATTTATTCAGGAACTACTATTGTTCTGAAGCAGCCGATATCACATTTCTTGATCCCAGCTATAAGTACAGCGAACGCAAGCAGGTGCACATGCTATGTCTGGTATCAATAGGGTGATCGATCCCCTGGTATATAAATTGGCTATAGGTCCCAAACATCAGGAGATTGTGTGCCTGCTCGTCCCAACATTCATCATGGGATTACCCAGAGATTGATAGATCCGGAATGTGATGATGGCTCATTGTATAAAAATCATTGGTTGCTATGAAAAACCCACGATTTCTATGAAACCTAATAAATCATAATAAATTTGTGCGCACTCAACCTGTTAGAATCAGAACTGGTTCTAAGAAATAGTAAACACAGCAGCAGCACAATTTCAGAGTCTCTCCTATGTTATAAAGATGACAAATTTTCAATAGTCTAAATTTTATTTGCAAGAATTGGATTTAATTAAATATGATCTTCAAATCTTATTGAACGCAACAATATCCACACTTTGAACCTGCAAAAGTAGAGAGTATGAAAAAGGGAGAACATATGAAAAATGAGTGTCAAAAATCCACGCTTATACATTTTTTTATAGAATTACATGATAGGTTGCCTGCGTAACGTAATAAAAATCATACATTAAACGGTTTTTATGAAAAATATCAGGAATTAAAGCAAATTTACAGACAAAAATTTGGTTTTCAAATTGTATAGACAAACATTTTAAGACCAATATCACTTAATTTAAATACCAGTAATACATTCGGGCCTACTCATATACTTGAGTGAGATAATTGCTGAGAAGTTTTTTGTTTGATTGGTTTGCCAGAAAACATGATATATAATACTAAAATATAACTGTTCAAAATCCTAATTTTTGGTAAACGACTGTGTGATGACAATAACATCTTTTGAGGTTACCCAAGACTTCCACCACTCACCACCCTGCTCAAAATTGAATTTCGCAATAACAAACTCACATGGTCCTCATGACGAGTAATTTCCTCCTCAAGGAAGTCTGTTCCAACTTTATCATCTTCAACAATGCAATTGATTTGAAGTTTCTTGATTCCAAACGCAACCTGCGAAATAGTATATTGTGTATCATTATGATGTTTCAAATGAGCTGAACTAGGCTGCATTTACCGATATGTGCTTGCAACAAACAATGCATACAGTCTCAATATTGTTATGTCATCCAGATGGAAATTTACCAATCAAAAGAATACTTATAACAACTACTTTAGGCATATCGTAATGGCAATCATCAGTTGGTTACAGAGTACTGTTATATTCATATTATACAATATTGCTTTTATAGTTCCACAAACATTAAATTGAATCGTCGTTATAACTAATAAGGTAACACATCAATTGGGCCTCTACTTCAATGTATCTAGCTTGCAGGGAGCAATTCAACTACATAGCAAAAATCTTATACAACCTCTACTAATTTCGATGCTGCCCACTTCAATCCATCTGTTGAGATATTCCTCACAAGTCTCTCCACTTCCCCCATGTCTGTTTGATCATCCCACTGTTAATAATGAAGGTAAGCATTCCTAATTAAAAGGAGACCAATATCACAATCACAAAAGTAGAAACAAGCTCTACGTTCTTTTTATAATTTGTTGTATTTACACTTCTGCTGCAAACAAGGCTATGAATCAGTTGATCTCAAACTGTGGGCGCGTAGACAATTTTTTTCAATATTTACGTTCCATCCACGTATTTTCAACGTTTTTTTGCGCCAACGCGCCTTATCATCAGTTATTTATTTGTAGCTGATTGTTAGCTACAGTAGTTATTTTCGAGGTGGAGCACGAGACTTCACAAATTCCTAAAAGGGGACACATTTTCGAGGTGGAGCACAAGACTTGACAAATTCTAAAAAGGGGGCACGGCTTCAAAAGTTTGAGAACTGCTGCTCTAAATACAAGCCACACATGGGGTTGACCCTAACATCATTAGTCTTGGAAAGTGATCACACTTAAATTCCCTAGTTGCCAAAATATATAGGCCTGTATTGCTAGTAAAATGAGCAATACAAGATCTAAAATACTGCAACTTGATTGCACAAATGGTCCAGTGACATATAAACAAGTACAAAATACATTTATGTAACCTAAACATAAAAGCTATAAACACTCAACACTGTTCAATATAATCCATGATAATATATAACACCTAAAAAAGTATAATATTAATAAACCACCCAATAACACTAAATGTCAAGCAACATACAATTCATTATGCCAGACAACACATGGTCCTTCCAGTACGTTCTGGATGCTGGAGTAGGTGAAATTCTCATTAGAAAAACCTAAATAATAAGTGAAACTTACAGGTTTGACATCGAGTAGAATGCTAGACTTTGCTATCACAGCTGGCTTTTTAGATTTTTTTTCAGCATATTCCGCCAATCTTTTTTGTTTTATTTTTTCATATTCATCGTCTTCCTCAGAGTCAGATGCGAAGAAATCCATGTCGTCAACATCATCGTCAGATTCTGATTTTTGCTCAATTTCGGTTTTAGAAGGCTATACTTGCATTAAACAAACATAAAAGAAGGTAAATTGATGTTCAGCAATTTGCAATGGACCAACTCATACAATTAACAACCTGCACGGCAGTTTCTTTACTGCCAGACTCTAGTTTGCTCAGTCGTGCTTCCATCGCATTCATTCTCTCAACGAGGGTGTTCACCAACTTCCTCAAATCATCATTTTCACTTCGTATTGCATCGACTTTCCCAGAGTCATTGCCACTAACTCCCTAAAATATAGATTTATATGAAAGTTGGAATAAAGGGTCCTAGTTTTGATAAACAAATTTAATAAATATAAAAAAGTATCAGACATAACTACTATAATATGGTAATCTAAAAAAAACTGCAACATACAGTATCAGATCCCTGTAGTGTTTGATGTATTTTTTGTCTGGCTTGAGCAATTTGTTCTGCGACACCTGAACCACAAGCACCCTAGAATTTCATATAATTAAAAGTTAATTATTAGGTCTATAATGATGATACCACAGAATGAAAAGATTTTCAAATTTGCACAATTCATGCATAAATATTACAGTATTATGAGACAAGTAAATATTTGTAAAATCTGAATTACTTTGAAATAAATTATTTCATAAATTATTAACACGTAAGTCTGTAAGTGGCGACTTTTACAGGGTAATACAGTAATATTTTTATGACCTTGCATTACTGAGATGAGAACTCAGACAACAGGTCGAGGATGTTGGTTGGGGCTCAGGATGCTGGGTATGAGTAAATTTAGTAGGGTTCAGACAATTGTGTGATTATCAGAGCATGGTTGATCAGGGTGATTTATTAAAATTACTAGTAATGCTATTTTTTGCTTTGTTTTTCGAATTAAATCAGATATGGATGATGCTTTGACTAGGCTATCATTTATTCAAATAATAGACTAAATATTAAAATTATGCTTAATTCGCCTCAGATATTGAAAAAATAAATCAGGCTTAATTCACCAGAGAGATTTGACTTAAGAGCAGTACAGACTTGATAATTTTGAATGAGATTTAAAGTTAGGTTATAGGCTAACACAGTTTCATTTCGATTATTTTATCAAGTACATGAAAACGTCCATATTTCAAAAACAACTACAAAACCATAGTAAGCTACCACCACCGCTATTAAAATACTATCACCATCACCCGTTTGTCAGCTTTTGCTGCTGGTTTTACCCGTTGTTTCGCCATGTACACTTCATATTTGTATTCTTCTTCTTCAACCTTTGGTCGGTCAAACCAAACATCCGACAGCAAATGTGAAATGGGGACGGTTGAAGGCATTTTATAGACAATAAAATCAAATCTGATCCACGAAATTAAGAAAAGTTGAAGATGGAACAGAAACCAAAATCGTGGAAACTGACGAAAATCAGAAGGTGAAAGGTCATAAACACGTGAAATGAAGCATGTTACCGGATGTGCTCAGAGCACCATTACTGCAATATCCGGTGAACAAAACAACTGAAATTTCCAGTCTCTGTAACTCTATCCACCTATATATAATTTTATCTCGAGCTTATAGGTATATTTACTTCTCTAGTTTAGCGTTCCAGATACTTGAAATTGGAAGTATACACTATTTGGAAGGAACAGAATATTTTATGCTCTGCATAACCTACCCAAATTATGCAAAATTTCCTCATACTGAGGGTTATTTATCGTCGTATCATTTGTAATAGATGTTAGTGGAAGGTGTCACTTAAAAGAAATGCCCAGTGTGTTATATTCTCTCTTATACCATATTAGGACTCATTATAGAATATGAGTTTCATATTTATAAAATGAAAGGGGAATGCCAATAATACGACTCAACAATATTACGAATAATGCCCTCTCGTCCGGTTACCAGTCAATAGCCGGCTTGGGAGTAGTTTCCATAGGCGTAGCCTGTAAATGAGCGCCCATATAGCTTGGATAACTTCGACAGCAAATAAATCCGTGGCGAGATTCTTTAAGATGACGTTAGGTATCAATGGCTGCTCGTTCCTGAGCTTTTCGTGGCAAAAGGCGCGACTAAGCGTCGTATTATGCCATATTAAACCTTTCATTCGTTTCAGTCTCATAGACTTGATTGTACGGAAAGCGTACTTTTCAGAGGATACATTAGCCAATGTTCGACGATATTGAGTAAGGCGATTCTCTCGTACATAATGATCCCCCGTGGTATTCAAATCTGTGAGTCCATACAGAACAATCAGAAGTGCGACGACGAGAGTGTTCCCAACGCTTAAATCAACTTGATTGCAATTTCTTTAAAATCCACGTACTTGTGTTAAATACCCGATGGGTGTGGCGATATATATATATATATATAACTCTATTACGGTAGTTAAACGGACCTGCCATAATTGCAGTACTTAAGCGGACGTCGTTCCTGTGTCTGTATCATTGTTTTTAAATACGTACTTGGAGAGCGCGAGAGCCGTTGACAACTACAGAGAAAAAGAGTCAACACAATCCTCTCGATAACAGATATAAAATTTTTGTCCGCTTAATTCGTCCACTTAATTCAGACCACCAAATGTTTTAGCCTATTTCGGCACTAAGCCGGACCCCTCTTATATGTCGCCCTGGATGTCTACATAAATGATGCTGCTTTTATTTTATTACGCATTTTAAAGCGTATGACCTCGCTTTAATTTCCGATGGATGCGAACCATTTAGCATTATTTATCACAGAAAATAGCATTTTTTTTCAATGTTCAGTATTTTGTGCAAGGGAGAGGCACTGTGTTTGGTGTAGGAAATAATCTTCCATGTCAAAAAATACTCAAAATGCAACGTGAAGGTAGACAAATCGAAACAAATTGATTCAAACGTAATATATATTTGAAACTGAGAAATACACAGAGCATATCACAAATGTTCGCATATTCCAACCCTATGGTGTAACATATAGATTAAACAGATGCTATGTTGTGAGTGTCACAAACTTCATCTCAAATGTCCACCTATCCGGCCTTTTAAGTTATACAAATAATTGTAAATGGGAATTCTGGTATGTCATTAATGAAGACAAAAATCACACAAATTCGATTTCAAATGTTCATCTATTCGGTCACTCAAATGTGGCACGTAATTGAAAAATGAACACCAGCCCTATTGAGAAACATTACACGAAATATATCTCAAATGTCCACTTATCCGGCATTTAAGTGTGGCATATAACAATTAAAATAAAAATTCTGAAATCATATTGAGAAATATTACACAAAGTATATCTCAAATGTCCACCTATCCGGCCACCTAAGTGTGGCATACAAGAATTGAAATGAAAATTCTGAAATCATATTGAGAAACATTACACAAAGTATATCTCAAATGTTCACCTATCCGGCCACCTAAGTGTGGCATAAAACAATCACAATGAAAATTCTGAAATGATATTGAAGAACATTACACAAAATATATATCTCAAATGTCCGAATACCCGACTACCTAAGTGTAGCATACAACTATTGAAACCAATTCCTGAAATCATATTGAGAAATCTTACACAAAATATATCTCAAATGTCAACTTTAGTGTGTGAAATATAACTAAAATACGAAATTTCGAATACTAATAATATTTTGATGTTGTGGAAAATTGCTCAAAATTTATCTCAAATGTTCACCTATCCGATAACTTGAGAGTGACAAATATTATAAAACAAAATTTTGAAACCATATTGAGGAACAATACAGAAAATATATCGCAAATCGTCATCTACTCAGCTACGTAAGTGTGTCATGTAAATGCAAAATGATATTTTGGAATGACAATAATATTAGGAAGCATTCAAAAAAAATTTCAACCATCCGACCATTTCAGAAGGTATGTAATTAAAACACGAAATTCTCTAAAAAATATCGAGAACCATTACACACACATATCTCAAATGTTCAATTAAGTGACGTTTTCAGTGGGGCCTATAAATGCGAAATGAAATTTTGCCATGTCAACTAAAATGAGAAACATTACACCAATTATAACTCAAATGTCTAAGTATAGCAGTGATTATACAGTCAACTATACAAGCGATCAACATGAAATTATTCAACCCCGATATCAATTTAGAATCTTTGCACAATTTATTTAAAATTTTTGCACCAACTCGGAATACAAAAACATGATTGTTATTTTGAATTTATAATTAAATAGTAAAAATGTATGCCAAGTATGTATACGAATGTGGATATGCCCACTAGATTAAGTTGTTGAGGAGAGACAAAATTATGTGCTCACTGCCGGTTCATCTTTATGAATTATACAGAGATGTCTTAAAGCTTTACAATAAACTTCTCGCAAGATATACAAAGCCGTGCAATTATTTTTCTTTTCGTCGTTTCTTTTCTGGTTCACGTTTATTTAGAAGCTTTTTTTGGAATTGATTTACAGCCCTTTCTTTTCCGTATATATGATTTTCTTTTAAGTCACTTACATTGCTTATTGAAAGTGATTCTGAAGATGGTGCGGTATAGTCTGTTGACTAATCTGAAACTTTGGTCAAAAATACATGCATAAGTCACAAAACATCATCACAGTGTTCTAGTCCAATTCAGAATTACGGTACTCTTGATTGACCGAACAAACGAAGTGTTTGAAATGGGGAATTGCATTATTACTCAAATAAAACAGTGGGGGCTCCCGAAGTATGCGAACCAAGATGGCGGACATCGCAATGTAATATGTGTACTAGGTTAGGGTTAGGCCATAATTCTAGGTATAAATACTACGGGAGGCTCTTGGCTAGTCTTCGAACTGATAATAGGACTAAAATAAGGAAAACTGGAAAAAAATTATCGCCTAACCCTAACCTGTTACCCATGTTACGTTCCGATGTCCGCCATCTTGGTTCGCATACTTCGGGAGCACCAAACAGTGTTTTTAAACGGTGCACTACAATTATTCGTAGATAGCTGCGCTATTTGTGATGGGCTACAATTGATATTATGATTTGGTTTATTACCATTCATTGGTATCAATTTGAGATACCGTGTTTAATTAAAAACAAGCATAGCAAACTAATTTAATCACCTCCTGGCACAGCGTTCTCCGAATCACTACCCGCATTTCCGTCTGCCAAGTTCTGAAACGTAGGCCATCTCGTTGGAGAGTCACTTACATGTGAACAAAATATACAGCCCAGTAAATAACTAGATGAGGATGGTAAAATAACACAGGGATATGTGCCAAATCACAAAACAAAATTGCTAGCAATGCAATTCTTTAAAACTGTTTTCCGAAGATAAAATATTCTAATCTAATATGAAGCGGTGTATTAGATATTTTTATTTATACAAAGCTATACAAACCTATATAAAGTGGCGTCAACCACTCGCTTCTCGTATCTCCTTCTGTTTCGAGAAAAATTTGAATTCATTGAATTTTCACAATCTTCGTTTGTATTGTCATCTGGATTTAGAAATCCTTCTGAATTACACACTCTTACAAACGCAAACCCAGTCGTAGCAATATTTTGATGGTCAGATCAGAACTACGACCAGTAAAAGCATAACAGTATCAGTAGTCTTTTGATAATCAGGAATAAGTGAACAATCTCAAAAACAAAAATATATGCTAATGATTTGGTTTCTGCAGGACTAACTACTTATCCTTCTTCTATGCTTTTGTGTCGGCGGATCCGTATGCATAAGGATGCTGTAGCAAGAGTAAAGATAACTATCCTACAGTCCTAAGTGATTCAAGAGTCTTGCTGCACACTAACACAATTATATTTCTGTAACGTTTCGTCTGACCAAGATCAGACTCCTTCAGACATACATAGTAAATAAAATTGTGTTAGTGTGCAGCAAGACTCTTGAATCACTTATGAATATAATATAGTAGCCCTAATATTAAAAATCGTTATGACTAATCACCTTATCCGATGAGTGATGATTTCCAGCAGCATTCTTCGGTGACGTTGAAAACCTTGTTTCAAGTTATTATGACTCGACTTCAACTCACTGGGTAATTGATAACACCTGACACAAAAGACTTGGATCGCTTCTCCAAACACAACTGTTCTATTTTATCTAAATTTCTGCAATCCCGCACTCATGAAGATCCCGATCCCCTCACGGCGTCCAGGTTACTTGCGAACAAAACGGCAAACGTGGTAGGTAAAGTTCTCGGCAAACCCGACAGTTTTACTATTGCGACACAAAGCCTCTCTAGTACGGAGTTGTGAATTGAGGTCCTTTTCAGTTTATTGAGCTTATATTGCAAAAAACAGAACGAACGATCTTCATGTTCTGCCTGGTTATTGTATCAAAATTATCAATCCTACTCTCCAAAAATCGTAAAGACATATACCGAAAAATTAAAAGATTTTCGCGTAAACAAAATGTCCGCTTAGTGTACGAAAATAATACCCGTTGATTATAAACCAGCAGAACTACTGTCCCCTCAAAGTTGGCAAAAATATGCAGATATTTTAAAAATATTGAAAGAACATATTGTTTTTGATACTGTTTTATCAGAGAGAAAGAGATTTCAGCAAAAAATAGCAAAACGTTTTAATTATGGAACGTGGAATAATTAAGCGGACAGGAAAATGTCTACCCAATTTTTCCGTCGTAAGTAGACATACCGTGCTAAAAAAGCGACAGTTTTAAAGAATTGCATTGCTAGCAATTTTGTTTTGTGATTTGGCAAATATCCCTGTGTTATTTTACCATCCTCATCTAGTTATTTACTGGGCTGTATTTTTTGTTCACATGTAAGTGACTCTCCAACGAGATGGCCTACGTTTCAGAACTTAGCAGACGGAAATGCGGGTAGTGATTCGGAGAACGCTGTGCCAGGAGGTGATTAAATTAGTTTGCTATGCTTGTTTTTAATTAAATACGGTATCTCAAATTGATACCAATGAATGGTAATAAACCAAATCATAATATCAATTGTAGCCCATCACAAATAGCGCAGCTATCTACGAATAATTGTAGTGCACCGTTTAAAAACACTGTTTGGTGCTCCCGAAGTATGCGAACCAAGATGGCGGACATCGGAACGTAACATGGGTAACAGGTTAGGGTTAGGCGATAATTTTTTTTCCAGTTTTCCTTATTTTAGTCCTATTATCAGTTCGAAGACTAGCCAAGAGCCTCCCGCAGTATTTATACCTAAAATTATGGCCTAACCCTAACCTAGTACACATATTACATTCCGATGTCCGCCATCTTGGTTCGCATACTTCGGGAGCCCCCACTGTTTTATTTGAGTAATAATGCAATTCCCCATTTCAAACACTTCGTTTGTTCTGTCAATCAAGAGTACCGTAATTCTGAATTGGACTAGAACACTGTGATGATGTTTTGTGACTTATGCATGTATTTTTGACCAAAGTTTCAGATTAGTCAACAGACTATACCGCACCATCTTCAGAATCACTTTCAATAAGCAATGTAAGTGACTTAAAAGAAAATCATATATACGGAAAAGAAAAGGGCTGTAAATCAATTTCAAAAAAAGCTTCTAAATAAACGTGAACCAGAAAAGAAACGACGAAAAGAAAAATAAATGCACGGCTTTGTATATCTTGCGAGAAGTTCATTGTAAAGCTTTAAGACATCTCTGTATAATTCATAAAGATGAACCGGCAGTGAGCATATAATTTTGTCTCTCCTCAACAACTTAATCTAGTGGGCATATCCACATTCGTATACATACTTGGCATACATTTTTACTATTTAATTATAAATTCAAAATAACAATCATGTTTTTGTATTCCGAGTTGGTGCAAAAATTTTAAATAAATTGTGCAAAGATTCTAAATTGATATCGGGTTGAATAATCTCATGTTGATCGCTTGTATAGTTGACTGTATAATCACTGCTATACTTAGGCGCGCCTTGATAGGTAGACATTTGAGTTATAATTGGTGTAATGTTTCTCATTTTAGTTGACATGGCAAAATTTCATTTCGCATTTATAGGCCCCACTGAAAACGTCACTTAATTGAACATTTGAGATATGTTGTGTGTAATGCTTCTCGATATTTTTTTAGAGAATTTCGTGTTTTAATTACATACCTTCTGAAATGGTCGGATGGTTGAAATTTTTTTTGAATGCTTCCTAATATTATTGTCATTCCAAAATATCATTTTGCATTTACATGACACACTTACGTATCTGAGTAGATGACGATTTGCGATATATTTTCTGTATTGTTCCTCAATATGGTTTCAAAATTTTCATTTTAATGCTTTATGCCACACTTAGGTGGCCGGATAGGTGGACATTTGAGATATACTTTGTGTGATATTTCTCGATAGGATTTCAAAATTTTCCTTTTAATTCTTGTATGCCACGATAGGTGGACATTTGAGATATACTTTGTGTAATATTTCTCAATATGATTTCAGAGTTTTCATTTCAATTCTTGTATGCCACACTTAGGTGGCCGGATAGGTGGACATTTGAGATATACTTTGTGTAATATTTCTCAATATGATTTCAGAATTTTTATTTTAATTGGTATATGCCACACTTAAATGCCGGACAAGTGGACATTTGAGATATATTTTGTGTAATGTTTCTCAATAGGGCTGGTGTTCATTTTTAAATTACGTGCCACATTTGAGTGACCGAATAGATGAACATTTGAAATCGAATTTGTGTGATTTTTGTCTTCATTAATGACATACCAGAATTCCCATTTACAATTATTTGTATAAATTAAAAGGCCGGATAGGTGGACATTTGAAATAAAGTTTGTGATATTTTTTCAATATTATTGGCATTTCCGAGTTTCATTTTGCGGTTTCCTTCTGCGTATATATAATTTTCTTTTATTGTTTCTCAATAATATTAGCACTTTCATATTTTATTTTACTATTTTATACCACACTTCCTTTTTAAAATAATATTTCACACTTTAGCAATCAAATTGGTGATACATTTGAAATATATTTTGTGTATTGTTTCTCAATATGTATGGCATTTCGAAATTTTGTTTTTCAATTACATGTAACGCTAATAACTAGCCATATAGATATGCGGATTTTTGAGATATATTTTGCGCAAAGTTTATCAATATTATTTGAATGCAATAATTTTGACTTGGTATTGAAATCTTGACACTCACAACATAGCATCTGTTTAATCTATATGTTACACCATAGGGTTGGAATAGGCGAACATTTGTGATATGCTCTGTGTATTTCTCAGTTTCAAATATATATTACGTTTGAATCAATTTGTTTCGATTTGTCTACCTTCACGTTGCATTTTGAGTATTTTTTGACATGGAAGATTATTTCCTACACCAAACACAGTGCATCTCCCTTGCACAAAATACTGAACATTGAAAAAAAAATGCTATTTTTTGTGATAAATAATGCTAAATGGTTCGAATCCATCGGAAATGAAAGCGAGGTCATACGCTTTAAAATGCGTAATAAAATAAAAGCAACATCATTTATGTAGACATCCAGAGCGACATATAAGAGGGGTCCGGCTTAGTGCCGAAATAGGCTAAAACATTTGGTGGTCTGAATTAAGTGGACGAATTAAGCGGACAAAAATTTTATATCTGTTATCGAGAGGATTGTGTTGACTCTTTTTCTCCGTAGTTGTCAACGGCTCTCGCGCTCTCCAAGTACGTATTTAAAAACAATGATACGGACACAGGAACGACGTCCGCTTAAGTACTGCAATTATGGCAGGTCCGTTTAACTACCGTAATAGAGTTATATATATATATATATATATATACAATTTGCAATTGAAAACGTCGAAGTGAGATAAATTGAAATGAATAGTTTATTCAAAATATTCCATGATTTATTTGCCGCTTTCCGGGGCAATTTCGGCATGGTCGCTTCAAACTGACCAGTTCATTGATGGTGTGTAAATTTTTCAAAACCATGAATAAAATATTTTTGATATAAATAGTTCCAACGGATAGAATTCGATACTAGGACTCGCGGTTTGTCCACCTTTCGCGGTGCTAAAAATATATATATTATATATATATATAACAAAAGACTCTAGACTTGAATAGACGAACATATGAAAACAAGCGTAGGAAAATAATCTCTCAACGCGAATAAATTAAAACAATAAGAAGACGCACTTACAACTCTGTATACATTTTGTTTTATTACAAATCGGATAGAATTTCAATTGACACAATGATGGTGCGCAAAATAGTCTAGGAGCCGATTCATATTTCATCAATTGTTTGTTGTACATCGTCAATGTGTCACTGTTATAGGGCAACCCACCGATATGTTTCTAGGAGAAAAATAATGTATTACCGAAGAATGTCACGGCGACACTACAGAAGTGTAGCAATTAAACACGCCATGATATTAGACCAGGTAAAAAACAATACAAAAAAGTCGAAGTGAGCAATTACATTTTTGTTGGAAGCAATATTTTTGTAAAAATTGAAGAAAGCAAAATGCCGACAAAAAGTATGACACTATCGCAAAGAAAAAGAGCTCTCATCGGAAGTTCTAACTTTGCAAGAGCAATGTACAGAGAACAATATTCTTCAGGAATCCGAAAATTGATGTCAATCTCATATAAGGTTTGATAAATAGTAGACTTTTATATTTTTATTTATACGGGTCAGTGTAGGTGACACACAAAAATGGCGGATACTCGAATGGTATGTATGTTCAGCTTTGCTTATATGTTATATACCTCATGTGGAATTATAATCTTCTTCTATTAGAATGAACTGATAGCAACATTTAAGTGTATAGTTGGCGTCCTATTCAGCATATCATTAAATTAGAATGTTAAATGTAATTCCAATTTAAGTACATTGTAATTCACAATGTAATAGTTTGACTTTGACCAAAATAGAAAATCCGGAAACTCATACATATTGCAAACGATATTTTATAGTTATATTTATGTAGACAATAACCGCCTATTTATATACTTGTACAAAGTGATGACATAGTACCCTAAATTGCAACTAATTTATCACAATAGGAGGCTTTAAATACGTTAGAGCTCTATTCTTGTTTTCAGACGCCGTCGTCAGCGTTTTTTAAGGAAATAACAAACAGCGATCCTTCAGATTGGTTATTGCATCACAAGGAAGAAGGTCAAACCTTCGAACAATACTTTAAATCGTGTTTGACTGGGGTCAATTTTAATTCCGGTGGATGCGAATCATTAAAAGAAAAAGATTGTAAAACAACAATCAGCATATTACCTCTTGGACCATTTCCCTCCTGCAATGAAACAAAATGTGACAATTCTGAAACTTATGGGGAAAATAACCAATCAAAGACGAATTCAACATATCCTAATTACTTGCTTTTCTGGCTGAAATCGTATTGTGAAACGTTTTTTCACACTGCAAAGGTTTGGAAACCTAACCTAACTTGATACCTAATGCAAATATGCTAAATTTCAATGTGAGATTGACATAATTTTTCTATATCATGTGTGATTTATAAGTAACAATGCTACCGACAATACCTTGAGTTTCCCATTTTTTTTTCTCATTTAATTTTTTTTTATTATATATATCATAAGCCCATCACAATGCATGCCTTTCGTGCAGTTCAAATATTGATCACACTTTTTTTAAAATAAGATGGTAAGTATCCGGAATGTAGTACAAATAATTATACAATTTTAATTGTGCTAGTTATTGGAAGCTCTAAAATATATCGTCATAATTATCAAAAGCTAAAATATTATAAATATGCGTGTACTGTTTTTACAATTGATGTAAATGTAAATATAACGCAGTCAACTAGTAGTCGCAACGCCCTGCGTATCTGTGCACTTAAGCTATTTGCAGTTAACACCACCGTATATTATTAGGTGGAAATGTTGTCTCCGGTTACATTGAAGGAAGTGGCTTGTGATTATCGCGTCAATGAATTCACTGGACGATTTCAACTGAACGCTTCGCAGATATTAGATTACCTTCGACGCGTAAGTAATATATTCACCATCCTGGTAAAATTATTTAGGTTCTTTATTCTATCATTCTTGTTTTCTTAGACAAAAACTCCTTGTCAACAATGTCTCGTAGCTGTAACTATGATTGATCTATTTCCGAAGCCATCGTGGAATTTCGTGTTCGGACTTGCTTCCACGATCAGAGGATCTGTAGGCGGAGTTGGCATATTCAGCTTCTGCAGGTAATCTACTGCCTACTTATATATAAGTTTATCACAGAAAAAATCTTTTACACCGCTAAAAAATGTAAATGGGCCCAGACAATGAATTTTAAATTTAAATGAAATTCCAGGGATGTTCATGTGACTCGCATTGGATAAAAATATTGCCATTCAATATCAGTTAATTCGTCAGAAATGGGCTCGCAATTTTAGATTAATTCTTTACATTTAGCATGTTGGGCATACTGAAGTCGTGCTGATTTTCCATAGAACAATTGAAGAGCTGTAGTAGGATAAACATTTCATAGGCAATTTGACTCATGCACCAATAACGTGTAATTAGGAGATCACCATCCCCAAATATATAGCGCAAATACATGGGTATGCTACTACAAACTATATGAACATTTTCCCGGTAAAACATTGTTAAAATATGATGGAATTGATAACGAGGAATTGTACTTATTTAGATATAATAACGATTTCTATGAAACATGGTCACTGCGTGAAGACGTTGTTCGCAAGTATCCAGACGGGTCGCTTGATTACTCAGCTTTATCAAATGAGCAAATGGAAAAGCAATTCCCGCGAATAAATGGGATCTTATTACTCAGGGCGTGCAAGGTTGTACAGCAACTTTTTTTTTTAAACCCGGTTTGCTTTAATATCAGCCTGCTAGGAAAAATAATAACGGATTATTTTCGTATATATGCTATTTTATATAGATTAATATGTAAAATTCATTAAAGGGTGGGCATGAACTGATCTATAAGATCACGCATAGACTCATGAATGCAAACGGCTTTACTTGTCGGTCGTGACACCGTGAATCTTTGATTGCCCATCATTTGGCGATAGGTTTGGGTAAGGTGCTAGAGTTGGCTGTATATGAATTATGTTAGCGATATATATAAATGCATATCACATTATCAACCCCACTCACATTTGACACATAGGTCAATTCTGCTTACTCAACGAAGAAATGTTTTCAACCGCATAATAACAAACAGTTATTTTGAAACCCGTAACAAGTTTTCTGCGTCGGTGTTGTGGTCTAAGTGCCATAAGCATAAAATAGATATAAACCAATTAAACAATAGTAGGGGTACGTCAGAGAATGAGTGCCAAAATGCTGAGTCTTCACCTTTTATAATCGTCCTTTTTCTCAGGTCATGACACATGAAGTTTGTCACATGTTTGGGTTGAAGCATTGTATTTATATGCAATGTCTTATGAATGGAACAAATCATTTACAAGAATCAGATCGTCGACCTCCACAACTTTGTCCAGTTTGTCTTAGAAAATTACAGGTATAGCTCATACAATTGCAAGATTTTAAGACGAAAGTTGTATTTCAAGTATTACAAAAATTTAAAACAAATATCGCCCGAAACTTGGATCGTTTACCACCCGAGCATTTTGTCCTCATTGGTATGCATATTGTAGATCCTACTGAACCCATTGTTTGTGCCAGAGGGCTGCGGTAAATGTTCAGATATCAAATTGCGATTCTTTACAATATTGTAAGTGTTTGTCATTATGTTTAATATCGGGCTTCTACATTTTACTGCCTAGATTGCATTTGGGTAAAAAGAATCGTTTTTTTGCATATTTTATTATTTCTGAAACGTTTACAAGAGAAAAGAACTCTTCTGAAAATATGATACACAAATATAGGAATGTTTTAAATCTCTTTTTTTTTAATATTATTTCTTCAGGCTGCTCTGAACTTCGACGTTCTTGAAAGATACAAAGCATTACTAAAATGGACATCTTCAATATACCGGAAAGACGGTCGGTACTTGAAGTTTTACATAATTTCAGTTTTAAAGAATAAATAAATATAGATAGTGTGTCTATACATTACACAAGTATGTTTTATATTACGTCACATCAGTTCAGCAAATTTTATATATAATATATATGACAAAGTGTCATTTACTTTTCTACTACACACACACATACATATAGTTTTGTTTCAAGTCCAAGTTTGAGATTTTTCATTCCATTCGTGTACTTCTTTCTTGTTTCAACAGTATCAGATACATACGATAAAAAACAACCAACGCACCGGCCATCAAGTACAAAACGAAAGGAACGAGCGTCCGCCAGTCCAAAAAAGATTAAGAGAAAGGGAAGTGCGTCTTCGCAAAGGTAGGTTTGTCGCAGTTATTTCGGAGAACAAATAAATTTTTCAAACTATTTTTGTGAGTCATGTAATAAAAATAATCTGGGATTCGTGATCAGAAAACGTTTAACCCCAATGCTGTACTTAATAGCGCACAAGCAAATTTGTCATTCCGAAACGAGACATGTGTTCTTTTTTGTTCCAAGGCCCAATGTAAAATTCTCTACAGACAAGGAAGTATTTTTACAAATTCAGACAATAATCAGAGTTTAGAATTTGAAGTTTATTATCAATTTATTAGAATTTCTTAAAAGTAAAGTTTGGGGTACTCCCGTAGCATATGTACCAGGTTAGTAGTGTTTGGCAAAAATTTTATTCCGATTTTTTTTATTTTAGTTTTATTACGAGTTCGGGACTGTCTGTGTTAGTCAAGTGAATACACCCCGTGCCCCTAGTAATCAGTCCCTGTACACAATTTGACATAAAGTAGGCGAACAAAATTAGTTACCTCCATATTGGTACCCATACTTCTGGAGAGCCAAGTTTGGAACTATTTTATTTTGCAGATCATTCAAAGCTCCATCTCGAGCGATTACAAAACACAGAACGACAGATTGTGTGGACTCGGTGTCAGACATGGTGTCGCAGATCCCTTGCCCACCTCTAAAAGAGTTCGGGAATTACAAACTATGGTTACGTGAAGTGATCGAATTTATACTATCAAATGGAAAGCCAACCTTTCTCTCTTGTCACGAGGACGAGACGCCGCAAATTGTTGATTTAGTTTGATATTGATTGGCAATGTAAGCCACTAAAAGAATATAATCAGCAATGACAGTAGCAATATATATTACAAGTAATACTAATTGTGACTTATTCGCCAATACCGGAAGAAATGTCAATTATTCAATCTTTCTGCATTTTTGAATAATCCAGATTGATAAACATCCCCCTCTGTCTAGTGTTTGAGATCTCAGGTAAAAAATCTGTTTAGTCAAGTGATTGACCTAAGCTCACATCAAATTGCATGTAACAATTTGGATATATCAAAATGATATTTTTGGTAGTTGTCTTTGAGCTCAGTGTCTGCTCATACAAACCTCCTTTGAAGTAAAGTGGTGAACAAACACCATAAAAATGACTCCACCTCATCTATAATATGTTCATATGGAAGATATAGAAAGTATATATGTCTGATATTGTATTCATCAGACCTATATATCTTATTTATAATTCTGTGAAGAGTAGCTCTGATAATTCTGGTAATAATTCTCAGGTTTACACATTAATTTATTCAGGTGCCATTACATTTGAACCCACGACAATTGCATCTGCATACTATTGCAGCTATTGAATTTTTTTTGTTTCACGGATATTTGAACACATACTAACCCTAACCCATGGGTTTTAGCACCCGCATATATGTTGAACCCGTGGATATACACATGGGTTCAAATGTACGTGGGTTCAAATGTACGGTCATCATTTATTCATTTACTATGTTCCTTATTCTCAAAACAGCTGAGAAATCGCCCCTTTCGTCGTTTGTCTACTTTTTTCCCGCATAGTAGGAAATAAATGCAATTTTTCGTAGTCAATTTTATATGTATTTATTATTCAATGCTAGAAAATATATATTTATACTGAATATAACACAAATTAGAATTCCTACAATGATTTCACAGACGCTCTTCGGAACTCAGTTCGACTTATTTTTATGAAACTTCAGTTGATAAATTGGCTATAACGTTTCTTCGATAAAATCTGATGATTGATCTTTGCTCACTCCAACAGTCTCAGAAAGCAGTGAATTGAATAGTCACATCATCTATTAATATAAGTGAAGTTACTGTAATAATTAGAATTTTTGTGGAAATAATATAAAAACGGGAGATTACGCGCTCTTTTGTATATCATTAACCACGTGAGCAGCTCACGAATATGCTTATATATTTTGGAAGACGAAATGATTTCTAGAAAATCTATCTGTTTTTATTTTTTTTTTAATATGTTCACTGCGTTGGGTTCAAATTCAATTAGATGCCATAATTAGGGGTGAATCTTCATTAATTCAAATCAACGATATAATTCTTTATAGCATTACTAGGCAATCTAGTGGTCGCTCTTAACATAGCTGGAAGATCACCTTCTATTTGAGTACGCGTGACCTTGATTTGGGAAAATTTCCTTATGGAAAAAATAAATTTTATATTGCGTGACATTAAGTTTATACATCTTTAAATACTTAATTTGTGAATAAGAGTTTAAACAAAATTGGTTTCAGTTGTTCCATGCCAAAAGGTTGCCGTAAACATGATTGCATGTCGTTAGAAAGTTATAAGGAGTCATATGCAATAACCAATACGTTTACCTTGCAAAATCAGGGGACTGATTCTTGGTCACTCTTTCGTTTGGCACGTTATATTGAATTCCTGTAACGCAAAACAAAACGTGAAATACAAACAAATTGTAGGATCATTTGAAAACTTAGTTTAGAATATTTTCTCGGCAAAGTGGAATCTCGCTTGAGGGGATAAAGCATTGACTGAATTATTTCAAACACGCGTAACAAAAAGCAGTCGTCTTCACAGTGTGCCGTATTTGTCGCTTAGTCATGTAAACTAGACACAGTTCTTTTCAAATGTCGTCAATAATAATTTCCTTTTAATATGATGAGATTAGGATTCGTCGACAAACAAACCGCATCCGCGTGAATTTATATGGGATAAAGATAGTTATTATTTAATCACTCATTCAAGATGACACGACTAAAACCCAAATTTTCATTTCATCTGTTTTATACGTTGGATATGTTAGATTTGAAGATCGTTTCCAGCGTTTTACCAGTTCAATTCATAAGATTTATAAGTTGATGAGTAACATAAATTTTAAGAATTGAACTACGAAAACGATGATACAGTTGTGAATGACCAAGAATGTACTTAGTATGGAAACGTTTTTCAAGCAGCTTTTTCATTTCTTTTTTTATAGCTCATCGAGTGGATAAAGATTGTTCAGAAATTGTTTAATAATTATGTTTGAAGTCAGGTGATTAAAACTAAAAAGCAATCTAGGCTCTTAGAAGCATGAATCCGCATATTCGTAACTGGTCGAGTATTAGCCCGTGATGGAGAGGGCATATTGGACATTTAAATTACGTGAAATAAGGGTACGACTTACCTTTTCTCATGTCTGTTCCATCACTATTTACCTTACCATTACATTTCTTTTCTGATAGTTTTTTCTTTCGCTAGTGGAAAAAAAATATTCTGTAATGAAAAATTGAATACAAAAGTCAAATTTTGCTATTCAAATTGGAACGAAAAAGAATAATGTTATCCTGCACTCCACTAGATAAATGATTTTGATCAATCATTTATAATGTGGTACAGCGAAAGATTCTGGGCCTTCAGTCATGAAAAGTTACCCCATAGTACAAATAATAAATGTATATTATTCTATAGTAGACGAATAATGGAAAGCATAGAAATTCCTTAATTACTATTATTTAATAGTATTACCTATTTAATTGCCTATTCTATATTACCACAAATGTTTCATCACACTCACCTATTCGGGACGAAACGTTGTTTGTTTTGCCATCCAATGGTTGATATCATAAGCATTAGGTTACACGTATTAGTTTAAAATCACCATTCGTCTTACAGCTTCTTCGTTTATAATGCAATGACATTACTAAATAGCTCATAAAATATTTTATATCATTCTTTTTGACACTCTCCGATACTGTATTGCCTGCCTTTTTTCACAAAATGAAAAAATATGATAATATTGGCATATTAACAGTTTACACCTGTACAACATAACCAGATTATTACGCAGGCTTACGTTCCCATGTATCTATGTACAAATTAAAACGAATTTATCTTGTACATTTTATTGTAAAACAGACAGGAAAATGAATCACGAATAAGAGGCGGAAACACCGCAATTGAAACATGGGATGAGAATTAGGACGAACAATGATATCGAGAAGTGTTATAACATAAATGAATGCAATATTGGTATTTAATACAAAGTACAATTGTTGTTGATTTTTTTGTATGGCAGTGTTATTCAACCAAGCATAAAGTATACGTAAACGTAGCTATTAAAGGGTTTTTATTTTTTAAATTTTCAAGCATAAACAAACATAGTCGATTGAGATTATCCCGAGTAAATGGGAATTTTTAATAGTGTAAATATGAAAATAATTATATTGTGAAATGGAAGGCAAGATATTATCGTATGATACAACATATATTGACCGCGCAGGCCAAAATACAGCATAAAATCTTGGTCCATGCTAATTTTTACCAGCATTTGAACTACGTTTGAAATATTTTCAACATGTAGGTGATAGTGGTCCGCACTAAATTCTTCCAAGAGCCATCTTGCCAATGCGTGATATATTCTTATTATTGTTCTTCGTGAGTGAACTCTGTAAAATAAGGGACAGTCAATTAATTCGATGCCAGATTTGTATTATGCTATTCTAATCGCATAAGTATTCATAATACTTTGCATAATAGAAATAATACTTTGATTTAACTTTGTTGTTTGTATGTAAAGTAAACTGCAGAGTAACATAAATTGGATCGAAAAATACGCGGACTTCTTTTGCTTTACCGCATTACTATTGTTTGGCCCGCCTTTCACCAATGAGATCAATCCATTTTCTTTGTCAGAACAAATACGAAATACTCTTGTATACTATCGTGAGAAACCATGTGCAGGTAAGAATTTGACATTTCCAAATTTTGGAAATTTAATTGTTCAAGATGGCAATTCTCAACTAACAAATCTCTTTACGATATATATATATTTTTGAAATGTAAGTTAATTAAAGCATTTGTATGCTTAATTTTCCGGTAGATTCTCTTTCCTAATTTACGTCGCATTTTCTCTGCGTCGAAAGTTTTTCGTTTTTTGGAATGGATGAAACTTGAGGTCATAATCCAGGAGTTGGACAAGCTATGCTTTAACTGCCCGTTATAACTGTTGCAAATTTTCGGCATAAACCGATGTGATGTTTTCTCATTTTTACCAAATTCTAGCGGCAAAAAATAAACGCTGTTGTTATGTACCCATTAAGTATATATACATCCAATAAAGGGATTAGTTGAACGGAGAATTGGTAACATGAATTTGTCTGGTGATACCTGACTGTAGTAAGTGTTTTTGAAATGTTAATTGCCCTTCTGCGCGTGCTGCAACTCTGAAACAAAAGATCCCAACGAGAACGATTACACTATTAGAAAAAGAATATTTCCCACGCAATTCGCTTTCATAATAAATTACAGAAAGAAAGAAGATCGGTTTACTTGAAAATACTTACACAATATTTAGATATTTGCAAAAAAAAAATCATATCGCTGCAATACGGCACCGTATTCCTTTAATAACCGTAGCACGATAGTCACTTTTTCCTTATTTTCAAAATTGTTTCAATAAATTCAAAAAGTGGTTGTCATGGTTGGCCTACCACGATCAATTTGATCTTAATTCAAGTGTACTTATTACGACTAAAAATGTTTCCATCTGGCAACACTTATTCTAACGATCCGTTAACCCCATCCTCCCGAGCTGAGTAAAATCCTTGTGTAAAAAGTATATTGGATTTATGAGGTGGGTTCAGTGGTAGTTTATGTAGTAACTATAAAGTGATATAAAATAAATTTGACGTAGATAGTTTGATATATGATGTAAGTGCGACAGAGTGTTTGCGTTAACATCAATATACCATGAGAGCATTCCACGAATAGAGATGAAGATTCGCAAAGTATTTCCTATTTGCATATAATGTTCAAATGCCGCACACTGTCGCTTTCCTATATATATGCTATTTCAATTTTCATAAATAATCAACAACTAAATGCTGTGAGAAAGGGTAGCTTTGATTACATAAAAAAATTATGAATGCTCAAAAGTCAATTAGAGGTTGTTCAAATTGTATCCCGTTTTTACAATATAAATGAATATTCATTACTTTTCGAAATAAAAAAAAGTACTACAGTCAACAATAAATAAAAATAAATGAATTTGCTGCGACTAATTTCATCAACTGCAATTATATATTAACTTGGAATAAAGTTTCTAAGCTACATATCACATGTAACATTTCATATTTAGGGGACAAATAAGCGAAAGACAATTTTCCTGCGTTCTTGAGTAGCACTGAATGAATATTAAATTATCAAAAGCGAGTATATAAAATTGCGAACAAAACAAAAGCATATTGCCCGTAGCTTTGAAATATAGTAAACGATGAGCATTGTAATAAACATAGCTTGGGTTAAATTACAAGTTGCTATTCTATCTTGCACCGAATTTCACATTGAAGTCTGTCGCCAAGTCAGAGAGGCGATGAGTGTACTTGGAGATCATTCGAGAGCCTCCTGTACTCAACTCATGAAAAGAACTTCATTTAAATCCGTTAATTGTGGGCAGAATTGTCGACAGAAAGGCGCTTGTAAGTAAATATTGGTAACGGCACTGTAGCTTACGTTAAGAAAGTGTTTAGCATTTGTTGTTGTATGTATAACTCATACGTCAAGTAGGATGAAATGATAAGAAATGTGTTTGGGCACTAATTGTGGTCTATGATGTAATTTATAACTGCAAAAGCTAAACATGCCGGTACAATGTCCTATCATTGCAGCTGAACCTTTTATGATGATTGTCCGTACTGCTTGTTATGTATGGTAGATGTAATGATACGCATTCTATAATACTACTGCATAGTCGTATGAGAAATAGCAATTTTTTATAATTCATGAGGAGTTTGTTGTCCGAGAAGCTCTCAAAAAGCGGACACGTATGTGCCGTTTGAAAAATGGATGGTACGAAGTTAGGGTTAAAGCGTTTTAACCAGGCTATCTTTTAGTTAGGACACTGTAGTAATATTTTTCCGCGAAAACCGTACGTGAAAACAGTTGATTTGATGCACAGTGGTTGCAGCCTGATTGATTTCGATATTTTCAAAGTTAAAATAGGTATAAAACATTGGGCAAATGGTTCGAGCTAAAATTGAATGTCCGTGGCAAAATTGGTAATTAAACACACTAATCCTGTTTGATAGACCTCGTATGAGTATTCATATCAATAGTCTTTGGTTTTCATTAGAATAAACTTTATTTGAGTACGTGTATGAAGCTGTAATATCACTATCGGCCCGCGTTGGGTATGTGGAATGGGAAATGATTATTTAAAACGAAACATCACAAGAGAGTGTGGTTACTTTTACGGAGAAGATCTACCAAGTAATTTCCAAAGAGTGATTTTGTATTGCAGGAAGACAAATATATTTAATTAGACTCTTACAAGATGCAGGACATGAGATGTAACTGAGTTCATGATTCATAAGTGCTAGTGTTCGTTTGAAATTATATTGAAAAATGAGTTACTAATTTTCCTAATTCAAACTTCATCTTTTAGCCTATATGTATATAATTATGTAAATCATGTGTGTGAATGTGGAGTCGGCCCTCGAAACCACAAGAAAATATATACGCGGTGAACCACAGCACCTCGTGCCAAATTCTAACAATAGAAAAGCAATGCGACAACGGCAGCTGGGTCTCCTAAGAAATGCGTATTCTGCTGATCTTGTCAGCCGAGAAGTAAGAGCGGCAAGAAGAAAAGCAATAACTGAAAACAAGGCATCTGTAGCACCCCGTAGTGCTTTGTATAGAAGAGGTACGTGTTGAAGTTGCAAGGTTTCCAGTCACGCACTTTTCTCGTGTTATGGCGCGATTATGTTTTATTTATGTAAAATCCACTGTGATGTATAATATTAATTTGGAGCTTATTTGATATATTCCATACGATTCTGAATAGATGGAAAATATTATAAATAATTTGATATATTTCAAATTTGTCCACTATGGAAATGTTGGTTATGTCCAGTGGTGGGATTCAGCCGGTTCGCACCGGTTCTATAGAACGGTCTCGCGGAATTTTATGAGATCAGCGAACCGGTTAGCATTACTAAAAAAAACATATAACAGAACCGGCCGAAAAATATGACTTCTGTGATGGAACCGGCTGACAAAAAATAAGAATTCCACCACTGGTTATGTCATAAATGCTTTGTTTTGTATGGGTCTGATTTTTTATTCTCCTTGTCAAAAACATGTTTGTTGCCATTTAAACATACTGTATAATATGTTTGTATCATGCCTATAAGTCTTCACTTCATATCAATAACATAAAGCGGACATATATGTTCTCTGTCACTGAAAAAGAGATGTTCACATAACTTCATAACAGCTTGTGTTGTACAAGAAGAAAAAATTTCTTTGTAATATTGACTGATAGTCGTCTTTTTCACCGAGTATATAATTAACACTTATATATTGTAATAAATAAATACGCTCTCTCGGGGTTATTATGGTCTTATACAAATAATTTTTTTATTGCCTGTCATTTTTTCACACTGTGGAAATTTCATTGGAAAAGCAAACCCCCTTTTTTATACCAATAACTAATTCAATGTCAAAATATTTTGCGTTAACTATCATGGGTTAATATGTAATTCAAGAAAACTTCTATGCGCGAAGCCCTAATTTCGCCATATACGTACATTGCGATACAAATCAGCTGTTCGCCAATGATATTTGCGCATTGAGGCTTCCAATAAGTAAAAAGTATCTGTCAGTTAAACTTCAGAGTTGACACCTGTTTTCATGTACACAGAAAACAGGTATCCACTAGATAAACGAGGACCAAGCGTATTGTCTCGAGAGAAATTTAAAATGTTGCAACAAATTCGAAATGACAACGCGGCAAATACAACAAATATAATTAAACAGGTAATAAATAAAATTCAATAATCTTGCAGGCAAATGTGCTCACAGAGTGAGGAATGTTCATATTATAATAATAATAATACTCGCTGATCCCGTTGCTATACGGGAATTGACGGGATTGAAATGTTATAATTTGCTTCTAGGAATATCGAAAAAGTCTTTCACTTGTTTGATGGTAAAGATTCAATTGGAATCGGTGTTCCAAACAAACTGAAAACACTCAGTATCACATTGAATGCTGTTACCTTTGATCATTCAACATTATTTTATAATGTATTAAATGTTACTATGTCAGGGAGATACTCGAGCTTCATCTGCGCCAGCTCAGGGAAACACGCAGCAAGTTGGTCATACGCAAACTCAAAAAGAGCAAAAGACTGACTCGACCAACCACCCTGAATCAACTAAAGTCAACATACCTAGTGCATCTGGAACTATACCTTCAAATAATAACCATAAAGAAATAATGAAAGAAATTCGCGAAAGATCGAAGTACTTACCAGCATTGATGAGCGAATTCAAACGCATTCATCTCAACTTTGGACTGAATTTCAATCAATCTGTCGATTCTCAAGAACAAACTCGTATACCAGGAACAAATCAGATGGATCAAAACACTGCTGGACAACTCGCGAATGTAACATGTGCGACTATACTGTCTGCCATAAAGTCGGCAAGAGAGAAGGGTCAAGTAAAAAGAGGTGAATAATGAATAAATATTTTGCGGATGAAGTAGTTGGAATTTCCACCAAAGTTTCGTGTCCTAATAACGTCTCATAGTCAAACATATAAGTATACATCTAAGTATTTTAATGTGTACTCTTCATAAAATAAAAGATATAAAAAAAACAAAAGAACAACGCTTAGGTATATGAAGAAAAAGGTACTCCCGTAGTGTGTGTACCGGGTTAGGGTTAGGCCATAATTTTATTCCGATTTTCCTTATTTTAGTTCTATTACGAGTTCGGAAACTGTCTGTCTTAATCAAGTCAATATACAGCACTTATGTAGTATGTGCAACAAGATGGCGGACACCGGAACGTAGTATGTGTATCAGGTTAGGGGTAGACCCTTATTTCAGGTACAAATACTAAGTGAGTCACTTGGCTAGTACCCGAACTCGTAATAAAACTAAATTAAGGAAAATTGGAATAAAATTATGGCCTAACCACAACCTGATAAACATACTATGTTCAGGTGTTCACCATCTTGGTGCACATATTGCGGGAGCGCCGAATATACCCATAGTCAGTCCTTTTACACAACTGGATACAAAGTAGTCGAACAAAGTTTACCTCCATATTGCTACACACGCTTCTGGACCGGCCAAAAAGACAACGTTAAATATGCTTGAACTCGTAAGCTCACATTGAGTGAATTGTACCAAATGGCATATGAAAGAGTTCCCCTAACAATAAAAACCTGCAACATTTTGTGTCCAATAAGAAATAGAAATTTTCATATTCTATTATTACGATAATGGAAAACGACCAATGTTCTCGTAGGTAAGAGGTAGCCATCCACTTTCATTTTTTCAATCTTTTTACATATATGCGTACAATAGTATCAAACAATTTCAATTCGACTTTTTAGCTGCTTCTGCGCAAAAAGTAAATAATCCTACTTTTGCTGATCACAAGCTCCCTAAGAAGCCAAATAGTAGCATACCGGCGTTCAGAAACATCAGCAGACACACTACAACCTCAACAGGAACAAAAGTGGGTCCTGGAGCCGTGGCGGTTTATAATCACATACCTGCTCCCCCATCTAAAGACTACAGAGTACATTGGAACCGGAGACCTTCGACGGATAGCGTTTTAATTCGGTGTATAAAAAACAATGACTCCAGTAGTGAAAATGTCAATGAGCGCATACAGAGTAGATGTAGAAGCAAAACTGTGCCAGCATGGAGAGGTAGAGTAAGATGCATAGGTACCATAAAACGAGACGGGGATTCTGTCAGTTTAACTAGTCCTTGTGAAAACCCAGACAAATATTTGTTATGTTCCCAAATAAATTTAACCCGTTCCAAACTCGCTTCTGCACATCGTTCTACTCCTGTAACGGGTACGACGCAGGCACTTGTTAAATTGTCCAAAGATGCGAAAAATAACATTGATAAATTGTCGTCGATTAATGGCTACGAACTTACACGACCGGATGGTACAATCGTTAAAGAATCAAGACCCTCTCGAAAAGGCCGAAAATTACGCCGAAGCGTCAGGTTTAGCGACGAAAAAGACAAAATATTTGAATATAGATGTGAAGATCCCGTCGGACCTAAAAATACCAACTGTGTTGACGCGGTCATAAATTGTAAGAATACAATGGAACTTCGGGGACTTCTGGATACAACTTTTAATAGTTAAATATAACAAAATGTCTAATCAATCAAAACGAGCCGTCATTATTAATCATATTTACTGCCGCTAGTTGCCACGTCGGAGCAATAAACTCTTTGAGAATCAATTTAGTTTTGCGCAACCGCAAGGTGACAATCGCGAGCAAGATATTAGGGGCATAAATTTTCCCGCCAAAATTCAGAAATGGGCAGAATAATTAATGTGTACACGGCTAGCTTTAGAAAGAATGGTGATTCTCTAAAGTAAACCCATAAGATTAAAATATTTTATTTTACTTTTTGCGGTAATATTTTTCGAGTAATTATAAGTTAATAATAATATAGACATAAATATTTATTCTTTCATATATAATCGTGAACTTATTTTGATGATGATATCATTTTCTTTGTTGATCCTGGCCACAAGCTCGTATTAGTGGTTTGTTTCATGAATGTATCTTATTCTGCTTAATTAATATACAAAATATTAATGACATTTACTATTTTCATGAATGTGACGTTAGGATTGCACGAGTTTATTATTATCTTTGTAAAAAATTATTCACTTTTGTGCTTTATAAAAGTAATATTTATATCAAGAATAATTTTGATAGTAAACTATTACATTATATAATTTTATTCAGCATATGGTATTTATGAATGGTCCACGTCTTGGATTAAGTTCTGTTCTCGTATTGATCACGCCTAAATAAAACTTGATGGATAGTAATTTTCAATATATTACCATTCAAAAATGAATCAATTTCGATGTAATTTAATAGCGTAACAGTGACCCTAATTTTGCAAAGTCGTCTTATGATGACTATCGTAAAAACTAATAATGAATCTAAAGATAACCTATACCCCCACTGGATAGGCAATACCGAAGCGTTTAGATTCTAGTTGCCTACACCTAATTGATCTCTGACTATGAAGTATTTTCATAACAACCTTTACACCAGCGGTTCCCAAAGGATGTGCCGCGAAAACTAACAAAATTGTGTTAAACATAACTAAAATATGATTGAATTGTATTTCACATATTGTATTTATTATAAATGTTTCATTGTGTTAATGTTGTGTAAATGAATTCTTTTCTGCTTATTTTCTGTTACGTGATGTCTACCTCTATTGTTACGTAACAATAGAGGTAGACACTACCAACGCCTTTATATACTACTTGCCGCAATTTCGCGAGCTGCAGTTTATTTATCTGTTGAACCGAGTTTAGCAAACAGTGTGTGATTTTTCAGCATTTCAAAGGAAAAGCAGGCGGAGATGAGAAAGAAGCGTTAACCTTTTGCCTTTATTCCTTAGGCCTAGGCCTACATGTTCACAAACAAAGGTATAAAGTACACATTAACGATCACAAAATTGAGTTTTATTAAAAAGCAGCATTTTTTCTTCTAAGTGCGCGGTGAGTTTTTTTTTCTAATAATTCAACGACGCACGAACACAGATTTTTGGAACCGCTTTTGGGAACCGCTGCTTTACACAGATTTTTGCTTGAAAGTCTTTACAAAAAACCTTGCACTTGATTGGTAATAGAGATCTTGTGTAGCTGACATAAAAAGCAAACACCTCGTTCACGGGAAATCCTTATGCATATCCGGAGGATGTCATTTAAATGGCGATTGAGAACACATATTCAGCCCTATTTCGACTAGTCTAGAGCCCCTTCGGAAAAGTCGTGAAAACGCGACATTTAAAAAAATTGCCACGCTGTTACAACTAAACAACGACAACTGATCAGTATTTATGATAAGCGTGTGCAAATGTCTGGCGTCAAAATAATTTCCAATATAATTAAATTGTTAAGGACAATTATCGAAATTGTTGACATCATAATCTTGTATAAAATAGACTTCGAAACTAAAATTACATTGCCACGATTTTCGATATCCTTTCAACTTAGCCTACTTATTCGTAATTCTGAACGTTTTATGGCAAAGTTGCGTTTGTCTCGTGCCTGGGGCAAACATTAGGTCTATTCTACATATTGAGGTGGAGGGTTGAACGATGCAAATACCTATAAATTTAAAAGATAACCAACCGCAGTTGTACCAATACGACGAATATGCAAATAGCAATATGCTTGGGTAAGTAAAGTTTATATAAGGAATCGAAGATAAAATCTTGCTTACTGGAAAAATATTTACCTCGAAACCGCTTATGTCAAAGTAAATTGTACTGAGGACATATATTAAATACCCTCATTGTCTGCCAACGTATTTTTATGCTTATTGGACATGAAGGATCGTTTTGTTGCTGTTTTGAAGTAATTGTTGTTGTTGAAGAGAAATCGCTTTTCTCCGTAACTAATGGACCAACCACTACAATATTTTCAGTATTCAAAAACGGTTGAATCCGCGATAAGGCCGCTCTTATTAAAATTCCCCCTGAGTCCGATAGTTGTGGATAGTCCTATAAATATTGTTTGTTTTATTTTAGTTTATGCGCGAACAGGTTATTCTGTAATGCTAGACCTCCTCAGTCACACAGATTTTTCAGCAAGCTCGGTTCTCAGCTAAGATTACCGTACCGGTACCGATTAGCAACCATGCGATCAACTGCAGTCAGCGTATACTCCATAATATCAGACAATAAAAGTGTTTATTTGCTGTGTGTCAACATATTCTTCTTTCTCAGTTTTTACAACATGTTACTTGCGTGCATCGATAACAATATCTTTCAAAATAAGCTCCTGTATTCATATCAATATAGCCGTTGACAACCGTTGAACGTTTGACCCAGACAATGGTGATATATTACGTCATAGTTAAGTGTTATTTAGATTGGATTATTACTGTAAATAAAAACAGTAAGTTCAGTGTAATAATGTAATGTAGGAAATTGTACTGTAATGTATTGGTGTACTTTTTTAAACGAACCGTGAAATTACATCTACATTTCATATTTTAATATGAGCTTGTTTTTGTCCCAAGCGATATAGGGACAAAATATGCTAGCAGTTTCTTATATTACCTCTGAATCAAATTTTGAAGTAAAATCCCAATAAAAATAATGCTACAAATCATCATACACGGCATACAGTGTTTTCATAGCATTGCACGATTACGGTATTATCCCATTAACATAGTTATACTTGCAAAATGCAGCTACCGATGATGGCTCGTGCTTGAACCATGTCATTTTGCTATAGATATCAGTTGACCTTATTTTCGGACTGATTTGTGTGTTTAACTTATATCAGATACAGAACCCTTTTCGCTACCGATTTTGCGCTTTTACAACTCCAGTCAGACGCGATTTAATTTAATTACATTTGTCCTGAATGACCTTGAACAAACGGTGCCGTATGAAGGTCACGACGTCTCTCATTGATAGATACGGCCTGTTAACAATGAATAAAGTGCTTTTCAAAAAGAGAAATAAGATATAAATCTCTTTTTCGTCTACGAAAGGAGTTTATTTCGACTATAGTTCTTTTTACACCAGCAATGCTATCCCACGGGGGCTTCCAACGACTATTTTTACATTTCGACGTTCATATTTATATATATACCCATAAACAAGGCCACGGTGATTGATTTCAACGCCATTATAATATTATTTTTGTCGCACAAAACAGTAGACACAACATGAGCAATTGAACAACATCTGTTAAAATCCTGACAAGTGTTTTCAAGATAATCTTTCAACTCGAAAGGCTCGAGTACACATGGTCCCAAAGAGTGTCATTCTACTAAACGAAAATCCCCCGAAGTAAGGAGAACCAATGGCGAATACAATATTCCAATTGAACTGGAACGAAAAAAATAATGATGAAGGTGTTTTCCTGAAGTGTTTGTCTTGCACGTTTATTCTTTTTGTTCCTATAACTAATTTTGTACACGCATCAAACGTTTGTACGAGTATTATAACAAACCGTTCCTAAAAATTCAATCAGCTGAACCAATCTTTTTATATCAATGAGGAATCGGTACTTACCGGTGCCCGTAAAAATTTAAATTCGGGAACCACGGTCGATCAACTTTACATCCGCAGTAGCAGGATTATTCATACTGATTCAGTAACGAGTTTTAATCGAGTTAACGGCTTCAAATTGCCAGCAAAATATCGAACATTTTCTTATTTTTAAGTTTCACCCAGAAAAAGTACCTGAAAATGAATAATCCTAATATATTCAAGATAGCTGCAATGTAATCAAACAGAGAAACTTGGGCCGATTAAACAACGGATATTATTTGGTAGGTACCTAGACTAACCAAATCTTGAGTGTGGATCGTCTTATCACACTTCAGTGGCGAACACACTTAATTAACTTTGGCCGAAGTTCGCTCGATGGCTTATGCAGGGGTGCACGACTCAAATGAAGTTATGTGTCAAAGTTATCAAAATATTCATGTCGTGTGCCACGCCACGTTCGAGTTGGCATTGTGAATGAATGCAGAATTATATTGCCGAAATGTCCGGTACAAGATGGGCATAACTTGAAAACCATTATGAAGAATTGTTGATATTTTTGCTTGTGACTCGGCGAATATAAATTGCAATTTTAATAATGTAATTGTGCAAAAACTGGTGCAAACAGACAGACTGGTGACTAGAATTCGATCACTCTTGGCTTATATTAAAATTGGGACGCATAATTTTAAAATACCTATCGAAACCGGTTGGATGCCAATGATGGCATGCGTGTTGTCCTATCAACGACTAATCCTCAATTTCTTTTGTCTCAAGGCACACAACAGCATCTTTCGGACATACGACTAAAATATTTTAGGGGTCCGTGACAAAAAAAGTTCAAAAACCACTGCACTAAACAAATACTTTTGATTACTTTAGAATCACTGGTCAAATACTTTACCGCCTTTACAATAATTTCCCCCGTAATATGTTGTATCAAAATAAAAAACTTTATTCCTTCCCTGCATTTGGAAATGAAATTTTGACCTATATTTTGCCTAATTTTAATGTGATAAACTCCAACAGGTGAAATAACTAAAGCAATTTCACACCTGTTAACTTTTTGTTTGCGGAAGATGTGGTCTGATCATTATCTTCAGACCGTTGCCTTCGAGAGCGACATCACACCTGGTCTGGGCAATTTCGTATCCCATATCGTTCCTACACCGACCGAAAATGTTCACTTTATTCAAAGCCGATTATGCGCAATTGATGAAGTGTGCTCCAATGGGTCGATTTGTGGTCGTCTAAGCGCGTAGAAAAATTGAAATATAGATAAATATGAATAAAAATGTCGTGACGGAAGAGGCCCAAGCAGCCGTAATCAAACCCTTCGGTCGTTCTGACGTCGAATTACAGTTTGTAAATAAAGTTTTCCACATAAATTTGTTGAAAGCAAAATTCAAAATTTGGGACGTCCTGTAATTCTCATAACGGTAAACAAAAATATCTATAATCTCTTTCGTAAAATACAATCCAGATTAAAAATTTATCAAACATGCGATTGTACGAGATTATTGAAATTAAATCTCATTTAATTTGATCGACATACGTCATCAATTTGGAATTGCAAAAAGTTATTCTATCGAACGTAAATAATTCTGCGAATTTCAATAATACACCATATTTGTGAGAAAGCAGCCGATTTTGTTCGTTTCTCTGAAGTTCAAATACTTTGATTAAATAGAAAAACGTTTTATTTTACCGAACATATTGAATTGTCACGTTTGCTGTTTCGTGGTGGAGTTGGAATTTCGAAAATAAAATCGATGTGTGTAGTGTATTTGATGCTTCATGTAAAAATGTCGATGAAAGCATGCAATAAATGGTCAATCTCATTTTTGTAAGCTTCGGTATATCTGTGTCGGCATCAGAAAAATTATGTTGATATATCTCTAGTGTAAACTACACATTTGGCCTCTTAGATTACTTCAAGAACTCTTTTTTGAGGTGTAATGTGAATCTGATTGTCGTATCAGGTATTTTATGTATCTATTGTGTTATTTTTATTTTGCTCTTGTTTATTTGTTTGTGTTATTTTTATATGGACCGCAGCGGCCTGGAGTAATAAACGAAATGAATTGAATACATGGCACCACACTCTGGCCATTTTCAATAGTTAGTTCCGTAAACAAATTTATGCTTCACTCTTGAACTAAGCTGGTGTATAGAATTAATTAGTAACTGAATTAAAAAAACTCGTTTTATGGTATTCAAATAAATACGTCTTCAAATTGCTCAATCTTCGGACATCGACTTGTCAATCTTAGCAAAACGAATTTTATGTCAGGACAAAATTGTTTATTGCTTGTAATCAGATATAATCATATTCTATTAGTTCCGGATCTCAATATCATGGGAACGAATTAAACTAGTAGATTCCCAGAACGTCTGATTTATGGAAAAGATTGATGAGACGAAAAGATTATTATCAATCAAATATTTTGACATTATATTTAATTAGGTATATGCCGTATTTGAAATATTACAATTTTTAGCGCAGAATAGTTTTTGTTTAGGGGCTTATCGTCTGAAATAGTCCGTGAACAATATACCTCCGATAATGTAATGATTGAGTAAAGATGATTCAAATTCATTGTTTAGGCAAAATCGAAACGTTATTGTTTTGTTGGTCTCAAGATGAAATTAGTGAAAAGGCCGTTTTTGCCTTGAGTCACAAGTTATGCAGGCGCGGTCGACAAGAGGATTCAAATATTAGATATAAAATTGAATAACAAATGATTCGAAGTAGTCTATGCAAAATTATCAAATTACGAATAACGCATATCTTAAAATCGTTCCTAGATGGATAGAGAAATTCAAACAGTGTGATATACATATATATTTGCATCAATTCTGAAATTAAAATATATTCGATTTTGGTCAAATACAGCTCTGATAAGAGTATTCGAACTGCAGCGATCGATTGCTATTTTGTCCATTCGCTGTGCTTTCCTAGAAATGGTATTTTCTGATATTGATTACGGAAGAAACCTCTATCATCGATCGTTTCATAACCCGTGAAATACAAACCAAATATGTTTTCAACTTGAATTTTTTTTGTTTTTAACACATTTTATTGAAACGATATAATTATACATGGGATAAGATGGGCTCACTCAACCTTGGTTAGGCATCGGCAGGCAGGCTTGTGGATTGATTAGGAGCTTATATTGGTTTTGACTACCATTGCTTCAAACAGGGCCCTATACTAGAAACGGGCCATTTTCACTTATAGTGTTTGGTAACCTATACTGTTACTTTTGATAACTTTAATATAAGTTGGATATATATATATACTAATTATGATGATGAAATTGTTATACTCCAATGAACTACAGATATGCGGAAATATTATTCCATTTGTTGCACAAATGTAAAACGTTGCCAACATTCGTTATTTCAGGCTTAAAATAGTCCTATACTATGACCAACACTCTGATAGGACCTGTACTTTTCCCAACTCCAATACTAATAAGGTAGAGGGAGATTTAGTATTAGTCTTTGTTATCAATCAGAAAGTAATATTTGGTTTCACTTAAGACGCCAATCGTGGAATTTTGAGGAAAATATATATTTCGCCATTTACACTAATATGAGGTAACTTCAAATGGGAAGTACTTTCGGCGTGTTAGATGTGATTTTTCTAATTTTTATTACTTCGCCGTCCAACAGTTAACCAATGGCGAACATTTAAAAAAAAGGTTACATTTGAATTACCGTAACGGTTGATCCGCCATTAAAATCAAAACGTCGAAAACAGATTCGTTGCAATAAAATAGACTTGCTTGTCAATAAAATACAAATATCACCACGTGCACCAGACGAGTATCGACAAAACGAGCCTTCAACTCGAGGTTTAAATCGTCAGTTCCATACAGAGATGGTAATAAATCAATTGGATTCAGGAACGACCCGACGATTAAACGCCGTTAAATCTGCTTTGAAGGGAACGTTCGCCGGGATGGTCGTTCGTCGGCGACACAAAGGCGAGCTTATTAGTGTTTTATATATCACGCCCATACGTGAGTTAATTAGCGATTGAAATTCTGTTATGAGGTCGTAATGCAGAATTTACGATTCATTTAACAATTAGAAAAGCCGTTACATCGCATTAAAAATTGAATGAGAACCTGCCTATCCATATTGTGCATGACTAATAGGAAACATCGCAATATTTTAACTAATTAACAAAAATTAATGAAGCGTAAAACGCCAAATGTTCAAATACAATATGTTGAAGGAAATAATGAATACGACAATTCATAGCCACGTTTAAAAATTACAATAGAACAAAGTGCTACATTTGTAGACCACGGGGCCAATGCGCGATATACACTTGTTCCAAAATTGGAAACCTTCTGATATTTTTTATGTAATTCTGACACGACACATCCACCCGATATGGAGATATGGGTACTGGAATTTTACTACTTTTTTCCAGAATTGTATCTTTTATTGTAAAATTTCAACTGGGCTACATGAATGAATGTTTTCAACTAAACGCTCAAATGACACGTTCTAAATATTATTATTTTTTTATTATACACATATTTTTTCATTAACAAATATTGTGCGACGAAGAATGATTTATATCCTTTTTTAAACGACGCTCATGCACGCCACTTGCTCCCAAGTCGGCCGCTGATATCTAACGATAACTAAAAAGCTACTTTTATTTGAGGGACCGGTTCGCATTGCTTGTCAAATTTATTACACTCTGAGTGAGTGAGGTCGGAGACATGAGATTTGAATCGAGATGTGTAAACTGCGATGTCAAGTCTCACGATTTAACCGCCTCGTGTGGTTTGAGATCAAGTTAAAAGGCGGGCGGCTTTTGATGATGAATATTCAAACAGGACATTTAGATATAATGCGTATCGTTGTCCACGCCACGCACTTCGACGGCGAATAGGGTAATCGGAATTGAAGTAAACAGATCAGAAAATTAGTGCTGGAGTAACAATAACATGATAAAACATAATCTTCCTCACTCTTGAACTACCCACGATTTTTATATCTTCATAACGACTGAATATGGCAAAAATATATTTTTAATCTCAACTCCGCCACAATCTATGGCAAATTTATCTACACTTGTTATTTACGGAGAAACGAGAGCGTCTGTTATGATCTCATCACGTCAACTTTTCCCGCCAAATTTTCCCTTTTCGGTCATTTTGTCCTGGTCGATTAAAACAAACAGCACCGCGACATATGTTTGATCGCGTCTAGACCATATTTTGCGGGATTTTACTTTTGTGATAATTTTATTATTTATTATATTATGTATCTTCAAAACTTTTACTAATATTCATGTGTAATTCCCCTTCATTTTTAATACAGTTTTTGGGGCGGAGGTGTGCAATATTGAGGTGAAGGTCTATCTGCTAATATCACTTACACAATGCAATGGTGAGCAGTGGTATAATATTCAGGCAATAAATGTTTATATATATAATATTTTATGCTATCAATAAGAATTCAAGTTTACCGAGTGATTTTGACAACATTATATCATTGTATCACGCATCAAAATTACATCAAGTAGTCGATGGATCGAAATGTTTATACACGAAACACCTGACCACCTTCGTGATAAATGCCTGAGTGAACGAAAAAAGTATGTCTTTGAAAAGAAATTGTGTAACTGTGGTATTGTAGATACTTAACGATTTTTTCGCGAAGTATATATTCCAACTTCAACAGGAAATGTGAGTCTGGAATGACGGCATCATCGACCCCCGCTTGGAGTCTGGATGATGTTTTGGGGTCAAGAGTATGTCAAGAATATAACACAGTAAACCCAACTCACACGATGAAATATGAGCAGAATAAAGAAAAGTAATAGGAAATGTAAACATTGGAAACTCTGCTTTGCTAATCTTGTGAAATTCAATTAATATCCTGTGCGCTTGTATCCCTTTCCGCAAAAAATCCCAAACAAAAATGAGCTCTGACATTGTCTCATTTTTAAATTCGATAGTGGAAAATAAAGATTGATATTTTGTATATGCACAATGCACAGAAAAACTTGATGACTATTCACGTCAGTTGAACTTATATGATTAAAACTTGGCCATGTAGGATTCCAAAGTCTAGAACTTATTTGAACAAGTTCAGGTCGTCAGTCCAGCTCCACACCCACCAAAAATTGCCCATTGTGTAATCAATCGTGTGTAGACTATACCAAATCGAAAGATATCGCTGTTTCGACCATTTTGGTATTTCAGAACTGCCTACGGAAGCGTGCTTTGTTAGTGTACGCTCGCCGACTCGATTCATTATGGAAATATAATATGGACTTTAGACATGAGTCATTCCAAAATTGTATTATTTGCTAACCAAGCGGCAATACATTTCTGCAAATCAGCATTACAAGTCCTTTACAGCCTTTGGCTCAAGCATGAACAATTATGTAACCATTTATGACTGATACTCGTATGTTTAAAATGAGATTTCCTCGACTACGAAAGGAGTATTTTTTATCCAAAATCTGTTTTGCAACTCGACAAAATGTTGACAAAGCTAAGCATTACGCTCGCCTCGAGTTATTTGGCGCCATCTTAATAAAACATACATTTTTCTTAATAATTTAGCGCCATTTCTCCACATTCAGCATTTTCTGACGTCGTGTTTTTTACGGTTCAACTCCCACCTCCCTTTCTTAATCAGTTATCCACAAGTTTTGGAAATACCAAACCGCGCCTGCCACTTGTCCACTCCCACTTGAGAACGTCAAAAACAACAATTTCTTTTATCAATTGGCCGAGACGATAGAACTCCACAAAAATCAAGGTAAATTTTGACCTTGTAGATTTAAGGATTCTTTGTCAGGCGTTTGGATATTTTGCTGTTTTACATGAACCGTGCTAACTTAAAATTGGTTGACTGCTGATCTCAGGAAGTTTTTGCCGCCATGGTTTGCAGTATTTGCCTGACTTCTATTTTGTTGGTCTATGTTGCGAAACTGTAACGCAAATTGAAAAGGAGGGCATTTTGTCGCCGCTATAGTCATGATCTTATGAAAAAAAAAGAATGAAAAATTATGAAATCAGTTTTCATTAGGAAGCATCGGATTATTATTCCTGGATAAATAAATTCATAAAAGCGCAATAATAATACAGTATGAGCATTACACCTGAAAAGCTTTGAATTTTTCGATATAGTTCAAGAACAATACTTAAATTGTATAATCAGAAATTACCAGATCTGTCACGAATACTAGTATACACGATTGTATATTTTTAAATCTTAATCAAGTGTCAATCCAGCCGCATCAAATCGAATCTCCAATGACGTCAAACGATACCCATGACCCCCTCCCTAGTCAATTATCATGAACACGACTTTTATAGCAATACAGTCAATATTTTGCTTTTTGTTGCAAAATTGTCAAAGATTGGATGTGGTGTTCCCTGATATATTTTGAAACGATAATAACAAAACATCATATTGTTAATCCACTAAAACTGGGGTACGACATACACAAATCTTAATATCAAACAGGGACCGTACAATTAAATAAGCAAATATCGCGCCTATTTTTTTTTATCAAGAGCTTTTAATTTCACAAAGATACCATTTCAAATTGAAGTCAATTTATAAGGATTGCATTATTCAATAAAAATGGAGAATATTTTGTACCACAGGCGACAACTGGGGACTTTAATTCTGACAAAATACAATATCTGATCTATACTATTAGTTTCTTAATATTACTACTCCATTAAAACCCACAATCGTACCCATAAAAGTCGCATCAATTTGATTTTAGCTTCTAAACAGCGATTTATGACCCTGTCTGAATAGGAATATTATGTTCTTAGAATCGAAAGTAAACAATAACCACTTTACTATACGACATGGTTGATAGCAAAGCCAACATTAAAAACATTCGTTCAAAGCTCTGCCTGGGTGGTCGCCAACTGGTCTGATGATTTATTGCTCGATTCCTATAGTTGTTTCATAAATGGGCAAAAAATCAAAATCTTAACAAAAATCAATGAATCTATGCTTTGACGGTGGGTTTAGTTAACATGTAACACAAGCAACATTCTCACTATACGAGAATATCAGATGATAGAAAAGGTCAACAATTGTTCCATTTATTATCTGAAGTGATTTCAAATAAATCAATATATACATTCCCAATTCTCATCTATAGAAAGTGAAATGAAGTTAGTTTTAAATTCAAAACAAACGCTAATCACTAAATGAACAAATCAATGAAATAGGTTGAATGAAATTATTGGCGTAAAATGTTAATTTCAATGAAAACTTGGCACACATAAATATTTGACTCCAATGTAGATATATTTAGACAAGCACTTAGTAGCATAAATATAAAGTGATCCATATAGACACCGACCATCTCATACAAAATCAACTTATAACTTGCTTCATCAAGCTTTAATTTTGATCAGGATTAGCAGTTTAAGGTTTGAATAAAAAACAAGCAAACTAACTTTATAACCTTCATTTTTCTAATTGGATCAGTTATTTTTTTACAAAAAAATAGTTACAAGTCATTAGACATATCTAATAATTATAGATGACTGTTTTAATTTTTGTGATTCATTAAGAAATCCATATGTATAATTTTCCTGGTTTTGGGGTTTCTTTGGGGTCGAATATGTCAAGACAAAATATGTTTTCAATATCCTAGGTTATATATTCAAGATGACTGTATTTTCAATTTGCCATTGCGCATTGAAAACGTGACATACATAATGCTTCAAAATGTAAAGATCGATCGAATTGGAGAAATCGATTATTATTTGCGAGGCAAAATTTTAGATATTAAATATAATATTAAATAATATTATTCGGATTATTCCTAAAAATTCAGGAAAGAAACGACTTCTTTCACTGGCAGTATCAATAGTAAAATATCATTGCAGATGCTTCAGCGTAATACATATCGTTGCCTCGTGCGAATGAACTTCGTATTAGCCGAAACAATATTCGGAAAAGAACTTATTTATCCATGACAAATATTTTCAATCCATATATGTGCAAGTTTTCAATAGTAATGGATTCAATTTAAGTTAGTAATGGGAGTAGCAGCCGTGTAAAAATGTTATATTATCTGTACCGATATTTTATACACAATATGTTAGAGGTTGAGAATATAATACGGTGTTGCAATAGATATTTTCCATCAATATATGTGATTCGAAACGAATACTTCGACATGGGCTAAACCCTAAAGTATTATTGAACGAATGTGCATGACAATATGCGGTGTTATGCACAAGTCACTTGACCGCGAATCGAATCGAAGCTGTCTCGATTCAACTCCGAAATGAATAAATACGAGTGGCATGACAATACTTCTATCTGGCGTTAAACCAATGCCATTCCTAAAGCCAAACCTAGATTCGATCATGTATTGGCTGCATTAAAGTCGAATCAAAACGTTTACGTTTATTTATTGGTGTGACAAGCTAGTAAATTTTCAATTGTTTTCCATAGATTATCAAAATACGTGGTCAATTGCATAGAAAACATGAATCACATCGAGTCTCCGGAGAAGGTGACTAGAGTCGAGTCTCCTCAGTCTTCTCTCATGAAAATCATTTCACCCGAATGACATGATGACCTAGAAAACTGGTCTTTATTTGCACGTGGTCAAAGTACTTTATTACTGTAGCACAACCACGCGGTGTTCAGTTGTTGTTTTTATTTTGTCAAAATAAACAGATTTGTCAATTATTCAGCGAATTGCAAATTAATAATTGAAGTAAAGCATTTCCGTGTATATATAAATTATGTTTATTTTGACACGTGGATTTAAGTCCCTGCAGAGTACTACGCGTAGTTGATACGTGGAAATAATAATCCGATCAAGGCAATTGTATTTTGGCACTTGCTTGTTTAGAAAGGGGAAAGTGGACTAAGCGGATAATATCTTGATCCCCAAATCAATGATGGTGCCGCCTAGTCTCGAAATTATTTACGGCAATGTCGTTCTCTTTCGCAAATTCACGTCCTTGGCAAAATAGCGTTTCTATTTTGAAGGTCACAATTCTAAACTATTTGTTCAATTATAAACGGCCAAGTGTGGTGCATTTATAAATAACACGATATTACGCATACCTAGAAAAGTTGTGCTAATAGTCCCCTACTATTGACATTTCTTTTTATTGTGCAATAATAGAGTTATTACGCCAATAGCCCGGCGTTGAAAGTGATACTTTCGCCCACAGTATCGTATTAAATATTCCATGTTTAGGGCATATAAAAACATGTTCTTTTCACTATATAATATCATCAAAGTCTTTGTGGAAGCGGTTATGATGAACAGAAGCAAATAACTTATTTACAAAATGGACACATAGTTTTTTGCAACATTAGTTTTCACAGATGCAATTACATGACATTTTAAGCGCCCAAGATTGGTATAATTTGAAACTTTAGTTTTCATGATTCGAATTGCCTTCCCATTTGTATATAACAATGTAGCTTAAGTTTTCATTTATTATACAACATTTACTAAAGCGCCATCAGAATTAACCGCTTGTGCACGCCTCATTGTTGGCCATTTGATGTGCGAGCAAGTAGATTTTGACTGCTTGGAACTGTTCAACTAGAAAAGCAATCAAAGCTCCTTATTTTCGAATCGGTATCGCTCGTCATGAGAGTCAGTCATGTCAAGCAGACGACAAAAATACTATTCACGGGGTCAAGTGAAGCGTGCTAGAGCCGAATATCGAGTGGTATCGTCTCAAAACAAAAACAAACAATGAGAAAGAATATTATGTTAGTCAATTTATTGCCAAGAAAGCCAAACATCTTTGTCGGGGCGAGTCAACATTGAGAGTTATTATAGCAATTATTCAAGACGTTACACACTTACACTGAATTAATAGTTTAAGCCAGCGAGATACCTGGAAATTGCTTTAAAGTTGCCATAAACTTCGAGGGGCCGGTTTCATAAGTCGACCTATCAAATTTCGGCTGTTTTTGGAAAACCTATGCCCTTAACTTTGGCGTTTTACATACTGTGCAGCGACATAACAACTAGAATTTTTTATCAAACTGCTGCACACATTTTAAAACACTTCACAGTTATTGGGAAAATCATTATAAAAACGAACGGAAGGGATCAACATAAGTAAGATATCGTACAAAATAGTCTATTGGAAAGAAAGATATTACGTATATTGCCCAATAACCTAATTGGTGATACTTGCTTATTTCGGGTTCACAGATAAATGGTCCAACTGGGGGCTACGGGCTCACGATAAAGAATAATAAAAATACTGATTGGCTGAGTAATTTTAACATGTATTTAAATGACAGTTAGTATATCACTCCATCCAATTTCTAATTAGGGCCATAAAACGTAACTGATTTGTATTTTTCTGAAATAAGCCACAACAAAATATTTTAGGGCTTGGCATTTTGACCCGTTCCGATGCAAAAATGTACTTCGGCCATAAGAAGGTAAATATCTGGAAAACAATAAATCATGACCTAGGCTGATTTCCTGATTGAATTTATAAAGTAGAAGCAATAGCAAGTCAAAAGTGCATATTGCGGCGAATTAACACAATGGTGAAGAGAAAGATTGATGTATATGTCAGAATAGCTCCCGTTCATGAACCTAATGCTTACATATAAACAGGTTTTGAGTAGTTAAATTACAAATAGATTAGAATAAATATTATAAGTGGATAAATATTATGAACACCACACCTTACAATCACCACATTTGGATGGAGTGGACGGTCGATCTATTTACACGTAGATGCAGATGAATTGCACTATTTTTAACAGCGTATATCCGGTGTTAGAAAATTGAATATAGTAATTGAGTATAGTTGACCGTGGATTCATTTTTGGGCATTTCTCCTAATTTATCGACCGTCGTTCGTAACGTGATACTTATCACCTGTTCACGTTGCCTCTCGCCCTCCACGAATCTTTTGTGCAAATGTGTCCTACTTCCCTCTTTAGTAAACAGGTAATCTGAAGAGCAAACTATTGAAATATAAGGTCATCTTGTACAACTAAAAGCATGTTCCACAATCAGGTGTTTCTTTATTTGTGAGAACAAAAGATACCACGAATCACAACTTGAAATTAGGTCAAGAAACACAAATTTGAAGACAATTGTCTTTTGCCACAAAGATGGTTCAAGTTAGGTGGGTTATGAACTAACTTCGTGTATTATAAGTTACCGTTAAATAAAAATGACATTTTATCATCCAATTTTGTTTGGAGTTGAGCATTTTCAGTGTTAAATAAAGTAACTGTAGTAAGCATTAATGACTTATACTCAATTGCTGGGTATGCTGTACAGACCAGTAATATGCAAATGCCTAAATGGATTAAACTATTCTATCCTTGTGCGGGTAAACTCATTACATCATTCTTTTTGAACCTTGATGCCTAAAGATAATTTTACAAACTATACAAATGGCTGAAGTAAACCTAGGTAGGTCAAAAACTATTTCCAGGAAACGAGAATTACTAGGATGTTTGTCACAATAGTATATAGTTCCACTAGCTGGATTAAATGTATCTCCCAGGTTGATTGGGTAGTTTTGTACATAGCTACTGTATTCGATACCGTGAATTTGCGATAAGTTAGGGAGTAAAAAGTAACGTTGTCATACTCGATAGACTGCTGGACGAAAATAGATGGGTTTATCATACCAACAAGCATATCCAATTTATGTCAACACTTCAATCTGTCAACTAGAAGCAAATTATGGATAACAAATGACACTTGCAATGTAGTTCATAATATGTTATGTTGAATGTTTAAACAAAGCGCTAAATCAAATTGAGATTTGAAGAGGCGTTATTGGCATCAAACTTTCCACTTAACGGCACGCGTTATCCATGTAACTACAATTTGATGATGATATGCCCTGATAAAAATATATTTATCGTTATTTAAATATATCATAATCTCATATAATATAGTATTAAAACTGAAAAAAAAAGTACTAATTGGCATTCTATTTCATGATATTAGCTTTGCTGGATTGATTGAAATGACATACCGTATACACAACATTGTGTGAGAATACTACCACCGAGTGGCTTTTCCAAAATACTTGGCATTGGAAAAGGTTTTTGTTAATCCAAGTGGACAATTCCTCACACAATTTGGACCACAAAGATTTCTCCAGTCACTCCAAACTTAAATGACATCTCACCTACAGACGAACGGTTCAGAGTTTCAAAGGTGCAAAAATAGCGTAAACTTGCAATAATCTTTGGGATAGGGAGGGTTGGATCAATTCCTACTCGTGATTTTTATGCACCCGTTAAAAACTTGTTTTTTTTCTCTCCAACAGAATTCATATTCGCAGGCATTCCGTGAAGCAGCCTTCAAAGTTCGACGCCAATCGAATCGGTATCAAGCACACCATGACTCACTGAAGAACAAATAACATACGCAATTTCTATTTTGGGACCAGTGATTGTTTAGACATAATAACACTTACTAACGATATTGGAGTGTGTGTTGCGACATTGACTTGGAAAGAAAATGATTATGAATCCCGCCCACACGGGTCCTCGAGTGAAGACTCCACTTTTAAAAGTGTCGCTTTTGACGTCTGTGGCTCAACAACTCTCGGGACATGTCTAAACCTGTCCTGAATAGTATATCAAAAAAACAGGTTTGACAAGATTTCAACAGTATGTCTTCATGTACTGAGTGCTTTTTAGGAAAGTGACAATATCTGTTTGTTGCGAAGACACATAGGCACACAAGGGAAACAAAGTGGAATCAATTTTTCGGGCATCTCGGACAACTTTCAGTAAGTGCAGGCAATGTAGCCCAGATAAGTTACCTTTTAAAACTTACATTTTCGTACATGATACAGCACTCATTTTGAAATAATTTCCTAAAGCTGCAGAAAACAGTATGAACTCAATTTTTTTTTTTATACATATATATATCCCAATGTATAACTCTGAATGTCTTTCTGTACATAAACTAAAAGATTAAGATTAATGGCCTGACCAAACCCTGGGACACTTCAGAACATACTTCAATACGGTGGTCGGGGGAGTATTTGCTTGATATTGATCAAAATTTCTAGAAATGATTGACGCATCCGTGAATTTACTTTTCAATTTACCATACATGATAGGTACTTCAATTTAGAACAAATTGGTATTGTACAAAAAGCGTAACTAATGATTTCGAGGCCAATGCAACCCAGAACAAATCAATTTCTATTTATTCACACAAATTTCGCCATTTTTCTTAAGATAATCATGATATTAATTGATTCTAAATATTGTTTTATTTTACCTAAATATTTTTACGATGAGCATAGACATAACGGAATTTTAATGTATTGCGCTATTGTATACATTTGAATCCAATGCAAAGTCATAACCACTGAATATGCAACTGAATTATGCATAAAAAACAGAGTGCACAATCTGTAGAATTGAGTGCAAAGTAACACGTCATAAGTAAATGAATAACATCGCACCTTGCCAGGTACTGTTGAATCCAGCACCCAATGTCATATTGCACGGATGCTACTGATCATGGTGTGTAATATCAGTCCAATTTTGAATTTTTTTTTCTTGTGAATAACCGTGTTCCCCGGGGAAATAAGACCTAGCCTAAAAATAAAACGATGTCTGAATTTTCAAGATGATTTTACTATAAGCCCTCCCCCCTAAAATAAGACCTAGTTGATAGCGCAAATTTTATATTTGACCTAGTCCATAGCAAGAAATCTCTTCTACACGTTTAAACGATTAATCTAAAACGTTTGAGAGATGAAAAGGTTCAATTACCTGAGGTAACGTGAGAACCACGCCACGGATCATATTTTGTATATTTGAAAATTCGTAATTCTCAACTTTGTAATTTTGTTTTTGATAATACAAATAAAAGACACCCCTCAAAATAAACCCTAGTGTTATTTTTCGAAAGAAAACTGAAACAGTAACCTGCCTTATTTTCGGGGAAACACGGCAGGAGTTTACCATAGTTGCGATAATTTGCAACTCACACTTATCGTGCAAGCGATACCGAGTAAAATATACAGCAGCTTTTTGAATCGCGCTCTTGAGATACGATGGTGTAATTTTACCCAAGCATTCAAGTGAAACGAAAACACAACATGCGCTACGAGAGACTCTGACGTCACTTAATTTTCCCGCCAATTGAGTTTAAATTTAGCTCGAGAGACGGGCGAGATAGAACATGCCCAGACTTGTCGCCAAGCGGTACGCTATTACAGCGGCAAAGACTGTATCGTATTATTAAAATCACGGCGATCACATCCACAAGTTCTAAACAAGAACGGCAATAGTGTCGTTGTTCAAGTACAGGCCCCTACTCACCGTTGTTGTTTTGAACCTCGCCTCAGTCCTTGTGTACAAACTATTACTATACGATTGCTAACATATTGGATTTTCCTGTCGAAATAACAACTTTTCTCGGAATTCAGAAAGACATAGAGGTTACAATATTCAATGAGCACGATATTTAATACGCACAGCATAAAAAGAAAATATATCATAGAAAGTAGCATTTGTAAAAATAGTAATGCTGTAATAATTTTTTTTCAGACAAATATTTGAAAGATTTAAAAAGTAATATTATCAGTCATCAGTGGTAACCTTCATTTTTGAATTTTAATTATTAATTTATGAAAGAGTATTTCTTAGGAAATAGAAGAACATATATATCTTACTTTACAAACTTATTCTGAATTTTATTTATCTTGTAAGTAAATAGTTCTACTGTAAAATTACAGAGTGAAGCTTTTGATCCTTTGAGAAACGAAAGACAAAAAATCCATTAAAAATTTATAATGGTCGATATGATTAGCATACATATTAATGAGAAAGATTTAAATTTCAAAAAAAACAGTTATGATTGGTTGAGACAGTTGGCGGGAAAATTCAAATTTTGAAAAAAAACACATTAGCTGGCAGGATCAATAACACAAAAAATACGACGGGCAGCGTGTAATCAGCTTATTGGCAGTTGCTCTCTTTATTTCTTCGGCAGCATGGAATCTGGCTTGAAATTACTTCATAAGTTTATGATATGTTCATTCACATTTAAACGTCTCTATTTGAAATAAGAATATGTATTTCAATATCGCAGCAGCTTGAAAACAAAATGGCGATTTCCGCCAATTTTGCACGGTGAAACAGGTCGCTGATCGGACCGTGTCTGTTGAACGTCGAAAAAGTACACAACACAGTGCTGGTCTTTGAACGTGATCTTTGGTGAATCGAAGTCAGTCTCCGGTTTCCAAGAATTGGCATTTTACTCACAGCGAATAGGTATCTAAAAGAAATAAAATATCTGATAAGATATGGTAATCATATAAGGTATCGTGTGCTATCCAACACAGATTATTCAACTGAATTGGCACCCACAAGGAAAATATTCTGCGCAGCTGTGGGCAATCAACCTCTAGCTGTGGGCAATCAATCTCGAAAATATAGCTATAATAGTGTGGGCAGAATAAACTTAAGTGTGTACATAAAATAAACTCTTATGGATATTCCGGGTTCCCCTTTCCCTCGATATAAACGTGGATCAAATACAAATTAGTCAATCAAAATATATGATGACTTAAGTGAACACAACTTGGGAAGATATAAAATTAACAAGTTCGACAAAGTGAGACCGATAAAACGGTTTTTAGAACAGCTGTGGCTCACGACGGTTACAAGTGAAACGAAGTACTTTGTTTGTTGGAAGACGAAAATCGAAAGCTCGATTTCACGGACCATGTGTTGATCATTAAAGATATCACATTTCGGCTTGAATTCCCGCGTTGATTCGAGCGATGCCTTTAGCGTGGCAGCCGTGGCGTGCCTACGGCGTGGCTAAGTCGATTCCCGATGGAGCGCAATAAACTCGGACACAAAATGATGTAAACAGCTGCAAATTTATGGAACTTGAAAAAAAAAACATTGTGGAAGCCATAAACGAGAAGGAATGAGGTCATTCGTATCGGAATACTACGAGTTGTTTGTTTTCTCTTGAAGGACCAGAAGCCGTTGATCGAATGGTTGAATATGTCAATAAATCGTAACCAATTAACTTTCAAGTTTTGTGCAATTAAATTCCCTAATCGTTTCAATATCCAACGAAGGAAAAGTCATCCATCATTTCACTGACCTCGAAGTTGGTAATAAACAAGTAGAGAAATCCGAAACTCAAATAAATACGGGTCATTAACTATTGACTCTTGTTGACAAGTGAATAGCCTTGATGTGAAATAGAATTGCCGCATTTAGCAGTGTTATAATTTTAGTTGTGTAGGTGCTGATATAGCGATTTGAAACGAGTTGAGTCACGTGATACACGTCATCATCTGTCATTTAAATGAGTCACGGGTTAGGTTGGCAGTAGCAAAACTCGTTGTGGTCGATGAGCAAAGCAAACTCATTCATTGTGGGTCTATTGGTCGTTTTACGGCCATTCTATTCAACGATCCCCGTCACCTGCTTCGTGTTTGTCTAATTTTTCAACGAACGGTTATCAACCGTCCCGAAGAATCACAATGCGTAAGCACAATAAAGCTCTAACGTACGTCCAGGTCGAGTACCGTTCTATTTGTCTTACGATTTTAAATCCCAACGTCGGTTTGAGACTAACGTACGTTTCTCGATATTCACAGCGCAATGAATGATTTTCCGGATGTAAGGTGCCGGCAACGGTGAAGAACAAAAGACGCCTCGGTGCCAAAACCCGAAATACATCTGTTTTCCCCACGTTTCCCAACATATCAGATGACGGGGTAACAAAGACTTTAAATACCAGGAAATCATGAGAAAATTCGGTTGATATATCAAAATCAGAATTTTACATATTTTTGCTTCGTTTTAAATAGAATATCATAATAATTTGAAAATTTTATCATTTACGGTATAAAATTCAAGTTATCGCGATATACTGGGTATATTAGAGGCAGCGTAGACCATTTTTATTGTGCTATATTAAATTTCACAACGTGTTTTACGAAACAATACCACAATCAAAACATTATAGTACGCACGTGGAATTCAACTGACTACAAATACAAATTACGGGTGGCGCCTACAAGTCCTTTTAAAATACAAAGCTTGTCTTTATCACAGTTGAGAATCTGTTTCAATTTTGATTTTGTCCTTAATATTTGTGATGTATTCGAATTGTCATATAACAACGAATTCAACTAGCTGATGAATTTTAAATTTATTTCCTACAAATTCCTTTGGAGAAAGATAGGATTGATGTCAACATTTTTTCGATGATGGCGGTTGGCGCATACCATCTGCCATTTAAAGCCTATTTCTACGCGCGGACCTAAATGGCTATCACGATATAGCCTCTGTAATTGATTTAGCATTGTAATGTATGGGTCAGATTAATCCCAATTTAGTCCACCCAATTGAACCATTCGTATATGAGAGAATCGAAAAATGTTTTAAAACAGCAAGTGGGCAGAAATACTTAACGGATTATGTTTTAGTAACGAATGAAATCGAGTCTCCGTAGTTGTCGAATCCCGTAATTAAATTTCAGTGACATATGGCCAACGATTGCCATATGTGCAATTGAACAGTCCTAATGAATAAATCGATATGTTTTCGCTTTGGTGACGCGAAATGTGTAAAAACGGCACTCCAATACTGCGCACGTACCATAATCCAACAAAATGGAGAGAAAAAGTAGTCTATACATTAACGCTCTTTGTTACTATGCGAAAGTACCTTTGGGTAATTTTAAATGGGTACATTATTGGCGGTACGGATTTTGCAGAGAATAATCAGAAGAAAACACCTGGGCTGAATTTTGGTCAAACTGCTAAATTTATACCTTAAAAAGTTCGCCAAAAAATAAGATAAAATTTTCGTCGGAAATTTTCACACCTGTCTGCTGCAATTAAAGCTTATGTTTGCGCAAGGCTGCTTATTAAGGCTGCGATAAGTGCGTCAATAGCATTCACCATAAAACCCGTGCCTGGTTTTTAACAACCGAAATCCTGCAATTAAACGATGCGTATTTGCCACGGGTGATATCCCACAGCAAAGTTTCACTTCATTTGTATATTATTGGCTATTCTAAGCAGAAAATTGACATTGTGTATATTGCTAAGTCACAAATTATTTAAACTCATGACGGTACACGCTTGTCCCCCGAAGACGTATTTCTGTGAAAAATACCCCGATCAATATCCTAAAAGATCACGAATTCGAAACACGCACACGGAAATGGTATCCTGACGCCGGCGCTGTAAACAGACAAACTCTTCGCCCGTTTCCTAATTGATGTTTGGTGATAGAGAAACAGTTTATACTAGGAAACTTGAATTACTTGACCAAAATATCTTTAAATTCAACTTACCACAATAAGAATTAAAGTCCTTATTTGCTAGGATGAGTCAATCTCGGCGTCTTTGCAGATGAAGTTTCGTCTTCAGATAAATTAAGGCGTTTTCTTGCTTTCAAGGCCGGAGATCTTGGCTTACGCATGGTTACCATTTCTGAATACAAAAGAAAGATTGGTTAGAACAAATCAATAAGTTAGTACCCATATTTTCGATTTTTCACAAGTATCCAGATTATAAAGCACTTCATATCTATGATGGACAACATGTCACTTCAACTGCCGAAGCTTTCAATTTTCAGTTCAATATATAACAGCGCTTAATACAAAGTGTTCTGTACTTGTCAAAAGAGGTTTGCGGACATAGGCCCATTTCATTGTTTTTGGACTGAAGGCACTCTTAACCTGAAACATAACGACTCCAATCGGCAATTTCAACTCCCTATTGGAGTGTTTCAATAGTGCTGTTGCGACCATCCCGTCGCCAGTCAAGGGTTTGAGTGGACACGTATTAACTAGCGATAATGACAGTTCTTCTGTTCCCTTCCCACATAAATTGTTAATGGTAATTGTCATCTACGTAACTGACTGTCATTCATACGATATATTTAAAACTCAAATGACAAAATGGAACTAGCTCACCGCTTTCATATAAATAAAATTAAATATTTATAAGCCGTCTGTTGAAAGAACTTCCTACTTTCCCACATCAATTTTTCACGAAGGTAAAATTTGAAATTTTGAACATTATTAATAATTTCAAAAGCGATATGATAATACAGTTTTATATAATCACCTGTAAGTTTGAGCTGCTTGAGTGGTGTTGGTGCAGCAGGAACACGCATTTCGGAAGACGGTGTTGACATAATTTCAGGTGTGGAAGTTGAGATACTGGAATTATTACTATTGGTGACATCTGACGTAAACCTGGGCGCAAAAACCGATGAGCCTTGTTGAAGACTTGAGGAAAAATCGAGAGCTCTGACTCCTCTTTCTTGGTTCCCACGTTGGCTAAGAGGCGACCTTGCATTGAAACGCACATTGGCAGGCGTGGATTTTGCTGGTGAAAATACTTTGACAGTGAAAGCATTTTCGGTCGAAGCATGCAGAGGCAAGGGTCGTAAAATTGGGAGTGGAAGTCTGATTTTCTCCGAGTCGAATGAAAGTGGTGAGTCGACCGGATCTTTTGACGAAAGAGTCCGGAGCGGGCTCGGTTCAAGTCGGGACGTAGATGAGGGCCTTATGATATTTTTTTGGCGGATTTCACTTGATGGTGAGCGAAGATAGCCATTGAGACTACGTCTAACCGAGCGAGATCTTGAAGTTGATGAATCTGGACTACAATTCGACAAATCAACAGGCATCAATAATTTTTTGCCCTTGTATCGGCGGGAATAAAATTCGGGTGCCTCTCCGGATTTCATTTGCTTCCAATAGTACCGTCGTCTTGGCTCTGGAGTTTTGTCAGCATCAGAAATGTTTTCTTGTTGTTCGTGTTTGGCTGGCTTTTCGTTGTGAATATCAAAATTCAGATTAGAATATCCTCTTCTTCGCTCGCTTACCAAAACCTCATTCAACATTTGCGACACGACGGATGCTTCGCTCGCGCCAAAAAGGTTTCTAGATACCGGGCTGGCGAGCTTCGCCTGAGGTTTTTGTCGCAGCAGAGCAAGAGGTAAAATAGGCGACTGGGAAGTCATATTGATATTAGTTGGCAGTAATAATAGTATACGTATAATAACTGCAAATGACATGTATACAAATAACGTTAGGATTTCGTCCAGATATTATAATATATATAACCAAGTTTATGCGCATTAGGAAGAGACCGCTGAAATTACTAACCTGGCAATCTACTTATTAAATTCTATATTAAATTTATATACGTCTTGGTACAACCTGAATGTAACACTAACGGAATTACGTACCTGAAAATTTTGAAATCAAAGATTACATGAACCCCACCCAAAATGACATCGGTGTCACAGACGTCCACTATCGCTACCAACGGAATACTGATCTGTGTCTCTTTGTTTACGACAATTTTCTGCTGAGCTAAAATTAAGCCCGATAACAGACTCAAGTCCAAACTTGCCTAAATGAGTAGTCTCTTTTTTCAGCGTCTTATTCTTTTTACGTACCTCAACGAAATGCGCCCAGAGGCTTTCGCCGCGACACAGTCACTACGAGTGCCGACCAATATCTGTTTGCTTGTTTCAACGTTTGCTCTCATTTTTATTGCTCCCTCTCTCTCTCTCTTTATGACTTCACGAAAAGGGCGGAGACAATCTTTTTTCTCATAGTACAATTCTCTCCTTTCGGGACGACTTTTCTTACTACGATTCGAAAATCAAAAATGTAATGATTAAGAATACGATCTTGTATAATATTATGGCGCAATGTTATTACCAAATTATTTGGTACGGCCAAATCCTCAATAACCGAGAGTAATTTCATCGAATTCAGAAACAAACTAATTAAATCAAAGCTTTATATACGTGCTCGTATTATTAAAGGTATTCACCATATAACTCGAGATACTTTTCTGTGAGTTTTGACATACAACTTTTACTTCTATTTCCAAACAATCAGGCTGGGCTAAGTAATACGCAAATTGATATGATTGCAAGTGACGTTCCCCTAATATATGCCACAACACTGGCTTTTTTTCTTTTTTCCATACATTACATATATCACGCAGCGTCAAGATTATCGTTGCTATTGTAAGCGTGAACACTTTGCCCTGTTGATATTCGCCATTTGGTCCACGAAATAGTAACAGAAGGCGCGCGTGTGGAATATTTCAAACAATTGTCATGAATCGATCTACCGTGAGTTCACTCACCGTGCTAACATGTGTTGAGTTAGCACGTTAAAATACAATTTTTCTGATGTTACCGCAACATAATTAACTCCATGTGCCGTGTAAATTGCACTTCATCGGCACATTTGTTAGCATTGAATTTTTTGCTGCGAAATAGGGTTATTAGCGAAATACATACTTTCTTGAGCATTATTACACAGTTCAATTAGCAGCGTAATTTTTTTATAATTGTATATTAGACGCTATGATAGACTTTGTTTTGTGGGCTATATGATTCAGCTTTCACTTACCGATCCCCATTCAAGCGTTTCCGCCAACATAAATTCGAATAAAATAATGCGTTCCCAATTATGAAGCTCTATTAACAAATGTGTTTTCTACTGTAGCATTAAATTGGCCATGCTCGTTGGCTTGTGAGCAAAAAAATTATTGCAAATACTCGACTAAAGTTTTCTTGAAGTTCAGAAACAGAAGTTTAAAACTTTTAAAACTCCATTTACAGATATATTAAGCTCAAACACTCGAAAGTCACGGAATTTTAGAAAAGTTTTTAAATATATATCGCAGCATAATTAAAATATAAAAACTATGTTGTGACGATATTCACATGTATTAGCTAAAGTTGCGATTGATTACGTTGTATAATACATCCGTTCTAAAATTAAAACATATATATTCCATGTACGATTTGCAATATCATACTGTGACATCTATGATTTACATGTAGATTAAAATATTAAGAGTTCCAAGTTTTTCCTTCTTAAAACTTCTGATACTAATTAATCCTGTAGTAGAAGGATATCGTTGAAAGGATATGGAGGCGTATAGCCTTGTGAGACTATGTACTGTATATTTATAACGATATACTCGTGGGAACAACACTTTGAAGTACTACCAACGGCAGGGTCTAGGAGAATACATTTCAAAAAATCTAGTTTACCATGCAAGGCTAACACTTTATGATTTCTGTTCATCTGCTCATGAGAAAAAAATGACAAAGGGCTTTTTCTCAATTCAATAATTTTTAAACTCACTGTAACACGATTAGACATATTTCAGTTCGTTTCAAACATGTCGCAACTATATTAAATTGATTAACGAACGGACACACCGTTAGGTGTGGATGGGAAGTTATCAACGTCGGAAGAAGTCTGAGGTAGATTCACGTTAGGAAGCTTAACTTCCTTGATTGAGTTCAGATACATAAATTATTTCGATGGCAGATATTACATTTGAGAATACGAGAATTGATGCATTTGTAAGATTTGTTTCAATAACATTTTGCGTTTTCGATCGTGTTACCACCTTAACCCGATATTCAACAATCGACTCAAATGAGCGCTTTACAAAAATCAGAATGTTGAGTAAATAGACTTCGATTTTCAAATGAATGCACCCACAAAAGTCACATCCTAAACTTAATTTGAAATAACATGAAATAACATCCTGTAGCGAACGCCACAGGATTCTTTCAAGATGGCAATGTTTTACACGACCATTTGTAGTTTAAAGGTGAACAATAGTGCAAGAACGCCCTCGCTGTTTTACTGTTTTGACAGCATACAGACATTTCATTCAAAACGAACAAAAGTACCGACAATAGACAAACGTATCCCATAGCGTTTCGCTACTCTATATTGAAGTAGCACCTTCGTGCCAGACTTAACATGCAAACGACATATGCAGTATGAAAGCAAAGACAAAACAAATATATGTGGCAAATATTAAGCCCGCAAGTAGTGATGAATACATTTTTATTTAAATAGCTGTAACTTTAATTTGCAAATATGTACAAAAGTGGATTAAACTGAATCAGTATTTCCGATTTATATCTCATTAATAGTTTAAATTCCAATCCGCGCACGTCCCGGAAAGCAATCATCATGAACGCTTAGTATGAAGCTATATATTGCAATGAAACTAAGTATGTTATAAATTTCACTCAAATCGAATTGGCACCAGTTGCATATGTCAAACTCTCATTTTATTGGATGGAATATTTAATAAATGACTTTGGTAGCAATGAAATCAGTGAAAAATTTGCATTGTCAATTTCCTGTAGCGAAAAATGTTCATACTGGCGACCGTGCATTTTTACGCTTATGTAATTTTCGTGGAAAACGTAGTATGAAACAATAAAAGTCTTATAAACTAGAAAAGCCTCTAAAACTAAAATTCATCATATATTGTTACAGTGAGCGTAACAATAAATGTATTGTAAACTGGGGTTTTGTTTGTACGCAAAGGCCGAGGGTCAGTTATTCTAAATATAGCGTGTAGAATCTCTTGGGACCGTGTCGATATATGGCAGGTAGCCAAATATAAACGGACAATTTTTATAATGGCACTATGTTATGATTAAAATTAAAATACACCCCTGGGAGTCTCGCTGATCACGACAAAGTTTTAAAACAACTTATGGGAAAATAATTGAAATCAAATAAAGTTGAACTTTTATTCTACATGTGCAGATGGATATACAATTTGAGGGCCAATAAAAAATATGCGGGTGATTCAAGGAAATTTTTTCAAAAAATAATCAAGTCGCTAATCCCAAAAAATCGTGATCAAAACTTTGCTGACGATGTCAAAGTAGAAAAAGCGGATTTGTTTCGTAAGGTAATTTGTTGTCACCATGCACCGCAAACATTTTTTTCAATAATAGTTTAAACTGAACAGAATCAATAACGAAAACGATCATGGATGAACTCAAATGTATAGGTTATTTGATGAAACATCATATCTACCGATCAAGTGACCACCTAATGTTTAACTTCAATTATCATTGTATTTCGCCAAGATTATTATTCGGCACGAAATATCACAAAAAGTTATTGCATGGATTGGTAAACTGAACATTGCGTATTTTGTTTCTAATATTTCATCAGAATACTACTATAATCTGTCAGGAAGAGTAAGTAATCGTTGTGTTTTATTAATAGTAACTACATCCTTAACATGAGTACAGGGACACGCGAGCAGGTTTATTATGACTATCGTCAAAAATGAGTCACCTCTGGAAAGGGAAAAACAACAAGTAGCGTTAAATATCTACTAAGCCTAACTGACATAAATGAAGCGTGCCAGGTACTAGCATGTCGGCAGAAATGTTTTTACTACGTGGTATGGTTTGTTCGTTATTTTAATTGGTCACCAATGTTGCGACAAAATAGCCCAAGGCATAACATTTGACAACTAATTACTCAGTACTTTCTCATAATGAAAATAAGCAGTCTGTACATGAATGAGTTAGTAATAATGTCTTGTAACGACAATTGTAAACATATAGTATTTTCAATATTTACATCTCAAAACACAGTTCGCTACGACAGCCTCGATACTTTTGAAGTGATCAATTTTAATTTCATATTTTCATTGAAATTGGGACGAGCAGCTAATAATTGGACATTTTTTTATATTGATATGATTGGATCTTTCTAATCGACATGCATTACATGTAAAACGTATAAGGTTTTTTTTTCGACTTTTTCGAAGCGCGATCTCTTATTTTCTAGGTTTTGTGCAAACTGTTGTGTGAATAATCGTGCAAATATAGTACGACCTCGATGACTTTTCTGTGGCCTGCGAGTTGCGTAAACAGCTGTGACGGCATCAAATTTTCCCGCGCTTTTCGAAGTCGTGGTGGCTCCATTCTCTCCTTTTACGGCGAACTAATCTGCACGCGTGCATGTTGCACGGAGACTTCACTAGCGTAGTAAACCAACCTCCCTGCGTTTGGCGTAGACATGGCATTTCTGCATGTGAGAACAATATATTTCCTAATCCAACATTGTGGCTCTAACTGTTTAAAAGTTCTGATGAATTTTTTGACATAGCCTATGACGGGGAAATATAACATGTTTAATCGGCAATCAACTTTAATATGGAAATAGGGCTTGAGCGCTTCACCAATATGGTGCCATTCCTGGCATTAATTGAAAACATCGAAAGGAATTTGTGTCAAATCTTCCCAGCGTAGTAAACAACTCCTATGTGGCGGCGAACTCAATGTTTGTAAAGGTGACTCAACCCCCAGTACAACAGGTATACATATTTGTTTTGTTTGCAGCATACACGAATCACTTCATGCAGCATGTAAGAATCTTCCGAGTGAGGATTAAAAGAATTTCAGTAAAACGTTAGATATGTTGAAGCTACATTCATGAAACTATTTATTTTTACCAATAAGCATTTATGCAAGTAGATATTTTGGCAATCATTCATTGCAGCCTAATTCAGTACTATGTTGTGAAAAGCTATTCAGTGGACACGAGCAATTCAATTACTGCATTTGGTGTCATTTTCTGCGAAAGCGAACGATGAATCCTTAGTTGCGGCGTTCTGATAATGGAACGAGCATATCCGGTTGTTTACG